ACTAGGGAAACTTAAAATTAAATAGACTAAACTATAGGAGATTTCTAAATAGGGAACCCCTAAGTATATTAAGGATATTTAGTCCTTTCTAGGATTTTATAATTATTATAGGAAGTTTATTCTAAGGTAGACTAGGATTATAGAACTACTTATAAGGTTAACTAAGAAGGAAGTCCCCTTTAAGTAGATAGATAAGTGCTAATAAGTAATAGATTAGCTAAAAGAAGAGTTTATAAAAGAACCTATTCTATAGATTTTTAATCTACGCTACCTAGTAATACTTAAAACTAATATATTAAATTTTACTATAGGGGTATACTTACTCTAGTAAGACCTAAAAATAAATAAGAAATACCTATATAGCTATTATTCCTAAAAAATAAAGGCTATAGAACTTAACTATAATATCTATAATAAAGAAATATTAGTAATAGTTAAAGCCTTTAAGGAATAAAGAATATATTTCTAAAAAGCTAAATATTAGATACCTATATTCTTAGATTATAAGAACCTAATAGAATTTATAACTAATAAAGCCCTTACCCCTAGATAAGTAAGATAGGTATAGACCTTATTAATATATAACTTTAAGATTATATATACTAGAGGAATAGAAAACCTTAGAGCTAATACCCTAAGTAGATAACTAGACCTCTAAGAAAAGGTAGAAGTATTAGGGGCCTTACTTAAGTTTAATGCTAATAGTACTATTATATATAATATACCTAAGCTTATAGTAATAATAGAAACATAAGCTAGTGTATAGCTTAATTAGATCTAGAAGGAAACTATAATTAATAAGAAAAGTATAAGCTACTTACTAGTAGGAATAAAGTATAAAGATAATATATATAAGGTCTTTAATAGAATCTTTATTCTAGTAAAAATCTAGAGAGAATTTATATAATAATTCTATAAGGTGCTAGCATATAGCTATTAAGGGATTAAATAAACACTAGAATAACTAATAAGGGACTACTACTTCCCTTAAGTCTAGTAGATAGTTATAGAAGTCCTTAGGGACTACGTAGACTACTATAGAAATAAACTAAATAGGTATATACTATATAGGTAATTATAATCTATAGAAATACTAAGTAGACTATAGGGAGTTATTATAATAGACTTTATAATAGGATTACTAAAGTCTAAGAATCTAGATAATAAAGTTAAATATAATAGAGTAATAGTTATTATTAATAAAATAACTAAGTACACTTACTTCTTACTACATAAGGAGGTTAGTAAAGTAGAATATATAGTATTCTAGTTTACCTCTATAGTAATAGTATAGTATAGTACCCCTAATAAAATTATTACTAATAGAGATATATGCTTTATATCTAAGTTCTAGTAGATAGCACTTACCCTTATAGGTATTAAATATAGTATATCTATAGTATACTATCTATAAATAGATAGTTAGACTAAAAGAATAAACTAGATAGTAGAATAGTTCCTTAGGTATTACCTAAACTACTAATAAAATAACTAGGTAGGGTTACTCCCTATAGTATAGTTAGCCTATAATAGCTTATAATATAGCACTACTAGAGTCTTACTATTCTTTATAAACTATAGATTTAACCTAGCAGCTTATTAAGTGCCTAGGATAATAAGATCCTAGAGCGCAGATAGAGAAGATTAGGTAAAGAAAATTATATAAATCTATACCTAACTCTAGTAAAATACTATATTCCTATAAGAAAAGATAGGTAAATACTATAATTATAAGTATAAGCCTACGCCTACACTAGAGAAGGGAGAGAAAGTCTAGCTACTATAAAAAAATATTACTAGTAAATAACTATTAAATAAACTAGACTATCTAAAAATTAGACTATATAAAGTCCTTAAATAGATTACCCTAGTTTTATTTAAATTACGCCTTCTAAATAATATAAAAATACACCTAGTATTCTATATAGCCTTATTAGAAAAAGTACTATAAGACGTAGAACCTATAGTTTATAAAGTAGATATATATAAAGAATAGTAAGAAGAATAGGAAGTAGTAAGTATTAATAGATACTAACTAGTAAATAGTTAGAACTACTATAAGGTTAAATAGCTAGAACATAATAAAAAGGGAAACCTATAGAATAATACCTAGGAGCTAGAAAGTAATCTTAACTACCCTAAGAAGTTAGAAGAATTTTAGTTAAACTAATCTCTTAAAGAAAGCCTAGAGATATTAAACTAAGAGTTAGACTACTTTATAGTAAATTATAAAAAATACTACTATTAGAGAAGGTATAAGTAGTATCTTAAGAAACTACTTTACCCTCCTTAGGACTATTTTATAGACTAGTAGCCTTTAGCTCTACTTTTTTCTAATCTAGCTTAGCCTCTAGGAATACTAACTAATAATTCTTTTACTTATTAAGACGCTTCTTCTATTTCTATAACTATAATACCTTTACTTAGGTAGTAGTAAGGGTATCTAGAATCTCCTTCTAAGCTTTTTTAGCCTTAATAAGTTTAGCTTAAATTTTAGCTTAGAAGTGACTAGTGTTATATACTATAAATAATTAGTATAGATAGAATAATAGTAGTAGATAATATACTTTTAGCTACTAAAATACTATTAATATTATAAGAACTATAGATATTTAAATAAATATAAGCTTTATAGGTAGGACGCCTAGGTATATTACGTAAAGAAAGCTTATATAGAATTTTTAACTAATTATAGTAAGAGTAAGGTATAGTAAGAAATCTATAATAACTAATTTTATTAGTAAGCGTAAGTTGTTTATTAGTTTTATAAGAAGGTATAGAGGGTAATAATAACCTAACTTATAATAGGGCTTATCCTACTAATATAGTACTACCCCTATAATAGATTAATCTTTAGGCTAAAGACTTAGAAAGGGGAGATAGTATTATAGCTACTATACTATAATAGAATTATAGAACTTATAATAATAATAGTAGTAACTAATTAGATTATATAGAAGAAGAATATAATTATAGGTTAGATACTAAGTATAATATAGGTATATAAGGAAGTTACGTAATTAGATCTATAGATCTATAAAATAGAGCTATAGAGCCTAGATCTATAAAATCTATAGGTAGAGCCTATAGAGCTATTATTAGATAGTAGTATATAGAGATAATAGATTACTACTAGATAAGCCTTTATTATTAATCTATAATATAGTTCTCTATATCTAGTTTCCTTATAGAAGATTACTATTAAGTCTTTAGTAATATATTTTTATAGTAGTAATTAATTAATATTTACACCTTACGTAATCTATACTACCCTATACGCTACTTACCTCTTACTAGAACCCTAATAGGGCCATAGCTAGTAATAGAGTCCTAGAGGCCCCGTTATAATTACTAAAGACTTAATAGTAATCTTCTATAAGAAAACTAGATATAGAGAACTATATTATAGATTAATAATAAAGGCTTACCCTATAGTAATCTATTATCTCTATATACTACTATCTAATAATAGCTCTATAGGCTCTATCTATAGATTCTTATAGATCTATAGATTCTAGCTCTATAGCTCTATATTCTTAGTATCTATAGATCTATAGATCTAATTACGTAACTCTTTACGTATTTATATTATACTTAGTATCTAACCTATAATTATATTCTTCCCCTACATAATCTAATTAGTCGCTACTATTACTAACGTAAGCCTTATAATTCTATTACGGCGTAGTAGCCGTAACACTACTATTATATAACTATACTAGCCTTATATAGCGCATACTAGTTCGTAATAGTAATTATAGTTAATTTACTTATAAATTAAGCTCTTTTCTACCACACTACCTAATCTCTACTCTACTATGCTAAATAATTAGTAGTCACGTGATGTAACACAGCCCTAGAGCTGGAGTCTATGATTGGCTTAGATGCGGCCCTGGGGATACTTGGCGCATGTGATTACAATATATCTGCACCATGGAGGTAGTGGTGGCAGCCAGAACTATCACTCAGACTCTCGCCACGACACGGGGAATGGTACACTGCACCACCACAGACGGGTGTACGTGTACCTCGACAAGAAAATCTTGTGAATCAAGGGCCCAGCCTGGTAGCAGCTGATTGGTTGAGGCTCACTCTGCCGGGCGGCTATGGATCGTTCCAGATCGAAGCTACCGCTGGCTTGCGCGATGGAGAGCTGGGACAGGACCCGACAGGGGCTGGAGACAGAAAGCGGAAAGCCGGGGAACAGAATGCGTGTGCTTGGGAAACAATACGATCGATTGGCCAGTGCCCAGGAGAAGCAGCGCGCATCGTCCCTCCGTGTGGGCTGTTGATAACGTAAATGGCAGGGCTGATGGTGGATTGAAGGCGCCCCCAGTCGGACGGTGGTGCGAGCCCGTGAGCTTTGACGCCGGGTGCATGCCTAGTGCCCGGGATGGCTAGCGCCAACCGTCTGGCGTGGGAGGCCGCTGGAGCGCCCATCAGGGTTCGGAGGCAGGCGCATGTGCCGGCACGTCGCCCACTCTGCAACGGCCGCCCTGTGAAAGCTACAAGGGCCAAGGACCACGGGGCTCCGGTCGCGTCCCCCGAACAACGCTGATTGGCTCGTCAGCCTCCGGGACTGTCAGCCGCGGTTGCTAAGACCGAACCTGCTGGAGCATGCTAGTAGCCCCATCTTCAACACGCATGCGGCCATCTGGGTTCAGGAAACGGCAGAGGGGTTGCGGCCATCAATCCGAGAAGCAGTTGGCTCTGCATCTGCGCAACCGTCGTCATGATCGTCCCTCTCAGAACAGGAGCGTCGTTGCCACCCTTGTGGCTGTTGTATCGCGGAACCTATACATAGGTAGTAGACATCGGCATCTCGCCGCAATTGCGTCCTATGCGACCTTCGCCAGTTTCCTCCCTCGGCACCGCTCGTCTTTCCATCCACCCGCTCTCTAACCAGCTCAGACTGAGTGATACCCTTGTCCACCAACATCTTTGCCGACACACAACAAAGGCAGCCTCGATTGCCAGAAAGCTAGTGCTGCGAGTCTGCCATGACCGCACTGGGTCCCGGGCATTGGGATCAACCCCCCCTCAAGATGGATACCACAGGAGCACCTGAAGACTCGGGCCTCGCCTTCTCAAACTTACCTGCGCCTCTTGGCCAATATCTGTTTGTCTCCGACATTGGACAACCCAATCTCGACGAGAAGCCCACCCTCCACACCGCAGATACCAGTCTACCCGAGAGTGCTCACCATCCCAGATACCCCAGCGACACCTCTCCGATGATGCCCTTCTCCGGCGGCTCTTTGTACCCACCGCAAGCATCCTTCACCGCTACCAACGCCGATGACATTAAGATGCACGATACGCTCGATCCCACAACGATAGCACCACTGCAGACCCGATTCGATGGTGACCCTATCGCCTACGACTCCCACGAGTCCAACGTCAGCTTCTCAACAGAAGGGAGCGCATACTCGGCCGCTTCCACGGCACCTTCGCAGTGGTCATATGCTATGGATCGGCAAGCATACATGGACAAAGGGCGGCGTGAGAGCGTCCAGATTCAAGTCGAATCGACCCCAGGCGCCACTGGCAGTCGACGCACGTCCGACAAGGCGGAACCTGGCTCTGCGCGAGCAGTATACTTGGAGAAGAATCGACAGGCCGCCAGTAAATGCAGGACTAAGCAAAAGAGGCAACAGGAGGACCTCGTCGAGACAGCCCGAGAGGTGGAGCGCAAGAACAAGGTCCTGAAGTCCGAAGTTGATTTCTTAAAGAGCGACCTGCGGGGTTTGATGGAGCTAGTGGGGAAACATAACGAATGTCCAGATGGCCGGCTTCGAAGATACGTCCAGCTGGAAGCGGATCGGTTGTCAGCTCGGGGCGATCAGAGTCCAATTGCTGAGCTTCTCTCGCCGAAAAGCAGCTTCAATGGAGATAGTGCCTCACCCGAGCATCTCTAAAACCACTTCACGTGGGTCAGCTCTCATGAATGGCTGGCATTACGTGAAGTCCAATGAGCTCATGAACGCGAGCTTTGCTTATGAACTTTTATTGCGAACTTGGCGACTGTCTGTCAATCTTTGTCCTTGGGGTCTGTTAGTGCAGCGCTGTCATTTAATAATGAATCATGACTAGGAGAACTAAAAATAGTTTTGTTGAAAATTATGTGTATGTTACCAGATCACGGAATCAAAGCCAAAGCGCTATTGCGTGTTGCCTCTCGATTATGTTTATACAACCTCAAGAGATTGTCAAGAAAGTGACTTCAATAGCGATGCCGTCTGATGTTATCAACGAGCGCCGTCGCTGGGTGTTGTGGCCGTTATAAAAGTGGAATCAATGGGTTAGTTGGCTCGGATAACTCAGATAGTCATATCCAACATCGAAACCCTCTTCCGTCAGCACAGCACTCTAGCTCGGCTGTGTGTCACCGATCGACTTTCGACGATCCTTCACGCCTTTGTTCATCTAGGTCGCTTGAACGCCTTCTCGTGGCATAAGGTAATTCACATAACGTCGGAATCGTATATCCTAGTAAGGTGCTATAGTGGGGTACAACGTGTTATTCCTTATCTGCCAACCTTATATACATGGTCCCCACAATATATACATGCCGGCTTTGCGCAAGCCGCAAGACTAACTCGTTCTCGACCATCTTACAGCTCCTAAAAATGTAACGGATACTAGGGTATTGGATTATGTAGCAATATGCCACAGCTACTCCAGGAAACTATTATGAGACTGTCAACAACTGAATCGCTGAGCGCTACGTATTAGAACTATAATCTAAAGACTGATTTTCCTTGCTGTGCCCTCTATGATTGCTTTTACAACGGTACAGAAGGATTCACTTGTGATAACAAACTTTCAGCCTTGACTTCGCCTAAAACACACTTATAATACTGATGGCCACAAAGAGATATTATCGTTAGATAGCCCTATACTGAGGGCTTGCTGTAGAAAGCTTCAGGCCATGACTTGAACACTTAATTAAGTTGCCAGTGTACATAAGCGTTGAAGGGCAATTGGCATACCGATCCACATAATACATTTAGATCGATGCAGCAGGGTGTCAGCACTCAATGCCCATCCGCCCGTTCAGCGCTCGGATCCCGAACTCATAGTGCGACCATGCCCTTCGTGGGTGCTCTCCTTTTCATCAAACTCTACGATACCTAGGTAGCATCAAGACCAACAATGTGGATCGGCAAGCGTAAACAAAGTAGGCATTCGCCAATTGGCTCCTGTGAAGCACCTTGAAGAGTATTTACCTGAAGACAACTTGTTTCATCTTGCCCCCGTGTCGTACTATCCTTGAGCCGCCAAACATCTTTACATGACATTCTTCCCGGGGAAGCTACATGTCCGAGCGTCATCTTGATGAAGCAAACATTTGGCGATGGACGTCCGAGTACATTCATGGATACCGTATTTATTGTACAGGGTAACATGTCATCGCACCAGGGTAACTTACCTGATCCCTGCCTCTATAACGCATGGCACTTGCCGTCCGTTTCGAAATTCACAGCCGACTTATGACCGTTCAATGCGTCTAGCTGCCTCCTATCCTGCGTCTACTGATGATCGGCGCACCATCTTGACATGCGCGAGCGTGATTCTGAGCTTAGATCGTTCGGCGTCGCACTTCTTGATGGAGTAGGCTGTCTACCAATTAGGTCTCTGCATTTTTTAATACCAACGCCATGCTCGTGCTTGGACAAGTTTACGTGAGAGCCAATAAACTAATATGGTGCAAAGTGCACAAAACCCAGATTCTGAATGGCCATGCTGAGCTGAACCGAGCAACAGAATGCCGCCAACACAAAAGAAAGTAATATTACAAAAATACACCGATGCCTTTTGTCAAGACATTGTGTCCGCAGATCCTGAAGGCATCTTCTGTTCTGCACAGTCAATCAAAGAGCACAACAGCTTTCTTCTAGGCATCTGTGCCCTATGACCACGGTCCGCCTGGAACTTCCCGCCCACTCTTGGGCTGCATCTCAACATCGCTTGCATCCCTCGAGTGCGAAGCCTTCTCGCCCGCAATCCGCTCGTGGTATAATTCCGTGATCTCGCTCGGGTGGAACCAGTTGAAGATCAGCATGACGGAAAGCATCAGCACCGCATCGAAGATATACAGAAACACCTCGTGCCTGAGTAGGTATCCTGCATTACCCATGATATACTCGATAACACGGAAGACGCTTCGCACGAGAATAAGCCCACTGGATGCGTAGAGCACCATTAGGTGTTTCTTCCAAGGCAGAACAGTGAGGTCCACACTTCCGGATGCAGGACCGTTACGCTGCAGGCGCACGTGGAAGAGTCCTGCAACCAAGACGAAGAAGCCAAAGAAAGCGAGCTGAAGGAAGAGCCCGCCAATGATGAGTTTCTCGCCAGTCTTCATGGCACCTTCAGTTTTAGACGCCTGAATTCCTCCTCCGCTACTTTGTACTAAGAAGGACAGCACATCGCCGGCAACGAAGATCTTTGTGAGCCACCTCTGCCGGATGAGCGAGTGCTTTTCGCCATCGGTCAACAGGATGATGCGACCCAGGATGATGTAGATGGAGGCGGCAAAGAGGGCGGGTGCCACGAGAAGGAGCAGCGACTGCATGATGAAGGGACCGAGTTTCCATTGGTCGAAGTGCGATTGTGCGCGACCGATGTAGCCTACGAATTCAACTGCAGGTCATAGTGGTCAGTCAACATGATCTAGCTAGAAACGGAAAGTCGGAGTCGTACAGATGCCACCAATTGCGAGAGGTATGAAATACCACGTTCGTTTTCGGCCAACCTGAAAGATGTGGTAGAAGGTTGTAAGGCCGAAGAGCACAACGAAGATAATAGCCGCGGGGAGCGAAGGCACATAGCGATAGAGGACGAAGCGGGTGGTATCGTTGATGTCCGGGTGATCTTGAGCCATTGTATCGATTGGTCGTCAAACGTGTGCGCAGGTGTATGCCTTGTATCGTGCACTTCTCGAAGGTGTGTCACAGGCTGTCGGAAAACCGGAGTAGAGGCGTATACGTAAGGTAATAGTCGTTGCGATGGTGTTGCTGACCACCCAGACGTTCGGGCGACGCGGGCAGGCTCCTTATAAGGTTGCGAAGCGACGACTGCTGGCAGGCCCCCACTGTGCCCTCTGCCTCACGTACAAGAACGGATAGGTACGTATAGGCACGTATAGGCACGTATAGGCGTATAGCCACGTTTACGGCGCTCTCAGGACTTGGCAAGCGTACTTCGTGTATTCTGATTGGCTCGTATTCACGCACTCACAGCCTTCCGATTGGCTCCGTTACAAGGAAGTTTCTATTGGTCAGGAACGAAAGGCTGAGCTGGGCGGAGTTTAGCACCCGTAATCTGCGCGAAAATGGACAGAGACTTTCAGGGGACGGCCCATGAGCTCTTCGTGGAGCGAAAGATCATTGCGCAATGCGCGCGGGGCTGTGTTGTATCGCGTCGTCTCGTTAATGGCTGGGAGGAGCCAATGCTGCATTTGCGAGTACGGGAATCAACGCATGCATACGCCATTTTCACCACCAAGCGGCGCATATTGAGCCTGCCTGAGGATTGGGATGAACCTGGGGAATGGCTGTGCTTGATACGCAGCTTATATCCTAATGAGGAAGCTGCCGGGTTCGAGAAGTCAGGACGCCGCAGAAGCATGAGAATTGCGCGAATCGGATGCAAACCGAAGCGGTATCTGCGTCATCGTTCTCGAGCATTGTTCTTTACGATTTCAAGAGGCCAGTCCAGGTAGGTTAGGAGCTCTGGTGTCGCGACCAACAACTTCTGCGACGCAAGCACGATCCGAAGGGGCCATTCGGCGATCCACCAAGCCAGTCGACATTCTGTTAGCAGGACTGCGAAGTGAGCAAGAACTAATGCTGTCTGGCATCGGTCAGCAACGAAAGTTGATACATTGTGATGACGTCGTACAATGGGGTCATGCGTGGATATGAGGTGCAGGAACTCTTCTGAGAGACGTGATGACCAGCCGAACGCGATTGCCTATAATGTATGGAAACGCATCAGTGGATAAGGTTAACGCATCCTATGATCGTTTACATACCAGGCGGTCATTCTCCGGAGGACACTGTCGCGTTTTGAGAAAATGAGTGTGCAGATCGTCAATGGCCAGCGTATAGAAATCGTGCGCCGAAGTTTTCTTGGTTTCTGCAAGCTTCTTCAGCCGGAGAACCTCGGGCACTTCGCCGTTGAACGTTAGTCCTGGACCTTGCTCAACAATCTTGCTCAACATCTTGCTGTTCATGATCTGGGTCACATGCGGCTGGATGACAACCGAAACTCCTTGGGCCAGTCTGAAGCAATGATGTAATGCACCGATGGGATCCTCGGGTGCTTCCAACTGCGCCGAAGCAAGGTTGTAGGTGACTATAACCACCGATAATAGGAACATGGCCATGGCCGTCTCTTCTGCTGGGTGCTCGAGAATTTTTCTGTATGTTTCGAGGGCACTGCTGATATGGGTGTCTGCCTGGAGTAGCAGGCTTTGTCGGTCAGCTTGGGGCTCGCAGGCTGTTTTGTGAATTGCAGCCAAAGCAAGGATTCCTCGAAGAAGGAAGGGAAAGTCGAAAGCAATTTCAACGCAGTCGACCTGCCACACGGGCCAGCGCGCAGTGTCCACGTTCATGTCTTTGTACGATTTCGTAGACCAGTGGTGCAAAAGACGCATGTCGGAGATGCTCATCTCGGAACCAAAAATAGGCGCAGGACCATCAGGACTGGCTACGGAAACTGGGCGTTCTGCTATTGCAATGGTATGACTGTCTGGAGGTGTTGGGTACGTATTTGAAAACCGCTCGCGGCTCGGCCATGTACAATGAATATCCAGCCGAACACAGTTGCCACATCGGGGATGCTCCTCGTTGCACTGGTAAGGTCAGCTCGCACATTATGGTCTGTAATATCAATCACGCGCAAGAAAAGCGGACAACAACAATAGATAAGCCCAAGCGTAGGCAAAATGCCAGACTGTCATGACAGCGCTTGAAGTCCTCAACCAGTTTCCCATGTGCGATCTAGACACCCCTAGGACAGAAAAGGCGATGTATGCCGCCAGACGTGCAACATGCACAGATGAATTGGCTTACCTTGGTATGTCTCTGCTTGCACTGGAAGCAACCGTTGCGACTTTTCCTATGCGTCTTCCTCTTTGCCGCCCGTTGCTGTTCCGGCGTTTCCGCCTCCTCGGTAGGCGTCGCCATCGTCTTGACGATTCTGCGCTGGCATTGACGTCGCTGTGAAACAAAATGGCGGGTAATTCGCGGAAGCTACGGCGTGGAGGACATCTCCGCATCATGTAATCAGCGCTAGCCACTATTGGCGTAGACTTAGATGTAACATGCGGTCCCCTGCACCCCGCATCCCGCACACGTTCCTCCCTTGTAAACACTTCTTGGCCGAGACTTTGAATCGTGTCGTACTAGTCTATGCTTTACGCGTCTCTGGCGCCCTCGGAAAGGCCGGATCTACCGCAGGTATGGAAGCCAACATTAAAATATCTCTATGTGGGTTGGTGTAATGTCTTCAACCCCTACGCTCATCTTTCCTGGAATGAAACTCTTACAAATATCATGAAAGATTATGTACTGATTGATGTTGGAAGAATTTGGTGCGTCCCCTTGCCTAGGTATGCAAGGGCATCTGAGTCCCGGCTTTTCCGAAGGCGCCAGAGCGCTACTGTGCGTACTGTGTATGTACCCCATTTGCGGGGATGGGAATCTTACCTCAACGAGGAGCATCCCCAGGTGTTATCCCTGCATCTTCCCGGCATTTCGAGGGGGTGCAATGTCCTCGGCGCAACGATCACCGAGGGCCAGAGCGCACCTGGGTTTCTTTAATGAATGTACCGCTCGCGGCTGCGTACCTTTAGCCGCACCTTGGTTATCGTACTGCTTTTTCGCTCTGCATGAGCATTCTCGTAACGGCTTGTATAAATACAACACGAGTCGTAAATCGCGCACGCACGCAGCTTAAGAGGAACGACTCATCTTGCGAGGTGCAGATAGCCGTGGCTCATCATTCATCGTAGCAATCATGTCTGCGACTTGGTTTTTCGTTTTTGTCTCGTTCGTATGTCACGCAGCATTCGGAAAATCAAACAATGACTTCGACGATCCCCCGATCAGATACCGTCCCAAGTTTAGATACTGGTAATGCGCTCTCCAATCCACCGGAAATCGATTGACCAACTGTCCAGGCTCCCCGATGCCAGCGTCTCGTCGGATGCTGTAGCCAACGATATTCGCTCGGTGAAAGAAGCTGGAGCTGGCGGCCTTGAAATCCTACCGTTCTACCTGTATGGCCAAGGAGAAGAGAGCTATAGGCGAAATGGCGCCGAAGTTGTTCCTCAGCTTCCCGACTGGTCCAGATATGGCTTTGGAACTGCCGCTTTTGTGGATGTATTCAAGAACTCGCTTGAAGCTGCTCAAGATGCTGGTATCTTACTCGATTATGCGCTCGGCCCTAACCAGGGGCAAGGTGTACCGTCCGATCCTACTACGGTTGGTCTCGCCGTCGAGCTACTGATGGGTCAAGCAACCGTTACTCCACAGGAAATTTTCAATGCCCATATTCCTCAACCCCTGCAACCATCTGCAACGATACTGAGTGGACTTTCATTCATGCATCCGCTAGAGCAGTTTGGAACCCCAAACTTAATTGCCGTCATCGCTTATCAAACCCAGAATGATACTGGTAATGGAACAGTGCATCTCATTCAAAATTCCTTTGTTGACCTTAGCTCGCTCGTCACCGGGAATAAGACCCTACTCTGGACCCCGCCAGACAATAGCCGGGTTTGGAGAATCTTCTCTTTCTGGGAAGCCTACACTAATCAGAGATCATGCGATGGCGGACCCAACGCAACAACTGCCTTGGGAAATGGCTCTTGGACTGTTGATCATTTTAGTAAAGCCGGAGCTTTTCGGATAACCGAGTTTTGGGACCAGTACATCCTTTCAGATCAAAGAGTGGCTGAACTGCTTCATGATGTTGGTAACTACGGTATGTGAATCGAATATAAACCTACTATCAAAGCTAACTCTCATTAGCATGGGAAGATAGCATGGAAATACTCGCTGCCCTATATTGGACACCAGACCTCTTGAATCGGTTCAAGAATAGCAGTGGCTATGACTTACTTCCATATCTGCCTTTACTCTTCAGCCCTTCTAATACTTGGAATGGCGCATTGCCGGTCTACAACGAGACCTTCGCGTTTGGCAACTCGACCAACGGCGGAGAATCTCGCTATCAACTGGAGTATCGCAAAGCGCTTAATGATGGCTACCAAGAGTACCTTGAGCATTTCCAGGAATGGACACATGTCATTGGCAATGAGTACTCCACTCAGCCGGCATACAATCTGCCATTGGAAGCCGTAAGTCTTCGCACCGTCAAGTCTTCAGGATGGCTTACTGTGACTAGCTCAGTGACATTCCTCTTGTTGATGCGCCAGAGGGCGAATCTCTTGGATTTGAGCAATTGGTGGATGTCTATCGCCAGTTCGCTGGCCCTGCTCATCTTTCCAATAAAAAGATCATCTCAACTGAGCTTGGCGCAGTTAACACACCGCCGTACTGGCTCACTGTACCTAATCTCCTCCAACAGATCAAGCGTTCCTTCGCCGGCGGCTTCACCATGAATGTTATCCACGGCTTCCCAACTCTTGCTCCCTACGCCAATACTACCTGGCCAGGATACACTCCCTTCATATATGAGTTCACAGACATGTGGAACCCGATACAACCAGCATGGCAGCACCTGAAAGACTCACTAGACTTTGTGGGCAGGAATCAGTGGGTGTTACAGCAGGGGCAGCCCAAGGTTGACCTCGTGTTGTATGCATACGCCACACCGTGGTCAATCATCAGCAGATACAATTCGGATAACCTTCGGCATTGGGGTAGGTATCCTGGAACACTACATTCTCGACACCATCACTAATAGCGATAGGCTATACATACGACTATGTGGGACCCGACAGCCTTGTTTCCGCGGATGCTTTCGTGAAAGACAACAAGCTTGGAATACCCGAGTACAAAGCGGTAATCTTCAACAACCAAACAGTCGTTACTACAGAAGCTGTGGAAGCCTTGAAGAACTTCACGGCTAAAGGACTCAAGGTCATTTTTGTTGGCCCGCCTCCGACCCAATCGTACCCCATCAATGCAGCTAGCCAAGAAGCGTTCAATTTGGCGATGGCACGTCTGCTGTCGGGACCTAATGTACTCCGTGCAGAGACTATCGATCAGCTACCGTCGTTACTCAAGGAAGCTGGCGTCACTCCGCGAGTGGGATTAAGTTGCACGCCTAGCTCGGTCTATACGGTATACCGCTCGACCGACGATGTTGACTACGTATACTTCTTCAACGACCAAGACAAATCGCCAAGCTGTGGTGCGAATATCGAAGCAGTAGGTGTCGTACCATATGTATATGACGCATATACCGGGACCCAATCACCGCTTTTACAATACACAACATCGGACTCTTCCATCTCGATGATCCCAGCACTGGAAGCGAATGAAACTCTCATCATCGCCCTACGTCGCAATTCTTCGCAGCCGGCATGTACGATGGCCCAATGGAGCCCCTATATCCGTTCTGTGAAAGCCTCAGGGGGGCATTTGCACGCCATCGTCACACACAGTCCCTACCTCTTGAGGACTAGCACAGGGAAGGCAACACTCTTCAATGCGTCGCTTCCACACGCTACCAAACTTACCACCTGGAAGCTCATTATCGAAGATTGGCATTCTGTACCCGATCGTTTTGCCATCGAGAACGAAATCACCAATCGTACTTTTGCCAATACTTCGCTCGTCCCATGGAGTCAAATCGATGTCTCTTTGCAGAACGTTTCTGGTATTGGCCATTACGTGACGACGTTTGAGCCTCCTACCGACGTCAATGTTTCCTCTTTGGTTGGCTATCTCAAACTGCCATTAGTTCAGCACACCGCACGCTTGTTCCTGAACGGGAAATGGCTTGGACCAATAGACCCTGTCAATCCTGTTGTACCGTTGAAAGGCCTCGAACAGGGCAAACAGTACGAGTTGAGAATCGATGTCTCGACCACGTTGTTCAATCGGGTGAAGGCTGAGGCAGATCTGGTCTGGATGGTGGGACAGGTGGCGAGCCATAAGGCCGCAAAGTATGGCAGTACGCCATATGAGAAGTATGGCCTAGTAGGTAAAGTTTCAATTGACTGGGGTTACAGTATCGATGTAGAATGTTGAGAGCTTCGGGTAAGAGTGCTGAAGCCAAAGCTACCAGCGAGCGGCAAAAACGAAACATTGTCAACAAGATTCAACGTGAACGTCCACGTGCTTCCAATTGTCACACTACGCGTTCTTGTTTCAATTCCAAGACCTCAGCTCCGCCTGCTCATCCGCAGCCCTCCAACCCCGATTCTCCGCGCTCATTTGTTCGAGCGCACTTGGCTTCTTCTTCGCTGCACCGCTCGCACCTGCACCATTGCCGCTACGCTTTTGCTGGCTAGCCAAACGCTGTTGAGCTGCAGCAGCACGACGCTCACGTTCCTGAGACTTAGTAAATATGTATTCCCAGGGGAGGATGACCAGTACCTGCCTCTGCTTGGATTCTTGCGCGCTCCTCGGGGTCGATCTCTGGCTCTTGTTTCGCAGTCGAAGGACGTTCGAGGGAATGACCGACGGATTGAGACTGTGATTGACCCATTTTGAGTGTTACCAAAAGCTAAGGGCGACAAATTGAGTGTAGACCCAAGTGGTGTCGTGTTGCTCGTGGGGATTTAACGAGACCTGGCGCCGAAGGTGGCGCAGCTTGTATTTGTTTCGAATAGTGATCGCGAAACCTCACTTCACGATTATTGGCTCCAGGCTCCGTCCAACTACTATGCGTGAGGCCTTAAAGGGCGCGAGACATATATAATGTTCTGTGTCCCCAAGCTGCAGTCTTAGTGCACAGACGAGTGCAGGCAGCAGCCAGTGGGAAGGGGTACGGGGGCGAAATCCTTTTCCCAGTCCGGCTATTCGCTAAGCTATTCTTAGACACACATAGAACCATTCTCCATGGTCGAGTAGACAAGAACGATACAAGTAGGACCTAGCGAATAACGCGATGCCTCAGAGACTGTCGTTGTTTCGAGGAGTATTAGATCGCGCCCTCCTTGTAAAGTGATATAGCTAGGCTTAAACAAGCTAAGTCTTCTGCGTCTTGCACTACTTTCAAGGCCTTCACCGTTTCTACTGCGTATGTTGTAGATCCCACGAGTCGTAGTATATAGCTTTCAAAGATAATTTTTTTTAGGAAACCGAGGCGGATAAGTAGAGTATGGTACCAGAGGTATGAAGAACAAGACTATATGGCGAGCAGACTCCGTGGACAACACGTTCTTACAGGTGATGAAGGACGAAGTGAGCCGTTGTACACTTCTCTGAACTCCCGCATCACAACCGTTCTTGTTGAGGCGGTGGAGCTCGCATGAGACCGCACGTGGTTGATGGATGTTGGTCTCCTCTTAGCCTACTGATGGCATCAATTGATGCTGGTCAAAATCGAATCTTGTGGAATTGCGTGTTGCCGCACAGCATGCACACTGCACGATCATTTTGCAGTGCAAAGCATATCGAATGGAGCGGGTTTCTACGTGTCGGGTTGATCTAGGACCCCAAACCCCGCCACTGTCAGACGCGTCACCCAAGCGGGCTTAGCGGCCACGGAGGTCCAGCACTTCGTCCAGCTTGCGCCATTACAAAGAGGCCTCAGCTACCACTGCGCTGGGATGTCTGTTAGTCGTTTTCTCCACTTTGGTCTTCGATGTTGGTTGTGATGAAAGTGTCGGGGTGCGACAAATCGAAGAGAACTAGGTCCAGCACTCCACGATCGCGAACAGGCTGCCAGACATGCCGGTACGTCCGAGATCACGTGGTTCGATCATGAATTCACGACCGTCTAACAGTCTGACAGCAAGAGACGCATCAAGTGCGATGAGACAAGACCAGCATGCCTCAAGTGCGTACAAGCTGGGTGGAGGTGTGATGGCTTCGCTGCCTCGCAGCCAGGACCCACCTCCTCTGCTGTGACTTCTAAACCCTCCACTCCAACGCTAGCGATTACCCGATATTCGATCCCGTTCCAAGTCCCCGGATCACAAAAAGATCGCCAACTGTTGCACTACTTCTGCGTGCAAGGTTCGCAAGAGCTAGCTGGATTCATGAAGTTGGATTTCTGGACTCGTACCGTGTTTGAACAGAGCCACCAGGAAGCGACCGTACGGCAAGCGCTGGTCTCTCTCAGCTCATTGCATCTCGACTACACGACTGATTCTCTGACGCACGGCGGCATGGCGCGAGATGACACGCTTGCACAGTATGGCAAAGCGCTTCGTATGCTGCAAAGGCGAATGAAAATGCCAGATGCAGAGGCCACTAGGACAGCTCTTGTCTGCTCGGTACTATTCTATTGCTTCGAAGCAACGCTCGGCAACAGTGAGGCTGCCACACATCACCTTCAAGGTGGATTGAATATGCTGTCGTCCTGCCGTGGTAATGGCACCGAGCAAACCGAAGATCTTCACGGGATCTCGCTGGAGTTTGAGCGGCTGGACTTGCAAGCTACGCTTTTCTACGATCAGAATGTCCCCCATCTCGTACTCCCACTCCCACTCCCACGGGACGACGATGACAACGAAGGGTGCGGCATGCGGCCTTTCCAACGCCTTAGCGATGCTCATCGTGCTCTCGTCAAAGCGATCAGTCGCGGGTGGCGCCTGATGTGCGACAACGTGGATTACAAGTTTACTTCAGCAGAAGGTCTTGCGGAACCGATTCTGCACGAAAAACGCAACCTTCGAGAAAACCTTGTGCAATGGAAGACTGCATTTGACAACTTCAAGCGGCGTCCTAGTGCAGCCGATCAACCAGGGTACGCTCAGCAGATCCTTGTGATCCACTGGCACATAGCTCTGATGCTTCTCGATGCCGTGTTCCCTGCCGACCTCGATGTTTGGGGCGCTTCACCCAATCCGCGCGCCGTAGAGATGGTACAGTTGATAGAGGATATCCTCGACCACGACCACGGCCACAGCAAAGCGTCAAGCCCGGCGTCTTCGACTTCTTCGTCTTCGCAGCGCATCGTGACCTCAGAGATGGGGATCATCGCGCCGCTCTTCGCAGTGGCACTCAAATGCGCCGATCAAGAAGTAAGCAATCGGGCGTTTGAGCTGCTTCGCTCAACGCAGCGGAGAGAAGGTTTGTGGGAAGCTTCGCACATGGCATCTTTAGTCTCGAAGCTGAGAGATGCAAGGGAGCTGCGCTATGCACCACAAGGCGAAGCTGCACTTGCGGAGGCGAGGAAGCAATCGCTGGAGATGTTGTTTGATCATGAACTCAGCAGCGGGGGAGGGCTGATGAACGTCAATATGACGTCTACGTATTTCGAGAAGGCGGTTGAGGCGCTGTACGGGTCCTTTGAGCATGTGGGAGGAGGACACGACGAGGGCGATGATTTACGAGCCGAGTCATTGACCTGATGGCGGTTTGGATAACGCGACGAGGCCGAAGCGAGTTCGTGAACCCTGGAACCGCAACAGCCACGCAGCACCTGCCAACAACACAAGGTCCACCCATGGCAGCATTCGACGCCCGCCAGAGACGCGCCGTCGCCGCACCGCCATCGCATTCTTATGCAGAAGCTACGTCCTCCACAATCGTAGACGAGCAGACGCATCCGCTTGCCCCCTTCTCTTTGCTGACATTACGCTGGCGCCGAGCGCGCGACAACGCCCACCTCGCTCAACGCGCCGCCATGCGTTTCCTCGAAGCCTCCGCTCTGGCACTCGCCATATTCATCGTCCCGGCCAGCATCCAGCACTTGGTCCGCGGTATAGACACCCTGTATGAGGTGGCCGGACGCCGCGCGCGCACAAGCTTCGACGAGGTGGGATGGTGGAGAGTGGTCGTAGGAGGAGGCGTGCTGGCGGCGTGGCATGCGATACTGATAACGCTGAGCTTCAGAGCACTTGCGGACAAGGGTCAAGGAAGCAAGAGAGGATGGAGAGATGGTACCTGGAGCCGCACGCTGGGGCGTGTTCTGGTGCCTGCGTATCTGGTCGTCGCGCTTGTCGCTTTCTTCTACACGCTCGCAACGCGCCTCGCTGCACCCCGCGTCGTCCCTATGTCCCGCGCATTTGCCGAATCATCAGCGCCACACAGATGAACCACGCTCCGCTAGGGACTTAACCGTTCGAACAAACTGCCAACACTTTCGCTATCTCAGAGCGGCCCCCCACCCCAAGACCTTGGACGCAGTGCCATACCGGCGGTGCAGCCGTCTCCCCGCGGATATGACGGGGCTTGTCACATCACCACCAGTGCGGGACTATGCATCATGTGATCATGTATGTACATCTGGTCTGGAACAGACCTCGACCCTACGTCTCAATGAAAGAGGAACTTGCTTTGAAGAAAGATGGATTGGTGTAATCCACTGGCTTGCTGCCCGCTATTTGCAGGGGAACATAGACGAACAGCCTTCGATGGGAGCAAGCAGCTGTGGTTAACAGATAGAGGCGGATAGAGCGCATGCTTCGAAGCATGCAATGACCTGTGGTATGCAAAGCCGTGAGGTACAAGACAAGACAGATAGAGCGGGATAGATTGCGCAGCAACGTGATCGAAACTTTGATGCAGTCTGTCACGGATTGGATTTTCTGCTTGGATTCTTGAACTGTCTTGGAATAACCGCGTTGAAACGTGATCATAATTCCAGTTGCCAAAGGCTTCAAACCAAATGCTCATGCACATGCAAGGCCAGACTCCTCCGAAACCCACCTTTACTCCGATTGATCATCATCAACTTTTCGTCTTTCTTGCTTGCACGGATATAGCCCGCTCTGTTGGACTGACAGCAACGGACATACTCCGGCTACCGTATCTCCCAGATATTCTGCGTCCATGTTCGGCTCGTTACATCGTAATTCACTTCCCCAAATCGCAAAACCATCCCCTTTCCCTGACAAGGTTGCGCCAATTTATCTACAATATAGGACAAGGTCCGGATGACGCGGTGACAGGTACAGTCCGCCGTTTGATGCATGGCCTGGTCCATCAATGACCGCCAAACTGCCGAAGCAGTGGGATGCGTCAGGCATGTCCGAGGGAACCTAGTGCAGCCGCAGAAAAGGAAAAGATAAGAGACAACATTCAAGGTCGTATGCCTGCGCCTGGAAAATGTGCTCCCTTTCGGCAAAACATGTCGTGATCTTGTCCCGTAGTACTCTCGGTGAGGAACGCGCAAAGCTTGTGCGTTACGGTTGACTGGTGCTCAGCGTCCTTTAGCTTCCACGAGTTCGCCTGGACGCGGCATGCTGTGAAGCTGCGTTAGCCGATCCCATCTGTGACTGCGAATCGTAAAACGCCGATAGCGTCCGAGGGTCCTCAGGCGACCCAAGATATGGCCTATACCGGTTAAGGCATGTCAGCATTGCATCGCGGCGCAACTCCTGCAGCGTCGCAACGATCCCCAAGCTCGTGCTTATTCTTGTCCTCCCTACTATATGTTGCCAAAGCAGGCGTCCCCGTCAGCAAAATCAATTCCACCTTATCCGGTAAAATCTGGTGCGTGAAGGTTCGCTCTGGTCCTCACGCGATGAGCGACATCCAAGCTTAGGGGCGTCTGCTAGTCCATGATGGCGTTCCGTAAGCGCACGGGTACGACGCGCGCGAGCCAAATGTACGCTACGTCAGCCCAGAGTTTTGCTTGTCGTTCTCGATTCTGGGTAGTTTAACCGGGAACTGAAACACACGCGTTGCGGGTATGTACGCAAGAGGCGAACAATTTGATCTCCAGTGAGCGTAGGAAATGTTCGGACAGGCCCAAGGTTTCAATCGAGAGAGGACTCATTAGAGAGTGCCGGTGAAGGGCACGCGACATGTGGAGGTGGCTGCTTGGCAAGAGGGAAAAGCAACGACAGGGTTGCATCGTGGCGTGAAAGTCTGTGGGTGCAGGAACCTCGTCCCGTCCTTGGCTCCTCGTCTTGCCGATTTCCGAAGCTCAAAGCTCATGCTGCGACATAACGGAGAGACCGACAGGTTGAGAAACAGCATCGAGAGATGTTGTTTGCGGCTTGAGAATGCATCTGTCGCGTTGGAGGAAAAGTATCGTATTGCCACAGCGCATGTGTTTGTTGCTTGGGAAGAATTTGGCCGTTTTGTCGCAGGGGATTCAATTCGTCGCGTTGGAGAACTTGTTGCTTGGGAAGAACTTGGCCGTTTTGTCGCAGGGGATTCAATTCGTCGCGTTGGAGAACTTGTTGCTTGGGAAGAACTTGGCCGTTTTGTCGCAGGGGATTCAATTTGTCGCGTTGGAGAACTTGTTGCTTGGATGTATGTGGTGGTCGCAATGGCAATCGCTGTAATGTGGTCAGACATGTCATAATTTTTCCCTCATGAAGTCCACTGAGCTGCTGCGCCGCAATTCAGTCGACGTAAGTAATTGGGTATATTGTCATGTTCCAAAAAGTCCCCAGTGAATGCCGGGTCTGTTGGCCGTGATTCACCTCTCTTATCGTTACAAGTAACCAATCGTAACAAATCTCAACCGCCAGACCAGTACCTAGTATTTAAACATTGCGAACATCGTCCTTGATGCCACGGCGGAGGCCGATGAGCTGTATCATCTCAGTCCAGAAGCCTGTAGGCGGAGAGATGAACGAGGCCTCGTAGGCATCGATCAGGGGTGCATCCCAGACTAAGTCGACCTGCTTGGAAGGAATAATCTTCGTCTTTCTGAAGAACTTCCAGAACACGTAAAGGCAGGGGGCAACTCCGACCATGGCATAAGTCGTGAAGAAGGTGTCGTAGGTGAAGTTGCCCGGCAGGAAGACGCGGTAGCCACTAACGAAGACGACAACTATCTCGAAGGCCAAGGCGAAGTATGTCTGGTAAGGTTGGAACCAGCCGCAGTAAGGGAGAGTCTTGCGATCGATACCCTGCGCGACTGTGGCTCTGTAGAATGCAATATAGGTGATCAACATTATGATGAAGTCGATGAGACCGCTTGCCGTGAGCAGACCAACAAGCCAAGTCAGGACCTCATTACTAGCGCTGGAGACTGCTAGGAAGGACAGGAACGGGAAACACATGGTAACCGCGAAACACCAAATTGGTACACCATTCTTGGTACACTTGCGAAGGACCTTCGGGGCATGACCTTGCACAGCTAGAGAGTACAAGCTTCGGCTCGCGGCATATGTGTAGGTGTTACCCGCGGAGAAGATACTGGTGACGAGGAGGGCGTTTGTGAGATCTGGAAGAGCTGAAATACCAAGGTTCCTCATGGCGATGACATAGGGCGAAGCTGCAGCAGTACCGGCGCCAGCTCCAGAGCCATTGTTGACTTCGTCCAGCTGCTTGTCGTTGTAAGGAACGACGATTCCGGTGCAGAGGGCTCCGAGAATGAAGAAGATGCCGTATCGCCAGTAGACAGTCTTGTAAGCATTCTTGATGTAGGTTCGCGGCCGTTTGGCTTCTCCGGCAACCATTGAGATGTACTCAGGACCGACGATGCAGAAGGAAGCGGCCCACAGAGCAGCCAAGAAGCCCTCGAATCGTCCCTTGGCACCAGGCGCGAGATATTCGTGCATTGCTCCCGGGTCGCGCCAATAGCGGAAACCGTAGGCATCGTTTTTAGGGTTACCTCCAACCATTGTGATGAAGGTGAAGCAGTAAAGCATGACGATCAAGATGACTTTGCCGCCGGACAACCAGAATTCCGCTTCACCATAGGCCTGGACAGCGAGAACATTGCAAGCTCTGTACAAGAATTAGCCCTCCCCGTTACGTTTGCGCTTTTACATTGGAAGCCCAGGATGGCGACAGGAGCGTGCAATAATGCTATCTTACCCATATAGAACGATCACAGCGATAGCCACACCCCAGATGGGAATGTTGTCCCTCCAGAAACCGAGCACAGTGTGCAGGGCTGTAATCTCGAAGGGGATAAGCAGTGCTTCGTAGAGGAAGAAGTTCCAACCAGCTGTGAAGCCCAAGGCTTCATCAACCCAATGCCCCGCGAGTCGAACAAAACCACCGCTCACAGGCATGTATATGGACATCTCGGCGATACAGTTGTTGACCATGGCCATGACGAGCGAGTAGAACGTGTATGCCATGAAAAGCGAGCCGGGGCCCGCTTTGTTGAGGGCACCACCGATACTGACGAAGAGGGCAGTGCCGATGGAGCCTCCAATGGCAATCAATTGGATTTGGCGATTGCCAAGGTGACGTTGCAGCTCGTCGGAGTTGTCGCGGGTCTCACCATGTTGCACATCGTAGGCCTTCTCACCCTGGTCTTTTTCTTGGGAGGCTTCGTTGACGTAGCCGTCGTACTTCCTGGACTCGTCGATGTCCATTGTTGCAAGGGGAGTTGGCGCGTTAGGATGTAGCAGTCGCTCTTGGGGGTTGTTGCTTTGGAGTCGAGTGAGGTGCTTCACGTGGGCAAGTCGATATGTGTACAACGAGTCCAACTGTCGAGGGCAGCGGACGTGGAAGAGATGGCCGGGAGAAGGAAGCCCCGGTGAAGCCTTGCCAATTCGGTGAGAGAGAGGGACGCAGGGCGCCTTTATACGCGCACCGAGGAGGCATCGAGAGTAGGAGCGGGCGTGGAGCCTCGCTTCGGAGCTAAGGCCAGAGCGGGCCAAGCGGCTGGGCAGGCGGCCCAGAGCACGTCCAGGATGTGCCGCTGCTGAGATTTCACGCAAGTTGCCCCTCGAACCACACGAACCAACCCCGCTGCGCCCGCTCGTTGCCCCCAATCAGGCGGGGGGTGCATGCCCTCTTTTGGGCACGCCGAGCGTCGTCATGTGGCCAAGAGCCCGCTACCCGGGTGCCCGGCCGCACCAAGCCAGAGCGACAGCGACCTGCTGCACGCCGCCCGCCATTACACTCCGCCGCGCGTAATCAGGTGTCCACTTGGGGCAAAGCCAACCCGGCGCGTTTGTCGCAGCAGGCGCGTTGGGTGCTCGACAAACGGACCAGGACACGCTCCTGTGACGACCTCGCGAGCCGACGTCTTCCTCCAGAGCTGGCCGGGTCAGCGAGCGCCGTTTGCAGCCTTCGCCTCCATGGGCATCGAGCCCTGCGTTAATCCGCCTTTCACAGATACGGCTAACGCGACGGCAGCATTGTTGGGCCACCTCAGCGGGTCCGGTGTGGTTAGGCTTCTTTGTCCATTTGTCCAATCTTCGCCCGTGGATGCTTCGAACGCGGGAAGCCTAGACGACGAGCAAGTAGCCTCAGCGCGACTTTTCTTTTCCCTTTTCTGCAGTCCATCGCGGGTGCTCGCGTGCTTTGCATGGCGCTTCAGATCGAGGTATACCATACGGCTTGGACGTGTCCACCGAGGCCTGGCGGCGAAAGCGACAGGAAAGCGTGCGCGCCTGTCCGTTGCCCCTCTCAGCTCTTGCACGAAAACTTCCAGGCCACTAGGACCCCGCTGGGCGTCCCTTTGTTAGCTGTCCGGGGAATCTGTCGCTGAAAGTGTGTGCGAAATCCCGTCTATGGCATGAGTACATTTCCACGAGGGGGGAAAGGAAGACAACGAGAGCGGTGCGAAGGAGAAATGCAGGAGGTCGGATGAAGCAGGCGAGACGTCTCGTACCTACCTACCATAAACGCGCAAGCAGGAGACCGTAGAGACATCACGTGGCCATGATGGTACGTGTCGCAAACATCAACGCGACTCCGAATATTCCGAATAGTCCGCAGCTCCTTCATGGCACCCTGGCTCCATATTGTCGTACTGCAGCATTGGTTGGCCCTACCAAACGGACTACATAGCACAGTTATTCTTCGCCCGCGGCTACCATCTTCACCTGCGTGTGCGCAACTATCGATAAGCACAAGGAAAGCGCCCCGCGCGACCCCACCTACTGTCACAACACCATTGCAATTGCATCCACTTCTTCTGCTCTCGGTCTATGCATGTTGTTCACATGCCTTTTCTAACCTCAACGTTCACTTCTGCTGCTACGCCCTATCTTACCATTGCATTCTTATCCTGCATCGTCGGCGAGTTCCCTCCTCTTCTCCCTACTAGACGACTCACCACAGCGCTTCGTCCGATATAGCCCTCCGATTCCATTGGGATCCTCTTTTCTAATACGGACTCTGCGTGGAACCATCCGGCCGCTCTTTGCCCCTCATTGGTGAACACTCAAAGTTCCACACCTCCACGTGCTATTTGAATTTTGGCGCCATCAATATGTGTCGTTGGTTCGCATACGTTAGCCCCATAGAACCATGCCTGCTCTCTGATGTTCTCATCACTCCGGCGAACAGCATAAGGTACGTGTATCTGTTCAATCATGGACCAAATGCTCATTGATTCCAGCAAACAGTGCTCAGGTACGTTCATTGGTTCATCCTGCCTGGATAATTGCTTAGTAGGTAGAACACTATCTGCCTGGTCTACTTCCGCATCATAAAGAGAAAGAACTCGACCACAGCTCGAATGCTCTACTTCGAATGCGTAACTCACTCCTCAATATGGACGTACGTATGCGTGCCTCGCCAGAAGCACATGCCCGACATCTGCTAACTGGTGCTTCTATGTTCCAAGGGTTTAGGTATTGCGTGGTACACCAACTCTGCTGCATCATATATGAAGGATGTCGAGAGTTCTCGCCCGGCCCTTTACAAGTCACAGTCTCCTCCCATAAATGATTTCAACTTTCGATCACTTTGTGAAAACACCGAGACATATTGCGTATTTGCGCACATCCGAGCAAGCAGCGGCAGCACCGTGACACAAGTGAACTCTCACCCCTTCGTCTTTGGCCGCCATGTTTTCATGCACAATGGCGTCATCTCGAACTTTTCCTCCATTCGTCGGGAAATGACAGACTTGATGTCTTTTGATGCATACTGTAACGTTTTCGGAACCACCGATAGCGAGCACTCTGCCGCCTTGTACATGACAAATCTCACGAACAACGGCTCCAAGGGAACCTGGCAGCAGACATACTCTCTATCTGCAATGCTTGCCGCAATGCAGAAAACCGTCATCCAAATCATAGAGCTCCAGAAGCTCAAGTGCGACAACGTGCGGACCCCCAACTCGCTCAATTTTTGCACCACCGACGGTCACAAAATGGTGGCCATCCGCTTCCGCAACCATACCTCTCAGCAACCGCCTTCACTCTACTGGTCGGAATTTGCTGGTCGTACACTTAATACGAAGTACCCCGGCCATCCGGACTCGAAGGAGCTGGTCAATGAGCAGGCTATCTGGGGAGAGGAGAAAAGGATTGGCAAGCATACTATCATCGCGAGCGAGCCTACTACGTACGATGAGAAAGAGTGGAACCTGATTGGGAAGAACTGTGCACTGATAGTTGACGAGGAAGGGACGGAAATTGAGGTGCCGCTTCAATATGACGCTGCGTTGGACGCAGGAGATCCGGACGCAGACGATGATTAAGGCCTCGGGTCCGATCATCCGACAAAAAGCGAACCTGACTTGGCGTCAAGGCTGAGCACATACCTGCGCAGATCAGCATCATATGTTTCGTAAGGGTGCGCTGTGTATATACAATCAAATTGTTCACAGAAGACTAGAAATCAAACCTGTGGTAGCCCAACTCGGCATTATAGACACAGAAGGGACGTGATACAGGTCGACGATGTAGTTTCATCTAGATAAGCTCTCTCAGAAAGCTCGAGGGCATTTGTGCGCAAACCCTTAAAGGATAGAAGTCTTCAGAGGCACTCTATGCGCAAGGACAAGAAAGTTAATATTGGGAAGCCCTTATGATCATGTGGCTCTGCACATCTTTCGAGTCTGCATCACGTCGCAGCCTCCCTAGGAATCGCACATAGACATTATACATTATCGATGAGATTATCGTCATCCATTGATCAGCCCTACACGCCCTTTGTCTATTTCGTCTCCTCACTCCGATTGCTCTTCGCACTCTTTTGGTCCGCATCAATTTCCACCAGCTGCACAAAGCTTGCATGGTCGTTTGTTTGTGGGCGCATCGCGTGCGACACCCGCACGCTTGTCGTAACACCAATCCCATTGACGGTCCAGTTCGTGCCGAGAGTGTTTCCGTGACTGTTATTGGGACCAGTCTGCTTCGAGTTGGAGTTGACCGAGCTGCCGAGGATCTTGGGGAAGAGGCGGGCGAGGCCTAATCTAATCGAGGGCAAGCAAACACAGATGATCCCCACCTCAGTCTCGATGAGAGACCAGAGACTGGCTTCGAGATAATCCCCTGTAGGTTTTCCTTAGTCCTTGTTTCGGTGGAAGGGAGGGGAGAGATCTTACATGTCATATTCTGGGTTTTGGCAAAGTGTACGAGACTCCTCAAGCGCAAGATGGACACTACGGTTACGAAAGCTCCCACACTAAACATCAACAAGACCCCGATCTTCTTCTTTGTTGACATGTGTAGATTCCAGATCTGCGTGATTGGCAGCGCCAATGTCACGAAGTCCATGACGATTCCGATACCCGCATGTGCGAAAGCCAGGTTATTGTTGCTGACACAATGTCCTTGGTGCTCACCATCCCATTGGGTCCATGCAAAACTGATCGGAGAGCAAACGAACACTGCCGCGATAGTGCACGCAAAGGTTGCCATCAGATTGAGCGTGATACAAGACCACACGACTGTCCTGAAGCTCTTCAGAGGAAAGATCTGAAGGAAGAAAATGAGGAATGAGGTCTTCACTAGACCGATAGTGGCGAAGTAAATGTATTCACTGATCCAGAAGTACTGCACAAGGAGTCAGCATGTGCGTATATTAGTACAGCACGAAAGCAACCTACGAGGAGCGTCGATGTAATCGTTTCATCCTTGATTGTCCACATATCTCGGCCGATTCCAAGGTACGACATTCGTATGCAGCATGCGAAAAGCACGATGTTCAGAAGCTGAAGATGGATGAGCGATGCCTCACGAATCTTCAATGCGTGACTTACAAATGCCACGCCCATATTGACATTGTCAAGTATATTGGTTCTCCCCACAGTAAAATGCGTAGTATACCGCGCCGCCACCGACAAAGTGGCAAAGGTGAAGAAGACGGTGAGGATCGTACGGTAGGATTTAGACTTGTCGCGGATCGGCTCATTACATGAAGTCGACACGGCCTTGAGCGTTGCGAAGATGTCCTTTGGCTTGCATGACTTCTGGAGACAAGCCTGTATTGCTGAATCGAGGAGCGTGGTGCGACATTCGCACGTAACCTTGCCCTGACCAAGTTGTCCGAAGCAGGTATCTGTCCGAGACCCAAGGCCCTGGCATTGTTTCTGTCGAAATGTTTAGCTAGAAGTAGAACCAAATCCCAGCGAGCCTTACCATGCAATCAGGTATGCCCACGGTCTGCCGTGGCGTAAGATCGGCTTGCACCACACTCGCCAACAATGGGACAAATAGAGTACATCTGGCGAAGGGATTGATCCATCTCATGATTGAGAACGACGAAAAAGACTAACAACAAAATCCCCACGCGAAATCAACGAAACCACATCTGCCTCAGGGACACGGATACAGACATATGTACGTGGATCCCTTTATTGCGCCAGCAACTCCTACTCATGGGAACTGCAAGCCTCAAAGGCCATATGACTAGCTACCGATGGATTGGTCTAGCACGTACCTTGAGACTCCGCACCAGATGGCGTTGCTAGTCCACCCAGATTCAAATCATGATTGTCGTGATCTACAAGATCAGCTTGCGGAGGAGCCGGTATCCGTTTTAGACTTGTCGTGGCTGGCCTATCAATGTTCTGCTTGATTGTTTAAGCTTTGGCTAAGCGTGCCTTATGGGACGTGGCGGCCCTTGATGCTCATACGGAGCAGCTTCTGCATGGGAATTTCACGTCGACGAACAAGTGCAGCGATGGGACCGCGAATAAAATTGATGGCTAGAAGGTAAGGCCTCCATCCTCGTATTTTCATGTCAGACTTGACAAGCACACGAGTGGGGGGTGGATCCAGACTTCGTGCAGTAGCTTTCCGTCGAAGCGAAAGAAGGGCTTAACTGAAGACTCTATTGCGCTTGATAGGTGAGTCCAATCTGAGAATATTCCAGAGGTTGGTTAGTCTCTTGAATATCGCACATCGCAGGAACGCTCATGGCAAACTCGTTTTGGCCTGGTATTTCTGCGATCAATATAAGAAAGTTGTTGAGACGCATTCAAGTTTTGCCCATCTAGAGCTTGTGGAGACTCGAGACGAGAGTCTAGACCATCATCTGGGTCGGGTACCTGATCGACCCCAGGTACTCGCGCTACGCATGTATCGGCCCGATAGGCAGACGCACAGCGCCTCGTGCAGTCTGCCAACCTGAAATACCATTGGCAAGTCACCGGCGAAGAGTACATGACCCCCGCCGATCGCCTAGCACTACCAGAAGTGCAGCCTGTAGCTCCTTGCTTAGAAACATCTACTTCTGTACAGGTGGGTTCAGAAGGATCACGGCCCGAAGACCCTGTGTCAAGACTAACCACGGATATTTGTAAATGTAATATAGACAATGGAGCAGGGTGCTAAGACTTTTTGCAAGGCTCAAAGTCATGACTAACTCCTAGCAGCGGTCCTGACCACCCATAGTCGTGGTCGATGCTGCTCCCACTCCGCGTCGGGAATACTGTGCCGTTCGCTCCTGCGCTTTCCACTTCAAGCTCGAGATCGACTCGTAGCTTGACGTATGCGATCCCGCACTGAGGAGCTGACCATTCCAACGTCTTCTTCTCGCCCTGGCTCCATTCAAGCTGCTTCACAGGGAGTGTATTGTTGCGCAAGGGGCCGCGTACAACAATTTCATCGACCAGCTACGGCTCCATCAGCTCAATTCCTCGAAAGGACGATAGAATCGCAGGCTCGTATCAAGCCTCAAAACAAATATCGGTGTCGCACCTTTGAAGAATCGTCGATTTCATCCATCCAATACGTAAATCTCCAGCTCGCTCTCACGCCCTCATCGATTGCATAACCCGCCTCCATCGTCGTGCCATTTCTATGCATCTTCAATTTCCATGCCGCCTGATCCAGCGGCACGTCAACGGGATATGCATCGTCCTTCATCTCTCTCCACTTGAGCCGCATTTCGCAATAAGTCTTCGACTCGCGCACGCCCGCACCGACACTAGCCTCGGTGTATGGTAACGTGAACCATGCCCAGGGCGTGTGGCATCCGGGGACAAAATGCGAGCCCCAGCCCTGCTCGGTGCGCCCGTGTGTCGCATTGAAGCCTGGTGTGCTGTCGGGACAGCCTGGACCTGAGAAAGAGTCTATGTTGAAAAACCAAGTCTCCGGGCACTCTGGAGAGGGCGGTGAGACTTGTCGAGCAGAGAGGAAGTTCGGGAGAGCGGTCGTCGCTCCGACGAAGAATGCTTGGACAATTGCTCGAGTTCTCATTTCGATGCCACGGAATATCGGGGAACTTTGGTGGCGAGTTGCCGCGAGGTTGCCCTGCCGTCTTCTTAAAGAAGAGCATCACCCTGTCAACACACATCCCGTGATAGTGCGCCCAAGGCGTCGATATTGCGAAGGAGCGCATCTCGCTTCATCCAGGAAACTCCGTCGGTCCATGCGGATGCATTCCGGGCAACAGGGCGTGAAAGTATACAACATGCATGCGTCTAGACGATAGCTTAGGTACCATACTTGTGGTACCTTTGATACGGACCATATCTCGATGTTGGCCAGTTGCACAATCAAGGTCGAACGCAGAGCAGATACCCGGCACAGGATCCACCTTCACGACTAACGGGATGGTGGGGATGGCTGCAAAGTGGGTATGTTAATCTATCCCGGTGCGGGGTACACGTGCTGCCATGGTTTTCCATGCAGCAACAGCAGCCTCTAACTTCCTCGCGTCATCCTTCAAATCGAGCATCCCGGTGTTGAAAATGCCTTTCTTTGATCATGGTGCGGTACGCCTATTCTATACGTCGCACGGAGTTCCTGACGGGCCACCCATAGCCCTTATCCACGGCTGGGCCTGCGATGCGCACGACTGGAGCCACCAAATACCCTTACTCGCGTCTCTTGGCTTCCATGTGATTGCACTCGATCTTCGTGGGCATGGACGGTCGAGTGCCCCAGCGTCAGTTTTCGACTATGCCATGAAGACGTTCGCGGGTGATGTTGTTGCCTTAGTTCAACACCTTCAGACCGGCCCTGTGATTGTGATGGCGCACTCGATGGGCATGATCATCGCCTCAATTCTCGCAGTCGAGCAACCCGGAACGGTAAAGGCGCTGGTTCTTGCGCACCCGATCTATTGCGGTACACCGCCTGCTTTGGCGACCATGAGTGACGCAATGTGCAAGAACCCAAGTGCCGCGCCGGAGATGGTTGCTGAATTTTTCGAAACCCACATGTATACCGCCCAGACACCCGGCTGGCTGAGGACATGGCATATAAGACGCGTTCTTGGAACAGATGGTGCTGCGCTTGCGGGTTGTGGCCAAGCGATCGTGGATCTGTTTGAGAGCGTGGTTGGCCGCACCGAGGCGACGAAAGCGTTCATGAACAAGAGAACGGCTCCAAGGCTCGTGGTGGCTACAGATGTTATGCCAGCTGCCGTTGCGTGGGAAGAAGAAATAGGTCTCGGAACTCGGGACGAATGCCATACGCTGGATGAAGGGACTTTCAGCCACTTTGTAGATAGCGCAAGATTCAATGGCATACTGAAGGACTGGTTGGTGAAAGAGACATTTGCCAAAAAGACAGGCTGACACAAACCTCTGAACTTTTTCGCGTACTTGCGATTACCTGATCAGGGCCCGACAGCATCACAGCAACCGTGAAAGAAGCATACTATAGGTATCTCCCTGACTAGCGGTTGAGGCACCTGATGTGAAGCAAAGACCGGTATGGGTACTGGAGACTCATCACAAATGACTGTCAAAGGTGTTCCATGGTGTTTCGTCTTAGAATCTATATTCGCCTTCTTGACATAGGTATACATGTTGCTGCTTGAAGCACCTTAGGGGATGAGTGTTTCACGTGTCCTCTGGCCATCGGAGTCACCAGGGATGCGACTTCGATCATGGTTATGCTCCGACATGCGTACGGTTGCAACACTGAGGAGATAATGTCAACATGCGTCACGGCCAAGAGTGTGCGAACGGAGAGGTGTTGCCCGGGCTCGGAACCGCGACTTCCTGTGCAACAACGCTAACCGATTGTAGCAGTGACCAACAGTCATCGCTTCCCCCACACAGCTCCTCCCACTCGACCAACCCACAACACGACATGACAATGCGGTCAACTCTGTATCCGTTCGAAGTCCTGTGCATCGTCAATACCGGTCGCTTCAACTGCAGCCGCCCAGGACGCTTACTGGAGCCGTCGTGTGTGAATACGTCACTGACGCAGCCTGAGGACGGATGCTTCCTCGCAGCCCAGCCCAGCCCAGCAGTGCCACCAACCCTTATATCATCGCATCAAAGTGGCCACGGCTGCCCTGTAGCCGCCTGAAGGTCTTCTTGCGGCTGCGGTGGCTTGCAGTCGCTGAAACGCGCTGCTCGTCGCGCGGCACACGAAGCGTCTCAGACGCCGCGCCCAACCACTCGCCTTCCAGTAGGGCGAAACGAAACGCCGACGCATCTGGACGTCGATCAAGGCAGCGCCCTGGATGGTACGCTTCGTGTCGTGAGCGCGTTGAGCGTTGACGTGGAGAATGTACATCTCCACTCGATGCGCCCGTCCAACGTCTCGGCGTTTATCGTGCGACCCGCTTTTTGGCGACGTTCGACGAAAGAGACATGAGGACTAGGCGTGGATCGCGTGCGCAACGTAAAGGTTTGGCATATTCCGTTTCTTGCTGTCTTCGCGCTTCTTCCCCTCGCTCTTCTGCTCGTTGCTTGTGCCTGAGGAGTCACGCCATTATCCCTTCTTTTCGTCTTTCCGTTGATCGGCTTTTCATCTTCTGTCCTGGAGACGTCTTTTTTGTAGTTGCAGTTCTGCACTTTTTAATGTACTTGCTGGGTTTCGCTCGCATCTGTCAATTCACCATCGGCTCACGTCAAGCTTGCCTCAATGGGTCTCTATCAACGTCGAAGGCCTTCGCCAATCCAGGCATGGCCAACACGCGTTCGGCGACAGGACGGCGAAGAGAGTCCAGAGAGCTCAGGTATACCGAGCCCAGATAGCTCAGGTGTCCCGAGCCCCAGTGGTTCGAGCAGCCCAAAATCGCCCGATTCTCCAAAGTCTTCCGAGTTGGCATCGCCCACCAACTCGAGCTTTCCCAGCACTTCACTACCGCCGCCTTCGCAGACTGCAGCACCTCCTCCGCCCCGGGTCAGCTCACAGGCTACTGCTACGGCGGCGCCGCGATCGACTACTGCCTCCTCACCATTACCACCACCACCACCACCACCACCACCAACACCTCCGGTCCCGCTGTCGTCAACCGCGCTAGAGCCACCGCAGAGTTTATCTACGATTGCCCCTGCCCCTACCCTTGTCCCATCTTCAAGCGCTGAAGAGAGCACTTCGTCCAGCAGGGCTACCTCATCCGCTCCGCCCGCTCTGCCCATTCTTTCTCAATCACAGGGGCCGAATTCAACTGCCACTTCACAGTCAAGTGCCCTACCATTGATCACAGGAGCTTCGTCTTCGTTTGCTATGAAGCCTGCATCTTCACCCCCAAGTCAGACGGCCTCGTCTTCACCGTCGAGTGGCCTCCGGTCTTCAACGACGGGGTCTGCCTTTGTGCCTGCACAGTCCGAGCTTGACGGCGAAAGATCCGGCATCGGACAACACAGGAACGAAGACCATGAGAGGCCTATCTTGAGCAAAAGCGCCGAGGCAGCTGCCATAACCCTGTCTATCATGGGCTTCATCGCTCTTATCGTCGGCATTGGGATCTTTTTCAAACGTCGCCGTAGACGCCGGAACGAATACTCCATGCGCCACGCAGAAGATGCCTTCAACCCGAACAACAACGGCTCTCTACACGCACCTGAAACTGCCCACGTCATCTACGATAGCCCTCCGCCTTCGCTCGCTCATATGACCAAATCTTCTACAAGCAGTACTGGACTGTTCGCTGGCGCTCATTACGAACGCCCAGAAACCGTATCGACGAAATCGAATGGTTCACGCGTGCGTGCTGCACCCAAGATTATCCCTTCTCAACCTACGCCAAATCCTTTCGCCGACCCACCTCGGAATAAAGCCTACGATCAGCTGCGCGGACGACCACGCTCCACTACGCTAACGGATCGCGGCAGCTGGGTCAAGAACCCATTCAAAGACCCGGCGAGTGAGCGTTTCGACCCATTTGGTGAGTTGCAGGAGAAGGCACGAGCGGAGCGGAGAAAGTACGTTGAGGAGGCGCGACGAGAGGCTGAGGATAGAAGGCGAAGGGAGGAGGAGCAAGAGTATCTGGAGAAGGAAAGAATGGGACTAGAGGTGCCGGTGCGAGATGACAGGAAGGGAAGTGATGTTACGGTTGGGGGGATGGGTGTGCTTGATCGGAGTGGAGATGGCAGATGGACGTGACGAGTATATAGGTCTTGGTGGAGAGGTAGATAATGAACGAAATGTACTATACTCTGGGATATCGCAATAGCAAAGCCCCGATGCCCAACAGTATCGCGAGAACGCTACAATGAGCGTCTGTTTCGAGTACTCGCTGGTGTCGAACAAAGAAGGCAGATGGCGCATTTTCGGGAAGACTACGGTGTTAATCTACATCATAAATGGAAGTTGAAGTATAGCGATTAGGTGAATTTATTCCTCACGGAACATGCAATTCACCCACCGGAGCCGATTGGATTTGACTGATATCTTTCTATCGTGTCAGGCTGAGTGTTATCGCAAATGGATGGAGACTTCAGGATGAAGGAGAAAGCTGGGAGAGAAGAGGGGGCTAGTATCGACTACAAATCAAGTGTGCGTAAAGTCCGCTTAATCTTCATAAAAGGCAGCTTCATGACTTTTCATTCGAGCACGATTACAACGCTAACCTCCACTAATACCACCCAACCCCCCTAATAGCCATCGGACCCATCTCATCCCGCTTCTGATACGGCGTCGCACAATCCAGCCTAGCACATGTTCTACCTACATTATTACACCCCTGGATGATAAAGCAAGCCCAGCCCCTCTTACAGTCACTGTCAACATTGCAAGGCCCGCCAGGAACATTTCCCACAGTGCCAGGCCCGCCGCACGCGAAGCCACCACCAGATGGACCGGTCGGGCAGACGCACCCGTCGCCACCGCCTGCACGCTTGACGCAGCCGAGAGTGCCGCCACAGGCAGCATCGGCTTGGGGGAAGGTTTTGCCGTTCGGATTGGCGCAGGACACGGGTGTTGGGCGGGGCCCGAGTGTGGACGTTGAGGTGATAGTTTGTGTTGTTGATTGCGTTATTGTGTAGAGGGGTGTAGTTGTGGTGGTGACGGTGGATGTCGGCGTAACGGTCTGCGTGATAAGTAGACCTGGGGTCGTAGTCGATGTGATTGTTGTACTGGGTGTGAAAGTCGTGGTGCTGGACACGCCAGGAGTCGTGGTCGGCGTTTCGGTCTCAGTCGGGGTGAAAGTCTGGGTTGATAGAACGCCTGGTGTAGTTGTGACTGTGGTAGTAGTGCTGGGAGTGAGCGTGCTCGTGCTCATGATTGAGGGGGTAGTGGTAGCCTGTGGATGAGGAACAATGCACGAGCACAGGGTGGAGACGACATTGTTTGCCTCGGAGACGAGAGTGGAGAAGAGAGAGACAAGCGGGTCCTTTCTCGTAGGCGTTGCAGCAGCACGCTTCAGATTTCCGGTGAAGGATGGTTCAACGGTTGTGGTCTTTGTCGTTGTAGCAACTGTGGTAGTCGTGTAGATATATCTGTACGGCCCCTGCATTGTTCTAGTTATCCATACAGGAGCTGCTGTCTCTGTAGTGTAGTCTGTTGTTGCGTCGGCCGTAGTAGTCTCATAATACGTCGACGTATCCGCGACTTCAGTGATCGGGATAACGGTAGGATCTGCCGTGAATGTGGAAGTCACGGTCACAGCTTGCGCAGTCTCCGTTGTGTAATCCGTGGTTGGCTCCGCTGTGTTGGTAGAGGTGAAGACAACGGCTGGTAACGTCTCGGTGCTAAACACAGTCGTGGGCGCAGCGGTTCGGGTAGTGGTCTTTATTGGGTATTTGCTAATGCAGAAGGTACTTGCGGGCGGGTCTGAGTTGTCAGTTGAAACCACTTACAGTCCGTTCGCGATATCAAGATAAACAGATATCATGTGGTCACTTACAAGCTGAGAGAGGCGTCAAGAGCCCGACCAGACCGTTTCTGCATGCTGTGTCTTGAGCATTTGATATGGCCATAGCCAGTGCTGCGGCAAAGAGATACTTAGACTGCATGACTTTGATAGAGAGACACAGTGGATGACAGTCTTTATTACTTACGAGTAGTGTATCAATTGCGCACGCTCTTATATACTGTCCAGACCGAACCTTCAAACAAGTCAAGCGAAACACGCATTATCAGCAGCTCCATATTGGCGTTCGTGATGCATGCCATAATTTGCGGTCTGGACGCGCTTGGCGGCGCTCAGCTTGCTAGAGATAAGGCGTACGAAGCTTGCTGAAGCTAGTCATTCCTCTATGAGGTTGACTTTTGGATCCCAATCCACACGTGGTGTTGGGGTGGCTGGCTGCTGTCGAGGTTCTTCGTTCGATAGTGTGGAATTGGACCCTGAACAGGAGCTTTTTTGCGCTTAGAGCACCACTCGCTATGCTCTTTCGAGGTAGACATAGGGGCCCTTCGCGGATAGAGAAGACGGGAAGACAAGAACTATTTCAGCCGTGGCTTGGAGAACGACTGTATCGGGTCTGGAAAAGATGTTTTAGTGGAGTTCAATTTCCCTAGTTGGTAAGCTCTATCCGCACCCGATACAGGGTTGCTGTTGAAGCTTTTAAAGTAGACCAACTAGGTGCATACCGCTTAGAATATTATGAGTAGACTATGGGCTGTAGAACGAATCGTAGATATGATTTTACTTCATAGCGCGAAGTGGTACCTAGGTACCTCGCCTTGTGTGTCATACTCTAGACCATCACCAGCACTGTTATCGATCCTTGAGGCACCTTTGACAGTCCCATCTCGGGAGGGGTCCCTTGTGTCAGGCGCATCACGTTTTTGAAAGTCGGTGAGAAAGCCCGCGGCAAGGTGCAATATAGGGGAAGAAGCGCCGAGGACTAAAATAGTACATCGCGGGGTGACCGAATGCAAGGTACTAGGAAGCCACGAGACCTCGCCATAGCAAGCTCCATAGTCCAATCTAGACTCTTCTTCGAAAGCTGCGCGAGGTAACAGAGAAGGTGAATCTCGGCCTCGGGGGGAGAGGCATATATGGGTCGGACCGAAGAGCCTGAAAGCGAATACGGAGATTTTGCTGAACGAATTGTGCGAAACACATGCGATTTCTCTCAACTACAAAGCTCTTCTCGAAGCTGAGGAATAGAACGCAAAAGCTTATGTGGACTCTTGGGCGATGGCAATTGGATATTGAACAATAGGTCAGGTGAGGAGATTGTCGAAGGAGGCGACGATCAGAGAATCCTGATTGATGGCCATGCTGTATTTCTGCTAGGTCTTGCGTCGGCGTGCGGCACCTCGCATCGTGCCAAAACTGACGACCTGATGCGGATGGAGGAGCGGTGCAGGGTGAGCCGCATCGCGCATCCAGGCCTTCGGGCCCATTGATATAATCCACTAACCACATTAGGACAAACCCTTCTTGGCAGAGTACCCAAGCATCATTACCGATTGCAGATGCAAAGTGTCAACTACACAATAACTTGCGCCCAGTTCGCTCGTCACTGAATCTGCCTGCTATACTCTACCCCTTCCCCTGTGAAACACCGCTACGTATAGAGTATCAGCCGCGCAATCGCAGGACAACCGCCAATATGGTTTGTCTTCACATTCTTGCGTCAACACAAACAGATGCTAACATCCACACAGAACGCGCTCTTCAACTCAGCCCTCCGACAATCAACAAGCATACGAAAAGATCTGGACTTGTTCGCCGATTCGTCCACCCCCTCACCTGCTCTCCAAGGCCAGATCTCCGCAAGCCTCGCTTCATTCTCCCGTACCATCGATGACTACAGCAAACTCGCAAAACAGGAGCCCATACAAACGAAGCAGGAAAAGGCATTTGAGCGGGTCAAGAACTTCAAGGCGGAACTGAACGAGTATCGAGAGAACTTTGGGCGTATAAAGAGTGCAAATGAAGATGTGGTACGTTTCGAAAATGGCCATGGCATTCGGTCGGAGGCCTGCATGTGTTGACAATAACTAGCAAACAACGCACGCGAGAACGGAACTGCTAGGCAGACGACCACACCACGCGGCTACACCAGAAAATCCGTATGCGCAAACAAACGTAAACGCGGCTGCTGCGCAGCACTCAGCCTTCGCCGCTTCGCGACCGTACGACCCAAATTCTCCGTATACCGCAAACCCTTACTCTGCCGGTGCGCCTGTCGGTGCCGACTATTCGCGCGAGTCACATGCCTTCCGTGAGAACACTTTCATGAACAAGACTTCGGAACAGCTGGACGAATTTTTGGACAGGGGAAGGGCCGTGTTGGGCGACCTGGGACACCAGAGGGACATCCTCAAGGGGACGCAGAGAAGACTGTATAGCGTAGCGAATACGTTGGGTATCAGCGGAGACACCATACGCATGGTCGAACGAAGAGCGAAGCAAGATAAGTGGATATTCTGGGCAGGAGTTATCATCTTCTTCCTCTTCTGTTGGCTCGTGCTGCACTTCCTGCGGTAGTCCACGCCACGAGAGTCTGGAAGATGACGCTGTTCTATCTGTGTTTGATTCTTGAGCATCCGTTTGAGCGGGAGCGGCAATTGATCCGGGCTTAGCGAGGCGTCTGGCGCTTGAAAAGAGCGATAATGTTGAACTCACTGAAAGCGAAGACGTAAAATTACATGGGAAGAGTTGTTTTGGATGCAAAATCTCATGTTCATCAAGCATACTTGCTGTTGGTATCATACAGAAGAGAAGATGAAGCCTGCATGACCTCAAAACGCTTCCTTCATTCCAACGAGCAAAAGAAGGACAACCTGCGATAAAAAAGCCAGGAAGGAAAGAACGCTAAGCAAAACCATGAAGACAAATGTCTCACATTGAGTGTGTCGGGAATCCCATGTGGTTCTAGTGATACGCAAGCAGACGAGGCCCAAAAGGATCAGCCTGCACCTGCACCTCATGGACGTCCTCTTCAAGCGCCTGCTGACCGACTGCCAGCTGATTTACCTGGTCCTCAAGGAACATCATTTGCCCCCTCATATCGTCCATCTCAGCCTCGCGAAAGGTCTCCTGTGCGAATAGAGCAGGCGATGGAAACCCGCTCATAATGCCTCTTGATGCGGGCAGCGCGAGATAGTTGGGAGCCCCGATGCGCGGTACCGGTGGATAGTAAATTGGAGGCATTGTTCGAGATCGATGTCGTCCGTCTGCTCGACCCAGGCGTCGACCACGATTCCACCAATTAGGCGCGTCCTCTTCATCGTCGCTTTCTCCGCAGTAATTGTAAGGGCGATGACAGTGGGTCACGTGATTGGCCCGTCGGTTTCGACCATGGGCGAGCTGGTCCAGTGCCTCAGTCGTTGGTGCGAGATTCTTCAACTTTCCAACAGCGTGTTCCCAGTCGTTCAAGCGGTAGTGGTCATTGGAAATGATCTCGTCGGCCAATTTCTCGACAAAATGAGTAAGATAGGGCGGTATTGTGGTCGAGCCTGCCTTGCACGAAAGATAGGCCAATGTTGTAAAGTGTCTCCGTATCTTGTGCATGGCGCTGCCTTTCTCAAACATGTTCTCGAGATGCTCGTAAACGTCCCGATGGATATGCAAAGTGCTAGATTTCTGGGCCATTGCGAAGAACCATTGAAGGGGTCCGAGAGCTTGTTGCTCGGAAAGGCGGCCGTTTGACAGATGACTCACACTTCGAGCCAATCCGAGGAGGTCAATCGTTCGGTAGTGCAAAGCTATTTGTGGCAGATTGTGCCAGAGAAGAGTGTCTTTGACTCTGTACCGCGGCCGGGCTCCTCTTCCCACATGTATTTCTCTCCAGGACATCGTGCCTTCCTGATCAACCACAAACAGTAGGAGTGGAGTTCGATTTTAAAGGAGCTGACTGAAAACGGTACCAGCTGTAATCGGACAACCAGTGCTGCGCGAGTAATTGACGCTGCAGCAGCCCAGCAGAACTCTATATAACGACTCTAAGGGACTCAGCCCAACCTTCGCCTGATCATCTCGCCATGAAGTTGGGTTCCACAACGGGTGTTTGTGCTTACGTGCTGACCAAACCAGCCGCGCATCAATAAGTATGTGAGCAAACAGGTACAACTAACTGACCTCGCAGCCAGTCACTCCAATCATCAAACCTGTCGTAGCCCTGGACAACTCAATGTTGAAAACAAACTCGTAGTGTGGCTGCATCTGCTCACCGCCGATCCAGATCTTGTGTGGCAATTCGTCACACATTGGTCTGGCACCGGTAACACCGTCAAGCATTTTCCCGTGACCTAGAACACAAGCAAAAATGTACTAGATATCTCGGGGTTGTCTCTCGTCGATACCAATTTCGTATCTCGTTACTGATCCCTGTTGTCGCGTGGTTGAGGTGGCACACAGCGATCATTGAGCCACAATTCTGTCCCCACTCCATATCTCTTGAAGCGATGCCTCTTGACCATTAGAACACGTAAGTCGAATGGGTTGTGTAACAAACCATTCGGCACACATCCTCTTTTACTGAAGTTATATGCATGTGCCGTCGACTGAGCGTACACTGTGATAGCAATCTGCGTTGTAGGTTTTCCGCAAGCAAAACATCTGCAAGTCGAAATACGTGAACCTCTTTCGTGTATCGAACGAGCCGCGAACACACGTACACTGATGGTACAAGCCTGTCAGGGCTCGATTCAGGTTTTTCTCCAACGAAGACCACTGGACAGCCATCGGATCAAGGGGGCGGTCAAACTTGAATGCTAGTGATGAAAGGCCCGCGGGCTTAGGTTATGTTCAGTGTGATTGCTTCATTTCTGACGTAGAGAGCCTGAGAAGAGGGAAGTGGGATGGAAAGTGGTAATTGGGCAAACACGCCTTCCATGCTAGCCTGGCAAGTGGATCATCGGCGTGCTGAATACGCGTCACATGTGTGTGTGTTACACCACTCTCAATTCTCTATAGTAATCTTCATGTACGTGTCGACCGAGATGTGCTGCAGTGTGTGTTCGTTCAGGTACCATTGCGTGCATGGCACTTAGGCTAAGGTTTCTTGAGCGGGCTGCTTTCCACCCTCGGAGCGGCATGATCGAGTAGTGTCACTGTACACGTCAATAGGACTTTATGGCAGATGATTGGAAGGAACGAGTTTAGCAATCGTGCGAACACATACAGCGGAATACTTGTTGTCATATTTTAACGATCATACAGATTTTACAATCCATTCCAGAACGCCATCGCAAATGCTCTGTTGTCATCATAATACCTCACGCCATGTTCGCCTCACCATTCTAGACCTCCAGCGCCCCGTTCTCCGCCGGCAAGTATCATGCCAGCTTTTGCTTTCTCGCCGATACCATCCTTCAGGTGGCTGACAGCGAAGCCCTTCCTTCCCTTCTGCGAGGCCTTCAACTTCTTGTCGAGACTCTCGAACGGATCGCTTGTCTCCTCTTTCTTGATCTTAAACTTGCTTGTTCCTAGCACACTATCCAGCTCCTCCACGCTCGGCAGCTTCACATACACAAAGCCGTCCTCGCGCTCCTCGACTGGGAAGGTGGCTATGTTGACCTGCTCGTCGTTTGCGCACCGACCAGCTTCGGGACCAGAGAGCTCGTAGTTGCGCTTGTGGTATGGGCAGGACACCCAGAGCTTGTTGTTTTTGATGTCGTCGCCAATGAGGCCGTCGCTAAGGACGAAAGCACGTTTGTGCGGGCACATCTGCTGCGTGCAGTAGTACTTGCCGCGTACCTTGAAGACGGCAAGTTGTGTGTCGCCGCGCTTGACGGCTTTAGAATCGCCAGTGGGAAGGTCTCGGAATTCTTCCGCCTTGACCAGGGGTTGCCAGCTAAGGTCACCCCACTGATGGTTTTTGAAGTCTTCCTTCACTGATTCCGATGGCCAGTAGCTCGGACGTTCTTGGCCACGTTCTTTCGTCGGCTCAATCGACGGCTCGATATTTTCTGATGTGTTGGCGAATTGGTTGAACAAAGCCCTTCTCTCGGGGCTCTTCAGGACTTCTGTCCACTCACAGAAGTACGATCCGACAAGATCCTGCATTTGCTTCTCGAGGTCCGCACAAATACCGAGCTTGTCCTCCAAGATAACCTCTTGAAGGTATTTGATGCCACCAGGTAGGTTTTCCACCCATCTCGCTGTTCGCTGCAGCTTATCAGCCGTCCTGATATAGAAGGAAATATAACGATCGAGAATCGGGACGATATCGTCAGGCGGAACGTCTTTGGCAAGAAGTTCCGAATGCCTGGGTTTCGCACCTCCGTTTCCACCAACAAAGATGTTGAACCCCTTTTCGGTCGCGATAAGACCGAAGTCCTTGTTCTGTGCCTCGGCGCACTCGCGTACACAACCCGAAACACCGCCCTTGAACTTGTGGGGTGCTCGGATGGACTTGTAACGTTCCTCCAAACGTACTGCCATGCCTACACTATCGCCAACACCGAAACGACACCACGTCGTTCCTACGCAAGACTTTACTGTTCGGAGCGACTTCGCGTAAGCGTGACCAGACTCCATACCGCCATCTACCAGTTCCTGCCAGATGGCTAGAAGATCCTGCTTCTTAGCACCGAACATATCGATGCGTTGTCCACCAGTGATCTTGGTGTACAAATTGTACTTCTTGGCGACAGTTCCGATAATGATGAGTTTCTCGGGGGTGATTTCACCGCCCGCCACACGGGGTATAACACTGAACGTTCCGTTGCGCTGAATGTTCGCCAGGAAACGATCGTTGGTGTCTTGCAGTCCTCGTCTGGAGTCGTCCAACAAGTGCTTGTTAAACAAGCTCGATATGATGGAGCCGATCGCTGGTTTGCAGCCCTCGCAGCCTGTCGACTCGGGCTCCTTCCCGCACTCCTTCATCACGTCAGCGAACCCGGTGAGCTTCTTGACGTAGATGATGTTGAAGAGGTCGGCGCGTGAGTACTCGAAATGTGGGCAAAGATGGTTCTTGACTTCCTGGCCCATTGAAGCCATGGTTTTGTTGAAGATAGTTTGGACGAGAGGCATGCAGCCTCCACAACCGGTTCCGGCCTTCGTACACGACTTTACGTCGCCAATTGATTTGCAGGAGCCGTCTTTGACACCCTTCACCACATCGCCTTTGGTAACGTTGTGACATGAGCAGATCTGCGTGTCGTCGTCGCTGTAATAGGTCAGTATCTTCCTGTTGAAGGGTGAATCAACAAGCTCTTACAGGTCAGCACCATCATCATCGCCCTTTTGCGCGCCGACGATGAGCTCGCTTGGCGGCATCTCCAGCTGCTTCTGATTCTTGACCATCGGAACTAGCTTCACATAGTCCTTCGTGTCGCCAATCATCATGCCACCTAGTAGGTACTTCCCATCCATCGTAAAGAGATATTTCTTGTACACCTGTTGGAAAGGATCCTTGTAGGTGAGGGCTTTGACAGGAGGAGGAGCTGGTCCATCAGTCAAACTCTTGACCTTATCTCTTGGTCCGCTCTCACCGTCTTTCTTCGCTGTTCGTCTCCCGGGCATGTCCTTGGGTCCGTCGCGATCAGCGAAGAAGTCGCCGAAGCTGGCTACTTCCACACCCAGTAACTTCAGTTTCGTGCTCAGGTCTGGTCGCTTGAATTTGCGAGGTGTGTGTGCTTTGGCTTGTGTAAGGTTGAATGCAAGGACATCTGCCATTTCGACGCCCGGAGCGATCAGACCGAAGGTCTGGTTTTCCCAGCTTGCGCATTCGCCAATTGCGTAAATGTGCTTGGTAGAGGTCGATAGATCGGGTGCGACTACGATCCCACCGCCGCGATCAGCGCACTTGATCCCCGTCTTTCGGGCAAGCTCGTCGCGTGCTCGAATGCCAATCTGCGATTGTTAGTGCCTGCGTTATGTCGATGATGTATAGACTCACAGCAAAGCAGATAGTGGTGCATTCCATGTGCTCTCCATCCTCGAATACAACGCCTTTCACAAAGCCCTCCTCATCGACTTCGATCTTACCCACTCGCTTAGAGAGCATGACATCTAGGCCCAATGCTCTGACTTGCTCGACAACCATGCCTCCTGCATCAGCATCCAACTGCCTGCTCAATACCCACCGATTCCTCTCGATGAGTTTTACTTTGCCAAAATCTTCGAGGTCCATCATCGCTTTTGCGGCTTCCAAGCCAAGCAAACCGCCTCCTACTGTGATACCAGTGGTGCCCTTGCGCGTCGCAGCGAATTCAATGAGCCGCTGAAGGTCATCGATCGTTCGGTATACGAAAACGCCTTTTGCATCGTGCCCAGGTGTGTGCTTAGGAAGTAGCGCATCGGAGCCGGTCGCAAGAACGAGGACGTCATATGGTACAGCTTCACCGCTTGATGTCTTGACTTCCTTCCTTTCCGAGTCGATTTCGGTAACGAGTGTGTTGAGGTGGTAACTGAGTGAACCTTCGGGCATCGAAGAGTACTGAAGTGTATGAGCATTGGTTTTTTCGGAGCAGACACTCTGGGGCAACTCACCCAGTCTTTCGGGTTAAGATACAAGTTCTCGACCTCGCGGTGCTGGAAGAAGCTGGTCAAGCCCACACGGTTGTAGGCGAGGTGTGGCTCCTCGCCAATCACCACGACATCGTACTCTCTTCGCTTGACGTCGTATTTGAGTAGTTTCTCGCTGCCGCAAACGTTAGCACACATTGCTCAGACTTTGTCGCATTTCGAGTATTTCCTTACATAAATGCAATGCCCACCATGCCCAATCCCACAACAACTATCCTTTTCCTCTTAGCCTCATTAGCTTCTGTACCGTTCTCCCTCTGCGCTTCTTCCACCCGTTCGGGCAATGTATTCACTTCCGGATCGTTCAACTGTCCAACGGGCAGTTTCGCATCTTTCGCCTCTTTCTCGCCCCAGGTTGGGTTGTGTGGTGGTGATTCGGGAGGAGAATGTGATTGCATGCTCGAAGGCTCAAGACCAGGCGTGTGAATAGGTTCAGTTTCCTCCATGTTTCCTCACGCTGTCGTATCTTGCAAATCCTCGCAAGTAGTAAATGCGAAAACCCACAATGAAGAGGTCAAGCGCGTAACAAGCGATTGCTCGCCGATGGGTATAGAACTCAAGACGAAGGGCGAAGGAAGAAGTTCAAGCGAGCATGGAAGATCAGATCAGAAGAAGGTAGGACATGGAAAGATGCAGACTACCTGACATCTCCACCAGTTCTCCGGGCCACCAAACCACCCATCCCTCTGGACATCAAAGATAGACAACCCACCTTACATCAAGCCACCTCAGACTACAACATGGCCCCTCAATCGGCCAACCACAGCCCCTCCATTGCCAAACGCGCTCACACTGGTACAGAGATAACACAACCACACTGGGCACCGAATCACTAGCGCCCGCTTCAAGAAGGCCCGCGGAAGCGCAGCGCAGCGGAGAAACGTCAAAAAGTGCTTGACAATTCGAACGTACATGATTGTTTTCTCCGGGGAAATCCAGCGATCCTGATAAGGCACGCGCGTTTTGTTTGGCGGCAAGAGCTCGGCAAAGATAAGGTGCCGGGCTGGATCGGAGCAGGGATCATCTAGTGCGCGTGTGGAATGTGTACCGTCTGGACGGAGATGCAAGGCGGGGACGGGCTTTCTCCGGATCGGTGATCGAGGTGTAGCAACAACAGAGATAGTAGACAGTAGCTGCGCGCAAAGCGACCTCCGCAGGACGGACCCTGGTGTGATAGTTGCAAGCCCAATGATCACGTGGCTGGGGGCGTTCCAAGGTTGGAACCCTGGAACCTTGGAAGTTCTCCTGCATCACGTCCCCTCCCGCAGCGCGAACGAAGCCTTGAATGAAAACGGTGCTGTTATAGGATTTGTGTGCGTGATGAGGAAATCCTGCAGATCCGTTTCCTGTCCTTCGTCGCCTCGTAGACTTCGTCCCGATAGGGTGACCCAAAACTCAGCTCCAGGACTCCAAACCTGCCCTACCCGCTAAGCAAATATCAACTTCGAAACTATAGTACACACCCTTCGCTATTTTCTTAGAAGAACAGAAGATCCTCCTCTTTCCATCCTTGTTCCACAAGCGCCTCATGTGTTGCTTTTTCCAGCGGTCCGGGTCCACACACCAGCACTAAGCTCTCCCCATCCGCCCCCCTTACACAATGTTGTTTCAAAAGCGGCGCTCCAATCCTCCCTCTCAGTCCAGTCCAGTCTTCTGGCCCCTTGGTTAATGTATACAACAACTTGCACCTATCCACATTATCCCTCGCAAACACATCCAAGTCTTCTTTACAAAGGATATCTTCAACGAGACGGTTTCCATCCAACACGACACACGTCGTAGGATCGCTCTTATCTTGCATGACAGCGCGCAGCACTTGGAAAATAGGCGTAATCCCCGACCCTCCACAGATCATGAAGAACCGCTTGATGTGCCGCCGTCTTCCATTAATGAGACAGTCGCCTTTACCCACGTATTCAAACTTGCCGATCGGACCTTTCATCTCCACAAAATGGCCCGTGGGAATCGCATCAAGTGCTTTGGTCATCTTGCCGCCTGGTTGCTCTTCCGTGCCGTGATATACTTTGATGAGTACGTCGATGTAGCCGCGCTTGGTCGTCTCCGATATGGGGGTGTAGGAGCGGATAATGGATTCGCGGGTTACGGGGTCTTTGAGCCGGATCATGAGGTGTTGGCCTGTGGGTAGGCCGAGCGCTTGGTCGTTGTGCTCGAGCTTGAAGGTGAAGATGCGGGTGTCCCAGGACACCCTGGTCTTGGAGTGCAAGAGAGACTTGGTCCAGACGCGGCTGTCGAGGAAGACAGGACGGGGTTCTGTGGATTCAGCCGTCGGTTCGCCTTCAGCGAGGATGCGGCGAGCCTCTTCGTCGAGGATGCCAATGTGGTAATCTGGCATCATTGCTTTCGCGGTCTCACTGTCTGCTTCCTGTCAGTGAGATGCAAGCTGTACCGGATTTGAGACTTACGGATCGCCATGAACTCATCAGTGCTGTCCAGACCAGCTGCACTGATGATACTCTGAGCTCCACCTGGATGACCCTCTAAGAACGGTTTTCCATTGTACACCTCGCCATTTACGACGAACCATGGACTTTCGGAATTATTGTGTGCCCTGAACTCATCGATCGTAATCTCATTCTTTAGCCCATCTTTCGTCATCTTGATCTCCTTCGGCGCCTCCACCTGCACGGCATCCGCCTGCTCGCCCTCGATCCTCTCACCCCAGTACCCGTTGGCAAGATTTCCTCCTGCCTTTTTAACGCGCTCCATCCAGCCCCCAGGCATCAATGCTGGTTGAGTAGGGTGCTCGAAGCGCAGAACACCACGCTCGTTGTGAATGGCGACGCGGAACCAGGGGTTATTCATCATACCGAGGACGGACCAGTACATATCCCTTGGCTGGACATTCATGCTCTCATCCATAGCTCTCACAATGATATCCTTCGCCTCTTTCAGCTCTTCGACCAAGATGTTCAGTTTCCAGAAGCACCAACAGAAGCACGTTTCCCGCCAGTCCATGTCTAGCCGTCCACCAAAAAGTTGCTTGTCTTCGAAATCGCGGTACTTGTCTTCTGCATACTCGATGTTACCGAACCTCCAGCTCTTTCCTTGGTCGAGAGATATCTGCACGCGTGTTATGCGGCGACCACCGCCGCTGTAGGCATAGCCTTGCACATTGTAGTACTCTGGTGCAGTGGCCAGTTCGAGCCTTTCATCGTGTGCTGGGACTGCAGTAACCGAGTTGGGGCTAAGATCGTAGATCGCATAGCGTTCATCCATCCACCAGTCCTTGTTCTTTGCTGCCTCGTCTGGGTCGACCATTGTGCTACCAACGTCAGCAATCGCCCCCGTGTCACAACAAGAGGACCTACGGAAGCACCCTGTTATCGTAGATGTGATACCAGTTATCGCTTGGCTCAGCAGTAATGATCAGCTTCTTCAGCCACTTCACGCTGCGGCCACCGATCTGACCTGGTATTACTGCTCGCAGTGGTTTCCCATGGTCCGGTGTGAGGGGCTCTCCATTCATTCCATGAGCGAGCATAATACCCCGATTAGGATCCATGGCCCAGTTGAGCTTGACGGAAGTGCCGTAGTAGCCGTTGGGCTGTCTGGTGTTAGATCTGCATTGTATCATAGGAACGTCGACCGACCAGCTTATCTGCACCCTCCATACACACATACCGCGCTTTCCTCAATGGCTTAGCTCTTTCTAGAACATCTCTCATGACGACGCCAGTAAACAGAGCTGTCGACACCCCAGCGGGGCCCCAGGAGAACCCTTTGGATTTGCGGACGACATTCTGCTCTTTCCTCCTATTGCCTGCACAAACGAGGGTAATGGGGCAGGTGACATTTTCATAGTTTGAGAGTAATTCTTTCAGTTTGATTTTTAAGGGGTTGGCAACGAGTCTGGAGCGGCTGTAAGTGATGATCATTCAACCACGAAAGCGCTGTCGGACTACGTACCCTTCGACAGAAAATTCCCAATCAGGGATGTCTTCGTCCTGAACTTCTGGTACTGGACCATGATTTCTCACATAGAATAGCTCTGGTGAAGTCAAGAAACCTTCCTTGAACAACTCTGTTAGAGTCGCTTCGCAGTTGAAAGGGTGAACACCGGTCAGCCGTATTAACCGAGGGTCTCTTGATACATGTGAATCTGGCGTTGGCTTGTCGACATCCAATACTTGTGTGGGTGCCGTTGAAGGTGGTGGCAGTGGGACGTTCAGCTGCTCTTTGTGGTTGTCTATTGACTGAACCGACTTTGCATCTTCGCCGTCAACGATTGTCTCTGGAGGTGTTGGTGGAAACTCGACACTCTTCCTCAACTGGACTGTCTGGGCCTGTACGGTTGTGGTCATATTGCGCACCGGGGCATGTGATGAGAAGTGAAGGAATCGCTATGAACCGAATGCGGGGTATATTAGAACAAGGAAAGACTGTTGATCGAGATATGTGAAAAAGGTGGCGCTCTGGAGGGTATGACTAGGCTGACACGGATTGACGAGGTGGGTGTAGTAGTGTAACGAAGAAGTGGCGCTGGCCAACAGAAGACAAGAGGGTATGGACCTATGCGTCAAGCATGGATGTTAGCAGACGATTACTACTCGTTGCTGTGTTTCGTAATGGCGGCGATGACCAGCCTGTGCGCCGGAGAAGATGGATCACAGTGACTTGGTTCGGCACACCAACAACGCTCTGATCAGGTGCCGAATCGTGGAGAAGGCTGTCCATGGATTCCGTCATCATGCCTGCATCTGCATACGATCTCCCACAGATAATGCATGCTTATCTCTCGGCACTAAGCGATCCACTCCGGGTCTAGTGCCGTGGGCTGCCGGAAACGTCGAGCGACTCCACGGAACGTTTCGGCGCCTATCAAAGAAGAGTTTGCAGTGCGTTGTGGAACCATCGTCCGGTTCGCAAAAGCCCCCACGGCTCAGATGGAGGCTGTCTCCGTGGACACGGAAATGCAAGCAATGCAGGATTCGGGAGACAAGACAGTCTGGAACTCTGAAGGCTATGAGCAGGTTTGGGTAACATTGGATTTGCCACAAGTATGCTTCGACTCGCTCCCGACCAGACACCCTCTCCGCGACGTTTGCTTTGTTTTGCCGTTCCTCGCCACGTTGTGCGATGCATCTCGATCACGATCTGCGATGCGGGTTTGGGGGCAGCCTGTTCAGGTGGTAGCACTCGAGCACCAGTGCGTCTGCGCACGCTGAATCGCCCCGTCGTGAACAAGCATGTGCTCTCCGCCGAGCGACATCTACGGAGAAAGGGAGCATATCCATTGTGCAAGGACTAGCAGAAACGATAAATTGTATAACATCCTGAGAGATAAGGACGAGGTGGAGTGTAGTTGCTCGGCGGAGAAACGCTCGCTCCGTTGTGCTGTTGCATCTCCGCGGGCAGGCACGACCGGTGGGTTGGTGCCGAGAGCAGCAGCGGGTCCTGCCGGGAACAACATTGCCTTGACAGTATCCCAGGGAACATTTCATGTAGGGCTACCTCAAATCCCTGAGCAGTAGCCGATGACCACCATTGAAACCTCCTTTAAAACATGTACCATCTTGGTCTTCAAGTTTTGCTAGGAATGCTCTCAAACTGGGGTGGCGCTTTGCCTGCATCTATACCATCGTTTTCGTACAATCCTGCCAGTGAAAGAAATAAAATAAAAACAATTTGTGAAGGCACGTTAGCGATTGATGCTCACGAGCGCAGCTCCAAAGCACATGTCACCATAGCATACTCCTCTATGTCCTTTCGAAATCGTCAATGTACTTCTTCCTCCCTAGGACCATGCCTTCGTCCTGCCCACTCAGCTGGACCCCGTCCTCGTCAATGATCCTTACTAGGCTGGGCCATACTACAATCTCCTGAGTCGTAAGTCTGATGGAAGACGTAGCCGCGACGCCTATACTTGCGATGCTTGACGCCGTGTCTGGGTCAAGCTCCGTCTCCGTCTTGCCATGCGCCACCGCACGCTCAGAACGCCAATCGAACCTCCAAAAACAAGGCTGACCGAACAGCGTGAATGCGAAGGAAGCGCCGTGTCTCAGAACATCTCTCAGGTCGTCAAGACGCGCGTTCTTGCCGTGGCCCGCGTCGTCGGGCAAAGCGTATGTTGCGATCAGAGGATTCAGGTCTTTCAACGCGCGCTCGATGTTCACGGTGCGCGCATCGAAAAACGAGAATGCGTTTGCAATGTAGGCGGTATGGCATAAGGCGAAGCTTATCTGCTTCCAGCGGGACAGCAGCGCCAAGTTCACAGGGCTCGTTTCGTCTTTCCCAAGCGTGACTGCTCCTGTTCCAAGAGAGAAGCTTTGGAAGCATTCCACGATTTCCGGCGGGAGTAAGGTGCTGCCGGGGCTATTGCTAATTCCTGATTTCAACAGAAGGCTTCGACTCAGGATCGTCCACGCGATGCACATAGCTAACGTTGCTATCCTTGTGTTTGCGTCACCGAGAAGTCCCAGAATCTGCGGCCATGGAAGAACTATGCCGGTGCTGGCGTGTTCAATGTCGGTTTGCGAGATTCGCTGTTCGACATCGTGGGGTGAGTAAAATTTGCGGATGTGAGCGACGATAACATCATGGAGACCAGAAAATTGCTTCGAAAGTTCCGCATTCGGCAGTGGTTCATCCATTCCTGAGGTGGACGGAGCCCGTGAAGGAGGTGACGGGGTCGACACCAAAGGTACTCGCGGCGGGAGGGCGGACCGGAAATCCGAGTCTTCGGATGAAGCTTTGTGTGGCTTGAATTTGCGAAGCAAAGTCATACGGTGAGACTTGCTCCGTTCCCTTGCTTGAGAAACAAGAACCGGGGTCCCTTGAAGGTCCGCCATGGGCAAAAGATGATTCCCCGACAGCGCAGTATTGAGCCTTCCTGAAGGGATAATTGACGACAACATCTCATATCTGTCGACCCAGTGCGTGCGATGTATCTTTTGCGCAGGAATTCATGGCCGCTAAGTACTTCACGTTCGTCTCCGATATGCTGGAAGTTTCAATTAAGTGATCCAATCTCACATTCCAGTGTTTCGGTAACATTTGCATGAGGATTGCTTCGAGAAGCTACTCGCTTCCGAACGCAGAGGATTCCACTTCGGGCACGTGGTTCTGAAACAGAGAATGAAAGGAACCGGTAACCTGGAACCCTACTACAGATATGGGGACTTTGCAGCTGAACGCGACAGTGATATTTGAGACCCATGCTATTTTCGGATCGCCGCAATAAAGGAAGCTGAACGTTGTAGGGTTGGTTACTTCACTTGGAGAGTCCTCGGAAGGTGTCCGCGGACAAGGGACCAATCCGTATCTCGCCCTGAAGTCGACCTTGCAGCGATCTGGCTCTTTCTTGTATTTTCAAGGCGTTCTTTTGCTTGGCATGCGCTTTCTTGAATCTACCTTTCGTCCCATGTTTGATTCTTGTGATCATGTCCCCGGCCTTTCCTTTGGTAAGGTCCTTCGGTTTCAAGTGATCTTCTTCCGGACGAAATTTGTTCAAAAAGTCAACTTGTGTCTGAGACGCTTGGCTTCGGCGCCAGAGTTGGTTTTCGGAAATCCATATGAACTCGAAGGCTTCTGCGGCGAAAGTGTCTGCCGCATGAACGACATGTTCGAAGGTGTCACCTTCTGCGACGACCTTGGGGGTGGCGTAGGGGCTTTTAGATTGGACACCTGACGGGAGTTTCCGGTAGTGCTTTACACGGAAAGACTGACCATCTTCACCGGTAGGTTCAATGGCGAGGTAGTGACCGCCATTGGTAGACAGAACAAACCTATCCTCACCGACGGCGACCCAAGCGAACTCGCTCATTCGTCGTATTACATTATCGCTCGAGGTATCTGCGATCAGGTCATGCACGGAATCGTAATCGGTGAAGGTAATGGAACCGGAAGGCTTCGCTGAAAGAGATCTTGCAGCGATGTCAGCTGCTTCTTTCTCTCGCTTGCTCTCCCCTTCTTTCCGTTCTTTCAGCGCCATCAAATCTTTAGTGCTAGCCTTCTCGATAATCTCATCAGGGTCAAGACCGAACAATGTTGGCGTAGAGATGACGCCAGTGCTCAGAGCTGAAACCATGTCTATAATGTGACAATTTTCTTTGCCAGGATGCAAGCGCATGCCTCGTCCAATCATTTGCACTAGCAGGTTACGCGACTTGGTAGGTCGTGCCAGCAGGACGCAGTCGATGTTGGGAATATCTGTACCTTCTGTGAAGACACCGCAGTTGAGCAGTACTGGGAAATTTCCTCTTTTGAATGCATCAACCCTAGCACTACGGATCCGGCTTGGGGTATCGCCAGTCACGAATTCGGCGGCGATACCATACTGGCGAAATTTGGCAGTTAAATTTGTAACATGACTGAGGTCGACGCAGAAGACGATGGTGGAATTACGTCCTTTCGCTTTGGCCAGCCACGCTTTGATCAGGAGATCGTTGGTGTGTTCAGTATTGATGGCGCGTGACAGGGCAGCGGTTTTGAAGTCGCCATTTGCAGTAGTGCTCACTCTGTTCAGATCCGCCTTGATTTCGACTGTGGTGAAGACGACGTCGGAAAGCCAATTCTCCTCGATCATGTCCACGTAATCCCTGTCAGAATCAGCGACTCAACCGATGCAATGTTACCTGAACACGCACCTGTGGTATACTATATGATCAATGACTGTGCCAAGCTTGCGGCCATCGAATCTTGAAAAGGTTGCAGAGACACCGACGAGGGCAGGGACCGAGACCTTGTTCCAGTCGGCAGCATGACGCAAGCCAAAGTGCTTGAGCAGGTCGAGATACTGCTGGCTCACTATGTGATGGGCTTCGTCGACCAGTACCAGCTTGTATCGAGCTGGATCAAATTTGACGACCCTGTCACCCGACATGATGCTCTGTATAGAGGCGACGGTGATGTCGGCGGCCCCAGATGCATGGTTGTTGCCCATCTCAATGTCAACGTGCTTGTCGGGGTATGCGAGGGCGCAGTGACGGGCGGCTTGTTCCACCAGCTCGCGGCGGTGGGCCAATATAAGCGCTTGGGAGGCATCTCCGCTGGCGGGGAGTCTGTCAATGAGGTGGGTGAAAATGACCTAAATGGTGGTCAGACATGTGTCGAGTGCTTCCATGGTTGCACGTACTGTCTTGCCGGATCCGGTGGCCAGCGAGACGCCCAGTCTCTTGTGGCCCTTTGCGAGGTAGGCCAACACCGACTGGATGCATTCTTCCTGGTACTCGCGCAACGTGATCTTCAGCGGCGAGGAGGGCAGCGGCTGGGGTGCAGCTGCGGCAGACGCGACTTTGGGATCCGTTGATGCGCATCTACGAGTGGCAGCTCGAGCGACGGCTGCGAAAACCGGGCGCCTGAGTGTACACAACGCATGTTGGGGAAAGCGAAACATCAAGCGATGACGAGGGCAGCCGCGTCGGAGGAGCGAAAGTTGCGCCCTGTCACGACTCACTATCGATAACGCGCGGCCGAGGCACCTCCGGCTTGGCGCCCGCAGCGCGACGCGACCAAGACTTCACCGTGCCACAGAGATGCATCGTACACAATGACGCCCTGTTCGCTGCCATCTTCTCGCGCCAACCTTGGGGCCGCCGCTGGCACCCATACCTTCCTACAGCGCCCCACTGGCCCACTGGGAGCTGGAGTGTTGTCCCGGGATAGCTAATTATCCCTACTCAAAACTCCAATTGCATGGGCCACAATGAGTTCCTCTGACCACGCCGATTCCGACTGGAAGTATTCTCGCCAGCCTGCACCGCCTGTCTCACCGCGCAAACGTCGCAGGTCCTCCTCAGCCGATTCAGGTCGACGGCGTAAGCGTACCGCCTCGACCGCACCGTACAACGATGCGTACCGTCTCTTGTACAATGATTTTGTGCAAGCCATCACAGGCAGCCAGGACGTTTCTAGGACGCCAAACTTCAGGGCGTCCCAATTGGGTGTGACGGTGTGGACACCAAGCGAAAAGGAAGCTTTCTTTAGTGCTCTGGAGAGACTAGGCCAGGATGATCTGCCCGGCATAGCCTCTGCCGTTGGGTCTAAGAGCATCTTAGAGACGCGCCAATTCTTGTTACTCCTCGACGATGCGAAGCTCGATCGCGCTGGCAAGCGGGACATTTCACTTCAAGATATCCCAGCCGCCTCAGAGATCGGAGTCGTGTGCGAACGCCAACTTGATGCAGCAGGTGACACTCTCGCCTTCATGCAGGAGCGCTTCGAAGCGACTCAGGAGCAGAAGCGGTACGGCGAGCACTGGCTCCTCACTCCTGAATTGGCCGACGAAATTGAGGTGGCTGCAAAATGTCTACGTGCGTCCGTACCTGTTGAGAGTGGAGACGATGAGGATCGCCTGGATGCAGCGAGTGATCCACCGTTACTTCAGGAGATACCTGAAGCGAAGCTCATTGTCCCTAAGTCATTGCTCGAGCTGTCGCGGAATCTGTTCATGAATCCGTCTCCCGATACGGCTTACCCTTGGCCGAACTGGCAGGATCTGGCATCTGATATAGCCGTTGAGCCTTGCATGTACCGCACAGCTTTTCGTGATTTTCATACCTTGGTATTATCGTTAACCAAGCGTATCATGCAAATTGCACTTATTCAAGCAACATCTAGAGTACGTGCCCAAGGCTGGCGCGTTAAGAAGGGTGTCAAGCTTTTCGTGAGATCGAGGGATGTCTACACGGCAGTAGATCTATTGGGCGTAAAGGGGAGTCGAAGGCAGTTTTTTCGAGACGTCCCAAGACGCTGCAGACTGAGGGTCACAGACGGGAGGTATAGAAAAACTCGAAGCCTCCGCTGGGATGAAGTCGAACACATTCTCGATGCGGCAGAGAACAAATCGACACCTGCGGACTCAGACACGGATGCGGAAAGCCGCGATGCAGAAGCCGAACAAACAAAATTCAAGTTCAGGGCTGCCCGCAGTGGAACGCCCATGCCTCCTGCTAGGCAATCTAGTCCTGAGGACTCTCTAGACCTAGATGCGGACGCCAATTCCGAGTCACTTGTGGAGGATACGGATTCCGACGGCTACCAACCCTTAGATGATTCATTGGAGACTTCCGACGCGCCTGTTGAAAGAGACGAAGGGTCAAATTATGACTCAACTGAGGACGAACTCGAAGGAACGGAAGAGTTCGATCAAGAAATGAGTCGGCTAGAGGAACGTAGACTGTGGTCTATCCTAGGCGACGTTTCTCCTGGAGATCAGGACTCCAAGCCAGAATCGCCTTCTGAACGACCGATTCGCAGGATTCCACGTCGAAGGAACATGGCAGATAGCGACAATTGGCGAATCTGGACCCAGTATCAACCCGTACGCGAGCAGACGCGCACTAGGATTCCCGTAGCCAGCTTTCTTGCAAATCGGAAGTCACCCAGTCCGTCCCGAGATTGGAATCCAGCTACAGACTATGGGACAGACTATGGTACCGAAACGGGTGTGTCATCAGGAGGGGACCGCAAGTCGAGAAAGAGACCATCTAAGCGTACTGTTCAAGAACTACCTCTTCGGGATGCTCGATCCTATGCTGCTTTGCGAAGCAGACAATCCCGATCTGCAGAGCGTGAGACCGAGTTGGATATCACTGAGAACGAAGCCGAGATTCCTACGCAGTCGATTGAAGATGTCAATGGGGGCGCTTTCGCAACGTCGCTTGTGGAGGAAGACGCAGAGAATGCGATGCAATGGAGTTGAAACTCTGTCACCAGGACAGTATTCGTATACAAGTCTGAGTGCAGTGTCGCCGGAAGATCTGCAATCCAACGATAAACGTACTCTAGGCTCTTGCTCGCAGCTATGCACATATTCCCATTAGCTTAACAGAGAATAGACTCACCAGAAAAACAATATGACGAAGCGTGCAGTACTCGTCAGTCAAAGCGTCATGATGTTTATCTTCGTGTGCCCAGGTTTTAGCACCTTCCATATCGAGTAACAACCCTCCCGGTCGATGCAAGCACGATAGTATGCGCGCTACAGATGCCGAGCCGCGGACAAGGCAAATTTCAATGGCAATACCGTATCCAAGGGACGACCCCTCACAAACCATGCCGGCGTCTAACTGGTATCGGAAACTCCGTATCCTTCACCCAACCGTCGTATGCCGTCATCGGAAGCTTGTTTCCTCGACGCCTTCTTAAGCATGGTACCACCGCAGCATTAAGTCCCGAATAGCTTCGTGTATTCGCCGCTATGCGTATTTCTACATTATCGTCCGCCACATTGCTGGCAACGGCATACGCTCACGAGCTGCTCTTTGAGCGTGAACTGCCTCCTGCGGTAGCCCTCAACCCAGACAACTACGCTTCATGCGCGAATGCCGCATGGCCTCCCACAACCCCAGAAGTTGGAGTAGAGCTCATCCCGCAAGCTCCTACCGACGAGCTCAAAGCGCTTTTAGACGAAGTCAGCTCCGCCAAAATCGAAGCCACAATCGAGAAGCTGGTTTCCTTCGGCACTCGTCATACGTTATCTACGCAGAACAGTAGCACCCGTGGCATCGGCGCAGCACGCGACTGGATTGCGTCTGAGATGAGGAAGTACGCCGAAGAGTCGGATGGGAGAATGACTGTTACGGTGCCTGGATACATTCAAGGCGTTGCGACCAGGATCCCGTTTCCGGTCAAAATCTCGAATGTGCTGGCGACTATCAAGGGGTCGGCTACACCGGAGAGGGTGTATGTGATGACGGGGCATTATGACAGTCGAGTCACAGACATCCTGGACTACACGTCTGATGCTCCAGGTGCGAATGATGATGCTAGTGGGACAGCAATTGCCCTAGAACTAGCACGCGTTCTAGCGAAAGCAAAGCCCAGGTCAACTATCATCCTTGGTGCCGTAGCCGGCGAAGAACAATCTCTCTACGGTTCTACATTCCTAGCGCAGACCCTGAAAAACGCATCCACAAACGTAGAAGGCATGCTTAACTGCGACATCGTCGGCTCTTCGACCGGTGACCGTGGCCAGAAAGACCCTTACACAATCCGCGCCTTCGCACAAGGCCCGCCCTCGTATGAAACCACCACCGTTGCAGCGCAGCGTCTGCAAATCGGCGGGGAAAACGACTCGCCTGCTCGAGAACTTGCGCGCTTTTCTGCCGAGGTTGCCGCAAACGATGCCACGGGCATGAATATAGCCATCATCTATCGACTCGATCGGTTCTTGCGAGGCGGCGACCACAGGCCCTTCCTAGACGCGGGATACTCAGCCATCCGCTTCACGGAGCCGAACGAGAACTTCGACCACCAACATCAAAATACCCGTGTCCAAAATGGCACACAATACGGCGATCTTATCGAGTTCGTAGACTTCGAGTACACCGCTCGTGTGGGTAAAGTGAATCTCGCCACGCTGTGGTCTCTATCTCAAGCACCTGGATATCCCCGTAATGTCACTCTTGACACTACTGCACTCGATAATAATACGAGATTGAAGTGGGTGGTACCTGATGATGCGGATTTGAAGAGCTATGAAGTCGTCTGGAGGTCTACGACAGCGAGTGTCTGGACGCATGTTTTGGATGTTGGCAAGGTGGGGAGTGTAACTATCCCGCTCAGCAAAGACAACGTGATCTTTGGTGTCAGAGCAGTGGGTACGAATGGTTTTAAGAGTACGGCGACGTATCCGTTTCCTGCTGCGACGTAAGAAGGCAGGGTCCAAGTAATCTCTGCTCGTCATGAGTACTGTCTCGGCTCGATCGAACACAGATCGAACACAGAGCGTCCTATCGTACTGAAAGGCGTCTGAGAAGGGACAAATGGAGGTATTGCTGTTTTCTTCCTGAGTGATTTTGCCGAACGGTTGAGGTTCATGTCCTGTAATCAAACGCATGCAGTGAAATGTATGACTGGTAATTACGACGACTTGGTTCTGGTTTCTACTCACGCACAACGCCCGCATCGTAGAACTAGTTCACGATGTCATCAATTGGGACCAAGAACAAAAGGAAGACGTCGAAAGGCAGGCCGGGCAAGAATCCCCGGTTCAATGATACATTTACGGAAATACGAGAGTGAAGCTTTCATCCTTCAGTAGAAATACTATTGTAGACAAAGCTATGTTCACTATAGAGATTATTGTTTAGCTCTATACCCAGCTATATGCAACGCCATGATGCTGTAAAACCCTAGCCAAAAAGATGCTCAATTATGCGGGTATGCTCCGGTCTAAACTTTGTCCCAAGCTCATCTCATAATACATTCCCCTTCTGCCCAGTAATTCTTTATGCGTGCCCAACTCTGCTATTCTTCCTCTGGAAAAGACCACTATCGCATCAGCATCCTTGATAGTGCTTAGACGATGCGCGACGGCGATGGTGGTCCTTCCGCTCTTCGCTTTCTCAAGTGCGGCCTGTACAATCTTCTCGGATTCGGTATCGAGCGCTGAAGTAGCTTCATCGAGAAGGAGCAAGCGGGGCTGGCGAATTAGGGCGCGAGCGATGGCTATGCGTTGTCGTTGCCCGCCGGAAAGCTGAGTACCACGGCTTCCGCAGAGTGTGTTAAAGCCATCAGGTAGAGATGCGATGAAGGTGAAGATGTTAGATTGCTTCGCCGCGCCTTCAACTTGAGCATCCGTGACCTCGTCACCAACACCCATGGCGATGTTGTCGCGAACGGTGCCTTGGTACAGCACGGGCTCTTGTTGGACAAGCGAGACGTGGCTGCGGTACTTTCGTGGACACAAGTCCGAAAGTGCGCTACCGTCGCATGTTATGCGACCAGATGTTGGGTCGTAGAAACGCTCAAAGAGGGCGATCGCTGTGCTCTTTCCACATCCACTGGCACCAACGAAGGCCACAAACTGTCCAGGTCTCACATCGACATCGATGTTCTTGAGAACATTGGCGCTGGGTCGCGAATCGTACGCAAAATCTACGTTTTCGACCTTCATATGCGCGGGATCTTTCTCTTTGCCGTCATCGAACGGCGGTCTAGAGGGCTCTTCCTGAACGACTGGTTTTTGGCGACGAAGCCAGAAGATGTAATTAGCTGCTGTCGCTGCTTTTGTCATACTGGTCGTGTATGAGAAGAATGAAGCCGCCGCCTCGCCGGAGAAGATGACGGCGATGAAGACCGTGTAGAACTGCGTGGTGGTATACTCGCCACGACTGATTAGTTGACCGCCGTACCAGAATCCAAGCGCCATCGCCAAGAACGATATAGACTGCGTGAACGAATACCAGAACATAGTCCAGAAGAGGGATTTCATGGAGCGGCGCGCTACACCCTGGAGACGTTCCTCGTATCTCGCAAGGATGTGTCTTTCTAGGGCCAGTGACGAAACTGTACGAATGGCAGAAACGGCTTCGGATGCCAAAGCCGCGCTACTGCCGAAGCGCTTTCCGATTTGTTCTTCTAACTTAAACTCCAGGCGTATTCGAAGGTATCCTGAGAATACTACAAGTGGAAGCGCACCGAATGCGACTGCACATCCTAGCTTCCATCCCACGGCGAGGGCAAGAATGCAGCTCGAAAGCACGCTGATGACATTAATGAAGATGAGCATAACGTTGAAACCAAGGAGCTCCAGTAGGCTAGTCGGATAGCTCGAGAGATTGGATACCAGTGCACCGGTTGCGTTATCTTCTCTGTCGAAGAAACCCATGTCTTGCTTGAGGATAAGGTTGAATATTTCCAGTCGATAGCCACGCGAAACGTACTGTACAACAATGTTGCTGAACCATCCGATGAGTGAGTAGGCGATGAGATTGCCTATAGCCACGATAAAGAACATAAGCGAGTAGAAGTCGCCCTCATCGACGGCCTCAGCAGCTGGTACTTCGAATGCTCTCGCGATGCGCGCGAAGATAATAGCTTGAGCTGGGTATGTGGCACCTCCCATCAACGATGCAGCGATGAGGATTAGAAAATATGGCCATAGCCGTCGGTGCTCCCAGAAGACGATGAAGATGCAGCTGATTAGGTTGTAATTGATCCCATCTTTGCCCGATTTTGTGATAGCTTGGCTGTGCATCGATACCTGAGTCTGGGTTCGTACAAGAGCGTGCTTGCCTTCATCCTCGTTGTCTTGCACTGCTTCTTCTTTCCCGTCGGCCTTGCCGAGATCCTGCGCGGCGACAAGACCTGCGTAAGCCCCCTTCTTCTCTATAAGCTCATCGTGCGTGCCGTGTTCTATCACTGAGCCATTGGACATGACAGCAATATTGTGGGCGTTCTTGATTGTAGAGAGCTTGTGCGCGATGACGATCGTCGTGCGGTTTCTGCTGACACTATCTAACGCTTGTTGGACCATTTTTTCGGCTTTTGGGTCCAGCGCACTGGTCGCTTCATCGAGGAGCAAGAGTTGAGGATTTGAGATGATACTGCGGGCAATGGCAAGCCTCTGTTTTTGTCCACCTGAAAGCATCATTGCGCGCTCGCCGATTTGTGTGTCATAACCCTGGCCAATTAGCCTCGTTGAAAGATTCACACACCCGTAACAATGGTCTTACCTTAGGAAGTTGCTCCACAAACTCGTCTGCATAGGCTGACTTGCATGCCTCCTCTACAAGTTTTCTTTGTTGGTCTTCGGGAAGATCGCCCATCTCGGTTCCAAAAAGACCGCATGCGACATTCTCGAAGACAGTGCCACTGAACAAGACGGGCTCCTGTTGCACTAATCGAATATTCGTCCGCAGCCATCTCAAATTCAGGTCTTGAATCCTCGTTCCGTCGAGAAGGATGGAGCCTACGCTCGAGTCGTACCATCGCTCTGTGTAAGTCTCAGTATATTGGTAGCTTTTTTCAGATATGATTGGGGTCCAGGGCAAGAAGAAAAAGGACGTACCCATTAAACCAACAATAGTACTCTTTCCCGACCCACTCGCACCGACGAGGGCTATGGTAGTGTTTGCAGGAACAGAAAGCGAGAAGTCGTTCAGTACCTGGACGTTTGGCCTGGCCGGATATGCGAAGTGGATGCCCTCAATCTCCACACGTCCAGCGCAATTTGCAGGGCTGTATCCTTCTTCACTGAGCGAATCGATTTCCGAAACGCGGTCGATAACCCGAAATAGCTCAGCAGCGGCTGCTGCACCTTTCCCCAAGGTGATGATTTGCGGTGCTATGGTACTCATCGCAGTGGCTGCAACAATGACGGCGAGAACGACAGTAAACACTTGACCGGGTTGACCTATCTCCCCGCCAATGTACATACGGATACCCCGCCAGAAGGCCAGACCGTAGGCACTGTAGATGCAGAAGAATTCCGTAGAGAATAAAATCGCATAAACCGGACTGTTCTTCATTCCAATTGCTTGTGCATCCAAAAGATACTTATCGAACTTGCGGGACAGGAGCGGGTTGAGCCAGAAAGCGTGCACGGTACGCATAGTCGAGAAAACTTCCTCGGCAAGTTTGCCAGCTTGACCATAGATATTGAGCATGTCATTCTCCCACTTGGTCATGAAACTAAGGCAGATGCCGACGGCGACGACGATTGTCGGGATTATCGAAATTGTGATGAGAGTAAGCTTCCATTGGACGGCGAAGGCGATTATGAATGCCGTGACGAACGTCGATAGCCCTTGGATTGTTAACGTCAACTTCTCCGAAATCCCATTGTTGACATTGTTGGAACTTGTAGTGACCTGCGAAGTGACCGAGCCTGCTTCAGCCGAGTCGAAGTAGGCAACGTTTTGGCGTAGCGTGGCCTTGACAAAATCCACTCGTAATGCTTTGGTCGTTCGGATGGCGGCAATAGAGACCAAGACAGAATGCACGTAGAAAAGGCAAAACTTGGCAACAAAGAGGTACAGGAAATAGAGCGTGTATTTGTTGACTTCTGACCGGTACTGGGCCGGTGTCAACACGCCTGTCGAGAACCTCACGAAAGTCGTGACGAACTTGCCGAAAATCAAATCCATCAGGGGAAGCACTGCTCCAGCGCCAATGGCAGCGAAGAAGGCGATAACGTTCAGTATCCAGCTCGTACGGTCGGCATATGAGAAAACTCGCTACAAAGGTGAGCAAAAAGGCCCTTGCGACAGATGGAAAACGTACCAGGTAACTTTTCATTCCACCTTGCTGCTTATTGTTCACATCCTCCCCAACTATGCCCTTCGGCGCCGCGACACCATTTTGCAGACTTGGTGATGGCTCCCGATGGTCCTTCTCGGTCTGCTGTGGTTGTGACATGTTGCTGCTAGCTTAGAGCAAGGCAGGTGATGGAGATGAACACATTGGAGGTCTTTTCGGTCGCCTCGTCAGAAGGAGAGGATGAGAACTGGCGAATGCGCAATCCGCGCACACCGATGCAGTAGGCGAAGCATATAACAATGTAGGCGTCATTAGTCCGCTTCGGGAGTGCTAGACGAATGGGCCAATCAGCATCCGACCAGCGTAACAATGCTGCACAGAAGGATTTCGACATGCTCTGTTCCATGCCCAGGCGAGGACGGAGTTGTAGCATCGGTACAGAGACCGAGAGGTCACTATCATGCTGGGCAACTCGATGGGACAACGGGCGGTAGGTAGATAATACGACTGTGGCGATGGGACAACGGGCGGCCTGGGCGATTGCCTGCCTTGTAGTCTCGCGGTGCATCACTGGACTACGCGACCCCCTGTCACTCCCTCCACCTGTCTCCTCTCTGCCGCATGGCTCGCATCCATCGCCACATGGAGACTACGCGACAAGGTGCGTACCGAACGGAGACTTTGACAGCTCTGGATGCGACGAGCCCCACACAGTAGCCTTCTTGGCGTCCGGTGCCCGAGAGCTCCGGCGCCGAAGGCATCCGCCAGACGTGTGAGTGAAATCGGCTGCGGTGCTCGCCCTTCTCGCACCCCGGCGTATACGTTATCCCGTGCACGCGGAGTCCCAGCATGGAGCAGACTGACGAGATGGACGTGACAGCCGATAATCGCATGCAGCGGGCGGTGTGTAACCCCACTTGAGTACGTTCAAGCTCAGCTAACAGAGCAGTGCGATGGCTGTCGCTCACGGAAAATTCGCTGCGATAGAAATGTGCCATGCTCCAATTGCAAGAGCAGCAAGCTGAGTACGTCTCCTATACTTCTTGCAAAATGGTTGTTGGGGGTATAGTAAAGGCGGACATGGTCGACTAATTAGCGCAGCTTGCACAACCACTGCGCCATCACAGAAGCCACAGCGGCAGAGGGTTCACATAAGCGACGAATAGTATGCCTCGACGCCAGGTCCTTGCAGTGGGCCTTGTTACTAAGATGATCTAGTGAGAAGAAGATTGACCGTATCGAAGACCGTCTTGCAGGCATTGAGCACGTGCTCGAAGCCCTGTCTCATAAATTGAGTAATTTGGACATCAAACCCGACCTTGAGCATAGCAGCCAGCCGAAACATGCCATCGGCACCACCAGAAGCCCGCGTTCGAACTCGGAGGCGAATGTCTCTACTCCTGCTTTCGAAGGTGAAACCACCATCAACCGGCAATCCGAGTTTGCTCGTGAACTGCTGGAGCAAGCAGTCGGGCGTACTCCATCGATTGAACAAAATGCAGAAATCAAAGCTGCCTTGACATCTTTACAGAACATGGTAACACGGCAGGGTGCCAACGCAAATACTATAGCCGCGTCTCTAACCTATCCATTCTCAAACAAGGCGCTTGCTGAAATAGATCACACCAAGCTAGAGCGACCGCCATGGGAGTTGGTGAATGAAGTCATCGACAAAGCCTCGGTCTACCCGACTATGTCTTTTGCCGTGGTATTCCCTTTTCTGAAGATGCCCAAGATGAAGGACATCTTCCGCGAAGCGTTCGACAACGCAGCGGATTGCAGCGTTGGGCGCAGGATGCTCGTATACGGCGTCCTCACCAGTCTATTCTATGAGTTTTCTTGCTACCCAGTTGTGGACAAAAGGTGCGACCGTCACCAGCTGACAAGGTGGTGCTCATTAGGCTAAACAAGCACAGAGTCGAAAGCTACCGTGGTCTTGCCCGCATTTGCGAAAGACAGATGGAAGTCGCTATGAGCCAGTTGGACCTTTACCTTCCTGCTACGTACGAGAATATCTTGGCGTTACTTCTCGGCTCAGCACAAGCCATCGAGATGTGCAAACCATCACTTTGTTGGACCATGATCTCCACAGCAGCACATCTTTCACAGAATCTTGGCTATCATCATTATCAGACGATGAAAGACGATCCTGTAGAGGAACGAAATGCCAAAATACATGTCTTCTGGTTTATTTATGTCATGGATAAGACGCTTTCGCTCCGCTTGGGACGCGCGTCTATCATCCAGGACTGGGACATGTCACTCCCGTACCCGAATATCGACACCGATCACGCACGATTTGGCTCCCTTGTTCAGCAAGGACAGAGAGGAACCGAACTGCTGATATACTGGATCAAAATTGCACAGATTCAGGGTAAAGCATACGAGAAGCTGTTTAGCCCGGCAGGATTTTTGCGACCCATGGAAGAGCGCGCCCGTGCGGCAACCGAACTCGTAGATGCCCTGAATAAGGCGTGGACAGAACGTGGAGAGGCAAGTGCTTTCGACTTTGCTTATCTAGAGCTAGAATATGGGCTGGCGAAAAAGGGTAGCGGAGTCTCAACCGGGCTGAAGCCAATTTCCGAGCGGAAGCGATTCCGATATGTGCTCCCGCCTACTACTCAATCGAGCTTGAGAGGCCCAGACATGTCCTACTGCGAAGTCGAAGAAATCGACGATTCAGGTGCTGTAATTCGCTAACTGCTGGTTAGACTGTAAGACTTACTTTTCCAGGCTCGTTCAGTTATGTAAGTATTACATACGGGACAGGCGGCAGTCCTAGTCTCCTGTTTCAAAATGACTTGCTAATTGATTATCAGATTGGAGATATCTTTTATCACGCTGGTACGTACAAAGGTGTTGCGACTTGGTCGTTCTGCTCCCTCGACTTCTGGAAACTCCGGATTTTGGCAACCCAACCAACAGCGATCCCTAACACACTGCGGCCCCTTTGTTCTCAACGACATTTGCTTGGGGAAACTCTTCTGGCTTGTAAAGATTATACTGACTAGAACCATCACATAGACGTTGTTATGCACTATTCGACATGCGCGTTGATACAGCGCGCTATCAGCCCTGATAACGTCTCTTTCGATACCGACTGTCTGGAGTCGGCTCGAGCAGCTCTTGTAGCACATCAGCGATGTGCGGCACAATTCAACGTCAAGGGCAATGAAGATCTCTGGTCAGGTTACATCCACTGGTAAGGACCTAGTTTGGCTGTGCAGTGACCACTCTGAACATGCTCACGTTCTCCAGGGCTATTCTCCAAGCACCCTTCACACCCTTCATTGTTATCTTCTGTCATAGTGGTACATTCCCATCGGCTCCTGCTTCTATCAGGGTCCCTCTAACTTAACCTAGTCCTCCATTGCGACCCTTCCGATCTCAACTCACTCTCCGACTTCGTCATTAGCCTCGAATCTTGCCGCACCATTTCAGAAGGAGCCGACAAGCTCTACAAAATGTGCCACTTGTTCCTGCAAGTGGCTAAGCTTTACGTTGAGGCAAAGAAGAATGAAGCCATCCCTGTCACGACGACCGGATCAGCATCCCAGCCAGACCAGAGCGGTTTCTATCCTCAAGAAACCGGCATCAATTTGGATACAATGACACAATTCGATCCGTATCTGAGCGCGCTGGGATTGATGCCGAACCAGGGTTTTCCGATGACAGGGTTCCCCCCCCTGAATACGGGAACGACTGGTGTCGATGGGTTCCCGCCGGGGAGCTTTGATGCGAGTATGGCGCCGAGTGGATCAGGCATGGGCCCCGGAAACCCTACGAATGTGCAGGATTGGTTCTCGGGGTCGAGATATCTTTTGAATCTGATGGAAGATGATATCCAAATGCCGGACTTCAGCTTATAGATTGATGTTTTTAGACACTGTGTGAGATCTTAGCGAGGCGAAAAAGGTCGACGTTGCGGGGCTAGTGTGCTCTGCTGGACAGCTGCTACTACGCACCCAGCCTTATACTTGTACCCATAATTGAATTACACCTCTCAAATGAAGGCATAGGCGTCGTACGATTCATGAAGCGATTTTGTGGAAGTCCATTTGTGCAGATGACGTCGACTGATGATACGGAGATACCACAGGGGTGAGTGGGACGCGAGGGCAGATTCTCGGAATATGTACCAAGATCCTCGCCGAGGAGGTCAATCCTCATTGTCCATATGCGGCCACCGCACAGGACTCACATCTCTCACTGGACTACCATCTTCGACCGGACTCGGCTCTCTAAGCGGGCTTTCGACGCCGCTATCCGCAGCCTCATCCGCATAACCACCTACCCTCCTTACCCCCGCCCTTATCCTTCCCTGCCTCCCATCCCCATCAAAATCTAGCATCCATCCCAACTCCAACGCCCCTTTTCTATCGCTCAGCTCGCCCCTAACCTCGCCTCCTCCGATCCACTCCCACCCTTCCTTCAACACAATCGTCGCTGATATGCTAAAGTAGCCCCAACCGAGCCTCCTAACTTCAAACGGCGGATCGCGCAAGACGACTGATGGAGGACGAAAAGTAGGGTGCAAGTTGACCTTGACATGTGAGACAAGCTCAGGACGCGACAGCCTCACAAAGAACGTCCAGTCATGCTTGTTCCCAGGCTCATCCCCCACCCCGACCAACTTGTGCCTGTTTCCTATCAGAATCACGACATTCTCTACGCCCTCGCTATTTGTAGTAGCCCTAGCAGTAACTTCTTCTGCCCTCCTTTCTGCGTAGGAATTTGGGTATTTCGCTTCGAGAGACTGAGTGAGAGCAAGGTCTGCCTGTGCGGTAGTCGGCGTGCGGCACATAGGACATCGGGCTTCGAGATCGTATGTGGGGTCGTATTCGGGATCGAAATCACGCATGTCCATGTCGAGGGAGGAGGGGTGCATCGGGACGGTCTGCGACGCATCGGCCCATTGCGCCATGCAGGAGCGGCAGAGTATATGGGCGCATATTGTTCGTACGGGCGAGCAGAGGAGAAGGTGGCAGATCTGTGTGATTCATGTTAGAAATACGAAAAGAAGGGGAGAAGCTGAGGCATGGGACATACAGGACAGAGGTCATCCTCTGCGATGACTTCTGGTTGTGGTGTACTGTCGGCCATTGTGGCTCAATATTTTGGAATGAGGATAGCTGTGGTCATTGGATCTCTCAAATTACGGCAAATTCTGATACAAAGGTGACTCTCTTAAACGTCAGGCAGTCCATTGTACTGTCTTCTTAATGGCATTTGCGGGGTGAAGATGGGTTGTGGCTGTGACGTCCTCACCGGAAAGTCGGCATTAACCCGGGGTTAAGTGGACAAGCGGAAATCCTCACGTGCGCATCCTGACTCCAGGGCTCGCACAACCTACCACTGCCTATGATCCGGACGGTAGTAGTTTCGTTCAGCGTGAAGAGGAGGTATCGCTATGCCCAATTTTCCAATCTGAGGCAATCAGCAGGTTCGGTCACTGTTGAGCGATAGCTGAAATTGCTCATGAATGACTGCCCAGGCGAACAGGCCGGTTATCATGTAGCCAACAGCCCACCTAATAGGAATGAAAGTGACAGACCAGACGCTCTTCATGCGCATATGATCCTCTGCCGCTTTTAATCTGAACGATGATTTCGCGTTGCGACTGTGCGCGCGTTGTACCTAGGTATGCTCTCCAACACGTGGAACACATACCGCAATACCTCTAGGCGAAAGGCATCGGGATATGTGCAATTTTAGTAACAAAGAGCGCGACATCAACGACTTTCGCGAACCTCGTAAAAGTTGAACTCAAAGATGACGAAGAAGGAGAAAGTATGGCTATCCAGAACATCGCAGTTAGCGTTTCTCTGAATGTTGGACAGTCGGTATTCACTGTTACGTGAGAGGTGTGCGGCCATAATTGTTGACCCGCGATCTAAATTATTGTGTGATCAAAAGGTGATAGGTACCTAATTTCGTGGCAGTGACCATGGGTTTCTCGAAGCTCGGTATCCTGGCGTTGCATGACGAGGCGGTGCGGTGGTGCAGGGTCTGTTGATTTTCATTGTATTGAGAAAACGGCGAGGCAACGTACATGTTGAAGAATGCGGATGGTAGTTGGTGAGATTTCTCATTGTGACGTGCTGGGGAAGTGGAAGGAAGCGGCGATGCGTGTGCAATGGTAGACATTCCATACCGACCGTTCCTCTCAACCACCATTCGCTCTATCTTAACCAATTCAAAAGCCTGCTCAGACTGCGCAGGCCATTCATGTCTGCAAGGAAGTGGTAGTGTGTGCTCGTTCCATCTCAAACTGGCCGGCACCGAACCTACCTTCTTCCCTTTTCACCTTTGTTGAGCGAAGCGTAACGACTACGTGGGGCAGAGTGCTCACTCATGCATACCGCTTGTACGACATCTCCGAAGCCAGCGGTTCGCCTCTCCTACTATCGGCACCATTGGCGTCTCCGATTGTGACAACAACGATCGGCAATGCCAGTGCCCCTCATACAGACGTCACAATCGGTTCGCTTTGACTATGCCAGTGATGATAGTTTGCAACCATATTGCCTTTCCTACGCTGGTTCGCTTTGATCACATTAGCAACGACAAATCGCAATGATTTCGCCTTCCCCGTAATGACTACACTCTTCTCGCCCAAAATTTATTAAGTCGCCGCTCGGTAGCAAGTCATAGGGTAATTCAGAATACAATCAGTCACCGAAAATGTTACTCGAAGTTGTATCGCCGATGGTCACACGTACACGAGAGGCAGATTGATGGGCGGTGCTGCAGTCAAGACAAGAGTCAGACGAGGAGGTGACGATGCGTAGTGCGCGTTGGTGAGAGCTCCGCCAGATGTGGCGATACCTGAACAAGACCTGATGAAGGACATTCACAGGAGCTTCACAAGGTTGCCAGACGATCTGAGGATGACGCAAAAGACCGGACCTCGTCTCCGAACAAAACGCATACTATCGACCATCAAATCTAGCGCAGAGTCGATCTCAAGTCGGACATGTGGTAGAGGTATGGCCACGCGCAGCGGGCGCTCCCGCCATATGCAGCACGGCGCTGGAAGTCATGCAAGACACACCGCTGACCGAGACGGATCGGTACAAGCGTACTGTGGAGAAACCATAATGCGGAGGGAGAGAATCTGGGGAATCATGATCAGTTGTGGGGGATGCTCGAGCGCATGGCTGAAGTGCACGCTGCTAGGCGGCCTGTGCGACGGCAGGAGAGAGCGGGCCGTGATCTGGAGCGAAATAATTGTCCAGGAAGTCAAAGGGAGTGTTGGCCCTGATGCGTTTAGGATCCTTTTGCTGGGGGTGGAGCAGGCGATGTTGAATTTTTTAAGCTTCGGGAACGTTGAGCCACACCAGACAGCCAGATGAGACGAGCGAAATGTTGGGCTGCATGCGGCTGAGATGGCGCTACCCAAGAATAGAAAAGGGCGGCGACCCTTGCATCACAGTACTTTTTTCTTCGCGTTCTGGTCTCACCGCGCGCGGGAACGATTCATGCCGGCCACATGGACAACATGGACGATCAGAAAGCGGGAGAATAGTCTCGAACAACCAGTCAGGGTCGCTCTTGCCCTGTGCACTCGAGCAGCGGATCTTGGTTGAAAGGAATTCATTTGTTTCGGCCAGGTGGCAAAAGTACCCGCAAGGGCAAGTCGGTATGGAAGATGGTCGGCAGAAGCGGGAGGTAGTTTGGAAAAGGGCCTGGAGCTCCGTATGCGACCGTAGCGCCGCCGTGTGCACCCAGGGCTCGACGGGACTGGTACCTCTCCTCGAAGAGGCAACTGCGTGCCGGCTTCATTGGGTGCCGCGGCTGCGAATGTGCCATTGCGCGTAACGCTGGTGAAGTGGGATGGGATACCGGCGTTTGGGCGCGAGGTACGCCAGCGAATGGCCCGCAAGGCCAACGTGGCAGTGCCTGTCGTGCTCGGGCGAGTCCCCTTGACGGTAGCATGCGCATCGTCCAACGACCCCGAGACGCGGCCAGGGGTGGTTAGAGAAGGCGGTCAGCGCACGTCGAGCCTGAGGGGCCACAAATGGGGCTGGTGGTACCCCGCCGACAGTCGCCGCGACGCTTCGCAGAGCCTCTCGCTAGCAGTCCACGGGAGGGTTAGTAATGGAAGTGGAGGGACCTGATGTAATAATGGCAACAGCATTGAGGCAAAAGCGAGAAAGCGGCGGATCCAGCGAGCCTCTCACCGCGCAGGCAAAGAGAGGGCTCACGTCGAAGCGGCCCTGGCCCGTGCCATCCCGGCCGGCGGAACACACGAAATTTTTATGATAGTGCGATAAGCCTACAAATATCCCACCGCCCCTCCAAAGCCGCTCACACCTCTCCCTCTCTTGAGTTCTGCCCCGGGGCTTCTTTCATTTCTGTTCCTGTCTTTGCATACCTGCATAGACGCTGCCAGTGCAGCCTTGATACCCGAGAGCAGACCGCTATTTACTTAGCGCTTCACTGCTCCCACAAAGGCGTCTTGCCCCGCCAAAGTTTTTCACCCCGACACTTCTACAACACACAGCAAAAATGGCTCCCGCTGCCACAGACGCCGCTCCTCACACGGCGAAGAACGTCAAGTCCGAGAACTCCAAGTCCGTCAAGGTTCTGGAGGAGCTTCTCGGCAAGTTGACCGTCTCGAAGGCTCAGGACGAGATCAACGCCTCTGCGCTTGGCCTCGCCACCTTCATCAACGGCGACATTGAGGAGGGTGATGCGCCCGTCAAGTAAGTCGAAAATCATAATAATGCAGTGCCAACAGCATGCTAACAGCTCCCAGGGCCGTTGAGCTGCTCCGGAAGCAGTTGGGCAACCGCAAGGATGCCGTCGCCCGTGAGCGTGCACTCGACGCCATCCGCGCCATCGCTCAGCACTCGACCGTCTCCCCCGCCGTTGAGCCCTACCTCGTCTCGCTTCTGCCCGATACTCTCAACGCCGTTGCCGACAAGATGAGCGCCGTCAAGGTCGCCGCCCAGACTGCCTCCGAGGCCATTATCTCTGCTGCGAACCCCAACGCCGTCAAGGCCATCATCCCTCACATCATCCACTCGCTCGACACGACCCTCAAGTGGCCCGAGAAGATCACCGATCTCCAGTGCATCGAGATCCTTACCAAGAGCGCCCCCGCTCAGCTTGCCTTCCGCGTCCCCGACCTGATCCCCGTCATTTCTGGAGCCATGTGGGATACCAAGGCCGAGGTCAAGAAGGCCGCCTACGCCACCATGGAGACCCTCTGCGGTCTGATCTCCAACAAGGATATCGAGCGCTTCATTCCCGAGCTCATCAAGTGTATCGCCAAGCCTGAGAACGTCGCCGAGACTGTTCACTTGCTCGGTGCCACCACTTTCGTCACCGATGTCCACGAGCCCACCCTCGCCATCATGGTGCCCCTGCTCGAGCGTGGTCTCGTCGAGCGCGAGACTGCCATCAAGCGTAAGTCGGCTGTCATTGTCGACAACATGTGCAAGCTCGTCGAGGACCCCCAGATTGTCGCTTCTTTCTTGCCCAAGCTGATGCCCGCGCTTGAGAAGAACTACGACAACTTGGCTGATCCTGAGGCTCGTGAGAAGACCAAGCAGGCTTTGGACACCCTCATCCGTGTTGGTCACGTCGAGAATGGCAAGATCCCTGAGATCTCCAAGGACGGTGACATTTCCACTGTTGCTGGCCATCTCAAGGATGTCATTCCCGGCAGCGTCAGCCTTGACAAGTTCGGTCCCATCATTGATTACATTGGTGCCATCGGTGGCCAGTTGATCGATGAGAAGGACTACGAGCCCTTCAACTGGCAGTCCAACATCGGTCCCTTCCTCGCCATCATCGTTGGTGATGAACAGGCCAAGGACCTCGTTGACGCCCTTCGCAAGCGCGCCGTCCCCGGCGCTGCTGCTGAGGATGCCGTTGAGCCCGATGAGGAGGAGGGCGAGGATCTCTGCAACTGCACGTTCAACTTGGCCTACGGTGCTAAGATCCTGCTCAACCAGACCCATCTCCGCCTGAAGCGTGGCCAGCGTTACGGTCTTCTCGGACCCAACGGTTCCGGAAAGACCACCCTCATGCGTGCCATCAACAACGAGCAGGTCGAGGGTTTCCCCAAGCAAAACGAGGTTAAGACTGTGTACGTTGAGCACGACCTGGACTCTGCCGACACTGAGCAGACCGTTATTGAGTGGACCCTGAAGAAGCTCCAGTCTGTCGGCATCAACAAGCCGCAGTCTGAAGTCGAGAACACTCTCATAGAGTTCGGTTTCGTCCAGGAGCAGCTCGAGAACCCAATCACGTCGCTTTCCGGTGGCTGGAAGATGAAGCTTGCTCTTGCCCGTGCTGTGTTCGAAGAGCCCGATATCCTGCTTCTTGATGAGCCGACCAACCATATGGACGTCAAGAACGTCAAGTGGCTCGAGGACTACCTTATCAGCTCTCCCTGCACATCCATCGTCATTTCCCACGACAGCAAGTTCTTGAACAACGTTATCCAGCATGTCATCCACTACGAGCGCTTCAAGCTCAAGCGTTACCGTGGTAACCTTGATGCCTTCGTCAAGCGTGTGCCCTCTGCTCGTTCCTACCACGAGCTCGGTGCCTCCGACATGGAGTTCAAGTTCCCCGAGCCTGGTTTCCTAGAGGGTGTCAAGACCAAGGCCAAGGCCATTGTTCGTGTTAACAACATGACTTTCCAGTACCCCGGTACCTCGAAGCCCCAGATCTCCGAGATTACCTTCCAGTGCTCGCTCGGTTCCCGCATTGCCGTCATTGGTCCCAACGGTGCCGGAAAGTCCACCCTTGTCAACGTCCTGACTGGTGAGCTTATCCCCACTTCCGGAGATGTCTACCAGCACGAGAACATTCGTATTGCCTACATCAAGCAGCACGCTTTCGCGCACATTGACCACCACTTGGACAAGACCCCCTCCGAGTACATCCAGTGGCGTTTCCAGACTGGTGAGGACCGTGAGACCATGGACCGCGCCAACAAGATCGTCACCGAGGAGGACGAGAAGGCTATGGACAAGATCTACCGCATCGAGGGTACTCAGCGTCGTGTCATCGGTATCCACTCCCGTAGGAAGTTCAAGAACTCGTACGAGTACGAGTGCTCGTTCGCCCTTGGTGACAACATTGGCATGAAGAACGAGAAGTGGACTCCCATGATGACTGCCGACAACGCCTGGATTCCCCGTACCGAGATCATATCCTCTCACTCCAAGATGGTTGCTGAGGTCGATCAGAAGGAGGCTCTCGCCAGCGGTCAGTTCCGTCCTCTGGTCCGTAAGGAGATTGAACAGCACTGCGCCAACTTCGGTCTTGACGCTGAGTTGGTTTCTCACTCGCGTATGCGTGGTCTGTCTGGTGGCCAGCGTGTCAAGGTCGTCCTTGCCGCTTGCTCGTGGCAGCGTCCCCACTTGATCGTTCTCGACGAGCCTACTAACTACCTTGACCGTGATTCCCTCGGTGCCCTCTCCAAGGCCATCAAGTCCTTCGAGGGTGGTGTTATTATCATTACTCACTCTGCAGAGTTCACCAAGAACCTCACTGAGGAAGTCTGGGCCGTCATGGACGGCAAGATGACTCCTTCCGGCCACAATTGGGTACAGGGACAAGGTGCCGGCCCCCGGTTGCAGGAGAAGGGTGAGGAGGAGGAGAAGTTTGATGCGATGGGCAACAAAATAGCCGGGACTGAAAAGAAGAAGAAGCTTACGAGCTCAGAGATGAGGTGAGTGACTCCGGCTTGTATCCGTCGACTAATGGCTAATTATCGAACAGGAAGAAGAAGAAGGATCGTATGGCCCGCCGCAAGCGTGGTGAGGAGGTCTTCTCCGACGAGGACGACTAGATGGTTACGACATGCATGGTATGGTCTTAGGAGGTTTATGAACAAAAGTTTCGAGTACAGTTTGTCTCATGGATGGCGTTATGATCGATACCTTGTAGATCTGATAGATTTTGCTGGGACATTTGTTGTGTTCCTCAGCGGATTAATGAAACAATTACACTTCAAGATTATTTGCTCTAATTCCACGTGATAATTGACCTGACGTTGACGACAGAACACTATGCATGTGAAGGCAGAGTCACATGATCGCACTGACCGTTCATTGGAGTTGGCTAAGTGGATTGCATCGCCTGCTAAATACAACAAAGCGAAGCACGCGCAATTATCATTCCGCAAGATGCATATGTAGCACCATGGGTGACGTTTCCTTCAACTCAATCTTCGATCTCGTGTACACGAGCGCTTCCCTCGTAGCGGCTTTGAGGCACCTGCACGCCTTGCGTGACTGGAGTGCAGTTGTGTAATTAGGCTGCAGACGGCGCACCGATGTCACAGTGCTGGTACAGAATGCTTGTGATCTACTCAAAAACACCTCGCAGGAAGGCAGACAGCTCTTCACCTGACATAGCAGGGTTGCACGCTCACCACAGTTCCCGCTACTCTTGGTTCCAGGTCGATGCCCATCGCGCGTCTCATCTTTAGACAATCAACTTCTGCATTGCCTTTCCCAGGGTAACTCGCCATACTACACCGTTCCGGGATTTTTTGGCTATACTTCAGAACCCAACTTATCTACAGAATCCTTCACACTCTCACTGCGGCTGCCATATGTGGACGAGTTCGTCCATGCACAATCAGGTACAAAGATGCTCATCACATAGCCGTTAGCTTCTCGGGATCTCCTGTCGGTACTCAAAGGCTCTTTACGTCTGTTTACTTGTTTCCGTCAACATCGCTTAGCACTCGGAAGCTTCCAATTCGACGCGGTTGACCAAGTATGGAAGATACCGATCGCCCGTGGAGGAAGTGAACGTTTTGTCGGCGTTCCAGCGCAACCTGCCTCTACACACCGCTTTCGTGCGGCCAACAACGCGGTAACAAAGCTCTGCGATGAAGGTGAGCTTTATCGGATTGATGAGCGTGCCCAGATCGTTGTCTTTGGTGGTGTCGGGTTGACCATTGTACCGAGTTCTGAATCTACGACTGAATCACTCGCGCGACGCCATACTGTAACGCAGTGTCAGCCCAGCATGATGACGCGGTTAGGCGGCGCGCCGGTGCTACAGGCCTGGAGTCCTAGGACGCACTTAACTCGAGTGTATATCTCATTAAAGTCGGTGACGCCATACAGGATTATCGGGTGCAGAGTCTTCTTACGTTTTACAGTCCAGTAGTCGGAGGTAGGATAGTTATAGCAGAAATAGTGTTTGAAGAAAACATCAACAGAATTCGTTATGCGGGGGTCTAGAGGAGACCAGGTCTTAAAGGCCAGGTTAGTGGGGGGAAGTGTCTTATCGCAGTAGGTAAAGTCATAGTAGTTAGTGATAGAGATCAGATCACTTGCGGTGGGCTCGTATAGAGAAGATTCCAGATACGGGATGTTAATAGGCTCGTCGTTAGAGTCGCTCTCGGAATCCCTCTCGGAGTCATTATTAGACATCTTCTCGAGCTTATAGCAGATGTATTCTTCAATTCGCTTCTAAATCTCTGTTTCTTTCTCGCAAGCCGATCTCCCAGTGTACCATAGGTACGCTAAATATTAGTACTCTCACAAAGCCGAGCACCAACACACGCTCAAGCATACCTTAACTAGGCTGATCGCGTAACTCAAGATCTTGGTGCGGGGGACTCGTATGTTCTGGATACTTCCTTGTGGACTGGTTCTGTGCCGGAGCACACTAGGCGCTTGTCTTATTGAGTTCCATCACTCCTGACGCTTATTGCATCTACATTTGGTCGCAATTCATGATATTGAGCATCGCAATTACCTAACAGACTCTAACGGGTGGGAGCCAAATCCCGGCCCTACAATTGATATATTTCCGTGCAAAGTCACAGCAGAGGGTGCAATGCCGTGATTCAGAAACCATGATACCGGAGTCACGCAACCATCCAAACTGTCATACCGTTGTACCCCTGAAAGCAACACCATTCAAATGTATCGTCCCAAAGCCTCAATCCGAACATTTGTACATCTTTGACCGACCGGTCGCCGTAGCTTGGGTTTTCTTGATCCATGATGCGCCGCGGTATCTGCGATATGATGGCTGGCACTGCCTGATCATCCATCAAGATTTCCCCACCAAGCCAAGACCTTCGAGTCGTCGCCCTCCTTGTTATCCTTCGGCACCGATGCTTGATGTTTCCGGGACTGGTCGAGATACCTAGACTTCACCTCCCCATACGGCTTCCTGAATGCCTTCCCCTCGTTGGTAGGCTTCTTCAGGAGCATTTCTGTCTGGACAGGAATCTTGATAGCCTGCTTTGCATGACGATCTGGACGCTTGGTTCCACGCTGCTCTGCCTTGTGTTGCTTCTCCGCTCCTGTCAACGTGGTGGGTGACTTCCTCATAGCCTTCGCTAGGATACCGACCTCGACCCTACCGTCCTCTGACTTTGTTCCGTATATATCTCCCAAGCTTGGAAGTCCGAGTTTCTTGTTACTCTCATCTATCCCCTCATGCAACTGACGAATGAGTTTGGCATCGTGAGTACCATCATCAAGAGCGGCCTCGCCCATCATATAAGCCATCACCGCGTCGAAGTCTTTCAACTGGAGTGTCTTAAGCATGGCCTCTTCGAAGCTGTCCTTGATGTCGCTGACGGGGAGAGTGCTGTAGTGTTCGGGTGTTGCATGGGGGGTCTTGGAAGATGTGATGAATGCAGCATCAGGAGAAAGGGCTGTTACTTCGGCGTCGCTCCAGACTTCGCTGTCGAGGTCGCTGTCAGACGTGATTTCCTCGATGCCAACTTCCCAATCTTCAAGTTCCTGCGAGACAAGCACAGGACCATCCGCAATCTTGCCATCGACCGTGTTGATGGAGGCCTGCGTTGGCGCCTTTGCCGCTTTGTAGATCTCCCTGGGAGCCGGGACCTCGTGGCGAGGCAAGGAAGGTCTACGCGCGGTATAGGCTGCTTGGACAGATTTCCGGCCTGGTGTGGCCTGGGGACTTGCACCATGCTTGTGATGCTTGTAATTCGGGTTCGCCACATTTGGGGTCCTGTTGACAGCAGCGCGATTGATGGGTTTCTCGCTGAGTGGCTGACGTGTGGGGATGGCGTTCGTAGTGTCTTGTTTGTTGGAGGAGGCAAGGGGGCGATGTAGGTCGGGAGGCGAGGTAAACATATCTGATGAGGCTTCATCTCGGTCCTGTAGACATGGCAAACACTCACAACCAAGGGGATGCCGTAGGATCGATTGCATCGTCATGATTCCGGTTGGGTATAATGAAAGAGGTGCAATCTGCAAAGGTTTTGACTAGGAGCGATTCGGTTGAACCAAAACCGCCCTCAAGAATTGAGAGCGTACGGGGAGGGGGCGAGGCCGTTCGGGGTGAAGGTTTATGCGCGGTGTGCGGGATCCTAGAGCCAGAACTGACGAGCTCCATTGGCCAGTGCGAGTCATTTCACAGTCACCTTATCGCACTTTCAACGTCAATGGTGAATGTCTATGATCCATGTAGTCTATCAGGCCAGTTCATCACGTCATCAACCGTTCCTACCCTACGCCTTCCACCTCAACAGCGTGAATGAGTGCTTGCTAAATTTAAACTTGCCCTCACCGCTCCAAGTCGATTCCTTGATGCCCACCTTCTGCTCATCACTGGTGTTGACGACATCAATGTTCTCACCATCGACAATGTACACCTTAATCTCGCCCTTCTTCACACCCTCAACTGCAACCTCGAAGTCCCTCTCCTCGTTGACGTTCGCTACAGCAAGACTGATATAGCCGTCATCGGAGATGGAAGCGCTCACGTCTAGATACGGCGTCTCGATCGTAGCCCTGATCCAAGCCGGGTTCGTGCGGCCAGTGTATTCCGGTGACCTTACATTGACAGCCACGCTTTGTCCACGCATGTACTTACTGAAGAGTAGCAGCGGCCACCAAATCGTCTGCTTGATGATGCCATCCTTGGTAGTCATAAGCGGCGAGATGACGTTGATAGACTGGGCGATGTTGGCCATGCCCAGGTCCTTCGCCTGCCTGATGAAGCCGTTCAGAAAGACAGCCACGGCCAGCGCGTCAGAAAGCGTGTATTTCTCCTCCGCACCCAGCTCTCCTGGCGCGCGTACGGGATCCCACACATTCCACTCGTCAAAGCAGATTGTCTGTTTGGGCACTGTCGCCGGGACGCCGTTCTCGATGCGCGCAAGGTCGATGAGCGCACTCGCCATCTGGATTGCACGCTCGGCACCACGAGGTGCCGTAGCATTGGCCAGATGCTCTTTATCGGCAGTGTATACGTGGATGCTGTGCATGTCGATGAGGGATTTTGTGCGGTCGCCACCGAGGCCGTGGACAGACCACGTAACACATTCCTTGAGGACATAGTAGTCCCAAGAGGAATAGCCTGTCTCACCGCAGAGAATGAGGATAATGGAAGGGTCGAGCAGCTTTAGGGCCTTGGCCCATTGGTAGGCCTTTTTTGCGTAGTCCTCTTTGGTTAGCTGGGCTACCTGCCAGGGACCCCAGCACTCGTTACCAAGGGCCCAGTACTTGACCTGAACAAAGGTGAGTAGGCATCCAAGAGTCGGGAGCATGACGCGAAGGAGGATGCAAGGTGTGCTTACATTGTAGGGCTCCTCACGACCGTTCTTGCGGCGGAGGTTGGCATAGTATGTGTCTTGGGTGGAGTTGCAGTATTCAAGCCATCCAAGAGCTGTCATCGGCATACATTAGTCAAGTGCGGAAGATTGGAATGGTAGCTCACACCTTCATCGAGGGTACCAGTGCCAAAGTTTAGGCAGAAATATGGCTCGGTGCCAACAACCTCGCACCATTTCATGAACTCATCAGTGCCGAAGGTGTTAGGTTCGAGGCCCAGCCACGCGAGCTCAGGTCTAACTCATACACATTAGTATACAATGCATGAACGATTGACAGCTAGGTCACGAGGCTCGCTTGCGCTTGCCCAGTGACCGCTTAAGGAAGAGCATCTTACCTCTTTGGCCTGTTTTCCTTGGGCCCAACCCCGTCCAGCCAATGATACGTGGCGACGAAGTTGCCACCAGGATATCGAACTACCGGAACATTCAAGTCTTTCATCGCTTCAATGACGTCCTTGCGGAAGCCGTTCTCATCGGATAGGGGATTGCCGGGGTCGTAGATGCCGCCATAGATGCAGCGCCCCATGTGCCTGGTATGTGGTAAGCTTCCGCGTGGAATATTCTGCATGTTGCTTGTTTGCTTACTCTGTGAAACCTCCATAGATGTTGTCGTTGATCTTGGCAATTTTGTGGTCAGGGTGGACGATGATTGAGGGCGATTCCTCGTCTGCAATTCTTGTAAAGCTCGCCATGGTGCAACAATTAAATAAAGAAACTTTATGCTCAATTGGATCTCGAGTATTGCAGTATGAAAGCGAATCCTTCTGTTTGACCCAAGAAGTCCCGCGTCGAGGAAGACCTACGCGTGACAACACGAGGTAGGGCTTGTCCCGGAAGGGCTTAGCGTCAGTATCCACCGATTCGTGGAAACATTACCCCGAGCGATGCCATGCCTCTTCACCCAGCTCTATACTCATTGGAGTAAACATGCCGCTCTTAGCGAGTGAAATTCCTCCACTGGCGAGTCTTGGGTTTCTCCGTCTCGGCATGCCATGGGCGGTGGAGAGGCCCCCGAGGCCTCGGAACAGCATTAGTGCGCCGAACACCATGGGGATTGGCGGAATGACCAGCATAAAGCGGGGATGAGTGAATCCGGGGACCAGACCGGGGATCGTGCAGCGCGCGGCGTGGTTCGACCTGAAGTTTGGCCCGCGTTGGAGCTCGGTTGACGCGTGCATGGGAGTAGGCCGTGGGCAATCTGATGTGCTGGTATAAAGGCTTGGTAGGACCACCGTTCGCGGATCGCGCATCGTTTACTGCAGCTGCTGCTTGCGCTTCAAGCTTGACAAAATGGCGCTTCCTCCTAAGTGGTACCAGGTATGGCGAGACATGCGGGACATTGATGTGGCGACGGCGAATTGATTGCATACAGTTTCTCGTGGGTGTTTTCGCCTCCCTCGGATCAGTCCTTTTCGGTTATGACTTGGGTGTTATTGCTCAAGTCATCGCGTCGCCATCCTTCGCCAAAGAATTCAATGACCCCAAAGCCAATGAGACGGGCGCTGTCGTGTCCGTCTTCACGGGAGGTGCTTTCATCGGAGCTGGTGTCGCCGGTGTCCTGGCTGACAGGATTGGTCGCCGCTTGACAATTATGATTGGAGCCATCATCTTCTGCCTTGGTGGCGGGTTGCAAACGGGGGCTATGGCCCTGTCGTACCTATACTCCGGGCGTGCTATTGCAGGTCTCGGGTGAGTCAATTCATCCCTAACGCATGGATTATTGTTGACGAATTGGTAGTGTTGGTGTGCTTACTATGATCATTCCTCTGTACCAAGCCGAATTGGCCCATCCTAGCATCCGTGGTCGTGTCACTGCTTTGCAGCAATTCATGCTTGGCGTGGGTGCGCTCGCGGCCGCCTGGATCTCGTATGGTACCTTCACCGGATTTGCCCCCGACGACAACGGCCAATGGCGGACTAGTCTTGGTATCCAGATCTTGCCTGCCGTGGTCCTTGCCGCTCTGATTCTGCTTTTCCCTGAGTCGCCTCGTTGGCTTATCGACCAGGGCAGGACCGAAGACGGACTGAAGACTTTGGCCAGATTACACTCTCACGGCAACATCGATGATGCCTGGGTGCGCGCTGAGTTCGAGCAGATCCAAGAGACCATCACATACGAGCACGAGCATGAGGCTTCCTCGATTGGCGAGCTCTTCAGTGACCGGTCTTGCCTTCGCCGTCTCGTTCTCGCTTGCGCCATTCAAGCCTCTGTCCAGATGACTGGTGTCTCCGCCATCCAGTACTACTCTCCGGAAATCTACAAGCTCATGGGCATTGCAACCGAGGACACCCTCAAGTATCAAGCCATCTCTTCCGTGCTTGCCCTCATTGCCCAGGCCAGCTGCATCCTCTTCATCGATCGTCTCGGTCGCCGCTGGCCGCTCATCTGCGGTAATCTGTTCAACATGGTCACTTTCATCATCGCCACTGCTCTGCTAGCGAAATTTCCCCCAGGCGCGAACAACAACAAGTCTGCGGCTTGGGCATTCATTGTTATCACTTGGCTTTACAACATCTCTTTCAGTGCGACCAACGGCCCACTGTCGTGGATCATTCCTGCTGAGATCTTCGACACCAAGACTCGTGCCTACGGTGTCATGATTGCCACCATGACCTCGTTCGCCTTCAACACCATGATCGGCCAGATCACGCCCATTGCCATGGAAAACATTGGCTACAAATTCTACATCCTCTTCGTTGTAAGTTGTTCGAATTCTCCAACCAATAGCTTGCCGCTGATTCATTAAACAGGTTGGCAACTTCACCAATGCGCTCTTCTTCTGGGCCGTGCTTCCGGAGACGGCCAAGCGCCCCCTCGAGGAAATGAAGTACCTCTTCACCGAAGCTCCCTACTTCGTGCCCGGCATGAAGAGGGTCGATTACGAGACGCACGATCTCGAACACCGTGTGCAGGAAGTCGAAGCCAAGCAGGGATATACTTCGCATGTCGAGACTCACGCCTAGGACTCCTCGTCGTGTAGTCTGCGTGCCATAGGGTGAGGGTGATAAGGTAGAGCGTTCTTCTTAGCGCGAAAAGCGTTCTCTGCGGCTAGTCGCAGCAACTGAATAATACGAACTTCCCTACAGGGCAGTTTTGCAATCTCCATCGTTCTCTGCGATGTGGTCGCCCCTGCGATCTCAATCTTGTTGCACGTGAAGCCCGGCACCAGCGCGGAAGCCATGCCCGCATGTGCAGGCGTTCCAGCCGTGATAACCAGTCTGTCAGGCTCTAGACCCCGCGGACCGTGAAGCTTCGCGCGGTGTACCACTCTGACGGTCTCGCAATATTCCCACCAGGGCAAGCGAAGAACATAGCATCGATTGCAGTACGGATCAGACGGCTCTTTCGCGACGTCGATTTTGTGTTGGGCGGAACATCGGTGTAGGAAACGGCTGTTTTGGGCAAGGAAACGAGAAACGTCGATCTCTGCGATCAACTCGCGCAGGATCTGAACAATCAAGCGAATATGCTCTGCTTGGTAGGTAAGAAGAAAACCGATCACTGTCTTTCGATCCACCAGCTCTCAACGTCCTTGTTTACCGCCGTATATTTTGTGCGATCCATCGTGCATTGGCGCGCCGCCCAACAGCCTCCAAACCGCCCCTCTAGGAGGCTTCTCTAGGATTCCGTCGATTGCTGGGGAACTGACCTTTCCCACAATCAAACCTCCTTGATTCCTGTTGCATGCTTCGTGCAACCCATCCGGCTTCGGCACGCCGCTCAACAACTTCCATGCTTTCCCTCTTCGAACCCTACTCGAAGCGCTAAAATGTTGCCATGCCGAACTCGAACTTCCTGGGTCACCGTTGCATGCTTCGTGCAACCCATCCTGCATTGGCGCGCAACTCAGAAATGCCTATCTAGGAAATCTTGCAATCGTCGTAGATTGCTGAGAATATTCGGCCCGGCACGGTGTGTTTTGGTGAAACTTTCGGGTTGAAGCAGCTTCTCGGGCCGTTTTACAGGGGGGTAATTTTGGACTCCACCACACAACATAATTCCAGGAAGATACGCGGCCTATGTTCGTTGGGAAGCGTGTATGATACACAGTGTCGCCAAGAAGCTTGAGCAGATTTACGCATGAGAACGTAACAAATCGTATAGAAAGAGCCGGTTTTGAGGGCTCGGTCTTCGACGAATACTTAGGTGGACAGGTTCTCGACAGAACGCAATGGATGATGTAGGTATTGGAGGAATCCCACTGAATTTCGTGACCTTATCTGGCTCAGGCTGCTGCCTTGTTACACAGCAAGGCCGACGGTCGAATTCTAATAAACCCCATTCTTTCGTCGACACAGACCGAAGAAAATCTGACTGGATCAAGTTCATAAGATCGCACGATTCTTTTTCCGATGCTGCCAAGAATGTTGAACATTAGATGGATATGTTTATGGCCTTCCTAAGTCGGTGATAGGTGCCTTCCCAAAATACCAAGGCAAGCCTACCACGCATGCGGCCAAGTTACTCCTTTCGCTAAGAGCTATACCTGACTGGTGATGAGCATCGCTGACATGCTCGGGATAGGTTTTCGTGTCGTCTTTTCACACCAACTCTAGTAGAATCTGGTACATTCTCGCTTTCTACGTATCGGCTGATTTGATCAACTTATGTCGCTGTTGCGAAACAATAATCCACAGACTTCCAATATGAACGATACGAACAACACGAAGTCCTGCTACATCGGGATTGAGGTGTCATTCTTCTATCGATCTTGTACGAACAACATCTATTCCTCCGACGCAGTCGATTTCCTTCAAGATGTGATGGTAAGTCTTCTGCGAGGTGCTGTGGCGTTGGCGAGAAGATGAGGCGTATTGCGACGCCGAATGTGATTACTGGGATCTCAGCGGGGCACTTCAAACTGCCCGTTCAGGCACCAAACTCTGACTCTGTTGGCTGTATCAAAATTCGACCCTGCAGTCCCTCGAAGCTGGCCTCAGCCGAACCTCGGGCCGATTCGGGAGGCGCGTAGAATACGCAGTACGGGTGACACAGCAGCCATTGTGCCGTGGTACAGAATATGTGCAACAGCCACTAGGATCTTTTCAAACCACGCAGGAATATGACAAAAGCCTCAGGCGAGAGTCTTTAAATTGGCCAACTAGGGAGTACACCCAGTCTGCATGTTGGTAGCGCAGAGTGTCTCACAGCCAGTGCGAATGAAACATCGAAATGAATCTGGTCTATAGTGGAACAGGGCTGTCTCACGGCCATGCAGAGGTCTGATAGTGGAAGCGTTAAAAACTTGTGGCTAGAAATGGAGCCAAAAGTCATTGAGGTTACACGGCGTATGTAGTTCAGGGAACACTGCGGGAAAATCGAGAACAATTGCCAGGGCATTGTTGGGGTCTATGATCGGACGTGCCACAGTTGTCGAGGAGACCCAGCCCAAATCTAGCTTGTGAGTAGGGAGGGTATGTACAGCCGAGGCAAAATTTTTGCCAAGAGTGTTGATAATGCATGCTACTACTAAGTGGAACTGGATTTTTCCACACTTCTATAATGTATGCTCCAGGCTCGGGTTGAGGAGCGCAATGCCCAGGCAGAAGGCACGAGAACAGTCAAGATGGATTTCACGCCGAAGATGGAAGCCGCTGTACAACTTTTGAATCGTATTGTATATCTACACATTCTGCTCGTTGACAAACAGACCGGCCATACCCATACCAGTGCCTATGCACATGGATGTCAGGAGGATCTTCTTCTTTTGTCTCCTGCACTCGCTAAGACCTGTAGCAATCTGTCGCGCGCCTGTGCATCCTAGAGGGTGACCAAGCGCAATGGCTCCACCTCGTACATTCAGCTTCGAGTGGTCAATCTTCAGAGTGTCCAAGCAGTACACTGCCATAGAGGCGAAAGCCTCGTTGATCTCTATGAGGTCAATATCATCCAGTGTGAGGTTGAACTTGGTGAGCAGCTTTGGGATAGCAATGGTGGGACCAATGCCCATGATGCGGGGCGCCAGTCCAGCAACCGTAGCACCAACGAATTTCGCGAGGATGGGCTGGCCGAGCTCCTGAGCCTTTGATCGCTTCATGAGAAGCACGGCGGCGGCGCCGTCGGTGAGCTGCGACGAGTTTCCGCCATGCGACTTGTCGCCGTGGGGCAGGAACGCAGGTTTGATCTTCTGCAGAGCCTCGAACGTGGTTCCGTACCTTGGACCCTCGTCTTTGGTAAGAGTGACCTCCTTCTCCTCGCCAGTCTTGGGGTCCTTGACCTTGACCTGTATGGGAACGATCTCATCGTCAAACCAGCCAGCCTTCTGCGCAACCTCGGCTCTCCGGTATGACTCCACGGCAAAGCGATCTTGCCTTTCGCGAGAGATGTTGAAGTCGTTTCCGACGTTCTCGGACGTCTGACCCATGGGCTGCATGCAGTCGCGCGCTTCCTGCTTCTCAAGGATCTCGTCGAAGAAGGGGCGCTCGAGGCGGTCGCCGCCGACAGTCATCGACTCAGCACCAAGGGCGAGACCGACCTCAATGGAGCCGGTGGCGATCTGATTGGCGATATCCTGCACGGCCTTGAGACCGGAGCTGCAGAAACGGTTTACGGAGGAGCCGGCGGTGGTGTTGGGGAAACCGGCACCGAGCATGGCAGCGCGGATGTAGTATGCGGCTTTGGCGTCTGAGACCTGGACATGATGTTAGCGAATTGCTAAGTGACTTCAAGTCAATAAGAACGTACGTTGCCCAAGCAGATATCCTCAACTAGCGCCGGGTCCAGGTTCGACTTCGCGACGACCTGCTTCAGCAGCTTGACAAGGATGCCATCAAGCGGCGTGTCCTTGAGGCCTCCTTTGTGTGCCTTTGTGAGCGGCGTCCGCACTGCGAGCGTGATGACAATATCATCGGGGTTCTTGGTGGTGCTGTTGTACGACCATCAGCTTCTTCTATCTCATCTTCCCCAGAAGTTTGAGCTCGGCACCCGGGTATGCGGCGGTACTCACATTGCGCTCAGACCATTCTGAGAAGGCGAGAGCTGCGAAACGATGGACTTTAGTCGCTCGGTCATTGTGAAGATGTGCTGTAAAGGAGAATTGGATACTGGAAACAGGTGAAAGAGACGTGAATATGATAACGCGGAGAGCGTTGCGGAGGTCCTTTAACGTGTGGGGCAAAACCGGGGCCGAGGCACCTCGGGAAAATGATCACGGGTCCGGCATTTGCGCAATGGGTCGCGGCTTCTTTGAGACGCGGCCGTCATCATAAGATCGGAATAGTAATCGGAGCGCATGCGTCTATCAGAAGATGTGGAAGATGGTCTGCTCCAGCGCAAGGCTGTCCTACGGAAAAAGGTACACCCACGCGTGCCATCCGAACCTGGTCATCCGCCTGCTGCCTGGACGCGTCGCAGCACATCCCACAACTTTGTACCATCCATGGACCTATCGTACTTAGGTTTACTTAACCTCCAAGCCCTCCCTACAAAGGCGTTAAGCAGGCGCCCTTCTCTACACAATCTTATTATCAATCTTCTACGGCACTGGCATCGTCTTTGGGAAACTCTCACTCTTTCCCAACCCATCAACATACCTCGCCAACTCGAGAAGCTGCTCTCTCCACGCATGATCCAGCTATCTTACGTCGAAATACAAACACAGTGTTCCCGCCGCAATGTTTGCAAGCCCAAACTTGCCACTCACCAGAAATTCCTTCCCATTGCGCGCTGAAGCTTTCTCAGCCAACCCCTTCATTCCCCCATCAATCTTCCGCTGCTGTCTCGCTTACAAGTAGCATCTTGGGTCATCGTTCAGTGAAGAACATGCTTGTACCATGTCCTGTTTGACAAGGTCACAACAGCACAAAACATTGTGTGAGGCAGCGACACAATGTCTTTTCACTGGTTTCCTAAGGACAAGGCTGCATAAGAGATCTCTTATATCCTTTCCCAATCATTAACACTCTCAGCTCTGAACACTTTGAGGTCAACAAAAGCCTACACAAACGATCACACTCGATCCATTATAAGATCACATAAACATGCCAATTTCTACGCCACTACCGGAGCCTTTCCCTATTTCTGCCCTGGCGGAACTTCTGGGGAAATTCGCGACGGATCATAAACGCACGCGTATAATCTTTCGACTGCTGGATGAGCACCTAGTCTGGATCTCTCAATGTGCGACGGCTGATGGGGTAAATTGGGCGTCTATCATCGGTCCCGCCAACGGACCGGATATTCAAGAGTTTAGATCTACCGATCTAAGCCCTTTCCAGCTCGACTACAATCATCTCTATCGATCAGAGAATAAAGTGAGTGATAACGAGGTACTGATTCTCTGGTTCGGTGCTCGGGATAATTTCACACGTGCCCTGCAGCATCGGCTGAACACGCAACAGATTCTGGATCTTTGCGGCCATGCTGGTAGTCTGATAGAGAACCGGTTGCTACAGAAGTGGTTCATCGGCTGTGCCTGCCATCCACATGTCGTTGCACCATCTCATGTCGATCCAGCGGTAGCCCGAGCGAACCTTTCCAAGTACGTGAAGCAACCCCAATGTATTCCATACTTCGGAATTGATGTTCCACTCGAACCAGCAGCTGAGCGTACGCACAATCCGCCTCTGACCCAGCTCTTCTACCATCTAGTGAATCGTACCTGTCAACTGGACGACTCTTCGGATTGCGACGCGGACGTTCGTCACATTCTCCAACAGGTAGTGTTCCTGGCATTCGACACCTGCGACGCCATCACCGCTTGTATGCGAGATAAGCGTTTCTTCGATGCCTATTTCTCTGTAGATGAGTGGGATCCCGAGGGCGGTCTAAAGCTACGCGCTCTCAACACAGCCATCGAGCCTTTCCAAACGATGATCGGCAATCGGCACTCGGAAGTCCCAAAGCACGTCCGCCGCATCTTGGCAAGTGGGTGTGCCCATGGCGCTATCGCTTGTGCGTTGGATCTTGTTGGTCTTCATGAGCGTATGCGCCCTGGTGCTATTAGTCAAGAGGACGAGGCTTGGCTGGAGCAACTTCATGTTAGCGTTTTCGACCAGATCATCACAACTGCGAAGTCTTTGGTCGATGATCCGGATTTCGGCTCGCAGCTGGACCAAGTAATTCAAGAAGGTGGACCATCGCTAGACAATTGGCTTCCAACTCATGACTCGCTGGATACGAATTACGTTGCATGGCAATGCTACATGTTCCAACAAGAGAGCGAAGACGAGTCAGATAGCGAGGACGACGATGACGGACTCGACGACGCGCCGCAAGCTGCTCTCCTAGACGTACCGCTCGAAGCTGTGGGCCCTTCTGTTTCGGTCGACAGTGTAAGCTCCATTTCATCTGAACCCGGTGAGGACCTTTGTCCGATTTATATGGAAGACTTTCCGACCTCTACAGACAGGTGCATGAGGCTTACTGGATGCGGGCATCAGTTTCACGCACGTTGTCTTCAAGTGTGGATCGACGGTGTATTCACGTGCGAGCAAGGAGAAGCCGCTAAGGTCAGCTGTCCCTGTTGTAGACGCTTCATTTGCCATGCAAGGCCCTGCGTGGGACGTCCAAATTGAGCTTGCATCATAGCACGCAGGTCTTCGTCTGGAAGTCGTAGCTCCTCCCAATGAAATGATCCTCACAATAGGATGGAGTATAGTTTCTCGCTCATGTCTCTCATATTGCAGTAAACAAGTCCATAGCGGTATTTCCTGGAATTCTATGCATTTCACCTGAATTCTACCTCTCGTCACACTTGCTAACATCATACTGACCCTCTTTCAGGTCTAGTTTGGCCCCTTCCGTGATCCAGTCGTTTTGCCACGCTCTACTTACCTGTGCTTCAAGAATATCAATGCTTTATAACTTTACGGACCATGACTGGGCACGTCTTATGATTTAGATTGCAGGTTCCTCGTCACAAATTTCGCGTGTCAAAGGTATGGTATCGATACTGCTTGATGTTCCTAGACCATGAGAGCAAGAATAAGTGCTGAAGCGCGGAAGCGCGACCACGTTTGAAGCGTGAGTTGCATGGAAAATTAACCTTCAGTTTTCAATACTATATCTACCGCCACACGATGGGGATCTACTAGATTGACCGTGCCGTCATTCACGTGGACTCATTCTCATTAACTCAGTCTAGTCGCTCCCGATGAAAGTTGTTTAGATTTCCACGGGTTCTGTGACTAGCAAATAGGAAGGACAACTGTTGGCGGGCGAAGCTTACCTATGGTATATAGCAGACCTGGGCCTTTGTGCAGTCACCACAACCAGGATTATCGTACATCTACCGAGTATGGCGCCCACATGTCGCCCGAAGTACCATCACACAAAAGAAATACCAGTTTCCGGTTGTGACTGTATCGACTGCATCATGAGTGAGTCCTGGCTGGCAGCTATTCCTCCGGATCAGCAGCCGGTGAAGCAAGACACGGGTTCCAAAAGACTCAAGTCTCCCGTTCCCAAGGAAAAAGATTATAATTATCAGAGCACGACTAAGGGCCTTGTAGATTTGCTGTTGATGAAGAATACTGATGCTGCACCCAACAATCAATTAAAGGCAGATACTGATGCGCAATCGAAAACCCCTACCGAGATGACCCAAGTCTTCGCCAGCTTTCAGGCGAAAATGAAGGAGAATGCACACGCTGCAGCTATGCGGAAGCATGATTTTGGTCAGAGAATCGATAGCCGCACTGGACTTGTATTATTACAAGCCAACAACCCGGGCGAGATTTGCAAGTATTTCAACAATGGCATCGACTGCACGAACGACCATTGCATGCGTAAGCATATCTGCTCGACGTGTCACCGCATTAGCCACGGCGCGCACGAGTGCACGATCGACTTGGATGCAGCCCAGGAGAAAGTCAATAACAACTGGAAGCCTAGCAAAGAGACAAAGTTTATATAAACCTTCAAAGAATGGATAAATTTGTGAGCGACTATCAGGTTATATGTTATTAAACATGTTAAGTGGATTCACATATAATATTATGAATTCTGGGTTTATTTTCTTCGTATTTGGGCTGTTACCATTAGCATTTATAATTGCATCCTCTGGTCTTGAATTAGGAATTGCCTTTATAAAATCACTAACCTATAAATTTAAGTTACTTATGAAACTTTGGTTCTTTATTGGCAGTTTGTTTAATTATGCAAATAATAACAAAGCCGACCCAACCGTCGATCCACAAATGTTCAACAGCGCCCAACCATCGACAGCCAAAGGAACACACATCGGTATGTCCTCGAGATTTCTTTTTAGGCCATCAGGATTGATCGATACTAATAACTTGCAGCATATCTGCCACAATCTTGACAAGTCGACCGGAAGCAAATGGACCACATGCCGACGCCAGTATGTATGCCTCAATTGCCACAGCTCAAATCATCCCATTCTAGCATGCACAGGCTATGCCAATTATGTCTGCGACAGATTCAACATAGAAACAGGATGCTTGTATAAACATTGCAGACGCCGACATGTATGCAGCAATTGCGACAGTCCTCGTCACAACGTCTTGGCATGCACGAACTATACGTATTATGTTTGTGAGATGTTTAACAAAGGCGAAGGCTGTATGTGGCCTGGCTGCAAGCGTCAGCACATATGCCGGCGGTGTGGAAGTGCAGAGCATGAACTGTTGGCATGTCCGAAGTAGCTCTTATAACACCTAGGTCGTGAAGGATGGTTGGTTACTCTTCAATAGTGACATATGCGCGTTGAAGGTAGTAAGGTTGGAATTCATGCATATGGGTGGCTTGCGCATGTACAAGATAGTCGGCAAGGCTCACTCTGGAACCCTCTAGATAAATGAGGATCTCAATCAAACGTTCCATGCTGTGCTGTGATCTTGATTAGCAAGCTGAACAAGATGCACATGATGATGGCTCCGGCATATCCGAGACAAAGTAAAATCGAAGTGTATTTACAAACTGGACTGCAGTATTTACTGACGACCATCAAAATTATATATATACGAATAGAATCTGCGCCTCTACATCGCGCGGTCTTTCCCTCCTCACGTCTACAAAACATTAGATAGCATGGATGATGTAGATTTAGACCTTGCCAACACCAGCAGCATTCTGGATGGTGCTCGCGCTCGCCGTAGCAACGCTGGCAACGTTCTTGCCCTTGAAGTTGCTGAGGAAGGCAGTGTCAGTGCCACCCAGCGTACCCGAACTACCGAAAGAGTTCAACTGGCAAGTATGGCCGAGGTTGGCGCTGCAAACCGCGTTCGCGCTCGTGGTCGGGCTGCCGAAGAAAGATCCCTTGTTCTCGAGTAGAGGTGTGACGACGTTCTGGAAGATGTTGCCCTCTGCGACGACCATGCTGCCGGCGCCGTTGTCGAACGCGTGCCCGCTGTTGGCATACCAGTAGTTGTTTACCGCATGAATGAGTGAGTTTCCGCCTGTCTTGGGGCTGCGGCCGGAGGTGTGGTGGATGTAATTGCCCTTGAGGGTGACGAGGTCGGAGGAGCCCGTCAGATAGATAGTCCAGTAGTGGTGGCCGTCGCAGGTGGCGGACCAGGAGGTCACGCCGTCGAACTCGTTGTTGGAGATGGTAACGCGGTTGGAGGCGCCGTTACCGAGGACAACCATTTGGCGGCCGATGAGGGAGAACTTGTTGTGGTCTGGAGTCATTAGATGTGGTGGTGGGAAGGGAAGGGAGGTGGGGCTTACCGATCCAGACCTGGTCAGAGCCGTCAACGGCAATGGCATCACCACCCCAGATGTACTGCGGGTTCAGCTCGGTGATGTGGATGTTTTGGATGATGACGTTCTTTGCGCCGTTGGCGATGCGGAGACCCTTTCCACGGAGGACACCCTTAGAACCAACGCCGATGATGGACTTGTTAGAGCCGACGGTGAGACCGCTGATACCGGCTTTGTCGTACGTGACGCTGATGGTAGTCGAGCCTGTACCAGCATTACCGTTAGTGCACCAGCTGGCCTGGTTGATGGCATCCTGGCCACCGTTTCCGGGGCACTTGTTCGATGCAGGCCTGCAGCCGTTCTCGGTGACGGTGCCCTCAGTGCTCTTGAAGTTGAACTCCTTGTCGAGGACAATGCAGCGGGCGGTGCTGTCGCTGAGCCAGGACTTGAGCTCAGAGGTGCTTGAGGGAACAGCGCAAGCAGCGGAGCCTCCTCCAGTGACGCCCTTTGCGAAACCTAATTGATGCTTAGTTAAGCATTCATCCATCGAACATGGTGAACCAACCTTCGGCGGCACCCTTAACCGCATAGGTAGCCCTTTCTGCAATAACACCAGCCTCAACAGAGACGGCGCTCGCAAGCGCAAGAGCAGCGGTGAACTTCATGTTTGCTAAAAAGATTTAGAGAATGGACGCTCCCTGAGCAATAATAACGAATGACTGTCTAGAAGAAGAAGACTTTAAAGAGTGAATGTATCTGATGTCCCGAGGGCGTGACCAGAATCCTTCCATGGCAGTATACACCTCTATCTTATGTGGACGGCAAATTACAGCCTCGTCTCCTCTAGTGAAGGACCTCGATAATTAATCCGCCTCTGGCAATCTTGCGCCGGTGGCGACCATCGTGAGAACAGGGATGAGCTGTCGTTCTCTGTCAAGTGCCGGGTAGTGAGCTGCGCTATCGACGGGTAAGGGGCGTGCGTTGAAGTTCTGGGTGCAATGGTCGGCTTAATCGGCCAACTTAGCGTGCACCAGTGTTTCGGAGACCTGGTAGGGCTCGGACGAATCACGAAAATGGTGGTGCGCCGAAATGCTGGCATGCCACGCTATCGATGTAACTTTGCTGCATTTTGTTTGGTGCCAAATTTCAGATTCGCGTTGGGGGGCAGGCCTGATCCGCGTGACGGGTGGTAGGGGTGAAGGATGTTCCGCCACTTGGCGGTTGTACAAGAACACCAAGCTATCAACGGTGGGCACGTGCGAGCAAGGTACCGAACAAGGGATTGCCGAGAGCGTTTGGACGTGCGTGAATGAGAGGGGTAGATGCGATGCTCGGTCAGCCCCCCCTTCACGCTCCCTTATCTCTAATTCTCTGCCAACCTGGCCAGCGCCTCGCCCTCAGCCCGGAGTCCTACCCACTCCTTCTTCCGCGTTGCACCCAGACTCTCGTAGAACTCCAAGCTCGGTGTGTTCCAGTCCAAGCAGCTCCACTCGAGCCGCTGCCCATTGATCCTGATCACTTCCTTCGCACAGGCCTTGATCAGCGCTTTGCCGTATCCCCGCTTTCTGTACTTTGGCTTGACGAAGAGGTCTTCGAGGTATACACCAGGGACGCCAGTCCAAGTGCTGTAGTTGTAGAAGTAGAGAGCCATGCCGGCGATCTCATTCTCGGGAGCGACGAGGAGAAATGTGCGCGCATAGCCAGGGCTGAAGGAGTCGGGCGCAGAAGCATCGTGGAACGCGAGCGTGTTTACGAGGATCTCGGGGGTCGCTTTCACGGATGATACGGCCTTCTCGTATTCCGCGAGCTCGATGATGAGACCATGGATCGTTTGCACATCTATGGAGTACGTTAGACATGCTGGAGATCAGGAGCATAGCTTTATTAGGACCACAGTGCACAGATCATGTTTCGCGCCGTCCCGCCTGAAGCAATTCGCGCCACGGTGCGTGTGCAGCCTTGGTCCCTCAGCTGTGTCTGCGCGTACCTTCACGCGTCGCGTGGCGAATGGTATACCCGTCGGAAGCCATGAGCGCTGTTAATTTTGTGCGGTAGGCTTGGCTTGAGGTGGAGTGGATATTTATTCCGAACCAATGCGCCCTTTATGATGCGCTAGGTTCTTGCGCGCCCTACGTTCTGATCGATCTGTTGTTTACGTCCGTTTTGCGAGGGGTACTAGCCCCACTTGCCGAATGGATCCTGTCCTTGGCCCAGATCTTCTTTGTTGCTATTCGAACGGGGTGATCTGGCGGTAGAAAGTCGACATAAAATGGCACGACAGTATACTTTTCTTTCTTGCCTTTCGCTTTCTGGTAGTCTGCGAGGCTGGAGTTGAGGAATTGCTTCACGTCTTCTTCCTCCTTGGCGAGTGAAGAATCACGTTGTTTGAGGAGATTGCCTTTCTCGTCTACTCCAGCAAAGAGATCATCATGGTGCGCTTCGGAGTTTAACTCGGAGTTCATCTCGTTCAGTCGATTACCCCATACCGACTCCCATTTCTTGTATCGATCGTTCCACTCCAGCTTACTGCTGTACGTCAGAATTGCGGCATACATGCGTCTCATAAAGCGCGCATCTATACGACGCGGACGGATGCATGCATCGGCCTTGCTTGGTTTCTCTAGAATGAGAGCGTCCTGCACCCGCTTCGCGAATCGATCTGCCTCTGGTAGCTCCTTTGAAGGATGGAGCTCAATCGCTGGCGAACGGCGTTTGACCAGGCTGATCTTTTCTTTTCCATGCGCCATGGCTTGTATTTGATCGAACTCCTCGGCGGGTAACGGTGGGAGGAATCGCGTCATGGTTTCGGCGTACCATCTCCTGACGTTGTTTCGAGCTCGTCTGATAGGCATCGGACGCTCCCATACGTTATTAATGGGCGTGTGGAGATGCGGCCGCTTGATCTCGCGTCCCAGTGCGATCTCGTTCTGGACTTGAGACTTGATTGCGGTTTTCAATCTGCGATAGCGGTCCGAGATCTGGATGTTGTGATGCGTGGGGCTCGCTTTCTTCGGAGCGTCGAAGAAAGAGAGATATCGCTCATTGCTGTAATAGAGCTTCTGCAATGGCGAAGACTCTTCCACTGCTGGAGGGTCATCTGGACGCAAGAGATGTTCCAACAGCGCGTATTTGCGCTCGCCTATGCGCCCATAGGTAAAGTAAAGTATCTTCTGGAGGCAGAGATACTCTCCATTGTTGGCGCGCCGCAGGTAGTTTAGCCCCTTCTTGCCTCTATGCTGCATTTCGCGTGTGCGGTCCTGGATGATAGAGATGTCTCTTCGCTTGCCGAAGCCGTGGCGTTCCTTCTCCACGGCCTTCGCATGGAACGAAGGCGAGGCATTATGGGCGGGCTGGTAGGCTCTGAAGCGGTTTACGATGTAGCGGCGGAAGTACTGACGGGCGTTCGCATCAGGCAGGTACGAGGCTTCGCGGAGGAGGGCGCGTAAGAGGTGGATAGATTTGAGGTTCGACACCGTCTGCTGCGGTAGCGGTGCCTGCATCAGGAATGGCCGTACGTGCTGCAGCAAGCTGGGACATCTGGAGCGATGATTGTCGAGCCGGCAAACGCGTCCAATCAGCGCGGCCCAAGACGCGCACCCACGCACCCACGCACACGGTGAACGCGCCTGCCCTCTCCGCCCGGCCAGGCCGTCGCGACCGATTCCCCACCGCAGTCGACATCCTACACCGCCCAGCACCTCGTCAGCCCGCATTCTGCGGCATACACAAACACAGCGAGCGCGTCAACCTTGCTGCTCACCTCTCGACCCATCGCCAGCCCGTCGCGACGCCCACCACGCCCGGATGCGCAGCGCCGACTGACCGCCGCTTCACACGCACACTCCCGCCGCAGCATGCAAGTCGCGCGCGCAAACGTCGCCCAGTCCTTCCCCTCGGGCTCGTCCTCGCAGCCCGCCATGTACGCCAACTCGCCGCACGGCATCATGGCTGCTCCTTCCTTCAACCGCTCCTTCTCCGACGCCAATGGCTACCAGCAACACTCGATGGATAAGCCCCAGATATATACCGTGCGCATGCCGAATGGCCTCTTCAGATACGTTTGCTAACCTCTCCAGGCTGTCTACTCGGGCGTTTCTGTGTACGAGATGGAGGTCAACCGCGTCGCCGTCATGCGCCGACGCTCCGACGGCTGGCTTAATGCGACCCAGATTCTCAAAGTCGCTGGCGTTGACAAGGGCAAGCGCACAAAGGTGCTCGAGAAAGAGATATTGGTAGGCGAGCACGAGAAGGTCCAGGGTGGCTACGGCAAGTACCAGGGTACATGGATCAACTACCGCCGGGGGAGGGAGTTTTGTCGCCAATATGGCGTCGAGGATATTCTCAGGCCATTGCTAGATTACGACGTCAGCGCAGACGGCAACGCCGGACAGGGCATCGAAACGCCGACCAAGGAACAGGCCATGGCAGCAAACAGGAAGCGCTTCTACACTCAAAGTATGGATGGCCGTGGAGGAACTCAAAGTGTGGGCGGTACCTTCTTCTCCAACATCTCGTCCACAGCCACAAGTGCGCTCGCGGCCATGAATAAAGTGGCAAGATTGAACTCACCCGCCCCGCCCCGCCCAGCGAGCTCATCCCAGGGTCGCAGGTCCATGGGCCGACCGTCTCAGAATCCCATCGGAAGCCAGGACTCATTCCGCGCAAGCAGCCAGCAGAGCGTCCAGAGCCTAGCATCTGAACGCAGTTTTGGAGCTACCAATGGCCACACGGACTCCGCATATGGCACCGGCGTCGACGACATACAGGAGCCGCCTCGGAAAAGGATGCGCCCGTCACAGGAGGAATCTTTTTCGCTTTCGCAATCGCAGCCCAATGGAGGAGATGTGGTCATGCAAGATCATGGCTCTCCTACGGAGCCGAACGACTCTTTCTATCAGACAGGTCTGCCTGTCAATACACCCGACGGGGACGTGTCAACTGCATTACCACCGTTGCCTCATCCCAGTGATAAGATCTCTGAGGAAAAACAGGCTATGCTGACTGATCTCTTCGCGGATCAGTCAAGAACTGACTTTACAAATCACCCCGCGATACTCCATCTCTCTGGATCTGACCTCGATATGCCAATTGACAACAGCTCGAACACTGCTCTGCACTGGGCGGCAACATTGGCACGTGTGTCCCTGATGCGTCTTCTCGTTTCCAAAGGCGCAAATATTTTCAGAGGAAATGCGGCAGGCCAAACGCCACTAATGAGTGCCGTTGCGGTAAACAACAGCCTTGATCATAGCTGTTTCCCGGAAACCCTTGAAATACTGGCTCCCCTCATTGAGCTACGCGATGCTCAAGGACGGACAATCCTGCATCATATTGCAGTCACGTGTGCTATCAAGGGTCGAGCAGCCTCGAGCAAATACTACCTAGAGGCACTTTTGGAGTACTTAGTACGAAGCAACATTGGCGCCAGCCAAGCTGCTTTTGAAGGCACCGGCAATTACGCGAAACCCATCGGCCTGATGCGGTTCATGCAAGACATGGTGAACGCTCGGGACAAGGCTGGCAATACGGCACTGAATCTTGCAGCGAGAATTGGAAACCGGAACATAATATCCCAGCTGATGGAGGTCCAAGCCGACCCTACAATACCAAATCACAAGGGCACACGCCCAATAGATTTTGGTGTTGGCAATGACGCAGATGCCGATGTCCCCACAACCATTAGCAGTCCGAGTAAAGGGAAGGTGCCTCTAAGCAAAGTGGAGGAAACTAGTCGGGAGATACAGCCGCGTAGGTCTTCTTTAACATTCCGATAACCTTCTACTAATTGGATGCAGTCATGAGCGGCATACTACAAAGTGCAAGCATGCAATTTACCCAGGAAGCCCGCTTGAAACAAGACAACATTGACCGCACCAACGAAGCCATAGCCCAGCTCTCCGCCCTTCAAAAAACAGAGCAACAACGACTAGAAAGTATAAGAGCGCGTATGCGAGTACGACAGGACCGCGCGAAACGCGTATCAAACCTCAAGCGATGGGTCGACCTTCAACGCAAAAGCCTTGCTGTAAGCACAGATGCAAATCTTCGAGACAAGCGCCAGATCGGCTACGCCGATATTGAAGGCTCGAATCTCGCCATCTCAGCATCAGACCTCCCTAACCAGCTTCTCGTCGCTGGCGATCATCTCATCCGCAAGGCCTCCGATGGACCCGCCTACCTGAATACGCCATTGCCAGCAGACGCGGCCTTCCTCACGCAAACAAACACGAACACACTGGCCAACTTGCCAAGTATAGCGACTCTGAGGAGTAAGTTGGAAGTGTATACCAAGATCAATAGCAAATTAGCGGAAAGAAGTAGTATGCTGAAGGAAAAGGACGGGCAGTTGGAAGTCATGTACAGGAAGGTCGTTTCTCTATGCACCAAAGTCGACGAAGACAGAGTGGACAGCGTGCTGGACTTGTTGGTGCAGGCGCTGGACAGTGATCCGTTGGAGGGTGCGGATGTGGGGCGAGTAAAAGAGTTTTTGAGAAAGGTCGAGGGTGTTGAGGTGTAAGGATGTGAGACGTCCTGCGCTCCAAGTCTTTCAGTCTCAGCGAAACCAACAAAGGATGTGTCGTTCCACGCGGTCCTTGTTGTGTCAATAGGCTTCCACAGCTACACATGTAGCGTTGGCGTAGACGGTGTCGTTCTTCGCTGTATATATGCCACCATGATGGTCAATCATCGGAAGCATTCCAGTTTATCATCCTTCGATCTGTCAACGCGCTTGTGTGATCTACCTCGTTCAACATTTTTGAGACAGTGACACACGGGCGGTCGTCCTATGCGAGGATAGCTAGAAGCATGATCGTAAAACGGGAAGCAAACAAGCACCTGGAGCACGCCAAGAATCGAACCAAGATCACACTGAAAGCACAAGGGCAACTATCGCGCCTTACCACGGGACCACGTGCTCTTCTTTTGTTGATTCGAGAAAAATTACTGGTTGGGGTATGATCAGGTTGACTCGTGGATGGGAAGATCCTTCAAGGGTAGGGTGTAGAATTGAAAGGAGGGGAGACATGCTCACCAACGACGAGACGGAGACCTTACGTGGTTTGAGTGCATGTACCGCCGGCAAATGCATACCAGAATGTTGTAGAAATCCCACAAAGAGACCGTTTGGAACACGCCTCTGAGTCTCTGCCAGCGGTTTTACAGCTTGTGCATTCGCACAGCTTCTGGTACAGCGCTCTGCCACTAGACCACGTGCCCCTCCCCCCGATTAATCGTTGCTAAATGACCTTGTATAGGGATGCATAGACAGGGGCCGGGATAAGCCGGTACTTCTTCAATGCTACCTGTGGAGGGGCAGACCGCGCTGAATTCTGGCTTGCTACATCATTGTCGGAAACTGTGTTATTCAGAGTTAACTCAGGAGGACCAATGCAACACTCAACTTGCCAGCAAGACACTGTATCTGCGAATACAAGGCTACTACTGGCGTTACCATTGATGGTTTTTAGAAAGAAGTATGAATGAAATGCGACGAGTCGGATAGACCCAAAAGCTGGTCTTACTGAAAGTAAAGAATTATCTGTACAGAAGAGCTTGAGATGGGATTCAACGGTACGTGACCATATCAGACATTCGAAAATCTCATCTTGATGGGGTTTTTGGCCCTTGCCAATGGTCAATCAGTGAACTTGCCAGATGATACTGACTCTTCCTCGCAGCGTAAATGGGTAGTCTCACATTTTCTTGCAGAGATGGCCTGCGCGATTCCGTGGACTGGAGACGTGCTATTGGCTGGATGATGGCGGGGAAGGTATGTTGTGCTACAATGCCAACAATCCCCGAAAGATCTAGACTTTGCCTGCTTCTGCTGCGTATCCTTGATAGGACATAGATTGTCACGCTGAAGTGAGACAGATAGAACTGCGACCATAACAGTATACACTGTGTTGCATCTTTTGAGAGTGCTCGTCAAAGTACTGCTGCAACCTATACACATGGCTGTCATTTCTTTTTCTGATAAAAGCAAGTTCCTAAGCCTTACCGGTCGTGGAAATGCGGCACTCGCCAATTTGGTACCACTGCAGTGGATCTTCATGCAGCAAATTCCCAATGAAACCATACGGGTCACATCCTATGGAGTTCCGACTTTTTGGAGTGATGTGCGTATGCATATCGAGTTACATCTTGCGATAAGCACTGTGAGCAATATACTGCTGCCTAGTCGCTGTTCCCCATTGTTCTACCTGCGAAAGAGTAACAGAAACTTGCGATTGTGCAGTATCAACATCACCAACTTAGACAAACACGGCCTATCGGACCTTTGAGTGCATCATTGCACTCAACTAGCCGTGCATATCTCACAGGTATGATGCATGTTGGGACTCGACGAGGCAACGGAGGGTTTCGTGGTAGTCCGCGCGGAGGAACCAGTTGGCGCGGACGAGGACGCGGAGCATCAGGGGGATTGTCGGACAGTCACGGAATATGTCGTTTCTATCAGCTGAACGGCTCTTGCAAGTTCGGGGTAACGTGCAAGTTCTCGCACGACAACATACCAAAAAGAGAGAAGAAGCCAAGAGAAGAGGAAACCGCCGCACAACTCCAGGCAAGAGGCGACTACAACTACTGGAAAAGGTTCCTCAAAAGCCCTCCACGTACAAATGGCGAAAAGACAGCCCTTCAGCTTTGGAGTGGTGCCTTAAAGATACTCGACGGAGATGAAAGAGAGTGGAAACAGATGCTCCCGAGAGATCTTGACAACGAGGAGACCTTTGGCAGGCTGCACATCAAGGACACCATGTCCGTGCGATCGCGACTTACAGACTATAATGGATCTATCGAAGTAGCGTTAGCATTCCTTCGAACCATCACTCACCATGCAATCCTTGACTGCCTCTCCGTCGATACATACGTGGGCAGTATGTACAATTTCGTCTCCGGAGCCAACGGTACGCGCGCGATCCCGTTCTTCCAGCATGTCAACGAAATTATTGGCAAGGCGTATGGAGACGTAATCACACCAGGCATTGCTGCGAAGGCGGAGCAGTTGGTGATTGCCACGTCTCTGGCACTCCGCGAGATCCTTCGGAGGGAGTCACGAGCCCGCTTCAATGAGCATTTGCCTTCTCTTCTGGATTCGATTGAGAATTTGGTACAGATGATCTGTGAAGCACAGTCGCAGGCCTGTACGATTGTAACTCGACACGTGGTGGAGATGCGTGCGGTTGTGGACCGCGCGAACAGACTTTTGACGCAAGAGGACGATGTGCAGGAGCTACTCCAGCCTTGCGCCGCTCCTTCCTCTTACCCCCGAAGCATCCAAATTCCTCAAGATAGATACGACAATGACAAAGCAGATGTTTCGCAAATGGAGATTTTCCCTACACGAGAGGAAATTCTAACCGACGTACCCGATTTCCTACCGCTCACAGATAAGGATCAGCCTCACTTTATCGTCGAGCCAGTCCAACGACACATTGACACCAATTTCCGCCTCCTTCGTTACGACACTTTCGGGGAGCTCAAGGAAGCCTTGGGAAATCTTATGCATGCCATTGAAGCAGACCCAACGTCCTTGAAGAACCCAAGACTCAGCTTTGGTGATTTCCGCGCCTCTCATTACACCAATTGCTACATTAGTTATCTTTCATTCGACCAGCGGCGAGGTCTAGAAGTCAAGCTATCCTTTCCACAGCTGCAGAATCTACGTGGCAAATCTCCATCTGAACGACGCAAGTGGTGGGAGGACAGCAGGCGATTAAGTGAGGGCATACTTCTCTCGTACATAACACTACACGAGGATGTCGTTCAGCACATTTTCCTCACTGTCACACTGCGAGAGACAGACAACCGGAAAGAACACAGCCTCACGAACGAGGAACGCCATGTGACCATCACCGCGAAGTTAGCACGACATAATCAAAAGGATGTCGAAACACTTGTTCGTCTCAGTTGCGAAAAGACGCGAGGGGTATTGATTGAATTTCCGGGAGTGCTACCAGCCACATTCATGCCGGTATTAGCGAACCTTCAAGAGATGAATCGTATAGGACGCCTGCCCTTCCAACAGTGGATACTGCCTGGTAGAACTCAACCTCTGAATCGAGCTGCAAAGGTGGACATTCCACCGCCACTGTATGCTCGGGGTGCTTTTCATTTCTCCTTGGAGCCAATCTTGAAGGTCAATGCTCTTGGTGGTGGAGATCTTCGCATCAATCCAGCTTCGGTCACTCTCGACGATCCAGAAATTATCCGCGAGATGGAGATAAGGACGGAGTTAGATCTTGGTCAATGTCATGCACTGCTTGCAGTACTGTCCCGCGAATTTGCGTTCGTTCAGGGCCCACCTGGCACCGGAAAGTCTTTCCTTGGTGTTCAGTTGATGAAAGTCCTCATGGAATGCAAGACGAGGGCTAGCCTTGGCCCTGTTGTCGTAGTGTAAGTGCCTCGACTGTTTCCTGACATACGTAAGCTTACCATGACTCGAGTTGTTACACGAACCATGCCTTGGACCAGTTCCTTGAACACTTGATCGAAACAGGTATTCGGAAGATCGTTCGCCTCGGTGGTCAAAGTCATTCGACCTTACTGGAGGATCATAATCTCCGGAAGGTAGCTCAAGCCGAGTCGAAGACCCGGTCAGAAGGTTATATCTTGGGAACATCATACGATGCCTTGGAAAAAGAGACCAAACGCATTCAAGGAAGTTTAGGAAAGATACATGGTGCCAATCGGGCCGAGTGGAAACACCTACAGTATCATCTTGTTAGGAGGTACCCCATGATCTACCGACAGTTCCCGCAGATGGACGAAGATGGTTTCGAGGTTGCTGGTCGTCATCCATTTGAGATCTGGGCGTCCAAAGGAATCACACCAATCGATGCCGTCGCAGCTGAAGAAAATGCGTCGGCGTTGCGTGGAGATGATGTCCTACTTGAAAAGGCAGCGCGCGATGTGCATTCCTTGACGCGTGTCGAAAGAGGTATGATCCGGAACATATGGGCTCAAGAGATGCGGGACGATGCGCTGGACGACGTTTTCGAAAAGGTCAAGGACACTGAGCGTATTCAGAGGCAGATCACCAACGTGCATGATGAGATCGATCGACGGGTGCTGCAAGATGCAGATGTAATCGGCATTACAACTACCGGCCTGGCTAAGCGTATAGCCACCTTGCAGCGTGTGAGATGCAAAGTCATTATCTGTGAAGAAGCAGGGGAGGTGATGGAACCCCATATGATATCCGCGCTTCTTCCAGCTGCGGAGCATTTCATCCAGATTGGCGACCACGAACAACTACGTCCACAGATCAACAATTTCAAAGATCTGTCGCTCGAAAGTCGGAAGGGTCTATCGTATCAGCTGGATCGCAGTCAATTCGAAAGACTGTCAGTCGGCGAGCCTGGAAGACTCCGAATGCCAGTTGCTCAGCTCAACGTCCAGCGACGTATGCGTCCAGAGGCCTCAAGACTGATTCGAGAAACGATCTATCCTGGATTGATTGACCACCCTAGCGTTAGTGTACAGCCTGACGTTGTGGGTATGCGAAAGAACGTTTTCTGGATGGATCACGACCAGTTGGAAGACAACCAACGACCAGACATGCATCACAAATCATACTCTAATGTGTGGGAGGTAGATATGGTCCATGCAATGGTTCGTCATATTGTTCGTCAGGGAGCATACAAGAGCAGCGAGATTGCTGTGTTGACACCTTACACTGGACAACTCCAGAAGCTTCGTGCGGCCATGCGCGATGACTTTGAGATCGTTCTCAGTGACAGGGATCAAGAAGCACTTGATAAAGATGGCTTTCAAGATGATAATAACGATCCCCTAGCGAACAAGCAAAGTGATCTCGCCAGTCACAGGAAGGCGCCTCTCACGAAAAAGAAATTGAGCGATCTGCTGAGGGTGGCAACTGTTGATAATTTCCAAGGCGAAGAAGCTAAAGTTGTCATCATCTCCCTAGTACGGAGCAACGATATACCGAAGGTCGGATTCTTGAAGACCACGAATCGTATCAATGTCCTTTTGAGTCGAGTTCAGCACGGCATGTACCTCTTCGGCAACGCAAACACGTACTCGTACGTTCCCATGTGGGAGAAAGTTATTGACATGCTTCGAGCGAGCGAATGCGTCGGGAAGACCCTAGAGCTTCGCTGTCCCCGGCATGAGGAAACTCCAATCCAAATATACGATCCGGATGACTTTTCAAGGCTCAGCCCTGAAGGAGGTTGTCGTGAAGCATGTCCGTGGCGTCTCACGGACTGCGGACATATGTGCCAGGCCCGATGCCATTCCGAACGCATGCACGAGGTTTTCTCGTGTCCACAACCGTGCCAGCGTCTGCACGATCCATGTCGGCATCTATGTCAAAAGAACACATGCGGGGAGAACTGTGGAAGTTGCCTTGTCAAGCTAGACAATGTTGAGCTTCCTTGCGGCCACTTCCATTCCGGCGTACTTTGCCATCTTGCGCAGGTTCCGGATCTGATCCCTTGTAGCGTACAAATGGAGAAGATTGTGCCTGGTTGTAACCATGTCGTACAGGTATTATGTGGCAAAGATGTGACTACCGAGGAATACAAATGCCCAACGCCATGCTCTCACCTTCTGGAGTGCGGGCATCCGTGTCCTGCCACTTGCGGTCAATGCAAGCCCAAACCTGGGGAAGCGATCGCAACTCATCAAAAATGTCGCAAACTCTGTGGAAGGAAAATGCGGGCCTGCAATCATATTTGTCGGAAGCCGTGCCATGAGGGAGAAGACTGTGGCACGTGTTCGGCGCCTTGTGAAGTCCGATGTAAACACTCCAAGTGCACCGCACGTTGTTCCGAGGCATGTGCACCTTGCGTGGAGCCCTGTACGTGGAGCTGCGAGCATCAAGGATCCTGTACGATGCCCTGCTCTGCTCCTTGTAATCGGCTACCTTGCGATACTAGATGTTCAAAGGCTCTGAAGTGTGGCCACCAATGTCCTGGACTTTGCGGTGAAACTTGTCCAGAGACGCTCTGCCAGAAGTGCACCGAGAAACAAGACAGTCGAGTCGATCTTTACTTGATGAAGACGTATGTCGAGATCGACATCGATGAGTACCCTATTGTTGTCCTCGGATGTGGGCATTTTTTCACGGCTGAAAGTCTGGATGGCATGATTGGACTTACCGAAGTATACACTTCCGACAAATTCGGGCAAATTAACGGGCTTGTGGACATCTCTGGTTCCCTCGTCATTCAGATTCCTCGATGTCCGGACTGTCAACTCCCAGTGAGACAGTACGTCACGCAAAGATACAATCGTGTCATCAATAGAGCGGTTATTGATGAACTGTCAAAGCGATTTCTCGTCAATGGGCAGGCGGAACTGAGGAATCTTGAAAAGCGGGTGGCCGCTATTGAGAAAGAGTTGGAGATTTCCCGCGCTGAGATCACTATCTCCAATCAGACAAATAATGGTATCCTTCCTCTAGCTCGAGGAAGCACAGACGCACAGAATAGGGCTGTAGTATTCAAGAAACTTCAAAAACGATATGGCGCATCTTTCAAGTTGGCAAAAGATGTCGCGTTGTTTCTTAGAAAAGTCGCAGATCGCCACCAACCCGCGCAGAAGCTCCACGAAGCCACTGTCCATGCAATCGCAAACATCCGATCAAGCACGCTTGAGGACGCAATTGCATCGCTTGGCATGCATGAAACAATACCGTTAGTCGAGCGTGATCGCCGCGTTGTATTAGGTGGGCGTATCCTGCAAATCAGAATCGACTGCATGGTACTCGAGGATAAGTTCCGCATCCCACAAGCGATCAGAAAAGACGAAGCCAACCCAAAACTCCCAGGCGGTCTACCAGAGACCCTGACTGGCTCGTTCCTCACATCTTGTAGTACCTTTATACGGGAGAGTACGACCGCCAATATCCCTAAGCTTGCCGTCGAAGCCTCGCTTTACTTCGCCACAGTAGCAGGAATGTATCAATCCTCAGGTCTCACGCAGGAAATTGATAAAGCGAAAGCGGCCGATTATGCAGCCGAAGCCAAGGTTCTCCTCGAAACTGCTCTTGAGAGCTGCAAGCTGCCGTTCCAGAATGCGGACAAATTAGCCATGGCGGTGGAGGAGAGTCTCGAGCTGCTGCGTCGGTCGCGGTACGAGGATGTTACAGCGGAGGAGCTGGCGATGATCAAGACAGCAATGGTGTCAGGCTCCAGGGGCATTGCGAGTCATTCGGGGCATTGGTACAACTGTGTGAATGGGCATCCGGTGAGGAATGAAACTTGTGTTATACATCACGCATGCGCTAACATACGTACAGTTCGCGATTGGTGAGTGCGGTATGCCAATGGAACGTGCACGGTGTCCGGAATGCGGAGAGCCCATCGGAGGATCAAACCATACAGCTGTAGTTGGCGTGACTCGGGCGGTCAACATGGAAGGATGAGATGTACCGATTGCAAATTTGGTGACAAATCGTAATGAGTATTGATTGCTTAGGTATGAGAGGGAGAGATGCATTGTGAGACCAGTCCAGACCGTCAACTCATTGGGATGAGATTTAGATTGTTAGGAAAAAATTGTTTGCTAAAGTTGGTTTTTAGCGTACCGGCCATAGTGGCCGACACTAAAACAGAACCCCTAGGCACCAGACAGCGCTGCCTCTAAGGTATTTCAAGATCGAAACGTTGAAATACAAGATTGGAGAGCCTAGGGTAACTCACTCTATGGCCTAGACAACCAAAATTGACCGTCTGGTACATACATGTTTGACCTTGCCATTGAAACAAGTGGAAAGGAACATGGCACTTCGACTTTCAACTCTAGCAATGCCAACCCTTGAAGAATCAAACGATGTAGCATTTATGGAAAACCTCAGGTTGATTGGTAAGAGTTGTGGAGATACTCATGATCGAGTTATCGGTGCTTTGCGCAAAGAATATGCCACCTCCCATGGCGCTAGAACCAGATATCAAGAATTCTCAAGCAATATAGTTACTATAGGCAATAATTAATGGCTAGATCTTGTTGAACTCGTCCTTTTGGATCTGGTAGAGCCTAAAATAGGGTACTAAACTGTCAAAATAAGTGTACCAGAGCAGATAGACCAATAATTTATTCCCTATAGTAACTGTATTGCTTGAGAATTCATGATCTCTGGTTCCAGCGCCATGGTAGGTGGCATATTCTTTGCGCAAACGATAATTGAAGAACTAATGTTAGAAACAAAGTAGATCCAGCTAGGTAACGACGTCAAAGCACTAAAACACACGCCTCAACTCCCCCACCGCCCCCTTGTAACCCAAACATCTACCCCAACACCTGTTTAGCAGAACTCTCCTTCGCAAGCACACCCGTTATCCTTCGCCCACTGCTGCTTCGCATTCTGAAGGCACGCCTTGTAGCTATCAAAGCCGGCGCCCTTGACATAACTTCCATCCACAAAGGTGGTATCACCTTCAGTCCAGCACTGGCGGTTGCTCATAGCCAAACAAGTAAAGTAGGGAACATCACAGACGTCGGCGGAGGGGAGCTCGGCGGCAGTGAACTTAGTGCGGTAGCGGGCGAGGCCACCCTCGGTCCATTCGCCGCCCCACTCGGACCGGACGACGCAGCCGGGGACGTTGCGAGTTTCTAATGAAATGGAATGTTAGGAAGGGGTGACGGGGGTTGTGGCGTGAAAGGCGTACCGATGTTCTTGATGGGCTCAGCGTGGAGGTCTGCTGGTGCGGCGGCGGCGAGAAAGGGAAGGGCGAAGAGGAGAAAGCTGGTGGAAAACTGCATTGTGGTTGAAAAGTGGACGTTGTTTTGTTGAAATTTGAATGAATCTGGTTTGGCTCAAAGCTCTGGAGGAAAGAAGGAAATATGTAAATTGAAGCGAGGGCCGTAGTGAGTATGAGAAAGGAACGTGTCGATGTGATGTGATGTTCTTCAATTCGTGCGTTCGGCATACCTTATGTACCATTTGATTGTCGACGTGACAAGCCCATCCGGAGGTATTGCAAAGCCACTAAAGCGATCAACACCGACGCGACGAGGTTCAAACGAACCATGCTCGCAATCTGCTTCCATGTTTCCTCGCTCATCTCAGCTCGTCGCGCAAAGTATAGAAACCGTCCCTCGGATGTCCGATGTCTTGATTACGTTGCGGGGCCACGATAGTGGAGCCATTGACGAAAGGTACGAAGGCGAGTCATCCTCACGTCTGGAAAACTGGGTCTTTTGCACCCTGCATACATACCAGCAGCGGGCTACCAATGCCCGACAGGTCTTCGCCCTGCCCAGGTGGCGTCTGGCCCCTTCGCGGACATTGACATCTAATGCGAGGCCGTTACCGCGCGCGGAAGGAGTTGAATAATTACCGCTTCGGGTGTAGCATCTCTTGGGCTTATGCTGAATATCGTTACGAGACCCGCTTTTGATGGAAACCCTCCGGATGGGGTTTGTTGATCCTTGCCGCTCCGCCCCCAACATCGTCAGTTCGGATTGGCTATGTTTCTATTTTAAATTCGCGTAGCAGTGTCGTTCTACCAAGCCTTTTATGAATGGCAAACTGGAGGTGTGATGGTACGATGGTAGCACATTCTCACACGCTTGCGTGGACCGAAGAGTGAGGTTTGTCCTCTTACCGCTGGAACGTCGCTTCTCGATGACCAATTCTCTATATCATAGGTAAAGAGATAACATCAACGCAATCGACATATGGGTGCTGTACATTTCCCCCCTGCTCTAGCATCTACAGGGTAACAGAAGTAGGCGGGTTTGCAGAATATAGCACGATGTTCGTGTTATGGAGTGTCAAATATGAGGTCGATCATTGAAATGATTTGGCACCACGTTTCAATGGTCGGCTATTATATATGTTAGTCAATGTTGAAATACTTTCTGTTGCATGAAGCGACTTCGACAGCAGTGGGTACGGCACGTGCCGAGACCATTGTCGAGCACGAGGAGCGATCGAGATGTGAGGTCGTCTAGAGAAAGCTCGATGCAGGACGTGTTGAGTGCGATCAATAACAGCATCATATCGACTCGATGGGCTCGGTATGCCTGCCGCAGGTCTTTAGCGTCATCTGCAGTCATACACATCCTGATTCCACTATGAGGCAAGACATTGCAAGAAACCGAAAAGTGAGAAAAGAAGCCACTGTTCCAGAATGCTGGAAAGATAAAGCGGGGCTATGGCGGGGCAGTTAAGTATCGTCGCTTGGGCAAAAAAGGCGTGAAACCTCCCAAAGAAGAGAACGAAGATTGAACCCGCGCTGTAACAAAACAAAAAGATCGAGTTTTGCTTAGCTGAGCTACGTTTCGATCGTAGGTCCTCCGGGTTATGAGCCCGGCGCGCTTCCGCTGCGCCACTCAGCTTTTCGAATCTCGAAGTGGGAATTGATAGAATTTTCTCAGGAAAATAAATATATGTAGCATTAACAGAAGGAATTCTTTGGCTGTCCGTGTGACAAATGAGGAGACGACTTCCAAATGCCTTGCTGGACAACAATTTTGGTTCAATGTGGGGTTCTTTTGCCCCTCGGTAAGCGTGACGGCACCAAAGAACTGAATCAATGCAAAGGACCCCGTAGCAGCGAAGGCTAAGCCAATAGCTCTTTGGGAACACGCCAATCCCTCAAAATACTATTAATTCTTATGTTCACCATATCCGGTCGATCGAAACCGTTTGATAAGTTATCGTAGATGGCACGATGTGGAGCTACCAGGAATGCAAACTTCCGCTACTGCGACCTGGCAGCAGCTGAAGTCTCGACTGTTTGCCAAATATAGGAGCAAGATGTTTGCATTACTTTGCTGTTGGGCATGAGCTGGCGATTACTTGCTGCTAGGCGTCCGATGCGCCTGCTCTTCGCAGTGGGCAAGTCACGCTACACCAGTGCGGTTAGTGCGAAAGTCGCGTCGCGCACCCACCACTTTAGACGTGGACGCGTTCGCCATACTCCCGCTGGACTACTTCCACACGCTCCAATGTCACCACCCGCCTAGAGCCTCAATGAGCACGTACTCAGACGGCATACCAACCTCCTTTGATCCCGCTCTCCTCAACTCCGAACTCGAATTTCTTGACGCGCCCGCATCTGTTTCCTTTTCCGACGACCTCAACGCGATCCAAGAGTGCTTTGCCGACGAGAAAGCCAAGAAGAACAGCGCAGGCATAGTCATACAGCATCGTATTTGGAACACTCTAGAAGCCTTCAGGAGCGAGGAAGACTATCCAATCGGTATTACTGCAGACGATCGAGTGGCGCAACAACCGAACTAATATCCCTAGACACGCCGCTGAAGCACCTCAAGAACGCGCCGACTCAACTTCTCGCAGTCGATAGCTGCATTCCCTCCTCTCCACCCATTATGCCACTCATATCCTCGCCTCTAGCGTACCCGGCCAGCTCGATACTAAACCCCACCTCACCGAAGAAGAGGAAGCGATCAGATGCAGAGCGCAGCCCTCTCAAGGATGTGCCCAACAACAATGCTTCAAGAAGAGTGGGTGCCTTCTTGGACGACTCAGACGACGAGGACGAAATCGCTGCGCTTAAAGAGCAAGCCCTGAAAAGGAGAGCTATCAACAGCATCAAGGATCTCCCAGCTCTACCAGATGGTATGGATGACTACACACCGCCGGCCAGCCAACCATCAGAAATTGCAGATCCAGAGACAGTACCCCTCGAAGCGTTGGACGAGTACTTCAAGTCGCCTTCGCCCGTCAAACAGCCCGTTATAACCCCAGATGAACCTTCCTCAGCACAGCCAAATCGCGGCAAGGTCGCACGAACGGCCTCCGGAAAGCCTTTTTACCTCCCAAAGAAACTCCATCGAGATTCAGTATCGTATGAGCAGCTTATCGCATCTCGGTCTACTGGCGAGCAGGGACAGGCCAGGCAGAGCTTCTATGGCATCAACATCCACCGCCTCATCGATGACGCGAAAGCGATGGACGAGGCGAAGGCTGCTCGACAAGAGGAAAAACAGATCGAAACCACGCGGCAGTCCGTTGAGCAACCCGTGTCCGGTAAGGCAAGCCGAACGCTAATGTGGACTGAGAAATACCGCGCGAAGAAGTTCACAGACTTGGTGGGAGATGAGCGTACACATCGCTCTGTTCTGCGTTGGCTCAAAACATGGGACCCCATTGTTTTCCCAGGTTCAGCCAAGCAAAAGCCAAAGAGTGCAAAGAAGGGTTTTGAAGAAGAGGAGCAGAGACACCGTAAGATTCTTATGCTCACCGGGCCGCCTGGTCTAGGAAAGACAACTCTTGCCCACGTATGCGCTCGGCAGGCTGGTTACGAAGTGCAAGAGATCAATGCATCCGATGAGCGCAGTAAAGACGTTGTCAAAGGCCGCATTCGCGATATGGTCGGGACCGAGAACGTCCGCGGAGTAAACACAACTACAGCAAGTGGTAAGGTTCGAAAGGCGGGCAAGCCGGTCTGCGTGGTCGTTGATGAGGTTGACGGCGTGGTATCTGGCAGTGGTGGCGCTGGCGAGGGAGGTTTCGTCAAGGCTCTAATTGATCTTATCAATCTGGACGAGAAGAACTCGAAGAACGTGGGACAACCTAGCTCAACAGGATCGAAACGAAAGAAGAACGGCGATCGTTTTCGACTACTGCGTCCTCTCGTCCTTATATGTAACGACGTCTACCATCCCTCACTCCGACCGCTGCGACAGTCATCATTCGCCGAGATCATCCACATCCGCAAGCCTGCGCTTAACATGGTCGTCTCACGCATGCAGGAAGTGTTCGTTAAGGAGGGCATCCAGTGTGACTCGGATGGTGTGAGACGGTTATGTGAGGCCACTTGGGGTGTTAGCACGAAGAAGGAGGGTGGTACAGGAAGTGGTACAGGCGAAGGAGACATTCGCGGCGTAATGGTGGTGGGAGAATGGGTTGCCGGTCGCTTCAGAAGTACCATCGATCCGAAGGCCAAGGACGTACCGAGACTCAGTCGTCGCTGGATCGAGGACAACATCATCAATGATCTCGGGCATGGCGGCGGAGCAGCTCGCAGCTTGGGACGAGGCGGCACAAAGGATGTGGTCGATCGGGTCTTCCGCGAAGGCGCCGGGTTTCCCAAGCAGGCCGAAACCACCGATGTCCAAACAGCAACCGCGAGAGCAAAGCAAGGTGTGATTGGTGTCGCTGAAGCAGCAAAGAAACGCGCAATGGCTCGGCTTCGGGAGATGGTTGATACGAGCGGTGACTGCGATCGCATCGTAACTGGTAAGCTTTTTCGGTTCTCCCTATGAACAGCTACTTATGATAGCTAGACTGCTTTTCTGCCTACCCTTCGAAAGCCTTCCAAGACGACAACTACCTCAGCAAGCCCACCGCGGCATACGAATGGTTACACTTCCACGATACCCTCTCATCCGCCGTTCACGGATCCCAGGAATGGGAGCTTGCGCCTTACCTCTCGCAATCTGTTCTTGCCTTCCACAACCTCTTCGCTTCACCCCGTCAACAATCTTCGAACTCCATTGCCGACCCTGATGCAGATACGAGCGCGTTCTCTGGCCCCAGTGCAAATTATGTGGCCAGTGAAGAGCTGAAAAAGAACAGGGCGCAATTGATGGCATTGCAGAGCACACTGAGCCTACCACTTGCCAGAGTATTCAAGAGCCCGGAGGAAATGGCACTCGAGCTCATACCATATGTTCTTAGGATGCTGTCCCCAGACGTAAAACCCGTTCTAGTAAACACTGGTGCCACAGGTTCGAAATCGGTAGCTACCGCTTCTGTCCGGAAAGCATCAGAGAAGGTCCTTGTTAAGAGAGCGGTGGAAGCCATGGCTGCCACAGGCGTTCGCTTTGAAAGGAGCAGAGTGGAGATAGATGACATAGCGAACCGAAGTGGCGGGTGGGTCTTGCGCATGGAGCCTCCGCTCGACTCATTTACTGCTTTCGAGACATTAACCGGCAAGAAGGACGACAAAGTACGATACGCGGTACGCAGCGTGCTAGAAACGGAGTGGAAGAAGGAGAGCGTGCGGATAGAGGCAGAAGCACGGAAGCGAAGAGGAGGCCAGCTCGAAGAGGATGAAACAGCGGAAGATGCAAAGGAGGAGGTCGACAAGGAGAAGGCGGCAGAAGAGAACAAGAAGGCTGTGAAGCGTGACTTCTTCGGCAGAATCATCAAGGAGGCTCCGGCAGCGCAAGGCGCCAGAAGAGAAAGAAAGGTCGTGAAGAACAATGATGAGGGTAGGATATGGGTGAGCTTCCACGAAGGTTTTTCGAATGCTGTGCGGAAACCCATTACTATTGATGAGCTGATGAGAGGGCTATGATTCTATTGAAATCAAAGATAGTTTATATAACCTCGTCATCTCATGTTGCCGTTGATTCCCAATCCCACCTTATTACCTGTTTCACCGATTTACTCATACGCTACCTAGATAGCGTTCTAACACGCGGCCAAATGATGCGTCGGTTGCAACGAAACATTGGAGTATGTTTGTTTTCATTCATTATTTAAGGGGCCGTCGGTTCGTGGCTCCGGTGACAGGCGAAGAAATGGAAACGACATATCTACCCACTTGTGAGTCTAAGGTTCGTCTCCTCCGAAAGGGTGTGTTATCGTCGATTGTCCACTCTTTCAATTTCGATCGATTGGTTCCGAAACTTTCAATCTTGATTCATTGATTCAGAGTTTGCCTTGCAGTAGATGGTGGGAGAATAACGTATTGCCAGCTCCAATCGCCCATCCTCGTGGATAGAAGTTCGGCTCCACGGCAAGTTTACAGGGTATCTGCGCGTTCTACCGTTGCCTCCTAGTTCAGCTTAGTGCACATTCTTACCCGATGTTCAGCGCCTGGCTCGAGACATACTCAGAGAACCATACTTCCACCTCATATTGATTCAAACAAGTATAACGTAATGGGTAAGGATCCAAACATAGATTAGGCCGCATGAGAACAGACTTTACACGAAAGAACAATATCTATCTATATATACAAGTAAAAGAATGTCCAGTTACTTCCCATTCCTGGCCCCATAGGAGTATGGGTTCCCTCTGGGCGGCGCCTCGTCGGTCTTCGCCACGAAATCTCTATCCCAGCCCAATTCCGTCGGGGTCTTCGGTGTCTTCGGAGTCTTCAGCGGCCGACTGAAACTATCATACCGCCTGAGTGTCGGACCTGGTGCACCGCCGCCCAGATTCTGCGTATCGATTGGTGGTGGGGCATAGCTCACGAACCGGCTTTGCGGGTCAAGTTCAGAGGAAGGCCTGAAGTCGTCGGGCGCAGGGTTGTAGTATTCGGTGACATTTGTAGGCTGAGGTGGAGGAAAGAGAGACTTGCGCTCGCCTTCGAAGCCGCCTGGTGTGGCGTTGTACAGTTGCGGTGGTGGGACTTGCTCTCGTGGATCGACAAAGGGGTTTGAAGAGACGGAGGGCACGCGATTTCCAGGATGCGGGTCTTCTTGATCACCCAATTTGCGCGCGTCGACCGGCCAGCCAATCTTAGAGTCCTCTTTCCCAAGAAGATCGGCTGTCCTCCGCTCTACGAGTGCCGGCCGTGCAGTCGGATCGGGCACAGGGGTTGACTCGAAGCCAAATGTTTTCATGGTGTCGCTCCTCTTCGTTCCAGATTTACCCTTCTCGGTGAACGCAACATCGCCACGCTCCCCACCACCGCTCTTCGCAATCCTGCGCTCGAGAATGAATCTTGCTATCAACAGTCCGGTGGCACCAATCTGCATGAATAGAACCAAGTTCATCAGACCAACAAGCACAGGCGCCGTGAGAACAGCATCGACTATGCACAGCGAGATGGCGCGCAAGTCCGAGAAGCCTTGTATCCACGATATCATTCCAAAGCTGAGCACCTGCTGGATGAGCATGTTGGCGATTATGTGGATCTTGTGAGGACCCTTGATAGCAGCGAGCTGTTTCTTGAAGAGGAAGGCTGAAGGAGGAGGAATTGGCACTGTCGTGCGAAGGCGCATGAAGCTCAGAACGACAGCAGGTATGATAAAAAGAAGCGCGAGGAGACCAAAGATCTAATCATTGTCAGTAGGCATGCAGACAAACAACAACATAACGTACACTGTGTGCCGTCTGGAAATGCGCTGCTGATCCTTTGCCGACAATCCCGAGGATGATGCCGACAAAGGCAAGGGGAGTGAAGAAGCCGAGGAGCACAATCATCCGCCACTTCTTCATCTTCGCATCGTTGATGGGGTGGCCAATCATGTCGGAGAAGCGCCAGATCGCACCCAGCGCGAGATAAGCCGGAAGAGCAAAGAAGAACGCCAAGGTAGAGAAGAGTACTGCACCAGTCAGTATGTCACGCAAGCAATGGATAAATTACACTTACCGTGCAATGCTGTCATGATCGCAAAAGGTTTGAGCTCGAGCCCGTTGATTGTTACCGCCTGCTCAGCAATGTTGATCGTGAACTTGTTTCCCTGGTTCATGACTGTGACAAGACCTTTTGGAAGCGCGGCCAGAGTAGTGTTGTCAAGTGGAGGGGAGGTAGCGTTGCCCTTATTGTCCTTCAAGACTGGGCTTTGCATAACACCCAGAGCAAGAGCAGCGAGCCCGCCAACGCCAGCACAGGTGATAGTGTCAATTCCAGTCTGAGCAATTCCCTGTAATGTCTGGTCGTCCACAGCAGGAGTAACGGTATCGGCACGTCGGCTTAAACGACGATAAGGTGCTTGTCATATCAGTCTATCATCATCTCGAAGGAACAGTAAGCTCACCTACTCCGCGAGCATCAACGCTTCGTTTCGCTGGTGGTGCTCCAGAGCTGTTTTTCCCTATATTGAGCATTTGCGAAATCAGGAGAACTCCTTCACCGGATAAACCACGCGTGAAAGCCACGACGGAGCCATTCAAAGAGTCGTTGAACTTAGTTTGAGGAAGCGATGGAAGGTTCGTCGCGAGCTCTTCCGGAAAATCACCTTTGATGACCTTTTGTAGGCCGCCGGCTTCCGACAGCGCGCTGACGCTGCCTTCCACCAGACCTCTCGCAGCGCCTTCGGCCGCTTTAGCTATATCTACATTAGTCGTGAGGCCTCCAGCTTGCGAGGTCAAGCTGTCTCCGATCGCCTTCAGGCCGCCATTTTGCAGTAAGCTCACTACTAAATTCTTGGTGAATTGTTCTGCAATCTGCTCTTCGGTCTGGTTGCCACCACTGGTAGCCCGCGAAACTAAAGCCGTACTGTTGTTTCCAGCAGTGCCACCCAAACCCAACGCGATGCCTTCACCGATACCCTTGCCAGCTCCAGAAGCTAGCGACACAAGGCTGGAACTGTCGAGGTTGAGACTACCTCCACTGCTTTGGAGGAGCATGCTGAGGTTCGAAGACTCCAAAAACGACTGGCTGAGGCCTAGGGTAAGGTTTCCTACGATGCCTGGAACATCCATCTGGGCTGGACTATTTGCTGCCTGTCGTTTGGCCAGAGTCCCGGTCGTGCCACTCTTGGTCAACCCCAATCCTATACTGGCTCCTTGTCCTAGTCCAACGCCTGCAGCAGCAGCTATCTGTGGTATTTGGGCCATGATGTCGCTACTTCCACCAGCTTGGCTGAGTAATGTTTGTACTCCTGAGCTGCTCGCAATTGGCCCGGTGATGCCCAGTCCAAAGTTCTTAGCAATAGTCATAACATCACTACCATTTGAAGGCGGAAATTGTTGCTGCGTGAGATTGAGACCGCTTCCACTACCTTGACCGATGCCTTGGGCTAGGGAGAAAGCCACCATCCCGATGGGAAGGTTCCCACTGCTGAGGTTGCCTAGAGTGGGTGCAAGCTGAGCGCTCAGCCCGGTTCCGAGATTCTGAGCGACGAGATTGATACCAGTAGGCTGTTGTCCGCTCGCGGCTGCAACCTTCGTTGCGATAGCTGTCGACTCATCTTGGGTAGTGAGATTAAGGCCATTCTCCGCGCCCATTCTGCGGGATATCAGTACATTGTCATCGAAGAGTCGCATAATTGTACTCACGCAAGACCTATACCAAGGAAGTAAGCAGGTGTTGCCAGTCCATCGACGATAGATCCTGTGACTCCCGATAGTCCCTGCTGGAAGAGATCGCCTAAGCCGGTAGCATTTCCATTTCCCCCAAGGATGCCCATTAACCCGGAAAGCAAACCTCCACTATCATTCCCACCGCCCAGAAGCTGCCTCTTGTTTTGAGTTGGTCTATCGGTCGACTTTATCCGCGCGACCTCTGCCGACAAGCCCTTCCCAAAGTCTTTTAGTCCGCCACTTTCCAAGCTATCGCCATAGGTCATCGAAGTCTTCGCAACAATCTCCGTTAGTTCCAATATTGCATGATGCAAACGCGCATCTTCGTACAACGCATCGATCGTTTCTGGCGAGAGGATGCCGTCAAGCGCATGCGCCGGCCGCGCCTGGCTGACCGTCAACCATCCAGAGGACCAGAGCCCAAGTGAGACATAGAGAAGAAGGGTAACCGTCAAAAGCGCGAATGGCAGGTGCCAGCCCGCCTTAGAAGAGGAGATCATGCCGGAGATTTTCTAAACAGATGCATGGAGAATTTGACGATCGCGGCCCGCCACAGACAGCACCTTCGAGAACAAGATGGAGACATAGGCAGTCATATAGTCGGGACATCATGCGATAGTTTGACGACGGAGCAGGTGTTTATGAAACATGCTAGGTATCGCGCTTCCTGGGGTAGGATGGGCGTACTCGTCGTATCTCCAAACTTCATTCATACGTTTTCATTGGGTGTGAATACGAAAGGTGGGCGGGCCCTCAGGAACCAAGAGACCATTTGGCGATGCCTGCAAGCATGGCATGCGCGCCTCGGCTGGCATTGCTTGTTACGAAGGAGTACACAATGGGCGAATCGGTGACGAGCAAAACGCCAAAGGGTGAATTGCGCTTGGAAGATCTACGCGTTAGCGAATCAGCCACCAAGGCAGAGCCTCAAGAGGCGATGTACCAAACGTATACCCTAGCATACCATTTATAGAATGCCTGTTCGATGTGAGTTTTTTGCGGCAAAGTGGCGTGTGCCAAACATGATGCGACATCCATGAAACAGCATGAGCGAGCTAAAAAGCGCGTGCAGTCTGGAAGGCCGCGCAACGAAGATTTGCCAAGAACTGTACTTCGCAAATATGTACATTAATTGGAAAACACAGGGAGTGTCGACGGTGGGATAGCAAGTATTAGTGTGTGTTGGCAAATCTACCTTCGTCGTGGAACGCGCCGTGGACGGACCGACGCCCCCTGCGCCTTACATGCAAAGCTCGCTTTATGTTTGTATCCGGCGCCGATGGCGAGGTGGGGAGATGCCTGTCGGGATCCTCTCCGACCGAACATGGAGAGGATTGTAAAGAAATGGAGATGGCGGTTGGAATAAGACAGTCACGCTAGTTTCGCGGTGACGGCATTTGGGGCATTCCGTCCCGATCTTTGGTTTTCACGTCATCAACGCGTCGCAAACGCGTCCACTGCACATGTGGATGACTTGTGTTGACCCATTCTTCGAACACCCAAACGCCAGCCGACTACTCGAACAATCATGCAACCCTTGGGCGCGGAAACATCTGCAGCCTGTGCCGGAAACGTGCATGGTGATTTAATTCGAAATACCAACTCAAAATATCATGCGCTTGGTGAACGAATACAGCGCTTCCCGCTTTTGAATTGCTACATGCAGTACGTGCAGCTTACGATCGGGCTTATCCTAGTTTTCAAGGTTTCCCAAGCCAACTTCCAAGGAGCTCGCGAAGGCGGCGAGCTTCCTATTCCTCGATCACGACCTCCGGCGCGACCTCCGGCACCACCTCCGGCTTCGCATACGACGGAACCGACTGCCTGATCGCCTCTATATCTTGCGCGGTCATGAGGTGTCCCCCGATCTTCATTTCCTCGAACAATCCATGAGTGCGAACCTTTGCCTTGTCCTGCATTTCCTTGATGACCAATGGCTTGTCCTTTACCGTCCAAAGATTCTCAAAGTTCTTCTTTGCGTAGCGCACGGCCATCGCCTCTTCGGACCTATCATTCTCTTGAATCACCTGGTTTGCGAGCAAGTTGAGGTGGTAGGGCGACATCCGCTCGGTCCTGCTCAACGGGTATACCTCCACATAGTCACGATAGCGGTAGTTGAGGACGTCATTGCCCAGTCTCATTTCAGCATCGAGCTCGTCCTTGAGCTTCTTTTTTCGTTCCTTCTTGATGCGCTCTCGCTTATTATTCTCTGCTTGCTGCTCTCGCCACGCCGCGAGTTTCTGTTCGTACTCTAGCTCTTCCTTTGTCTTGGGGCAAACTGGTGTAATTGGCCTGGGAATTGCTGTGTGAAAGTCACCAAAACCGGCCTCGGTGTTACTGAATCTGGGGTAACTCAACCTACTCTGACCATGCTGCTGAACGTGGGCTCCAGCCCGATTCGAAGGAGGAGTGGCGTGCTGTTGGCGCGACAGTGGACTGGATAAGTTCATAGGCATTTGGAGCCTCGGGGGCTGCTGACGGTTGACTTCGGCCTTGAATTCGGCGTAAGGGTCCATGACAGACCTTCCGTCTCGCTGCTGGAAGTGCGCTTGCGACCCAGCTACATAGGCTGAACGCGAGTTCTGAGGCACGCTCTGGTGACCAGATGATATAGGTGCCATAGAAGGGGGACCTGTGCCGAACGTAGACCGGTAGTGCGGCGGGTTGAAGCCATTGTACTGATATTGCCGACCTGGTGAATGCACCGTTTGTCCTGAGTGGGAAGGCACGAGCTGATCCCTTCCATAGTCACGAGGATCCTCGAGATTCCCGTACGGAGTCTGCTGCTGTGGTGTAGCGCCATGATGCGAAATGGGAGCGGTTGTACTACTGTAAGCATTTTCGTGTCCGTTGATATACGCAGAACGTGAATCTTGCCCGCCCGCTGGTCTACAGCTATGAGCGGTTATATTTCCATTCACGTACGGGCTGCCATTAGTAGCACGATTGTGATGGGTATGATACGTTCCTGCGTTCAAGCGCGGCATGTGTCCCTCCATCAAGTGCGTCCGACTCTGCTGTAGATGCTCTTGCGCGGAGCCAGACCTAAAAGGCGATGGAGAGGGTGTTGGAGGTTTGACAATGTTATCGGCGGGCGCATGCTCGGCATGAATGGGTGGTGTTTCCGCAGGTTTTACAGGCTTCTGAACCGGGGTTGAGTAGGGTGATAATAGCGTCGACGGTTTGTTGTTGGCGAAGCTCGGGTGAAGGAGTGTTGCTCCCGCCATCTGCCCTGGGAGCTGCGATCCAGTTTCGGCACTTCCAGAATTGCGCGCTTGCGGTGGTGAATCATTCACAGCTTGTCCGTGTGCTTCAGTCTCCATCCTTTTTAACGCTCCCTCCGAGTCCGACAGGTCGATCGCCGCTAGTCTCTCCTTGTGTGCCGCGCAGTTTCTCCAATTCACCAGCCGCTGCCGAGGGCTACCGGCAAACTCAACCATGGCCGCGAACCCCCCGACATTATGGCGGCCTGTGAAGAGTCGCAGTAGCTGCGGAAAGTCGTCGATTGGGTGACCCTCAGCGGCTACTTCTCGGTCAAGCAGCGCGTTGATGGCGTTGTATGAGGCACGCATGTCGCGTTCGCAGGTCGACTCGGGTGGTGGTGACGACAACTGAAGCGCGGCTCGCATCGCGTCAGCCATAGTGGCTTTCGGCTTAACGAGGTTGGCGAGAGGGATAGCTATGTTCCTTTGATCTATGGTCGGTCAGCGCTCGTTATGATCGTTGGATAGTTCAAATACCCTGGGTTGAACCAGTCTCGTTGATACAGGAACCGGTGGTATTGATATAGTGCGAAAGTAGAGTACGGGCGGTTTTATAGATATACGGCGGCAGTACAAATTGCTGTTGGTTTTGTCGCGCACCACTGCTCCGTGCGCAGGTGAAAGTGAAGAAGACCGTGAGCCGATCGCACCTGCACCATGTCTTTTTACGGCAACCACGGCCCTGATCGGAGTTAAGATAGGTTTGGAGTCCCATGTGCTTTACCCCAGAGTAGCGACATTCTCAGGCGGAACTGAGCTGCCGATGCGCTGGGTTTTGAATCTCATGGGGATCCATCGCAGGACAACTCAGGAATCCTGCGGACTAGCGGAAACTCATCTTCTATATGATGGTCCACTTCAAGATGCATACACAGAAAGGCTCTCATGGCGGCTGGTACGCCAAGCAATCCAAGGTGAATGGCTAGTCACGTGACTTACAATGATCTTCTATGATCCAATAGAGCACGTTGGGAGATTATGAGAAATACAGTGGCGATATCTCTCTCTTGTAAATACCTACTGGTAGCTCTATTCGCATCCATTTTTGCCGTATCCAATGTGGTCTTTAGGCGCTAAGTCCCACAGTGCATATATACTCGGTCTATAATGAAGCAGGGTCAAAACATCAGGGACATAACTTCTCGGGAAACTGATTTCTGGAGCATATGTCGCGATCTACTAAGAAGCATGAAGCACTAGGCCAGAGTCTGTCTAAGATCCAGCCCCGAACAATTGAAACCCCTGTCTTATTATCGTTTGCCAAAAGAATGTGCCACCTGCCACGGCGCTGGAATCAGAAGTTCAACTAATATAGTGACTATAAGGAGTAAAGCATTGGCTAGATCTTATTAAACTCATCTTTTAGGCACGGTAGAGCCTAAAATAGAGTATTAAACTATTAAAATAAGCGTACTATAGTAAATAAGCTAATGATTTACTCCTTGTAGTAACTACATTGGCTGAAAACTCACGAATTTTTATCCCCGCGCCGTGGAAGGTGGCACATTCTTTTCGCAAAGCACCGATAACCTATGTTGCTGCGGTCGCATTGCCGACCAACAACATTTGAATCATTTTCCGTACCAGTCCGCACCAAAACTGCAGTATCCAATCATCGGCATTCTTGCTACCGTTTTTGCACCAGCTCTCACCACCACTGCACCCCCCCCACTGTGCATCTCAAACTGGTACGACCACTCCACGCTTCTCCAGCTCCGCATTCACGGTCTCAAACTTCTTCTGGAAGCCCCTGATCTTGTCCATGAGCTTCTTGCGCCGCTCCCGCTCCTCCGGGCATGGTAATGACTCCTTTCCTGATTGCGACTTGGCAGCATTCTTAAGTCGAGTGTTATGCTCCTGCTTCTTCGCCAGCATGACGTCCTCTAGAAGATCGCGCTCGGCGTGCCAATCATAGATTTGCTGCTTGATGTCCAAGGCAGCTTGGTAGAGGTCCTGGGTAGGCTTCTTTTCGATGCCGCGGGTGATGTTCTTGAGATCCGTTGGAATCGTGGACTGAGTACGGACAGCAGACGTCGGGGTCGAATTGGCCTTGAAGGACGCCTCATTCGCCTTGGGAGCGGGCTGCAATGCAGCCAATGTGTTGTACTGCAACGCTGGTGGATCCACGGTTTGTGATTCATCTGGGGAACTATGTTGTGATGCAGCTGCTGGAGCATAGCCGTGGTATGGTGGCATAGCCCGAGGAGTATTCGGCGATGTTGCGGAAGCGTATCCGGGGTACGGTGAAGCTGCTCGAGAAGTCGCGGCTGGAGCATATCCAGCGTACGGTGAGTCTGCTCGAGAAGTGTACGGCGATGCAGCTGGAGCGTACCCAGAGTACGACGATGCTCCACGAGGTGCATACGGCGACGCTGATGTAGAAATATTCTGAGAAGACACCGGTGGAGCGGCATGCGACGTCGTCGGCGGGTTGTACTGCAATAATGTATTGTACTGCCATGGCATCAGTGAAGGGTTCTGATACGACACTGGGAAGCTGTACGACGACTTCACCAATGGATCGTACTGTAGCAGAGGATCATACTGGGACGCAGCTGACGAAGGGTACTGCAAGGTAACGGGTTCCTCAGCCATGGCGCTATCCTCCCGGTGGCGATAGAGATTACCCACTTCAGTCTCTACCACCTCTTCCGTGCCCCAAAAGTCATCGCCACCTTGGAACTCATGGAAGACCGTCTGGGCAACTGCCTCAAGAGCATATTGCGCGGCGCTAACATATCCATGCCGATTCAGCCATTCCGAAGACGCCAGGAAGTTTGGGTTGGCGATGATGCCGTCCAGCTGCTCGTCGAAGTCCGTAGGGTGGATGTATGCAGGATTACTGGTTGTGGGCGTAATTGATACTGCGGAGGAAATGGGCTGCCCATGGGCAGGGGGGTGAGGTTGGCGTTGCATTGTAAATGCTAGTTAACACAATCTTACTGAATGGTTGGCTTTTCTCGCTTTGTTCCTGGGTACGTAGGTTCCAGTAGGAAGTTGAGGTTGATCTCGTTAAGTACAACAGTGTTGCATTCTTGGGAAAGCTATGCATCAAGTTCATATCGGCTTGGACAGTGGTGAAAATCGGTTCTTGTTACTACACGAAGAGCCCCAGAATACGCGTAGAGCGTGAAAAGCACAGGACACGTGATATTAAACACAAACAACGCAGATGAGACATTTTCCAACCCAGACCAGTGAAGCCCCCCGTAGCATTTCGACTCTTTGGGTTCTTGAGCAGTGGTCAACAACATTGCCACAAAACCTTAACCTGATCCCTTCCAAGAATTCCTCAAAGAATTAAACTTTCATGTAGTGTACGAGCAAACAAAAATGGTCTGTCGATTTCGACAGACCAAGAATCTCAGCAGAATTCAGTCTTTGATCGAGTTTTCAGTCTTGATAATGGGCTTCTTGGTAGACTTAGCTGACTTGCTGGGCAACGGGTGGTTCTCTTCGTCGCTCATGCTTGTGAGGTCTGAGCTGTCATCCAGCAGCCTGGTAGTGCTCGTGCCGGCAGAGGAGAGGTCGAGGTTGTCCAGAGGGTCGGTGCCATTCATCAGCGACTCACCTATTAGGTGAACTTGGGACACCTTCGCACCGACCTGATTATTTTGACACCAACGGATGCAGTCGGTAAAGATTCCAGCCTGGCCATCGCTAGGGAACTTGGTAAGATCCTTGAAGAGATCGAGAACTGGGAAATCGCATGTCTTGCTGAGCTCGCTCTCATCGTGCCTAATCGCGTCAGTTGCCTCCACGTCACCGGCGACCTCGAAGAAATCCGAAATTTTCTTCTTGGTCTCTTCTCCGTTCTCTCGAATGAAAGTCTTGACAGCTTTGTTGCAATGCACGCTGCAGGTATTGCGCTTATAGCCGTCGGGGTTGACCACGCGATGGTCGTTGATTACTTGCGCAATGACGTTTGGGCCCCCTCGAGCATACAGACGCACTGAGACGATCGGTCGCAAGGTCGAGTTGTAGAAGAACACGATAAGTTCCACGTCCGTGAGTGGCACCAGGGGAAGTTTCACGTTCGCTGGAGGAAGTTTGCCGGTCAGGTCGTGCTTGTCCTTTTTGTACAGGACCGTGCGGCTACCCGGCGTGGTCGGAGTAGGGGGAACAACCGCGGGAGCTTCGAAAGAACTCGATGTCGCCTCTGCGAACGAAGGCCCTGTGCTGGATGAGATTGCAGTCTTCGGGAAAGCTACTCCAGTGCCACTTGTTGGTCTGCTAGGGAATGCGAGATTAGTGCTTGATAGGGTACCCTGTACGGACTCAGCGTTGAATAAATCACGATGCAAACCATATACATACAGTTGAGGGCGTTGGCAAGCTGTTTGTTGGAAAGTCATTCAGGTCGAGTTTGCTGATGCCCAAGCTCAGCTTTGGCGGTTGTCGCTGCTGCTTGACACCACGGAGTCCCTCCACAACAGTTCGAAGTTGGGTGTTATCTTGTTCAAGCATCTGTATATGACCCCTCAGCATTCCCACGTGCTCGTACAGCATCTGGTTAGAGGTTGAAGTCCGGATAACGTCGCTGTGCATCTTGTCTATCGCGGCGAACAGTGCCTTGTTGATGTCGGCTTGATCTAGAAAACCACCTTGTAGGTATGTTGTCTCGATGGGACCTAATTTCGTCAGTTCTGCTGCGCACGTATAATGTATTTTGGGGTGACTCGCAAGGTTTCCGCTTACCTGTTGAATGTTGCTGGAATGGCATGGAGCCGTCGGGAGCTTGCCAAAACCCATCCATCTTGCGTTGCGTGTTTTTACCGGTCGTGGTTGAGGTCGTGTCTGTGTTTTTGTTTGCGACGGTCGTGTTTGGGACGTGACCAACGAAGTGACTGGCGTGCCTTCCCAATTCGGTTGTCCCAGCGGCGTGCTTCTTCAACGTCAACAATGCTGATTCAGCCGCTGTGTCAGAATTGTAAGAACGATACAGCGGCTGCTGACAGTGCTTCGCTATTTCTCGTGCATAGATGTAGTCCTTCTCGAAAGTTCTCTTCTGCAACTCAACCTTGATACTTGCGACTCGATCGTCTGCATGATAGGACTGGGACCCAGCGGACTCAATGCTCGAGGCCCTCGTGAGGGGAGGGGTTGGCATAGGCTCGTCATTCGGAGACATATCTTCCTGGAACTTGTGGAGAGTCAGCTAAACTCTAGAAAACGCATACACGAGCTAAGCGGAGGGGTCGACGTAATCCGGGATTGTGCGTGCGTAGTTCATGCAGGATAGAAAAGTAACAGAATTGGGTTCTTTTGGAGACGCCCGTCGCACTCATTGTACTGCAGACCGTTGGACTCCAATTCGATGGGCCGTGTCCTCATCTACCGCTGTGCTCCCAGTGCAAGGAATGACCAAAGGGGCAGCGACCGAGGTAAGCTAGAGAAAGATACTGGATTGTACTTACACGAACTCGCTTCCGAGGTGGTCCTCCGTCGATCGACGATCGCAGAGATTCGACTGAAGCTGGGGGTGCCTGCTGGTATTGACGAATCCAGTGGATCGGGCGTTTCGATAGAAGGAGAAGAGCCGTAGCCGCTTCAAGGTCTGCCGGCGTGTGTTCAGAATCCATGGCTTGTGGGTTGTGGTCCGTAGGCTTTGATTATGTAGACCTACCGAAGGTCAACGAGAACCTGATGACACTCTCGTTGACAAAAGAATTGTCTATGGTGTCAAGTTAGCTGGAGATCAGTACTAATGTACAACACGAAGCGGGATTTGATATAGTGCGGCAGAGGTTGCGGAGGTGGAGCAGGCAGCAACGTGGCCAACGGGTTTTCTCGGTCACCAGGCTCATACGCTAAGAGTCATCACCCTCACCATCACCAGACAAACGGTGAATGAGCCTCAAAGTGACCGAGGAGCAAGTCCGTACGGAAGAGCCTGAAAGGTGCCAAGAGTGTCGTGCAAGGCCCTATACACAGGCCAAGGTTCACTAGACTTTGACTCTATAAGCATTTGCGCAAACCCTGGTCAGCTCAAGGTGTGCGCGGGTGAACCTGACTTACATGACTGGAAGATATTGGTGACTGCTCAAGAAGTACATGTCTTAACTGCGCGAGGATAGACAGTGTACGGCTGGCTGAGATAGCTTGTTCAACGCTGACGAAGCAGCTTTGTGAAGCATTGAGTAAGATTGCAAACGTTGTGAGGAAGAATCATGAAAAATGCCAATGAGGCTCTATTGAGGTGACGTTGGTCACTAGCGCGGGGCTAGCATCTTTACCGTAGGCATGGGAAGGAACAACTGAGGTTGAACGTAAGAGAACCAATTGGGCTCAGTGAAAGAGCTGTGCAATGGACTGGTAAGGAATAACAGCATAGGCCTGGAATGAGCATCTGCCTGTTGTGTGAAGGTGCAAGTCAGTGACATTTCCTGACCGCTATGCGTAGGGGAACTGCTGGGCGGACTCGCTCACAGACTCCATTCTTACAATTCCCAAGTTTGTTACTAGCTCCCCAAAATCCATTTCACATCAATTCTTCCCCTCGCGTTTTCAATAGAGTCACGTACGCTTCCTCCGAACAACACGCTCCGTTGCATTCCGATCCTTAGTTTTATCCTTACCCGGCTTTCCATTTCACTTACAGCCAGACTACCAGATCGACCACACTTTTTGTATTATCAATTTAGTTCAACTTTAGTAAACCCTTCAACTTAGCGATTAACGCCGCACTCACAATCTGGAAAGTAGCCTCATCGACTCTAGATGTAGACTCCTGAGATCGGGTGGTGAAAGCGAGCTGTTCGCGAAGAGTTAACTGTGGGGTTGTATCAATCGAAGCTATGCTAGGAGTGCTCAACTTTTCTTTCACAAAGTTCTTAAACATAGGCTCTTTCACAAACAGCAGTCTATCCCCATTGCTGCTTTCAAATCCCTCAGACTGGGCCAGTGTCTAACTTCATGTGTGCTGTGCGGTAGTATAACTTCCACGTCTAGGCGTGGAACCAAATATCATTGGTTAACTTTCTACAATGAGGACGGTGTTACGAGGCAACGTGTTGCACCGAGTAGCCCCGGACATATTGCGCGGTTTGGATTTCGACCGGACAGTGAAGGAACGCTCCGTAATCCGGGATTTCGTGGTAGGGTACTGAAGATTCGTCGGGAAGGTCAGTACACAGCTACTCCTGAGCAGTGTGCGCAGATCAATTCGGAATACTGGAACTGCGTTCGGCAGTATTCAATCGGACGACCTGGATCCCGTGTTAATGATAAGAAATCGATGTGATGTACTAACTGAATCCAACGGCATGTCTTTGGTCGCAAGCACAGCAATGAGCCGCGTGGTGGGTCCTTCTCCTCACATCGTTTAGCGTCGAACAAAAGAGTATTGTATTCCAAGCTTCTAGTTTCTATTCGAGGCCGCAATGCGCGGAGCCTCGCCCCAAAACGCCGCCTATGCATCTATACCTTGTCATTCCTAATATACATCCACTCCTTCATACAATACACGTAATCTTTACACGGCAGAGCCTTCATTAGACATCTGCTCGAAATATCTCAACAGCGTTTGGTACAGAACCAACATCGTGCCAGACTGTACGGATGTCCACACCGCGCGGGGACCAACACCTCTGAAGCATCCCCATAATCCCTCGGTCTGATATATTAATCGAAGACCGCGTATTACGGAGGAGGTATCGAGGGTTGCGGCGCCGTGGGCTTTTAGGGTGGTAGAGGGACCGGAGGTAGATATTGGGCGGTTCGAATATGGGGATGTTTTACTGAATTTTGCGGAGGTGGAGTGTTTCGATGTTGAAGATGGAGATAAAGTCGATTTGAGGGTCGATGCCGGAGTTGACGATGTGTTGGGTTGCTGTGTCTGGATGCGCGTTTTTACCACGTCTAACGGTGTAGTTATAACGCCCGCCATTCCTCCGGCACTCGCTGCCGTCAGAATCTCCAACGCCAATCCAATATCTTTTGAACCCATGTACTGCTTTGCCAGTTCTCTTTCTTCCTCGTAAAATGCGAATTGTAGAGCGGAAAAGGGCAGGTCGCGCCAGAGCGTGGCTTTGTATCCGTAGAAAAGCGCACCAAAGCCTTCTGTTCTCGCGATTGTGCGCGCGGCATCGAGAGTTGAGCGGTAGTTGTAACCGGAATTGAAGAAGGGGTTGTTGTGACGGCCTTGTAATTGTAGGCGGGTTTTGAGGACCTCAGAGGGGACGTAGACGGGCGCGGCGGCGAGATCGGCAAAGAGCCCTGCAAGATATTAGCACACGCGGTCTCATTAGGACAGCACCTAGCCATTGATTCGAGCTAAATACTGAGATCTGTGACGTGCCGGCTGTGAAGTATGAGACGGATGGAGCAACGCCGTAGTCGATCATCAGCCGCTTGCTCCACTCGTACGTCCCGAAGAATGCACATGTCCCCAGGAAAGACCCTACGAATGCCGGCTGTACTCCTCCATACAGCCCCCGGCGTATGCCTTCTTGCCGCCATATGGTGTAGTAGGTGTTACCCATAGATGTGTACTTTGGCGGCATGTGCGGATCACCCTGTTGTCGCGTCTTTACAGTATCGAGGGAATGCATCAGCATGTCGCCCGTCAAGCCTCCTATACCGCCCGCCAGTATTGCCTGCGAAACTTCATCAATTACGTTCGGTGAATAAGTCGTTCCGAAAGTCGGCGTACATGGATATAAGGTGGCCGTGCCAGCTCTTGGTCTACCTCCGCCTCTTCAGCTATGCTCTCTGCAACCCTCTCCTGTCTTATATCCGGCAGCGATCCGACGCTCTCCATCGCGGGTTTTCGGGCCCTTTGACCATCCTCCACGAGCTTGTTCGGATTCGTAGGGCTGAACCAGTTGGATGCGCTTCCAAACACCATGAGCAACGCAGGAACAATGGGTGCGCTTTCGAAATGCAGGAAATTAGCAAGACGTGCAAAAACCTAGTAAGTGAAATGCGAGGATGCGTGAATGGTAATGTGAAGGAGTGACGTTGGTCAGCGCTTGGTGTCGCCGTCTATCGAAAATTTAGCCAAGACAAGCCGACCCTAAGCCGCCCAAACCCTGGCAGCAAGCAGCACAAGCGCGATGCCGCCCCGATGCGAGCGATAAGATTGGGAGCTATGGTCTTCACCGCCAACGACAGAACTACAATGCCGCATGCAAATTTGTCTCTGATGATGGGGCAAATCGCGAAGCGGTCCCAATCGCATCCAATAGGATTTCTGCTTGACTGTCGTATCGGGCTAAGCGCCGGGTACCGTCACGTGCAACTTGTTTACCATAGCTGCTCGAGGGCTCGAGCTTCATCTCCGTCACTGCAACACGCCCACCACCATCCCAGCATTCCTTCCCCACCACGCCTCTGTTGCCTTTTTGGATATCTATACACAGTCGCATCGTCCACGCCAACGCGCTCGCACCGTTTACTATGTCTCATTCTTGGCTACAGCGCAAGCGCAAAGGCGAGCTGTTGGAGCTGGCGCAAAAAGCTAGCATTCCCGAGTGAGCATTGCTCTTCATTGACACGTAAAATTTGCTATCTAACGCAATGGATGAACAGTGCAGACACGCTTCTGAAGGATGACCTCGTCGCCGCCCTCGAAGACACGCTCGAGGCCAACGAGACCACCTTCGCGAAACAACGCGCATTCAGCGAGTACTACGGTCGCGGCGGCTCGCCCATAAAACGCGAGCGCTCGTCGCCAGATGCTCTGGCGTTGACCAAGACGCGCAGCAGACGCCAAACTTTGAACAGGCATGGGAATTCGTGAGTTTTTGTTTACCCACGCGTTACGCGCCGGAGCTGACGGTAGCTACTATGCAGGCCCGACGACACCAGCACACCCGAAAGACCAAGCTTGGTCTCTCGCGCACTCGCAAAAACACCTCGTGAGGTTTCCCAGGTGACGCGACGCGTCTCTGAGCGTGTTGCTGAGGTCACTCCACGCGTTCCCCATGTCGACCTCCCCGCGTCACCCGCCCAGCTCGCCGAAATCGCCGACGAGTCCTTCCAGGTAGTCAAGGAAAGAGCCACCGAGTTGTGGGACAAGACGCGCATCGATGAGGCCAAGGAGTGGCTGCGCGAGACGAGCAGCTCCGTCAGCGCAATTCAAACCCTCATCTTGATCATCGAAGCTGCGACTCTGCAGTACAACACGCTCACCGACACGCATTACCTGTTCGACTCCCCTGCTACAACGGGTTTCCATGCCAGGGAGGTCCGCTTCCCCAATCTCACCAAGCTCGCGGGCTCTGGATGGTGGGGACCCGCGACTCTGTGGTCTTTGACGAACTGGGCGCTGCCCCTCATGTTCTCGTACTTCTTCAACCTGACCCTGCGCACGAACACGCGTCACAAATCCTCAAAGACCCAGTACACCATTGACCCGTTCACCTTCAACATCGCGAAGGCGATTCTGGCCTACAGCGCCTACTACGTCTACACCACTGCCGACGCATCGCTCGCGGGCCATCCGAACACGGTCCTGGCGCAATCTCCAGGATGGGGTCCGTTTTCGGAAGTGTCTGTCGCTACCGTCCGCGACAACATCCTCGGCGGCTATTACGGCATCCAGATCGGAAGCATGGTAGGCTTGCTCGTCAGCTTGTACGATGCGGCTTTGAAGAAATAATGACGCATGTATCGATTTCGCGACGAAGCAAATGACTGTTCAAGGTAAACGACGCGAACGACATGGGTGTGTTGCTTTGCCGGCGTTGCAGGTTTTCATTCTTTTTCATACGCGTTCAGCCTAGCGTTGGCACGTAGGGGTCGGCGTTGGAGGCCATCTGCCAGATACCTCGTTGGTGGGTGCTGTCGCCCTTAGGACTTCGACCATTGAACCTCAGATATTTCATTCTTCCTATGATCGCCATTGTTCAAAAGCTTGAGCTCATTGCCCGTAATGGACTAGTGGAAGAGCTCCACTCGTAGCTCCACGTCCCGTGAGACTGCGCCGAAGTTGGTTCCCCGCATCTCCACATCCCATCACTCGCCCATCCAGAACATGGCTGCGCAACTGTCCCTGCAGCGCTCGGCACATATGCCACCGGGGTGAGGCCAACGTAAACAATACCGTACATGATCGTACATGAACCTAGCAAACATCGTACACATAGACTGCATACTCAAGTAACCGGTCCTTCACATACCACTCCCTCGCAGTCGATCATCACTTGGTGCAATGCCGCCCCAACTCACCGTCCTCGTAGTCGGCGCAGGCCTCTCCGGCCTCGCAGCCGCAATCCAAGCTGCGCTCTCAGGCCACGCAGTCACCGTCTTAGAAGCCGCGCGTGAACTCGCCGAGGTACATCCCCCACCTCTAACATCCCTTCACTCCTTCGTCTGTCGCCCACCCTCGTCCCCAGACTGACATTTCCCACCACCACCGCGACTAACGCCCACCCAGATCGGTGCCGGCCTGCAGCTCACCCCCAACGCAACTCGTCTTCTACAATCCTGGGGCGTGTACTCCCGTATCCAAGGCCCCTGCGAGCCCGCCACCTGCACCGTCTACGACTACAAAGGCAAAGTCCTTGCGCACGAGGATGGCTTCGACAAGAACTGCAGGCGGAAGTACGGCGCGCCGTTCTCTGATTGCCATCGTGTGGACCTGCAGCAAGCGCTTGTGAAGAGGGCGAGGGAGTTGGGTGTTGAGGTAGTCCTTGGGGCGAGGGTTGTTGGGTTGGATTTTGATATAGAGCCAGAGGAGGGAGATGGGGAGGGAGAAGAGGAGAAGGGAAGGAAGCAAGCGCAGGTCAAAGTCGAAGACGGCCGGATATGGGAGGTTGATCTCGTAGTTGCAGCCGACGGGCTGTGGAGTACTTGCCGCTCGGTTTTGCTGGAGAGAAGAGACGCGCCGCTTCCGACAGGGGATCTGGCCTACCGCATCGTTTTGCGAGAAGAGCAGATTCAGGATGCAAAGTTAAGGGCGATGGTGCAGGAGCCGGGTGTGAGGTTCTGGGTTGGACCGGACGCGCATGTAGTTGCGTATAGTATGCGTGCGGGAACCATGTACAATGTCGTGCTACTGGTGCCAGATGATTTGGAAGAGGGCGTGGCGAGGGCGGAGGGGAATACGGGGGAGATGCGGAGTTTGTTCGAGGGTTGGGATCCCGTGTAAGTGCCCTTTACTATTTTGCAGTACCATGTGCTGACGCAGACAGTCTAACGCAGTTACTCGAGTGCGTGGACAAGGTAGACAAATGGAAGCTTATGCACCGCGAAGAAATGCCCTCCTGGGTAAACAATCAATCCAACCTCGTACTCATCGGCGATGCATGCCACCCAATGCTGCCCTATCTCGCACAAGGCGCAAACTCATCCATCGAAGATGGTGCTGTACTTGGCCTTCTTCTTTCGCCTTCCAACTTCACGGCTAAGTCCGAACTCCCGCTGACGCTGCAGCTCTTCCAGAAGCTGAGAAAGGCGAGGGGCGAAGCGATTGCACGAGAAACGTTCAAGCAGCGGAAGGATTTCCATATGCGGGACGGGCAGGAGAGGGACTCGCGAGATAAAATTTTCGAAGAGTGGATAGGCAGGAGCAAGGAGCTAGAAGAGAGTGGCAAGGAGTTTCCGTCGAGATGGACGTGTCCAGTCGTGCAGCCTTGGTTGTATGGATACGATGCTGTGAAAGAGGTTGAGGGTGCTGTGGGGCAAGGGCGGTGACACTGATAGAACACTGATAGAAGATACACTTCAATAGACACAATTTGTCGAAATCATGGAGCTGACTGGATTCGAGTGAATTATCTCTGTGCACTGATTACCAGCTCATGGCGACCTTCGCAGCGCCCGCAGCGACCGACACCTCGCCCTCGCTCGACACTTCGCCGCCATCCGCGCTGCTGACCTTCCTGTTCATAACCACTACTTTCCAGGCGCTGTTGCTCGTTCCGTGGACAACCTCAACAGAAACTCTCGACCCGGATGCTGTGACCTTGAGAGAAAGCGCCTTCTCGCCCAACTGCTCGTGGCTCGGCACATCAACAGTAGTATCCATGCCCTCTTCTACATTGACTAGAACCTTCATGCTATCCGCCCAATCATACTCCACCTTCTCACCGCCCTTGCCCATAACAATAGCGCTACCAGGCCTCAGTAACGCTGGCAAGCCATAAAAGTCAAATTCTTCCGTCACATAGCCTGGGCCAGTGCGTATCTTTTGGTCAAGGATGCCGCACCACTCGCCTTTAGGAAGGTAATACGTGACGGTGCTGTCTTCGCTAAAAACAGGCGCTATGAGGAGGCTGTCGCCGAGCATGTATTGCTGGTCGAGATACCAGATAGCCGGATCTTGAGGAAACTCGAGGAACATCGCTCGGAGCATGGGGATACCTGTTCTGTGAGTGATGATGGCTTGCGAGTAGAGGTAGGGCATGAGTTGGTGTTTGATGCTGACGAAGTGCTTGAGGACTTTGGAGGCTTCTTCGGTCGAGTCGATCAGCCATGGGACCTGGATATGTCAGCATTCATCGAATTGGTGTTTGAAAAGGGTTAGCAGCGTACTCTGAATGAAGCGCTCCCGTGTAATCTCGAATGAGACGAAAACAGCCCAAACGCGATCCACCGCTTGAAGAGTGCGGGATCCGGCTTCCCCTCGAAACCTCCAATATCGTGCGCCCAGTACCCAAAGCCACTCAGCGCCAGCGACAATCCACCCCTTAGCGTCTCAGCCATAGCCTCGAACGTAGAATACGGATCACCGCCCCAATGCACGGGAAACTGCTGGCATCCTGCCGTTGCAGACCTTGCAAACAAAGCAGCTTTATTCTTCCCATAGTTCTTCTCCAGCACCTCAAACGTTACCTTGTTGTACAAGTACGCATAGTAATTGTGCATCTTCGCTGGATCGGAGCCATCGAAGTACACCGTATCGCCCGTTGGTATGCGTTCTCCAAAGTCCGTCTTGAAAGAATCCACACCCATGTCCACGAGTTTCTGCAGCTTATCCTGATACCATTTGCACGCATCCGGATTAGTGAAATCGACAAAACCCATGCCCGCTTGCCAGAAGTCGTATTGCCATACGCTACCGTCGCCACGCTTGATGAAGTACCCCTTCTCTGCCGCCTCGTCGAAGATGGAGCTCTCCTGTGCGATGTACGGATTGATCCATACGCAGATACGGATTCCTTTCTCTTTCATGCGGCGGAGCTGGCCTGCGGCGTCGGGGAAGTAGTCCTTGTCGAATTCGTAGTCACACCATTCGAAACCGGGCATCCAAAAGCAGTCGAAGTGGAAGACGCTGACGGGGATCTGGCGCTCTTTCATACCGTCAAGGAAGGAAGTGACGGTGCTTTCGTCGTAATTGGTGGTGAAGGATGTGCTGAGCCAGAGGCCGAAGGTCCACGCTGGTGGGAGAGCAGGTACGCCAGTGATCTTTGAATAGTTGGATAAGATGTCTTTGGGCGTGGCGCCATAGATTAGATAGAGGGATAGAGTTTCTCCCGGAACAGCGATGTTGACCCGTGTTGTGCGTTCAGATTGTATTTCCAGCGAGACGAAACTAGATGTTGGAATGAAGACGCCGTAGCCGGCAGAGGTGATGAAGAAAGGGATGTTTTTGTAAGTGAGCTCAGAGCCGGTGCCGCCATCGTCGTTCCACATTTCGATCGTCTGGCCATTCTTTGCAAATGGGCCGAAGCGCTCACCCAGGCCGTATACTTTGTCGCCAACCCCAAGCTGCAATTGGTAAGTTACCCATCGCCTGCCCTTGTTGGGGTCTGTGTAGTTGGCTTTGGGATGTAGAGCTGTTGTGCCCGCTTTGACGTAGCCGATGGACCGCCATCCCAATCTCGTTAGTTGTTTCTGCTTGTGTCGAAAGCTGAGATCGAATGCTTTCGGTTGCGTGTTGACCGTGGCATTGAGCTCTCCAACACTGAACGTCAAAGCTTCGTCGGTCTTGGTTGTCTTAATAGGTGCAGAGTGTGTATCTTGACCTCGTGGAAACAGCTCGAAGTTGGGTGCCTGAGTTACGCTCTTTTGCTGCCTCCAGTGCGTGGATGAAAGATATAACACATTATCAATGGGCGAGCTGAGGTGGTGTGTCAAGGTCGGGTTGTTGAGTGTGTCACCACGAAAGCTGATCGGTTTCGATGCCTGTGTACACCTATGAGCCCTGTCCGGCATGCCGTCGCGCCTGATGGCTTACTGTGACGAAATATAACGAGTCCTCTCTCGCTGTGGCCTTCACCGTCTCGACTGCCCAATCAATGATTGTGTCTGGGGCCGGATGCCAGCACCCGTGTGAAAACTTGACCATGACAAGTATGCGGTCCTTTGCTAGTTGATTGCACCAGATTTGAAGTCATCGCATCTTATACATCGACCAACAGATTCCGACCGTTCCGAGCCGTCGGCGCCAAGGTACCCTCAATGGTGGATACAAGATGCATAACGCGGCACCGGCTGAGATACAACCCAAGGCGACCCATGGTGCCTTCGAGCTGCAGGTTGTTGTTTGACTCAGTACTCGCTGACTGACCAATCAATACGGAAGCTGCGACTCAAAGTGGACTCAGTTGCTTACGGTACCGGCACAGCGTAGATCAGACTTCTGTTGAACAACGATAAGCGGTACGCTGGTTTTTTTTTCACCGGCTGAATTGCGTAGAGTCGTGCGAATGCTCGGTTTGAAGTGGAACGATGCCAAGGTGCTAGCACGTGATTCTGCGGAGATGCCCGCTTAAGGTTTTCCGACCTCGTCTTCCTCCATCTCCTTTCAGCTGTCCCGGCTTTCCGCTTAGTTCTTGATTTGCAGTAGCCAACGATGCGTTGAGTCGTCCATTACACGACCGGCTAAACGAAAGAACGCCGAGACTCGCCATCTCCTTTGAGTTTACTGAGAACGTCCCGCGCTTGGCTTTCAGCGCCAGACTCCAGGTTTTAAGATCTTGCTACGGCTGCATCTGAATCATTATGTGCAAGGTTCATGGCCGAGTGTGTTCCGAACATGCGAAGATCCCAGCGTACCGGGCTTTCATAGTCCTTCCCGGCACAATGGATAGTCTGGGGAACTCTTACAGGGCAGTGGTGGGATAACCTATAAGTAGCGGGGTCGTACAGGGACGATCTCTCTTCAGATCAAGTGCAACTTGTCTGCTCCGGTTTCCATTCTGATACCACCTCCCATTGTCCAGAGGCAGTGATTTTGTTCGTTATGGCTCCACATATTAAGACACCGCGTGTCAACGCGTATACCTGGGGTTGTAGTCTCTTCGCAGCAGTCGGATCTTTACTGTACGGTATCGACTCTGGTATCGTCTCGACGACCATCGCCCAGAAGTCGTTTGTGGAATATTTTGCACCCTTTACACCGAGTGTCAAAGGTGCTCTTGTAAGCACGTTCGGCGCAGGCTCCGTTTTCGGTGTCTTCTTCGCAGGATGGTCCGCCGATTATCTTGGGTAAGTGAGAAGCTGGTTGGTTGTGAAACAGCGCAAGCAGACTAAGAGCGAGAACAGTCGCAAGAAGACTATCATGATCGCGGCGATCATCGCTTTAATTGCTGGCATTATCCAGGCTGCTGCGGTACATATGGGTATGCTCATCTGCGGGCGCATCATTGGAGGTTTTGCTGTTGGCATCATGAGTAAGTATTTTATCTGAAGCTGTTCGCACGAGCTCATGTGTAGCAGATATGACGATTCCCATATACAATTCTGAGATCGCCCCTCCACATAAGCGCGGCATGATTTCTGGCCTTCATGCTCAGTTTGTGGGCATAGGTTTCGCGATTGCCAACTGGGTCGGATTTGGCTGCTCGTACGCTTCTGGCCAATTCCAGTGGCGGTTCCCTCTAGCAGTTCAATGTCTTCCTGCCATCATCGTCCTCGTTGGTATCTTCTGGCTGCCTTACTCGCCCCGCTGGCTCCTCGAACAAGAGCGAGATGAAGAAGCTTATGCCGTCATCAAGCGTCTTCATGGTGGTTCTGGAGATGACACATTCTTCCGTGCCGAGTTCACACAAATGCGCGATCAACTGCGTTTTGAGAAAAGCGTACAGAAAGCCGGCTGGAAAGAGTGTTTTGCTACGAAGAGCAACAGAAAAAGAATCTTACTTGCCGTGCTTGTCCAGGCTTTTACGCAACTGTCGGGTATCAACGTTATCAACTATTACCAAACAGATCTGTATAAGAGTCTCGGTCAAACAGGTCACAATGTGACGTTGTTAGCTGGTGTCTACGGTCTGGTCGGTCCCATTGCCAATGTGATCTGCCTCAAATACGGTATGTCGCGATACTTGAGACGTGAGCTCCAGGGATCAACACTAACTCATGCAGTCGACACATGGGGTCGCAAGAAAACTCTCTGGATCACCGGCCTGATCATGACCCTCGACATGGCGCTCGTGATGGCTCTGAGCGGTGCATATGGCAAGTCGGACAACCAGATCGCGAAGGGTTTCTCCATCGCCTTCATCTTCTGTTTCTCCATTATGTAAGTATCCCCATTTACGCCGTCACATTATGCTGACATGTTGGTTAGCTACTCCCTTGGCTACAACTCCATCCATTACATCTACGTCCCAGAAATCATGACCATGGCAATCCGCTCCAAGGGCTCGGCCATCTCCGTCATTTCGAACGTGCTCATCAACATCGTCTTCAACCAGGTGTCACCAATCGCCTTTTCCGAGGTAGGCTACAAGTACTACTCTCTGTTCATCTGCACGAACCTGATCGGGGCTATTACGGTGTTCTTCGTTTTCCCTGAGACGAAGGGGGAGAACCCTCGAGGAAATTGCGCATATCTTTGGTGACGAGGTGATTGTAGCGGATCTAGCGACTGTTAAGGGGAAGCTTCCCGAGGAGGAAGTGCACGAGATGGAGGTCGTGGATGACAAGAAGTGATGGTAGCTAGGAATGCAGGTATGACTCGCATGATGCTACGGTAAGCGCTGCGATGGTTCCTTTTCGCCAATGCATATACGCGCAACATCCTTCGATCCCTAGGTTACTACTCTCCACACCGGATTGCCTCGTATACCCTGATATCTTGGAAGCTCCACGACTCGTAGAGCATGCAGGATGGACCAAGTGTCGACTTGATGAATTGAGTGCGCACACGGGATGTCATATATTTCCTCGGTTAGCAATAATAGCTATAGGGCTAGCTGTGAGGCTGTTAGCGCGGCCATAAGGCCAGCAACGGTGCTCGCGGAAGCGACACAAGCATGGACCGAACCACGGCGGCGGCTGTGAAGTAGACAGGATGTCGTGGCCAGGTGGGACGCCTACTCAAGCGCGGTGAGACATGCGTGTAGTCAGGTAAGCATGCGCCGAGCGGATTGGTCGGACTGTCTAACGTCGTCTAATGATAGAAGCAGCGTAGATCTCCCGTCCACAGACTGAGACGGGCGGCCTTCGCCTAAGGATGCCATCTCGTGTTGCACGTTCTGGTATGTTGCTTCTGGCTGAACCGAATCGTTGCCTAGGAGCACTCGTCCGCGACGCTCGCGGCGGAGAGAATCACTCGTCGTAAAGTGGCTTTCGAAGACAATTTGCGTCTGCTCCCGACGACGGCGTCGCATCCTCGGCGCCTTCCCAGATTTCCGACATCCTCCTCGACCGCGACCGGACGATGAGGCTGCAATAGCGATTCCGGCACCGTAGACCTCGCGCCACGAATAGCAACGGCAATGGTTTCAGATCGGCGGCCCGTTGCATGGGCACTTTGTGGAGGTGAGACGCTCAGCAGTGGCCAGCCTTATGAGGCTATCCACGGACACTAGCACTGGTGCCTCCCTGCACTCTCGCCACACCGCATGGTACACGGTAGACATGAGTAGGACCCGCCTCCGAACGCCTATACGCTGGTTTTAACATGTCAGGCCGCGACATGACTTCTACTGATTGGACCCCACCATGGCGGAGCCGCTCTCGAACCACGACCCAGCCGATGCGGTCGATGCTTGATTCCGCGTAACGTGAACATGACCCAGCGGATTGGCAATTCTTGACGGGGAACTGCTAAGGCTCAGAAGACGCCGTCAATCACAGTGGACAAAGGCGGTATGCCTAACTCCACAGCTTCGGCTTCCGCCTAAGGATTTCTCCCTGAATGTACAGCGACAGGACCAGATGTGTGGGCTCAAGAATCTGCTTCGATCAACCGACGGACCCTGCTTTTACCTCGAGACCTCTCCGTTATACTTTTTCGAACTTCCAAGTCAGCTTCAGCGGTCTACCTGAAGAGAGTAACCCATCGAGTGCGGCGGTGTAGGCTAGCCACAATGATCGATCCTTAAACGTCAATTTCTCGGACGACTATGAAAAGGCCCAGTGCTCCGGTAGACTGCTACTACATACACAGCTCTCTATCTTACATACTTCTCTTTCCATATCCACGGGCCTTAGTTCTTCTTCCTTTCAAAGGCGTCGTGAATTGACAGCGCTCAACTTCCGCTCCACTTCGCTTGCTTCACGTAACAATATCTTACCAAATGCTTCCCGAACCACAAAGACGAGGATTTTGCAAGCAATGCAAGGAGAGCGGGGTTCAGGTTAGTTCCATGCATCTATCTTGTCAACTGGGATGACTGCTAATACACTCCAGTGCGACAAGAAGAAGCCGCGATGCAGTGCATGTGTGGCGGCAAACAAGCCTTGTGGCGGCTACGATATGGGCCACATCTTCATCAATGTAAACTCATCGGGACCACCACCCACGTGGAACCGAGGTCAGAGCGCACAGAAACACCTAGTCCTAGACTTGGCATCACAGCCCGCGACTTCGCCACCCCAAACCTTAGACATGCTAGCGGCATCTCTTCCGACAACCTCACATACATCCGATGCCATGTCTTTAGGCTCGGTGGATGCCTCAAGGGCGATAATCGCCCTCGCGGATCCCGCAAACATCCACCACTTGGTTGAACTTTTTCTGGACATCTACCTCAGGCGTTACGGGCCTGGCAAGACACCTGTAGACCCACTCACGGCCGGTAATGAATGTGGGGGCTGGAGACTACTACTTCCCTCTTGGCTGGGACAATCCGTCATTCTGGATACTGCTATCGGAGCGATGGCCGCTTCTTTCATCGGATCGCAATACCAGGACGTGGGATTGTCTGATCACGGAGGGAACATGTACTTGAACGCCCTTCAGATGGTTCAAAAAGCCCTCCCAGAACTTGGTACTTCCGAAAGGAAACATTTACTAGCAACAACGCTAGTCATGAGCTCGACGGAGCTCTTCATGTCCAATGGAGGTGGATCGAGCCAACTTACCCACATCGAAGGAGCAACCCGTCTGCTCAATCTCTCTATGGACAGTATGGATCTTGAAGAGCTCCACGTTTATATCCTGAACCAGGGCTTGTTCGAAGCGATATCAAGCAGGCGTTCGTATCCCTGCTCGTCTCCTTCGTTTCGGCATCTGGCTCGCCACATATACTCGGTTCCACGAACGAATCGTAACGATCTGTACTTCCAATGGTGCGAGCGCATCCTTCCTCTTCCGAATTATCTCAGCGTCACAGACAGCGTCACCTCTTCTACTACGGCGGCTCCAGTCTCTGCTGTGAAGGCTATCCTCGACGACTTGTCAACACTCGAACAGTCCATTACGCCTTGGTATGAGCTACTTCAGTCAAGCATGAGTGGTCCGTGGACCTTCCCTGCCGCCCAAGTTAGCGCAGACTCAGTCCCGTTTCCTCTCCAATTCATCTCGATCGAAGCTTGCACCAACTATTGTCTGTACTGGCTCGCTCAACTTCTCATCCTCGAAGCTCGCCAGATCTTATACATGCGCTTGCCTCAGTCTGATGTTCCTGAGCATAGGGCACTTCAGCCTCGCATCTCTGAATATGCGTCGCTCGTGTGTCGCTCCGTACAATACTGCGCTAACAACACTTCGTTCGCTGCTACGGAAAACATGTTCTTGCCACTAGATGTAGTCTCGAGCTACTACTTGCGGCAGGGCGACCACGACCGTATGAATTGGTGCATCAGCGCCTTTGCACGCATCTCCAGGGAGCACAAGATCGGGTTCGCTTCCAAGAAATTCGACATGGCTGATATGCGGATCGTCGACACCTCGTACGACCCCAATGGTATTTGGGACCAAGTCTAATCTCGTTATCTCATGTGGTTACAGTGCTTCTACGATCTCCTTTCGTTCTTTTCTCTCTCGTCAGAAGCATTTCCCCACAATATTACTCAGCATAGCATCATTTTCACCTAGCATAGCATAGCATAGCATAGCATAGCATAGCATAGCATAGCGGCATCGGCATTTCTCGGCGTTTCATACCAGGTTGGAACCCAGCATACAGCATACAGCATACATACGACGTGCTCTGGCGGCACTAGGATATTAGGCATCACTTGTTATTAGCAAGGCATCGTTTGAGCGTTTTTTGTTTTGTTAAGGAAATTTGGGATTCCTGCAGCGTAGAAAAAATCAAAGCATATCTGACCACCTTGACCACCACATTTCCCACTCGCAAGATTCCCATCACCAATAACTTTTCCTAGGGCCTGGTACCTAGTCTCAAATTCACCGCCACAGTCTCCCAGTCCGTCTCCACGCAGCCCTCCATTCCATTCGCCAACACTCTCCAGAACCTCATATCCCTCCGTGACTCCCTCCCAGTCAATCGACCACTTCGCTCAGCTCAGGCCCTCCACCTGAGCAGGGCTGCTCAGATCTTCAGAAGAGAGCAGAAAGTTCGGTGTAGGGATTCCCCTCATGTTACATTTGCATGCGCATTCGCCACTCAGCGAAGGGATCGACACCACCACGGGACCGGCACGACCGGGTGCAAGGCCGACTGCCGCAAGCAACAGATAAATGCAACTACAGCTTCGATTGGACGCGATGGTAAAATGAATATGTCTTCTCTCCCTTGCGTGGGCGCTCCAAAACGGCAATGGGGGCTAGTTTGGTGTGGTGCCAGTGCGGTGAGACGAGTCTAAGTTGCCGAGTCGGGACAATGGCTGGGCGGTTGGTTGGTGTGAGGCGCGAACGGCTGCAGGGACTGGGCGGTGGCCGCATCTTACTGTGTACGATGAATTACTAGAAAGAGCTACCGTGGGTTTAGTCGCGAGCCAGCCTTTGCGAATTGACGCGTCAATGCAAGCTAGACGAAGGAAGAATGCATGGCCCCTTGGATGCAGCGCTTAGGGACGGAAACGACGTTATCCGTGTGCACACCTCTGCACGCAACGCGCAGCATAGTTTCTCAGGACAAAAGTAGTTGGAGAGAAGAGACATTGAATGCTGACTTTTAGTGTACTCGTATGCATGCGTTTTGTGTCCAGCCGTCACCCCGAAATCGAAAAAGGTAAAAAGAAAATATAAACGCCTATGTCATGCACCACCCGCGCAACAATTGAGCATAGAAAATAGAAGGTTGCCACACCATTACAATCTACTTCTGCATCATACAAAGTCGCCTCTCCTCTACATGATATCAAAGCTCTCTTTCAGCTGCTTGATCAACTTCCACTCGTCCATGCTGACATCCGCCCTGAAGTAGTTTTTGAGCGTATCGATCGATTCACGCGAGATGTGACTGTAAAGAATGTCCTTTTCCTCGAGATGGCGGCCGTAGAGGGGTTGGTTGGGCCCTTCGATTTTGACGGCGACGGAGGGCTGGCCCTTTTTGCAGACTTGGATTTGCTTGTGGTCGCGCTCGATGGAAGTGCTATATGCTTTGTTAGTGTTTGTTTAACGTGTATCAGAAGTAAAGGTTGTGAAGAGGAGAGGGAGCGGCAAGAGAGACTTACACTCTGCCCAGGTCGATGATTTCCTTCAGACCAGTAACGGGATTCTTCTTGATGGCAGCGATGGGCGTCGTAATCTTAAGGTTTCCCTCTGTGACATCGACGCCCAAGACGATGGGATCTTTCTTGTTGAAGACAGCGATAGGGCTGAGCACGCAGGGGAAGACGGCAAGCATCTTGGAATCCTCCTTGCGCTGCTCCTCGAGCTGCTTCATGTGCGCCGTGAACTTGTCGAAGAGGTGGTAGATGATGTCCGCCTCGAAGATCTTAACGCCGATTTCGTCGGCGTAGGCGCGTGCGTCTTTGTCGACCTTGACGTCGAAACACAGCATGACAGCGTATTCCTTTGCTTTTTCTAACATGACACCGGCGCGTAGGACATCCTTTTTGAAAACGGGACCGATAGAGATGGTGGCGACGGGGATCTTGGAGACGCGTAGGAACTCGAGCAAGGCTTCGAGCGAACCAAGGGTAGATGCCTGAACAGAGACACCGCGGCCAGTCTTGGATACCTTGCTGAGCAAGTGTGCGAGGTCGCCCATGACTTCATCCATGAGGTCCTCTTCGTCATCATCTGGGCCAACGACGAGCAGTCGCGAACCGGCAATAGCCTGGTCGAGACCGTCGGCGGCGATCTTGATACCCATGGCGGCCTTGACCTCCTTATTGTGTACATATTGCGATTTAACACGGAGCTCCTTCATCTCAGCTGGTGTGAGGAGAGCTCGAATATTTGTCGCTATAGGCTCTGGATTACCGCAAAGCACTACTCGGTCACCCTCGTGTAAAACACCGTTGGAAAGAATCACGTCAATTGTTGTGCCGAGACCTTCTATGACCTTGACTTCCAGGACCGTGCACTCTACCTCGGACAGGTACATGAGGTTGTTAGTCATACGCTCTTGGGTGAGCTTGATGATGAGCTTGATCATATCGGGGATACCCTCTCCGGTGTGCGCTGATGTCGGGACCACAGAGACATACCGCGACATGTTTTTGTTCTTGAAGAACAGCTCCGAATTGAAACCCTGCTCTTGCAGTTGGGTATGTACCATGGCCCATCGGTCCTCGAACTCCTTCTTGACGCGGTCCTTCTGCAGGCTCAAAGAGTCTTCGAAACCGTTGTTGTCAATCTTCTTCCAGTCAAGGAGACGATCGATCTTGTTGAGGGCAACAATGAAGGGCGTCCTCCTATCGCGAAGTAATCTCATCGACTCCAGTGTCTGTGGCTCTAGACCGTGCATGATATCGACAACGAGGATAGCAATATTGCAGAGTGAAGAACCTCGGGAACGCAAATTGGTGAAAGACTCGTGACCAGGGGTGTCGATGACGAGAAGACCAGGGACGTTGAATACAAAGGAGTGGTCTTTGTTGACGACGGCTGTCTTCTTCTCCAAAGCCTCAACCGGGAAGTAAGTGGCACCGATTTGCTGCGTGATACCACCAGCTTCGCCTTCCTGGACGTTGGTCTGACGGATTTTGTCCAAAAGCTTGGTCTTTCCGGTATCGACGTGGCCAAGGATGCAGCAAATAGGTGATCGGAGGTTGTCCTTTGAGCGAGCAGCGAGGGCCTCTTCGTGCTGCTTCTTTCTCCGTTCTGCAGCGGCAGCTTTTCGTGCGGCTTCGGCGCGTTGTGCGGCAGTACCCTCTTCATCGGATGATGAATCGTCGCTGTCATCGCTGTCATCTTCTTCATCTGAAGACTCTTCATCATCCGCAGATGCCTCCGCAGCTGGCTTGCCGTTGGCCGCAGGCTTCGCAGCAGTAGCAGCCTTGGCCTCAGCCGCGGCTTTCTTCTTCTCTTCCTCCGCGTCACTGTCTGCGTCCCAGCTGTCCTTGACGCCCTCCATGGCATCTGCCTGGGCTTCCCAATCCTCGCCCGAGTCGCTCTCCCCCTCGCCCTTCTTCGCCTCAGCATCTTCACGCGCCTTTTGAGCTTCAGCCTCAGCAGCAGCGGCCTGTTCTTCGGCTATTCGAAGCTCTTCGAGCTTCTTCGCTGCCTCTTCGGCCTCCTTTTCCTTTTGCTGCTCGGCCTGGGTCTTCTTCCTTTTCTTGCGGTCGTCGTAAACGGGCTTCTTCTTCTCAGTAGGGGCGTCAAGTGCATCGACCTTGGCGTTTCCGCTCTCCAGCATCTGTTTCAGGCGCAGCTCGTTCCTGGCCTTGGCCTCCTTCTGTGCCTTGGTCAGGTACTTGCCCTCTTTCTTCAGCTGCTCGATCTTCTCCTTTTCTTTCTGCTTCTTGAGCGCCCTGGCCTCGGCCTTCTTTTTCTCCTCTTCCTCAGCATTGCGCTCTTCCTCTTCTATCCTGGCCTTCTCTTCGGCCTCCAGGCGAGCTATTTCCTCCTCGCGTTTTCGTCGCTCTTCCTGTTGTTTCTGGAGCGCAGCGAGGGCGGCGGGAATTTTCTTGCCTTTCTTGCCACCGGCGGCAGCTGGAGCAGCAGCAGGTTCGGGAGCAGGCGTTGATGGAGTGTCGGACTTGGCTTCGGCGGGCTTTGTGGCTTCAGTCTTTGCTGGGCCGGTGGCCTTCTTCTTTGCAGCCTGTGTAATGGTTAGAATCGATCTTGTCGACATGGTCTCTGGAAAAGGTGTTGTAAACTTACCATCTCCTTCTTCCGCTGCTTCTCCTTCTCCTTCTTTTCCTTTTCCTTCTCGGCCTTCGTCTTGACCCTCGGCGCGTCATCCTCTACCGGTGCCTGCTTCTCCTCCCCTTTCTCCTCCTTCTTTTCCTTCTTCGGCTTGAAGTTGCCCGCAAAAACATCGTCATCGTCAAAGTTTGCCTCCTCAGGCGCCTTGCTCGCTATCGGATCGTTTGCTGCCTCCTCAGTGGGGTCTTCGCCTAGCTCAGCTTCCCAGTCTTGCTGCTGGTTCTTCTTGCCCTTCTTCTTGCCTCGTTTCGCCAGAGCAGCCATCAGGCCGCCGCCGGTAGCATCCTCCTCGGCGGCGGGCTCCTCTGCCTTGGGCTCTTCGGCGGCATCCTGGGGAGCAATGGACTCGCCCAGGTCAGCCTCCCAGTCATCCTGGGCCTTCTTGTTGCCCTTCTTCTTTGGCGGCATTGTGTATAGTGTGCCGTGTCGCGACTCGTGGGCAATTAGGCCGCAAAAATAATACGCGGACCGGCGGGCGTATAATGACTTTCGAGGCCTGGTGGCGGGGTCAAAACCACACTTCAGTGGCGGCGGGACCGTGGATCAAACGTCCAAATGCGCTAGAAAGGCAGGCCGGTGGGTCTGCGAGACAGTGCTCGAGGACCACAGGCTCGAGCGACTGGAATTTCGTGTGGCGAGGGCGAACGCACAGTAGGCGTCGAAATTAGATGTTGTGAACCCGTAGTTGGCGCGGGGTTCTGCGGCTCTGGCGCGCCTGCCAAGCCTGCCTCACTCACCATCACTTGCTGCCTGATGAGTCGAAGTCATAGCATTTGATGGGTCATCGTTCTTTTTTTAGTCACGATTCGAGCTCACTTCGGTTCATCTCACAAGCTCTAGGTACGACTCAAACAGTGTCCGCTTGAATTATATCCCGCGTTCTCAAAGTGTAGTCTACTCCATGCCTCCCAGACCATGCACCCTTTCTCGCAAGCCTGTACAATTCCAAACATGAACGCCAATTCCCATTCCCGCAATAACCAAAAGGAATGCTATGCTTTAGAGGCGCGATTAGGTAGCTGTATATAGACAAGTTTACCTTATCCGGACCCGCGACCAAGGTAATAAAAATACGAACGTATGAAGGAATGAAGCGACTTTTGCTAGACCATACAATCGTGAATGGGTAGATGCGTGCAGATGGCATAATGTTGATGCTGAGACCGTTTCGCTACTGCGTTTGACCCACAAGAAGCGACTCCACGGCGCTGGAGATGAAGGCCTTCTTCGGCGTGAGATCCATTCCAAACCTGCGTATATCGTTAGTGATGTTCAGAGCAGGAGCTAGATATTACGTACCTCTTCTCCAACTCCAGCTTGATCTGCTTCTTGGTCACCGTCATGAGGTCAGAGGACGCAAGAATTTCGCGAATTTCAGCCAGCACTGCATCATCGGATGGCATGCCCAGAAGGTTGCCCATCTCGACGCTGTTGTCATAACCTCCATAGCCGCTAGGGGCAAGACTCATTCGGGAGTTGTTGGCATAGGGTAGGTTGAGGTGGGACATTGGTCGAGACGGCGGCATACCTCCGTATTCAGATCCGGCGACGGAACCGCTACCGTTCATACCCATGAAACGCTTGGTACCGTACGAGAAAGCAGATATCTCGGATCGATCATCGCGCATCGTGTGCTGCTCCCACATCTCGGCTTGATACTCGTCCCACTTCTTCTTCGGGATGCTGGAGGGGTCAAACTTGCCCTCGTCGGACACGACCACCTTCTGACCCTTTTCACCCGTGACGATACGAGTATTACCCCAGGAGAAATCGTCCATGTGCCAGAAGGCATAAAGCGGAAGGCCGAAGGAGAATACCGGAGTGGCAAGAATGTAAATGATCATCCAACCAATCATTTCCCATTTGCGACGGATGACGAAGATGATAGCCTGGAGACCATAAACGGCGCCCAGCAGGATGAAGGCCGTCATGGGAACGACGCCTGGGGAGTCAATGAGCTGGTAAATGAGGTAGGCAATGTACGCGACGGTAACAGGCATGACGATCGTCGATATCAAATCCAAGAAGACGACGAAGCGCATACTGAAACAACAGAATCCACAAAGTTGCTGCAGCGGAATGAGCTCGAGCAGGTTGTGCACCGTAGAGTTGATCCAGCGACGACGTTGGGACATGAAAACTGCCCAGCTATCGGGGGCAACAGTCCAGGCATGAGCTCGGAAGAGATACTTGGTCTTGTACTTGGAGTGGAACTTGAGGAGCAACGTAGTCAAGTATCGGTCCTCTCCTAGATGCAGCAAGTTCTTCATATGCAGGGTATCGACACGGATTTCCTGATACGCTTCTAGAACTTCCTTGCTAACAAAGAGAGGCTTTCCGGTCTCGGCGGCTCGGATGCGGTACATAGAGAAACAACCAGGAAGACATGTGACGCAACCAAACAAGCTTTCGAAGGCCTTGGTGAGATTGTGCGAAATGAAGTATTCGTAGACCTGCATCATGGTGACAAAAGAGTGCTTCGCGTTGGTGAGAGACGTTTCTCCACACACACCAATCAGACGGGTATCGTGAAGGAAAGCGGCAACAAAGCGGGTGGCTGAGTCCGGAGCGACAACTGTGTCTGCGTCGATCTGCAGAATGAACTCGTAGAATGTGGGGTTGACACCGATGATATTACGGACCTGGTGATGCATTTCAAGCTCCAAAGGACTCATGGGAAGGTTGTAGTGGACCCTGTTCAGGAAGCGCATGAGCATGACCTGAGAATCACGTTTTCCACGGTTACCGGGTTTCGAGACTTCAGACGGTTTGCCGACTTTGACCACCACCAAGAAAGGCACAATGTGGCCATGCACCTCGTACAGACCAGAATAACACTTGCCCATGTTGTGCTGCTTTTGGCCTTCGCCAAGGGACTCGAAGCTTAGAGGGTCGGGATCAACAGTTTCTGATACGCCCAGAATGTCGAGTACAATGCGAGGGGTGGGTTTGTCGTTGCCTTGTCCGATGATCATGCCGTCACAGACGATGACGATAAGTTTGCGCTTGTCATCGTACTTCATCCGGGCAGCTGAGTCGATAGCACGGCGTAGAGAATCCTCGTCCTCGGTGTACGCAGGAACAGTACAGATGATGAACTTGTCAATGTTTTCCGGTACGCTCTTCCTTCCGAATTGGAGTGCGGCAAAGAATTTGAATCCGATGACACTAACGAGGAGAAGCGAAATAGCCAGCATAAAGTACTTCGCGAATTCACACTTGGCAGAGCTCCGTGTGTCGAGGTCTCCGACGTAAAAGAGGTTGTCCATGCAGATCTTCATCGTCTTCCTCTCGTCGGCGCTTAGACTGAGTCCTTCCCAGTACTTGCTCACGTCGGATCCAGATTGCACTCTGAAAATGTCAACCAAAGACGCGTCCATAAAGTCGGTATTGGTGTTGTAGTTGCTAGGCCATTTCTCGCCGTTGTCTTTGGATTGAATTGAACGTCCACCCACGATGTAGTCCGTGAAGTCATACACTTTGCCGTACATGTAAGCAATGGATTTTCCAGACTTGGTCAAAGTGCTGAGGTACTGTGGGCTGAAGCCAACCCGTCCCTTCATGTAGTTGGACTTGAGGAAGACCTGTTGCTCGAACCACCAGTCAGGACGGGAGTCGTTCCAGAATGCTCTGAAATCATGAAATTTGGCATTAAGATCGGTGCTGGAAACGAGATTACTCTGCTGGGTGTAATTGGAGGTTCTGAAATCGAGTTTGAGACCGGGATGCACGGAGCCGTCGACGCCATTGCAGAGTGCAGACACATCGACTGGGAAGAGGTTGGTCGCATCCTTCCCCGCATATTTCTCAAGGGAGGAATCGGGAATAATGGAAGGGTAGTGAGCTGGCATGAACTTTCCGAGGTCATAGACAATGCCACGAATAGCAATGTAAGCGTCGTTGTCGTCCTTTCCATTGTACGAGGTCAATTCGGCGGTTGAGTAGACATGCTGGGTAGGACAAATAAGCCTCGGGAAGCCGACCATGAAGAAAATGACGAAAGAGCAAGAGAGCCAGATGAGCAGATTGATAGCGAACTTCTCTCGCCAAGCGATGCGAACGTCTTTTCGCTTGATTCTTCCGACCCATTTGATCAAGATGTCAGGAACGAACCAAGTGAGAGCATAAACCGTAAACAACCAGCGCTTGCGGCTACCGGAGACAGGCTGGGTGTCGACTTCTTCAAGCGCTTTCGACTCCGCTTTTTCGTCGAGCATTTTGGGCTGCTCTAGGCCGTGGAACATGTCGCCTCCGCTGGTGATAGCAGACGCAGCCTCAGACCTGGCGTCGATATCCTTGCTGCCAAAGTAGCTACCACCCTTGTCGTTGTAGTAGCCGCCTGGGGAAGGCGCAAGCAGACCGGACCTAGAATCGTTCACGCCATAGGAACGAGGCGCATCAGGGGTCAGAGCATCGTCCCCAACAGATAGGCCACGAGCTGGAGGTGAAATATCGCCAATGTTGGCAATTTCAGACCAACACCGCTCGCTCAGGAACACACCTGTTGTGCCAACCCGCACCTCTGTCTCACGCCAAGGCTTGCTGTCGAGCACAGTCTCTGCCCGTTCCCGCTCGCTACCAAGAGACCTGTCCAGCTCAGCAAGACCAAGGAATTCGGCGAACGGCAAAAAGATGCTGAAATCGGCCACATGGAGTCGTTGGCTAACCTCGGCGATGTTCAACGACTGAACTTGTATCCGAACGCATTTGCTGTCGAACTGATTGGCAATCCTTCTGTCGTTAGGCTTCAGACAAAGTACGAAGTATGGATTGGCCTTGCGCAATGAGGACTCGATCGTTTTGAGAGAGCTCAGGAATTGCCCAGCCGCACCAGTCTGCTTCGCAGAGTCACCCTTCTTGGATCCCGACACTGTGCTGTCGGCATCGCTCATCGCATCTTCATCAAAAACGTTGACAGGACGACCCATTCGGCCACCTTTCTCTGTTTTACGGCGTGCCATGCTGGGCATCCTCATGGGTTTGGAGCTGACAGTAGCTTGCATAATGGCCGATCTATCCTTCTGGTGCGTCACCTTCTTCAGAGCTTCTTGTCCGAAAAGTTCTTGGATGAAAGAGCTTTGAGATGATTTGAGAAGGTTCATCATGTCGCCCGAAATAATCTCAGCGTTCTCCTCCATGAAGTTCTCCGCATTGTATTCGACCTCGCCCGCGAAATGACGCACCGTGAAAGTGACAGATGTGTTGGGTGTTGGGAAGTTGCTGCCAGGTTGAGTAACGTTGAGACTGCCAGGCTCGATAGCAGCATTCTTGCCATGGAATCGTTTGCGAATAGCCTCGAGGAACTGCATATGGGTCTTGTCGCGGCGTGTCTGATCATCAAGGATGCTGAGAAGTCCGTTCCCTGACTTCAAGAGACCTGTCTTGGCCTCAGAGTTATCCCAGTACTGGATCTGGGGCAAATTGATCTCTTCCTGCTCTATTTCCCTCATTTGGCGGTCGAAGAAGGTCTGTGTATAGTAGTTGTGCAGGAACTCATTGGCAGAGTTGTTGAGTAGCTGGTCAAGATTGCATCCGGTACCCGAGTAAGGAGCGAAGCCTGGGAAGTCGACCAGAGAAACGGAATTGTTGACCTCATCAGGGACCGCGGCTATTCTGGCGTTGACCTGTTCCATGACATAAGCAACCAGCAACGAGTATAGAGTGCGTGCCATTTCGTCGGCGTTTGCTCGAGCACCCTTCGGATCAAGCATGACGGTAACACGCTCACGGTAGAGTGTTTTGGTCTTCCACCGCAGGCTCTGCTCGAGCTCAGTCATGGTAACCTGGAGGAAACGGGCAATGGGCTCCAATGCCTCTTTGTTCTTGACCATGGTGATGGTTTCGCCACCTTCATGCGAGTAGCCTCCGCTGTCGTCCGCTGTGGGGGTAGTAGACTGGCCACTCTCAAACTCCAACTGGCCGATGTGGAGGATGATGGCCATGACTTCGCAGATACCAGCAATGTCGTGCTTGGAGAACTCGAGCCTACGCAACGCAGTTTTGAAATCCTGGAAGCCTCGTGTATCGTCAATGCCTACTTTGAGCTGCGAGGGGTGACCCAGATAACGCCATCGCTTGTTGGCCGTGAGTGAGGCGCGGTTACCGACACCATCACCGATCATGTCCAGGCCCAGATGCTTCTTCTCAGCGAGGCTGGTACCTTGGAGGAGGTAGTAAAGAATGTGGTAGCTACGTTCGCCGGTCGGAACCGACGCGATGCGGCTACGCTCCAGTCGATGTGCCAGGAACTGGGCGCCGATGAGGGTTGCATGGTGCGAAGTCGCCGTCTTGTACTGCAGCTCGAGCAGCAGGCCGGCTTTGGAGGCCGAAGGAGTCGTAGTTGACTTGGTAGTGGTAAAAGCATCGAAAATGAAGTTTGCGTGTTCAATCTTCTTGGAAAGTGGGGTTGCGGAGTATGAGAGGAAGGCCCTCAGCATGTGTCCGCGAATGGTGGTTTTGCCAGCACCCGACTCGCCCCTGGACCCTGTCAGTTACTTCCCGCTACATTTCCACGGTTCGGCGCGGGTACTTACAAGAAGACAACCGCTTGATCTTCGGAGCGCAGACCCAGCCTCATGTAGGCCCGTTGCGCCATGTCTTCGGCGGCCTGCTGGGCACTGCCATCCTTACCACCCTCGGGACCTCGGCTGGCGTCTGTGTATGTGTTGAGAGATATTAATGCGTGGGAGGAAAGCGTGGAAGTCGGCAAATGGGCGTGGAAGCGGCTCGCGAGATGAGCCGTGAGGTGTGTATCGGACTGCAGATGCTGGCCGAGGGCGGGCAGTGATGGCTGCATGTATTGGGGCATGTTGGCCCCGAAGGAATTGCTGGCCATGTTGTGCGGACGCGTCCCCGTGGGAGCGTTGAGCGAGAGTGGACGTCAGGCAGCTACGGTGGAAGCTGCAGCGCGGTTGTTCAGAGGATCGAGCGAGTGGTGCTTGGGGCGATTGGAGCTGGTCGTGTTTTGGCCAGGAATGTAACAGGTTCAGGAGACACACAGGCACGCGAGCGGCAAGCGACGCGCTCGGGGTAGGATATTAGGAGCAACGAAGGTACAAGAAGGGTGAAGTAGAATGCAAAACGAAGGTAATCACCAGTCACAGAGCCGTCGCCAGTGTCAACAAGGTCGGACGAAGGAGGCCTCTCGACAAAATGATGCGGGCTACCGGGGGTGTTGGCTACTCTCGATGCCCTAGCGAGTGGACCTCGCCGCTTTGGGTGCCCGCGGCCGCCGCCTCTACTAAAATAGATACAGAACAGCGTATTTTATTGCCAGTCCAGGCGCGCCGCCTGTTTGACAGCTACCCTGAGTTCACAAGTTCTCGCGTTGCTTATGGGGCGTTTGGACGTTGCGCCGAGGCCAGCAGCCCGCGGCTTCGACCGCCCACGTAACCTCACGAGAACGTGGAGCCTCACGACATGATGCGTCCCGCGGAAGGGCGCTCGCTGGCTGATTAATGAGGTTCGTGTCGATGGCCTCTTGGGACGAAATCAGGGAGGTGGGCCAGGGCTACAGGGCGGGCTGGGCTGGGGTAGATCGCTGCATCTCATCGTGCTGGGACGCTACCGCGGATAGGCGACTTGTCCACACGAACAGGCGTGCGACGGCTCCAGTACCAATCGACTTCTTCACGCGTCGGGGTGCGGGGACGAGAGGGCTGGTGTCACGCTCTCACCAGTGCATGGCACGCATGCAGCAGACGGAGCGTTGTCCGGGACACGGCGAGCGGGCGAGCAGCGGCTGAGCTGAGCGACGCCTGAAGATGCACAACACAACAACACACCCATTGACGCCAAGCTCTCCTTCTCGAAATTTCCGTCCGTTTGATGAAGCGTGGGCGACGGCGACAGGGGCCTCGTGACGTCAATTGTATTGATGGACGGTGCCCCTCCCATTAACAGAAGCTCGCACCCAAGCAGAGAGGTGTTTGATGGGCGGGCGGTGGAGCCTGAAGTATTGACGCGCACTGTTACGGCGGTCCGCCACTCGGCCGGCACGCTACTGAGGCTCCCGAAGCTTGCATCTGCGAGTGGGTGGCAGGAGCAAGACGGCGCCCGATGTCTCTCCACACCCTTCTATCGATAACCAAAGATCCAGTGTTTCTTCGTGTCCACATTGCCCTATGCACACCGTGACGTCCATGCCACAGCGCCGCGTGCAATACCATGCACTGTTGCTGGAGACCCAACAGAAGACAAAGGCCGCTAAAAATAGGGGCTGTGAGACCTGGTCCTCGCTCGCTGCAACGACGGCCGCCGGCGCGCCACATTAATTGGGACGAGCGCTGAGGCAAACTCATCCCTGCCGCGACGAGTCCAGCTGCCCGTCCGTGATCGCCAGAATCGATGCGCCAAGCCGTAATTTATTTTCGATACAACGGCCTCTAGTGCATCGCCAGGCGAGCAGGGAGTCCCGGAATGGGAGAGAGCCTCCGCCAACAAACATCGGTAGCCTCCTCTCCTCCGCCGCCTGTCGAGCTCTTTCGTGTCGCCGTTTCGTTTTTTCTTGCTACAATCGTTTAATCACTACCTTCGCTAGGCCTATACGCCGTAATTCGAGTCCTCGAGCTGTCAGGCGCCCTTGAGTTTGGCCGATACGTCTCTGTCACCGAACCCCCGTTTCCAGTGCCAGCTTGAGCCCTTCGAATTCACTCGCTCAACCGCCCTCGACGGTCGTTACACAACCTCAGCTGCCCTCAAAAGACTGCACCTGCTGCGTTCAAGACAAATTCACCCCTCTCCCACTCGGGGCTTGCACCCCACCCCGCCGCCATCATGAGTTTCGTCAACAACTCCCGCATGTCTGTTTATTCGACCACCTCCAACGCCGCATCACGCCCCGGCAACACGTCGTCACAGGTGTCTACCACCACCCTCCTCAACAACTTGAACACATGCTTCAGGACCAACCAGCCTTTCCATCTCGAGGCGAGCACAAGCCTCGTGGTGAACACATGGGTCAACGCCCGGATGAACGTCGACGGCCGCATTGGTGGTACAATCGACCTGGAGCTCGGACGAAAGGCATGGGAGCATGCTCGTCGCCGTGCGGAAGACGGCTGTATTGTTTTGGGGTAGGCTGTTGCTCTGCATTTGTTCATTGAATCCATGCTAATCACATCAGATCCCTTCACGAGTCTAGTCCCTCAACGCTTTCGCCCTTCGTCTCGGGATTACCGCTGGCTGTACCCATCAGCTTCTGGACCGCACTCGAAGTCGTTCGCGCTTTCACACATTGCGTCACGCCTCACAACCCTTCGTTCCCCCGTCACTCTGCCCTCGCCACCATTTTCACCATCAATCTGCAGGGTAACCTGGTAAATGCTGAGATTCGCCTGTCTACAAGTGGAATCGACACCCAGAATGGTCTGCTGAACATCCCTTCCAAGCCTGGGTATCGTGCCTTTGACGTTTTCTACTACCTGAACTCAAGCTCAGCCAGCCATGCGGAGCGAGAGTTTCTTAATCTGGCACACCCTTCAGAGTACAAGTTCCTGAACAGGTCTGGCACATACGACCCACCTTCATATCTCCCAGATGTTGACGATGCCGCTGCCGCAGAGGATCTTCGTCAGAATCTCAAAGCCATTGGTATCAGAGGCCAGAAGCTGAACAACCTGATCAGCTGCCTCGCTGGACTACTGAAACTCGGAAACACTATTGGCTACGATGTTGACCAGGATATGGTACGAGCCCTCTGTGAAGACTGCAGCTCTCTCCTCGACGTCGACCCGTCCTTGCTTGGGCACAAGCTCAGTGACAGTGACCGTGCGACAGCCATAGGCGGCATCTACGAGGCCATTGTCGACTATGTTGTCATGCACGCCAACACTACTATCCAGGAGGACGTGCGGAGCGGTAGAATGGGCGCTGACAGCGATGCTGGCCACATGACACCCCCTTCTGAAGACGAGGAAGGCGACATCGTCAACATCACTGTCGTTGAAATTCCCAGCCAGGCGCTCGGCAAGGCCATCTCACTACGCACTGTTTTCGATGATACCGAGGGAATCAACTCGGAAATGAAGGAAGACGGTGTTCAAATACCTCCTGCGGGAACTTCTGTGTTGGAAGGTATGCACCAAGCCATCCATACTTGTGAGGTTGAACTTGGCGTGGAAGGTCCAGCTCTGCGTGAACATCGAATGGATATCGAAAGACGCGAGCGAGTTCTGGAGCAAATTGCGTTGGAGATTCCGGACGAGGACAACTTCGTTAAGAAGGTTTTGATGCCCATTAGCGGTCAGGGTATTATCCTCGGCAGCGCAGACGTCAACCGACTAGATCTGGCTAATGTTCTGGCGACCAGTAGAGTCTGGTTCCAACTTGCTCTGCACCCCACTGATACCACTCCTGAGAAGCTTTCACAAGACGTTACCGCGAGCTGGTCAGCTGCGACTGTTTCAAGACAGCTACGAGACTGGAGGTTGCCAGAATGGGCCAACCGCCGCAATCGGTCATCTGACTTCACTGCCGATTTCGACCATCACGAGTTCTACGAGCGTTATCACGTCCTGGGTTGCATGGACGGCAAGGATGGCATTCAAAGCTGGATCCTACAACGCGGTTGGAGCAATGGTGAGGTGGTTGTAGGGAGCCAACGCATCTGGGTTCGCGAAGGCACGTGGTGGGAAGCCGAAAACCAACTAGACCTCAAAGCGCAGGACCTGACGGGCGCAACCATGCTGGGAAGTATGGTGGGTGCAGGTGGACTCGAGAGTGGCTATTCGGCAAACAGTCCTGCCATGGGAAGCGGCTTTTTCCCACCATTGCGTGAGGTAAGCCCACAGGCGAGCGCAACGAACATCTTGCCCACACAGAGCACTGCCACGTTGGGTACAAAGGGCGCAGCTTTCGACGCCAAATCAATTGCTCCCACCACCGCACCTACACTTCAAGGTCGTCCCGGAGACTACGGTCTCGGTGCAAAGGGAGACGAAGACAAGGGTGTTACCTATTATGACACCGAGACTGGCGGTAACATGGTCATTACAGAAACTGCCACGACCGCAACGAGAAAGATTTGGGTCGCTTTTGTCTGGGCGATGACTTTCTGGATTCCTTCACCTCTCCTCAAGTTCGTTGGTCGTATGAAGCGCCCCGATGTGCGCATGGCCTGGCGAGAGAAGCTTGTCCTCGTGATGCTTATTCTTCTGATAAACGCCACCATCATCTTCTACATCATCGCTTTCGGAAAACTCCTTTGCCCGAATAAGGACAAAGTCTGGAACCGCAAAGAGGTGGCCACGCACCAGGGAGAGAGTGATTTCTACGTGAGCCACCATGGTGTCGTCTACGATCTGTCCGACTGGTGGAAGGTTCAACATAGTGACTCCAGGACGAAGGTCACTACAGACAACATGCAACCTTTGGGTGGTGCCGATATGGATCCGTACATCCGCCCTCCTCTATACCTTGCTTGCCCCAACCTGGTCACCAATTATCTTATCACTTTCCAGAATAACGGCTCGCTTGAAAATCCCGAAGCCGAGCACTCGTCGGGCAACCGCACAGTCCGGACCGACAGCGACGCTTTGAAACAGAATGACTGGTACCCCAATGTTTTCCTCCCCAAGATCAAGGAATTCCGGAAAGGTGACCTGGTATGGGATACAAAGACTATTGAAGATGAAGGGAGGAATTTGGCACACTATTGGTTCCGACTAGGCAATAAGGTCTACGATCTGAAGGACTATTTCTACACGCAAGAGTTCATGGACAACCTTGAATCCTACAGCTGGTTGGATCCAGACTTTGAGGATCTGGTAAAACAATATGCTGGCCAGGATCTCACCGAGCAGTTCCAGAACACCCTTAACAAAACCACCCGAGAGTACACCATGCAGTGCTTGGAGAACGTCTTCTACGTTGGCATCACCGATTTCCGTAATACACCCCGCTGCAAGGTCAACGACTACATTCTTCTAGTCGTCACCATCATTCTTTGCGCCGTCATTGTCATCAAGTTCTTGGCTGCGCTACAGCTCGGTTCCAAACGACGACCTGCCAATCAGGACAAGTTTGTCATTTGCCAAGTTCCCGCATATACAGAAGGTGAAGACCAGCTCCGAAAGGGCTTAGACTCGCTCACTGCTCTGGCCTACGACAACAAGCGTAAGCTCATCTGTGTTGTTTGCGACGGTATGATCGTTGGCGGTGGCAATGACCGCCCTACGCCTAAGATCGTCTTGGATATTCTCGGTGTTGATCCTCGAGTGGATCCTCCTGCACTTCCCTTCAAATCGGTCGGCATGGGTAGCGAGCAGCTCAATTACGGAAAAGTCTACTCGGGTCTGTACGAATTCGAAGGCAACGTCGTTCCCTACGTTGTCGTAGTCAAGATGGGCAAGGAGACCGAGCAAACCAAGTCCAAGCCTGGTAACCGTGGAAAGCGTGACTCGCAGATTCTGCTCATGAGCTTCCTCAACCGTGTTCACCATCGTGCTGCGATGAACCCCCTCGAATTGGAGATGTTCCATCAAATCAACAACATCATTGGAGTGGATCCTGAGCTGTATGAATACCTTCTCATGGTTGATGCCGATACGATGGTCAGGCCCGACTCTCTTACCCGACTAGTGGCAAGCTGCGCCAATGATTCCAAGATTGCAGGTATCTGTGGTGAGACGAGTCTGGAAAACGAAGACAAGTCTTGGTGGACTATGATTCAAGTCTATGAGTACTACATTTCTCACCACCTGTCCAAGGCCTTTGAGAGTTTGTTCGGCAGTGTCACCTGTTTACCCGGATGGTAAGTTGACGTTTCTGATGTTTTCGACCATTACTAACTCTTCCCAGCTTCAGCATGTACCGACTCCGTACAGCCGATAAGGGCAAACCGCTCATCATCTCTGACCAGGTCATCAAGGAATATTCCGACTGCATTGTGGACACCCTACACAAGAAGAACCTATTGTCTCTGGGAGAAGATCGTTTCCTCACAACCCTCATGACAAAGCACTTCCCGACCATGTCATACAAATTCGTCCCTGACGCCTACGCTTTTACGGCTGCTCCTGAGTCTTTCAGCATTCTGCTGTCACAAAGACGTCGTTGGATCAATTCTACCATTCACAATCTGGCAGAACTGATGCTGCTCAAGGATATGTGCGGTTTCTGCTGCTTCAGCATGCGTTTCGTCGTGTTCATTGATCTCTTCGGTACTGTCATCCTTCCATCTATCTGCGTCTACCTCGTGTACCTCGTCTACATGATCGCCTCGAAGACGGGCCAATTCCCGATGTTCTCGATTATCATGCTTGCAGCAGTGTACGGTCTGCAAGCCGTCATCTTTATCATCAAGCGACAGTGGCAGCACGTTGGATGGATGATCATCTATATTCTTGCTTTCCCTATCTACTCTTTCGTTCTGCCGATCTATTCTTTCTGGAAGCAGGACGACTTCTCATGGGGTAACACCCGTGTTGTTATCGGCGAACAAGGCGGGAACAAGAAGGTTCTCACCACCGATGACGAAGGCTTCGATCCCAAGAGCATTCCTCTCCAGCGATGGGATGACTACGCTCTCGCCAACGGTCTTCCTGGACGTCGTGGCTTGGCCGGACAAACCTCTGAAAAGGGTGGCTACAGTGCTTACGAAGACGAAGGATACGAGATGAACGACATGCAGTCCGTATACTCTTCTGTTAAGCCGGCATCCACCATTATGTCCAACATGCACCATATCTCGCACATGCCTCCAAGCCAGTCACCCGGACCGTACCACGGCATGCAGGCTCGCCAGTCGTCGTACTCGAACTTCTCTCGCTACCAGGACAACCCCCAGAACGGCCAGAACGGCCGTCTGATGTCTATGGGCGCGATGAGCGATCACTACGACCAGTCACCGTACAGCAGCCGACCCAATATGGGCGGCTTCCAGAGCTCCGACAACCTTATGACTGCTACGCCGCCTGTTCGGGGACGCAGTCCTCTCGGATACGCGCAGTCTCGCCCGGGCAGCACCGTGAACTTCCAGGGCATGATGAACGGTCCAAGCGACGCGACCATCATCGAAACCGTTCAGCACTGCCTAAGGGAAGCGGATCTTGATCGCGTCACGAAGAAGCAGCTCGTCGCGCTGGCTGAACAGCGCCTCCAAACACAACTCACAGGCGAGAGGCGAATCTTCCTCAACCAGCAGATCGACCTCGAGCTTGCGAACATGGTTTAAGCCGACCCGCCCACATTTTTGCCTGATGCTTTAGCGGAATCATTGTATATTCGAAGCATATTACGACTTCATTCTTATCTGCACAAAAACATTTCACGCTCCTTATCGCGTGGCGCATGATTTTGGGAAAACAGGTGTTGTGATTTTCTGGGTTTTGCGCGGTCGGGCCGACGATGAGCATTGGGAGCGTCGTTCCTTGGATTTTTCTCCTTGTTTTGATATTCAACCTTCGGCGTTATCATAATAGGGTGATGTAGGATCATATATAGCCTAATATGAAGACTGTACAATCACTTTCTTGGGACCTATTTGCGTACTATTGGTGACGGTAATGTTATAGGACGTTGGATGTGGTTGAACAAGAAATGGCGATCCGCTCTTGATTAGAGTCTTGCTAGAAACACTACATTGTAATAGATGTCAGATTCTAGTGTAAAGACTTTTGAAGCTACCATGGCCCTAGCTACTGCAAGTTGAAATACAATATTGTCGACCTACGGCCGAGTGCATGGTTAGCAACTCTGTACCAGTCGGGGCATTCTCGGCTGCCCAACCCACCCCTGCAGCTGGAGCTCCGCCATGATGCATCCCCAACATCCCGCAACCCAATACTCTCACTAACACACCACAACACAATGGCACCCCGACGCATCGAACAAGAAGAAATCGAGAAGTACTGGGAAATCTTCACCTCCCTTTCGCAGGGCTCCACACATCTGGACGGCGCGCAAGCCGCCCCTGTGCTCAAGAACAGCCATCTCCGCGATGACCAGCTTGAGCGGGTGTGGGATCTGGCGGATGTAGATAACGATGGCAAGCTCGACTTCGAGGAGTTCTGCGTGGCCATGCGTCTGATCTTCGACTTGATCAATGGGGTATGCACGTCACCAGCCGCCAATACACTCTTCAAATTGCACAGCTAACAAGAAAACCGCAGGAGACATCCGACGTACCGCAAACCCTCCCAGACTGGCTCGTTCCCGAATCCAAAGCCCACCTCGTCCAAGCCAACCGCGCAATGAGCGGCGGCCTCCCCGCATTCGAAACGGTGGAAGACGACGACGACACGCCCGGCCTGCGCAACGGCTTCGACTGGTACATGTCCCCGAACGACAAGTCCAAGTACGAAGAAATATATACGGCGAACCGCGACTCCCACGGTAACGTCTCCTTCTCGACGCTACAACCGCTCTTCGACTCGCTCGACAACGTGCCAGACTCAGACGTGCGATTCGCGTGGAATTTGGTCAATCCCAAAGCGGGCGAGAACGTGGGCAAGGATGCGTGTTTGGCGTTTCTGCATATCTTGAATCAAAGGAGTGAGGGGTTCAGAGTGCCGAGGAGCGTGCCGCCTAGTCTGCGGGCGAGCTTTGAAAAGGCTAATATCGATTATGATGTTGAGAGAACAGGGAATAGGTGGGCAGAGCGAGGCGGAGAGGAAACAGCGACGGGCAAGAAGGCCAAGTTCGGGGATGCATACCTCACGCGTTTGGGTGTTGGCGATCGCGCGAACAACTACGGTGCGAGAGCACGAGGTACCGATCACGGCGGGCGCACCACTGAAGACTGGGAGGAAGTCAGGCTCAAAAAGCAGCTCAAGGAGCTTGAGGACAGGATTACGTCTGTGGAGAAAGACGCGGAGAACAGGCGGCATGGCAGGCGGGGAGACAGCAAGCCTGCCCTCGTGAAGCGGGAACTGGAGATGCTGCTCGATTACAAGAGAGGCGTACTGCGGGATCTGGACAGTGGGGATGGTGGCGCTGTCAAGGGTCTAGGCGGCATCAGGGACGAGATCGACACAGTCAAAGAACAAGTCGAAGGACTACAGTCGCACCTAGAGAGGCGGAACGAAGTACTAGCTGATCTGCGAAGGCAGATTGACGATGAGAAGGCAGGAAGATAGCATTGACATGCGTCGTATCTCCACACAATACCCAACAAATCACTGACTGTACATAGCCTCTCCAATCTATTGCCCTGTGATTGCGCCTTTATCTTCTTGTTCTGTACGACTACAGCGTCCCCATCTTCGCCCGCGCCTGTCTATCTGCCCTTACATACTGCCGCGGCCACTCAACACTCGCACCCAGCTCCTCCGCCCACCTGTGCACCAAGTTCGGATCTCGCAAAAACTCCGTCGCCACAAACGTAAGATCCGCTTGCTTTTCGCTGACTACCTTCTGCGCAGTAGCAGCATCAGCGATCCGCCCTACGGCCGCGACAAACATACTCTTTCCGTGCTTCTGAAGTGCCGTCTTGATTTCCTTAGCGAGATTGACCTGGTACAACGCATCGTCCTTGGGTATCACTTGCTCCACATTATTTCCCCCCGAGGAGACGTCGAGCACATCAACGCCTTCGTCCGCGAGAAGCAGCGCGAGGGAGATGGAGTCGGGGAGTGTCCATTGCGGTGTGGAGGGGGAATGGGCCATCCAGTCCACTGCTGAGATGCGCACGGAGAAGGGCGTGGTGTTTGGAATATTTGCGCGGATTTCCCGAACGACGGACACTAAAAAGCGGACGCGGTTGTCGAAAGACCCGCCGTAGGCATCCGTGCGCGTGTTCGAGATGGGGGACAAGAAGGAGGAGATGAGGTATCCATGCGCAGCATGGATCTCAATAAAGTCGAATCCTGCCTCCACGGCTCTCTTCGCTGCGGCGCCGAATGCTTTCACAACCTCTTGGATATCATCTACTGTCATTTCTTTCGGTGTGATGTAATTCTCCTTGAAGGGTATTGGACTCGCACCCCAGACTTCGTGAGGCCATCCGCCGTCGGCTTTCTCGGCGCGAACGACGGGGTGTCCAGGGTAGATGGGCATCATGCTCGCTTTGCGGCCTGCATGGCCTAGTTGGATGCCTATTCTGGCTTGCCCTCCTGCGGGGGTTTCCAGGCTGTGGATGAAGTCGACGACGCGTTTGTAAGAAGGGATCTGACTATCATGCCAAAGGCCCGCATCAGAGGGGGAGGAGCGGCCGTTTGGAGTGACAGCGGTAACTGCGTATGTCAGTACAAATTACACATCCCCGTTGGACTGTCATTCTGTTCTGGAATCGCAACAAAAACACATTTGCTTAGAGGGACAATATTCCAGGAAGGCTTTACGTACCCTCGACAATGGTGAGCGCGGCGCCGCGGAAGGCAAAGTGCCCGTGGTGCATGAGGTGGAAGTCTGTGAGGTTTCCGTCTGGGAAAGAAGAGTACATTCCCATTGGCGAGACGACTATGCGGTTGCGGAGGTAACAGCCGCGGATTTGGAGGGGGGTGAAGAAGGTAGGGGAAGTGTTCTGAGCGTCATCGTTTCTTTTCCCTGGGATCGAGCCCATGGTGTCTTGGATGTATCGAGGAAATGGAAGGATGCAAATTTCCGGGATACAGATACATGTCGAAACTTGGTAAGAATTAACTTATATACTCTTGTAATCTAGTGTTTCAAGATTGCTGAACAGCATAAATTAGGCAAAGAGGGCGCCATGACTGTTGTTGGAGGGGTGTTGCTACTCCGCCGTTACGGCGGAAGGTACTGGTATGATATGTACAAATGCCCGCGTAAATTTGGGTATGGCTTTGCTAATAAACGATGGTACAACAACAGGGCTTTAGCGTCGCACTGGCGCTGACAAATGTAGCCTCATACAAATGCTGCTTCCGCTGCAACGGCGGAACAGTTGATGCTTCTGACGAGTAAGATGAACAGTTCTTATCACTTCCGAACATAGTTGTAGTTGTCACGAACCAGGGGATAAATGCCAGACCAGACGGCAGCGAACAAGCGGAAACTGCGCAAAGGTACCCACAGTTGCTGGGAATGTAAGCGGCGAAAGGCGCGGTGTGTTTTCTCCGCCGGTGACGATACGATATGCGTTGGATGTCGCCGGAGGGGAACGAATTGCGTTGATCAGAATGAGAGTGATGTGGAACCGGAGACTAAGGACAGCGCGACGAACCGTCGCCTGTTGCGGATTGAGGCGATGCTGGAAACACTGCTTGAGAGACAAGCAGCAAGCGCAGTGGACGGCACTGCATCTGTAAAAATATTAGAAGGAGAAAGCCCCTCCTCCACTCTGGGTTCGCAAAGGCGAGAAACGTAAGCGCTCCTGTGCGGATAACATATCCATTAAAAATCCGATATTGACAAGACATTCCAGGCCGCATAATGACACCGGAAGCGCAAAATACCAACGCACTTTGTCGAGGTCTCCGAAAATGCATACATCGCGGAGGTTGCCTCCCACGCGATCTGCGATACAACGTAGTTTGAGCAGCACTCTGTCAGAGACACTACACAGTCTCCTACCATCACAGGAGGAGTGCCAAAGGATCTGCAGCTCATCCAAATTTCTGCCTTGTTTCTTCCAGCAGATGTTGACCCGAGACTGGAAAACCATGTCAGCATCACAAGACTTGCCTATCCTCACGCCTAATCATGTTGCAAGACTACCTTCACCAGACGTGCATCCTATACTCCTCGCGCAAAAGATGTTGATGCTGGCTTGTCTAGCACAATTTATATCTCGAGAGTTGAGCGACGATGAGTGGAAACGTAAGGCAGAGCACATGGCATCTGCAGCCATCGATGTTGTTGCTAAGGAGGAACTATGCTGTAGCGCGGAAGCACTAGAGTGCTTAATGCTCGAGGCCACATATCACGCGAACAACGGTGATATGCGGAGAGCATTTAGCGCTGTGCGGAGGGCGATGGCTTGCGGGCAACTCCTCGGTATCCACCGCCTACACCAGCTCAGCATTCAGCAACTAGACAAAACAGCACCTCCATTTGATCCTACGTACATGTGGTATCGGATTGTCTCAGCGGATAGGCTGTTCAGCTTGATCCTTGGGCTACCGCAAGGCTACTCAAACACTCTACATTCTCATATCCTTGATCTTGCCGGGCTGGACCCAGAGCAACAATTGGAGAGACAGCACAGTGAGATAGCATCATGGATCCTGGACCGCAACGAACGAGATCCTGAAGACACAATAGTGACGCATACCATCGACGAGGCATTGCAGGATGCGACCTCTAACCTACCATCAGAGTGGTGGCTGCCTCCAGCTCTATCAAGAGTCAAGTCCCGCCGAGACATGTTCCTGGAAACAACACGTTTAGTCAATCAAATACTTCACTTCAACCTCATCAACCAAACACACCTACCGTACCTTCATTTACCTAGTCCCCTGTACGGATACAACAAAGCCGCTTGCGCTACGGCAAGCCGAGAGATCCTTCATCGATACCTCATCTTGCAAGACTCCGGCTTCGTCGCACACACTTGTCACATCGTCGAGTTCTTCTCGCTTATAGCCGCAGTGACTCTGACTCTGGCGCATTTAGAGCGCCACTGGCAAGACAGCTCACAAGAGCTGTCTATACTAGCACATGTACGCTCAAGCGATCTGGCCATGGTCGAACGAGCTAAAGTCCACATGGCCCGACTGGCTGCTTGCAAAGGCTCGCAAATCCTCGATCACTTGCTCGATATAGAAAACGAGGCATATCAAACTCGGAGCGTGGGCTCTGGTACCATTGTCAAGGACTTTCCGGATCAAGGCCCATTCTTTGAGCTGAGGATACCGTATTATGGACAACTGAGATTGAATTCGGCAAAGATATGTTTCCAGCGGGAACCTGATATTGAAGATGTGAGCTTAGGAGTGAAGAATAGAGGAGAGTGTGGCGAGGTGGAGGATCTGGCTGTTTTTGAGGACTTTGATTTCAACGCATTCGTTGGTGATGTTGGCGCTGCAGGACTGGCAACATCGTTCTCGTTCTAACCGACGATCTCCGGCAGTGTGGAAGTTTCGCAGGTGTTATGCATGTCGGATTTAGCTGTTTACTGGAAAGCCCGAGACTGTCAGAGGGACTGGGATGCTACACTGTCTTAAAAGGAACAGCTATATACTGGTACTGGAGTGCCAGTGCCGTCCATGACGTTGATCGTCTGTCACACCACGCATATCACAGGATCTGACCACAGTAAACGACGTATAGATGAGCTCCCCTAGTCATGTCTTCGCTACGAAACTCGACCCTTCCTCAAGAAATCCGCTAGCAGCAGGACGCTCGATGAAAAGAATAGATGGATCATGCGTGATCACAAGATCGGAGGTCGGAGATCGATGGACGGCAGTCGTGGGTGGGATCGTGGTCTGTTAGAGCGGTCTCAATGTCGTCGAGGATTGCCATGTTGAACGGCTGAAGAGAAATAGAAAAAAAAGGGGCTTCCGAATCACCACATTCGAAAGCCAAGAAGGTAATCCGAGCCTTGGTGGATCTCAGAAAGCATCAGTGCGTGGCTAAAAGCCACTTTCTTTACCAAGGCCCCGACACAATCGTGACAACAGCTGCAAGAGGACATTGAGACCGCTCTAACAGACCACGATCCCACCCATGAAAGCAAGAAGTATAATACGGGGCAAGGCGAGGCCCTCCGAACCAGTCCTGACCGGATCGCTGACCAGAGAAGCTCTGCCTATTCCCTACACTTCAAGCTCCTTGCAGCAGTTCACAAGCCTTAGAACTGGGGTGAACAACCACCAGCCAGCTATGTGCCACGGTAAGGTAGTTTGTGTCGTTGGGTATACCGTTGCCATGTTGGATGGCGGATGCTTCTCGCCATGTTGAATGGAGAAATCATGATAAGGGTGCGTGACCCATCGCGCAGAGGTTGCTGTCGGGGCAAACGTTGCGGGCAGCATTGTCGAGGTAAAGGAAGGTGGTGGGCGAGAAGGGCACAAGCCCTGGTGAGGTTTTATAGTACGGGCGCAAGCTCTGACCATCAGGCCACAGCGTGCACGTGATCGTGAGTCACCTGTGGGCAGGTGGACGGTTGTGCGCCATCTGCACGGACCAAAAGATCCCAACAAGACGCTCAGATGACTTACAAGCAGAAGTGCTGGCCTGAGGTGATGAACGAACCCACTTTCCCCGACTTTGGTCCACCCCTAGGGTTTTAGCCCAGCTCTCTTCCACGATCTGTACCTCTCATTGCGACTTACAATACTCCCGTGTACGCTAGATTGAGCTTCCACTGCTACTATATTAAATAAAAAGACAGTGCCATCAGATGAAACAGGAACGTCCAAGGTGTTGCCAGATCGACTCGCGTCAAGCTCGAAAGATACTTAAGGTAGATTCACAACTGCTCGTGTCTATGATGGTTATTGAAGCCTTCTATTCTCTAGCACGCCGAGAAGATAAGTGAGAATGAAGATGGAACCATTCTCTATCTGCCAGCCCGGTGTCAAGTCTATAGCAGCATGATGCTGCCATCGATAGACACCTGGCATGTGTTTGCTATGTGTTAGAGCGCTAGAACACTTTCAAGAAACCGACTTGCCTTACTTGAAATAGGAGCAGAAAAGTGGATGACCTTCGTCTTCTGTACAGATAATATCCACTGAGACTCGATGAGTAGGGGTTCAATACGATATGTCACGATTCAATTGCATTTTGGGCCTTGGTCCTCCAGTATCAAGCACATATTGTACGCCGCTTCGATGTGACTCAGTACCGTTACTGTACGTACTTGATTAGATCAATCCGCAGGCCAGGCAGCTCATCAGAAAGTGAGGAGTCCTCTAACATGCAAGGCATTCTGCGCACCGGCGCACTTAGCATACTCAAATAAAGTAGACGTATAATTAATTGGACTTTTCCAAAATCACATTCGTATTATTACCTCTGATATCTCATAACCCACGGTAAAAGAGTCTTCTAAATCCTCCCTCTGCATGTGCATTCCAGCTTGAACTTTAGCTTAACACTACACGCCGTAGTGTAGCATCCTTTCAATCATCCTGAGGGCGCCCCGGTTGGGCATGTTGCTCCAACTTTTAGGCCCTGCTCCAGTGCCTTGTTGACAACCAACGCGGCGGAAGTCTTCACCACGTGCAAGGCGCTCCGCTTGCTGGTCCGTCAGCCAATGCGACCCTCCGGAGCACCTCCAGCCTACTTCTTGTTTCAACCATACGAAATTCTGTGGACAGGGAAGCTGTAGCTCAAGTACTTGCTGCACCTCTAGTTGGTGTTTGGTTAGCCCCCGTGTAGCGTATTCGGGAAGTTGTGTTTTCGTAGCTGCCATGTTTCCTGCGTTCGTAGCTTTTTGTGTTGGCATGTTTCCTGCGTTAGTAGTTCTTTGTGTTGGCATGGTTTTCTCGTAGTCGTGGTGGGTTTTCCCCGGTGTCGAAGGCTGAATATCTGTTACTCGAGAAGGTCCTGCGGTCTGCTTTGTACTCGCTGCAGCTTTAAAATCAGCCTTTGTGTTGGACAACGCCGTGATTCTTGATGCTCCTGTCTTGTTTGAGGGCTCTGTAGCTCGAGAGGACTCCTCGTGATGAGTGTGTTTGACAGAGGAGTCCTTGCGCGGAGAGTGTTTGCTAGATTGGCCCAGTGTTGTTTCCTTATGTAAAGTCTCACGACGTGAGTGCTCGTGACGAGAATGGTGTTGCGTGGTTTTTCTACGCGCTGGCTCGTACCGGGAAGGTTCTGTATCTCGAGTGGACGAATGTGATGGACTGGAATCTGGCGCGGATAATTGACGGGACGTTGGGAGAGGAGCATGATGAGAGCTACTGGAAGCCTCCGCCGCCTGGAGTTGACGAGATGTCCGAATCGGCAGTTGGCGAAGGGTGCTCGACGCTTCCGGTGCTGGAAGATGACGTGAATCATCCATCGGAGTAAGGCGAGAACTACCAGATGCTGGACCAAGAAGTTGACGAGTGGTCCGAAGAGGAGTCGGGTGAGAGCTCTCAGCTTGTGGCGCAGGAAGTTGTCGAGACGTTCGCAGAGGAGCTTGGTGAGAACTCTCAGCTTGTGGTGCAGGAAGTTGTCGTGATATTCCAAGAGGAGTGTTTTGAGAACTTTCAGCTCGCGGTGCAGGAAGTTGTCGAGAAGTCCTAAGAGGAGTCGGGTGAGAACTCTCAGCTTGCGGCGCAGGAAGTTGCCGAGAAGTTCCGAGAGGTGCCTCTTCGCCGCCCCGTTCCTTTTTACTCTTCTTGTCAAATAACTTCGTTGGCATTGTGGTATCGTTTCAAGGTCTTTGTAGTAGGTTTGCTGGTATTGGCGTTATCGTAAGAAAGGAGCGCGCAGAGTGGATTAGATATGGTATCGCCAGCACCGTGATCTTGTCATCCAATTCAATTTTCTAGAATTTCATGGTTTGCAGTGATCTTCCTGACCTCGGGAGTGCCAAAAAATAGTGTAGAGGACTAGATGCTCAACGCATTGAATGCTGTTTCTTCAAGAGCATGATCATGGTCCGCAACAGTCATTCCCTCAACGCGAAGTACGCCACACAAAAAGCATATACAATACCTGTCACACTTTTGCTTCTCAGAAACAACTTCATTCCAAGTGAGTTTTCTCACTGGGTGTGATTTATCACATTCACGTTAGTGTGAGCATCACGTCTCTGGGTTTTCCAGATCACCCGTTCCTATCCTACTCAACAGGTATTGCATCAAGCGAAATCTACACCCTTCACAGAACATTATCTTTGTTTACCAGCTTACCTCATTCTCTTGAATCTAAAGACTAAGCTCCCAGAAACCCATCCGCAGACCCATCGTTTCACCACCACTCGCTGACCTCAGCCGGCATCACCCACCCCTTCTCATCACACCGATGTTACAAACAGCATCCATAGATACGATCATCATTGATTCCATGCCCATGAATGACACGCCACATCACGAAACTTCTCACGTACCAACCCCAAAACTTGCATCCGTTTCACTTTACCCAATAACCCTAGATTTGTGCCTCAGGTATGCTATCACGTGCACCCTCCCCCACCCCACTTCGCAAGCTTGCTCTATCATCCCCACACTACGACCCACTAGTCCTCGTAAACCAGCATGAGCCTAGCACGAAACCAAGATAGCAACACTTTACCGGCGCTAAACGGACACAGCCGCGATCCTTCGAGGCGTGCTATCCGGCTCCGGCTCCACTCGCACCCCACCCGCACGAGCACATGTCTACCTCTCCATTTGCGCACACGCAGAGACGCGCATCATAATCCAGTATAGGTGTGTGGGTCGCGAGCATGATTTTGCGATTGCGAGGGTGGGTCATGGAGCATAGCAATGCGCAGACAGGTGCAATGGTCCATTGGTATTGGTGGCGCTGTCATGCAGTGCGACGACGAGGGCGGGAGTGTGCATGGCGGGCTGTTGTTGCATCATGGACGTTGGCCCTGTGGCCTTGACAGGTGACAGCCTGGGGGGGATGGGTGAGGTAAGCAGTGAGTCGCGCGGGAACGGGAAGGTGGGAGCGAGGCGGAGTCGCAATCGTGCTTCGCCCTCTTGTACGGACAAGGCAACAGTCCCCATTGCCTTGTACTCAGGACTCAAGACTGAGCCTCGAGATTCGGGAAGAAGAAAACAACATATAGGCAGGGAAGAGAAGTGTTTGCAGTCTCGCGCGATAGGTAGAATTGTAAAGGTAAATTACATAGGAGGGAATCTCGATTCGAAGGGTATATAGGAAAGTGAAGTCCGATGAAGATTCAAATTCGTAACCCAACACTGCCATGCATGCCCCAGGCTCCATTAATGCATACCCTACTTCAACCATGAAATGACGTAAGTACCGAAAAGGTCATTAAGGAGTGGTACGGATCGTAAAAGTCGTCCAGAAAAGACAGAACAGAAGAGCGGAATGCATCGTAGATAGAAGGAAAGAAGGGTTATCAAAAAGTTCAGAATTAACGCCAAAGAAGATGCAGTGTCATCCGTACCCAGCCAGCCCGTGATTGTCCGTCCGATATGCGATAGAGGTCATGCGATGCGCCTATGCATCAGCCGACTGTATGTCCAATACGCCGTGGTCCTGAAGGATGCTCGTGTATAGCAGTATACCCTTGATAAAAAAATGTCCATGATGAAACGATGTATATCTCAAACGCCGCCTGCCGGGGGGGTATTGTGTGTATGATGCAATATTCGTCAGCCGATGAATGGTCCTGTATAATCCGGAGCTGACGCCAAGAGGTGAAAAGGGACTGATCGATAGTAAAGGAAACTCAATGAAGCAAGGGCGAGAGGAGTGCGTGCGACGCGAGGCAGACTACCAGAGGAAGATGGTGTGGAGGAAACGACGCTAGGCTGGGTCGGGGTTGGTATCGAAGGATCATGAGGACGTTGTAGATCACCCGACGTGCATGCTCACCACCATTATCGAGCACGAAGACATGCCCTCCTCCACTCCGCGAGATATCTCAAAGCTTCTCTTGCTACACTCGGGTTGTGCGCTGGCCATACTGTTGGTATGGGTTGTCGGCTGAGAGTTGGTTGATTTCGGGTGTTACGTCTGAGCGTTGCATCTGCATCGGTTGCGCGGCCGCAGGCACACCCGTCGCGGAGGATGTTTGGAGATAGCCATACTCCCAAGAGTCGCGCCCTTGAGTAAGCCCTGTTGTGTACTGCGGTACCTGGTGACGAGCCGTGGTCCCCCACTGACTCATAACCTGCCCTGTGGGACCTCGCGGCGCGATCGATAGGTGATGGCCTGCTGATCCATCCATGCCTGCTGACGTCCTGAGATGTGGAGATAGGCTTGTGGAGTGTATGCTTGGAGTATATGCGGCAGATGCTACCGAGCTGGAAACCGATCGCGGCGAGGTATTGCGATGGACGTCCCGGGTCGTCTGCGAGATAGGAACCTGCACGTAGCCCGAGCTAGATCCCATGGGATGGGAGCCTGCGCCAGCTGTGGAGGAGTAATTTGCAGTCTATGAATGATTAGTCCGGCAGGATGCATTACAAAAGGGGGGACCTACATATTTGCTGATGATCTTCTTGAGCGCATGCGCCAGTATCTTCCAGGGGAATACCTTCACGTCTTTCTCGATGTTACGCGGTTTAGGGTTGGGAAAGCCCATGATGACTTTGAAGAACTCTTCGCTGTCGGATTTTGCCTTCGATACCGTGAGAGGTCGGAAACCTTCCAGGTTCCGGCGAATGCGGTTTTTCTCCTCGACTGTGAATCGAACGTTGACCAATTGCTCCAGAAGATAGATGGTGTCCACGCTAGTGATGAAGCACTCATCTTTCTCTTCCCAGTAGATGCAGCTGACGCAAATACTGCGCTGTTGCCTAGTCTCAAGAGTTATCGGAGCAAACGAAGTGCTAATGGTACTGCCGGATTGAGACCTCTTGAACTCGACAAGACGCCGCTGGGCATCTCGCTCATCCTGCGTCCAGTTATCGATCATCGTGTCCAGGTCCCCATCAATCTTCAGAACGGCTTTCGTAGGATACATCAGGTAAGGATTGAAGGGTTGACCGGAAGGGGCACTTGTGGACTGCGGCAATGTCGTTGCGCGGACTAACACTGGCGTTGGGAGGGCCGAAGGCGATGATAGCACAGTGGGTCGGGTAGGCGTGACAGCTATTGAAGCTGGGCTTCTCTGCCCCAGAGAGCTGTATTGACCATAAGTAGGTAAGTGTGGCGACATTTGCGGTGGCTTCATCTCGTTCTGCGAGATGCTGCCGCCCGAGGGAACAGCATACAGCCCCTTTTGAGAGATCTGAGGAGTGTAGCTCGTTTGCTTCGCCATCTCATATCCTCCTCCGTAACCATACGCGCTGGACAAGGATGACTGAGCTGGAAGCGGCGATACGGATGTCGCCGAGTATGTGCCAGACATGGATCGTGGTTTGGCCTGAAAGCGCATGGATTGTGTACGTTTGGCGGCATGATCTGAGTAGTCCTGACTATCAGTGTAATCGCTGGAAAGTTTGCGCTTCATCCTGGCAACGTCTGGTGAGGTCTGATACTGTGGATCAGCCATGTCGTTGAAGGTAAATTTTCCGGCGTTGATCGAGCTGCTCAGTCGTCCGTCTCTGTCTTCCCACTGCAACTTGAGCATCATTGTCGGGTCGAACGAGTTGGTGAGCGGAAACGGCGGGACCTCAACGTTGAGAGCGTAATGGTAGAATTCGTCATCTTGATCCACCTTTTGCAGTGCGGCAACGCACTTCCTATCCCCAAACATGATGGTATATTTGAGCGGGTCAGCCTCAAGATCAAATCTCGTCCGCAGTTGGAGAAGAACTTTAGATCCAGCGACACCCTGCGAAGGATGGACGTGCTTGCTTATTTCGGACTCAGTGAGAGTATAGGAATCGGGATGACGAGACTTTGCAGCGATAAATGACGAGTCGGTTGGATAGGCGGTGCCGCGTGACTCGTATGTCGAACTAGGGATAAAGGGTATTTCTACGTTCGCAGGTTCATGGGACAAACGCGCGGGCGCGTCGGTGTATTGCGAGGCGAATGAAGGCTGTGCAATGCCCCCGTAGCTCGGAAGCTGATTCGGTCTTGTGGCTTCGGCGTCTGGAAGGGTGGGCTGGTCAGTCGAGCTGCTACTCGTACTCACGTGGGACCTAACCGGGTCCATCCGACCAGGCGGTGGCATCTGCCCCGTCCGACCCGTCATCTGAACCGCAACGCACTTACCATACACATATTGCTCTTGGTTTTTGTGGTAACCAGACATGGACGACAGTTTGGCAGCCCACGCAGCTGGCACGACCAGCGGACCGCTTCCTAGGTCTTGATTGTACTGTGCTACGAAATGCCCGGAAGAGTGATAGTTGCCGCCTACAGAGTAGGGCGCGCGGTCGCTATCAGGCTGCACTCAGGACGACATTAGCAGGCAAACTCATGATGGGGGTCGTTTCGCAGGCAGCAGTAGGTAGCAACGGGGCTTGGAAAACGCCCGTGAGTTTTTTTGAAACATCAACGTACAAGGAGAAAAAACGCACCTGATAGCTAGACTCTACGGTGCAGGCCAGCTTGACGGTGTTTCGCAGTTGCTAAAATCAAGCGAGAAGGATAAATGCGTGTAAGTCCGGCACCGAACGGGAACGGGGCGGAACATGCAAAGATTGAAGACGCGGCGTATGAGGTGTCTCGATTGTAGATTTGACAATACGATATCGGTTTATGCAAATGTTGCGACAGGTGCAGACGGTGAGGCTGAGTGGAAAGGAACAGGAGACTGTTTTGGCAGGCCTTGTGACCAATGAGATAGAGAAAAGAAGCCTCCCCAGAAACAGGTGATCAGAGTGCTTGAACAGTCGATTCATCCGGGGATCAGGGGGTCTTTGAATGTCTGTCTTCTCTACAAGTGGGTCCTACTTTTCGCCAGACGCAAGTCAGACAACAACAGTGTCCTGGCGACGGAAGCGGGGGAATGAAGGTCGCTCTCGTAGCAAACAGCGCTGTATCAGAGCAAATTCCGGTTCTGTACTGGGTGTGAGCGATGTGATTTGAGACGCGGCACGCGTAGACCCGCAAAATGATGTGACTGGCGGGCATGACTTACATGGTGGACAAAGGAAGCGAGACATAAGGCCAGGGCTGGCCAGTATGTATGTGCAAGGCGGGGCGGGCAATTTGCGGAGCGGAACGAAAAAGAACTATGAATCTTGTTGGAGCTATGACTGCGGAGGGGACGAGTTAAGACGGGTAGGAGGATGAAGGAGCAGAGGCAACGGCGCACCTGCTTAGGCAGGAACTGGTGGGATTGGCGGTATGAACGACGACCAGGCGGCGGATATGCAAGGAAGAGAGTGCAGACTTACCTCTGGAGGCCAGGATGGCTCTTGGTGATTAGTGGATCCGACGGCGTGGTAGGCTACCCAGGCAGTGAGTGCTAGAGCACGCCCTCTCACGCCCGCTAATCTTACCGTTGAGCACTACGTCGCGCAGTGCCTGACAGACCGGGATGGCTAAAAAAGACACAAGCGGCAGGATCGTAGCGGGCGGCAGAACCCCGTGCGTTGAGGCTCTGTTGGCGGCCCAGGATGGCGCAGTAGGCTGCTCGGATGTAAGCTCAGCTGCACGGCTGCCTCTCGCTGCGTGGACGCCGCAGTGAATGGGAGGGGTGCACGAGCAGGTGAGACGGATGGTGATCAGAATGAAAGCAGCAGCCAACAGCAATGAGACTGCAATTCCCACCACCGACGGGAGCGGCCAGGACGTGGGAGACGGGCGGGACTCTCAGACCAGATCAGATCAGAGCAGGGAGCGAGAATGTGGAGGGCCGGGGCCAATGCGCCGAAACCGTCAGTCCGTGAGGCGCTCAGGGTGGAGAATGGCGTAATTGTGCTGGCGTGCAAACGAGGGGCGTTGGCGATGCAAAGGAGCGTGGTGTCGTGGGCATGGGGAGGGGGCATGGAGATGGGTAGCGCGGCGTGGGTGAATGTCGAGGTCGGGGCACAGCGTGCGGACAACAGACACGTAGGGTGTTATACAGCCGTCGCCAACGGCCGTGAGCATCAGCACGGCTACGCTGCTCTTGGGGCAGACATTGGATGGTAGCATGCACGCACGCACGCATAGTCCAGCACCGGCAGCAGAGCCACAGCGCGGAGAGAGCTTGGGGCACGGGGATGAGTGGCTGCAAGGCCGGACCGGGGCGTCCATGCTGCCAGTGCTCCGTGACGACAGAGGGGCGCTTTTTCCACACAGTGCGTAGGAAGGGAGGCAGGCAGACGGGCTTGTTGCGAGTGTGGTGAGCAGCAGCACTGGCCTTGGGCCCCGGCAAGCGAATCGTCGGCCATCTATTCCTGGCGTGGCTTGCAGCAACCTTAATCGCCCCTGCTGCAACTCCAAAGCCACCCCCAAGCGCGAGCAGCAGCGCTCAGGCACAGCAACGTCGCCGTCGCGATGCGCTGGAGAAGGCGAGCGCCAGCAAAGGGAGCCCGCCAGCCCTCGCTGTGGCACGCCGGCGTTCTTGTGCGCATCGCATCGCAGCTTCCGCGGACTGGACGCGCCTGCTCAGGTTGCCCATCGCGCCTGCCTCGCTCACCTCAGGATTGGCAAGAGCGCCGTCGCGCCTTCCGGACAAACGCTCGGTATACGCCCATGACGGCGGGTTCCTGCCTGCCTGCCGGTCCTGCAGGGCGCCATCTGCTTCTCCTTCGCCGGCTCCATCTCCTGTGCACCGAGCACAACGCAGCCCACCACCATTTGCCTTTGTCCACGACCACATCGACGACGTGCTGTGGACGACACTGTGCTCGTCCGTCTGCCTCACGTCGCCTGCGCCGCGCCCGCGCTGCTCCGCACGCCCTGGCCGCGGCCTCTCGTTCTCCGCGAGCACCAGGGCCGGTATATGTATGTATTCTTAGCAGCTGTTGCCGTATCACCCAGCGCTCTTACCCGAACGGGGTCGTTGGCGGTTTGCCTGCGGCTGTGTTCAAACGTCAGCCATCCGCCCCCCGAACGCAGTCAAGCAGCTTTCCAACGCTCGCGAATGTCCTTCGCCGTACGTCTGACCTCGATGGCTACCTTTCCGGTCGTTTCAGGATATGCGCGAATCCAGGAACCGCTGCGCTTATGCAGGTGCCAGCTGCTCCCGGCCTTGACCATTGCCTCTACAGCCTTGCCGTCGTTGTAGTGCAAGACGACCGCCAGTGGGAGCCTTTCCTTCATCTCCGCCATCGATACACCTCGGCGGGTGCATCCGCTGTATTTGCGGTCCTGCCCTAGTCTCAGTTAATCTCCATCAAAACCAGACGTAGTCGGCTCACATTCCGTACGCGTCCTCGTGGACGTCACTAGAGCGCCTCCTTTGGCTGCTCTAACGGACGCCCGATATCACGCCCGAGGAGACCCGCAGCGTTGGGCGGATTCCACGTCCGCGAATTCTTGCTCGTCGCAGGTTGAGGGCGCCATATGCACCAGCAAAGCACCTGACGATGCGGTCTCCTATGGCGACTCGGCCATGCCTCCGCCACGCCTGAAGCTTTGCAAATAGATGCTGCTGGACGTAGCAGCTCTTGGGAACCTTTGCCATGCTGTGACCTCCCGAACTGGCCTGTCCCAACAGTTACTTCATGCATGCAATTCTGCTCTCTTCATGGAATTCATGCCAGAATCTCAGCTTCGCAATGCGCATTGCTGGCAGCAACACAGTCGCGCGTGACTGACCTTGCGAGCAATCCTCAGCTAAGAAAACAGCCTTCAAACGGGCTATGGCTTACTGGCATTGCCCTGGCCAGCGTCATCTTTACCACGAGGGACGCACGCCATGGCCTCGGGTCTTCCGTAACCTACAGCTGAAACGTGCATGCATGCCAGACCACCACACCTTCTTTGACCCTCTGCAACGACCCGTCCCACACGCGAGCACGATTCTTCGCTTTCGCGAATGGACTCCTGGCCAGTTTGCAAGGGGTGCATCTGGTCATTGCGGTGATGCAAACTGTATACGGATGCCGCGTCCGACCTCTGTAAAACCCGAAGCAGACGTCGCTTGTGCGACGTCGGCCTACGGCGTAGTAGTCTGTTCATTTGTATGGACAGTGATGCTCGTTACACAGGCAGTCTGCTGTCTCCATTGATCGTTACATCTACTACACCACAAGCAGATTTACCTGCCTTAGCTCTCTTCGGTCTCATCGGGAGCACCGCTCAACTTTCACCACTCTCCTTCACCGACCGGCGGGCTCGCTGGGCAGCGGAACATGTGAGGATCTTTCTTTTGCCTCTTTCGGCGATCGATGCCGAGCACCCACCTTCCGAACACAGGCGCCATCCGAGCAATTGTCATTCGCCGCGTGTCCAGCCCACTGTATCGCAACACCAACTGTCGACAGCGCATCCAGGCCTCGGGGTCAGTCGCGACCCAAAGAGCAGCACCCAGTGTGAGGCACACTCGCAACCTACTGGGAGCGGGCGTTAGCCTGTGGGGCCATGTCGTTTTGGACAAGCCATCACGATCAGTCTGATGGCCAATGTTTGAACACATTCCTCAAGGATCGTATGTATGGGACCTTAGCGCGCATTCCAATCTCGGACGAAGCCGAGTGCCCTTGCCACAGGGTTCTTTGCTCACCACACCCTCGAAAACCTGGTTGTTGGGCCCTTCCGCCAATGTGTTACACATACACTTAGCCAGTCTCTACACAAGCAAGGGCATAGGCCCAAATACCAGGTCTCAAGCAGCCTCTCGGAATGTTCTGTGTGGGGGAGATCGTTCTTGATGCGCCCACACGGGTGACTTGCATGAGCTATCCGCCATCCTGGACGCACGGGTTTACCATGCAGCCCACAAGGTAGGGCTGGAAGGAAATAAGCCGCCGGTGTGGAAGCCCTTCCCTGAGACCCTACCTTGGCTTGACGTTCCCTTGACACGGGAGCATTGCTCCATCTCGCGAACCTAAGCGGTTGCCACCGTTGTGGTCGAAAGTCGCGCTCTTTGCGCCTGCTACCCTCCTAGGAATCAATGACCGATGTGCGACGATAACGGCCGGTACCGTTGCACGTACCTATCATCTTCCTCTAAGCTAGTTCCCACGGTTGCGTTTCAAGTTGTCCTTACTGCAGACCGAATCCGAATCGGATTGCAGTCTGTACCACTGAACATTAGCATGACTACACGACTTCGAGCTATTCCAACAGCTCACGTGATTCTGAAGATCGATCAGTAAGTGCTTACAATTCCGAAGTAAGCCACTGGAGCATTTCGCAGGGAGCTGCTCTTGGGATCTGACTGCTTCTTTAGTCATTTACCTGATCGGGCCAGGAATCTACAGGTGGCCACCAAAAGGGAAGTAAAGTTAGTACAGTAATCATCACTAACAACGTAGACCTTGTCCAAGACTTAGACATGTCTTGATCTTTCTATCGCCACGGATCAGAGTCGTGTCTTGAGGTAATTTGGCTACTGGACGCGTTAAGCGACATCATTGGCTGAGTCTTGAACGCGCTGTCGCCCTCGCTGTTACAACACGACTGACGAAATGAAGTGTCCGAGTAGGTGACCTCCTAGATAAACTTCGTCGAAGCTTATCCTCGATGTCTGTTGATCATGAGCTCACCTTGACGTACCCTCCACGATCAGGCAAGTTGACAAGATTGAAGCTATCTCCGATCTCCCCACGATCTCCATTTCAAGTGTAATTCGCTAGCGCTCATTGTCGTAGCCTTATATTATAGAGATACTGTGATACTTCTCGCAAGTCCACGCTTCGCACGCACTGCTAGTCGGAATGAATCAGAGAGAGCTCCTGTATCCGGGACTGCACTAGTGGAACCCTGACAAATCATCAACCTATCGTAGCGATTGGATCGACCTATATATGTGGGCAATATATTCTTATAGCTTGATCTATCGTAATGATAGCCCTTTCCTAGGCTCGTTCATACCATTGCTTTTCGCTCGTGTCATTGTCTGTAAATCGTTCACGCCTGCACATCTGTCGCAAACTCATTCAATATTCAATATCCAAGACGAAAGCGAATGCTGGTGATGATAGTGGTATGCGTAGCACTGTTGCGTAATTTGCAGTTGCAATGTCACTTCTGAATGACATGTGTGCAACTTCAGGGTAAAGACAGAATCATCCAATGTGAACATGCAGTCATAGAACAATTGCGTATCCATCTGCAACTTTTTGGTATACGAGAAAAATACAAATCGACCAGACACAAAGTGCCCTTCCAAAACGCCTGGTTGAAGAAAACCCATACCCTAAAACGCACAACACCATCTCTTGCTATCCAGCTTTCTACCTCCTATGAACAAAACTTATAAACAAAGCCTCCCTTTTTGCTCACTCAAGAGCTCCCCAAAATCCTCTCATACGCCTCCTCCACCTCCCTCGCCACCTCCAGCAACGTCACAATAACAATCTGATGCGTGACATTTGGCAGCCTATCGCGATGCAGTCCAATCCACTCCAGAGGCGGCGTCGCCTCGCCCATATCTCTCAGCTGCGGCGTCTCGATCAGCGGCGGCTCAAGCGCCTTATACTCGTACTTGCTCTGCGGGACGTTGACGACGGCTGTGATCTTCTCTTGACCCTGGGCCTGGGCCTGGGCTTCTTTGGAGTCTGGGGCGGGTGGTGCAGTCGCGGAGGAGGAAGGCTGGTCCGTGGTGTTTGAGGAGGGCGCTGGCTGAGCTTGCGAAGACGTGATCTTGATATTCGGTTCCGGGAGCGGTTTCCCCAAGCGTGAAGCCAGTGTGCGCGTGTGGTTCCCCCACATGGTCCGTATGTAACTGATACGGCTATAATTCCAACCCACATCCACCTTGCCCTCCAGGCTACTCTTAAACACGTAATCAATGTGATTGCTCATCGGCGCCTGCCACGTGTGCATCGTAGCAATGACCTTCGGCACGCGCAGGATCGTCCCGCCCTTTGCGCTTTTCGCACTGCTCACAATATCTTCGACAGTAAGCTCGCCGACAGGCTTCTGTTTCTTGGGCGCCTGGACAGAGGATAAAGCGACGGAGAGCTGGCCAAGCGTCATGCCGAGTGTGGAGTGGATCTTTCCTTTTTCGAGGGCGACGGCGAAACGGGCTTGGGCGTCGGCGGCTTCGAGGTGGAGGATCTGCGTGTCAATGAAGGTAGATGGAAAGATGCCTAGACTGATAGACCTCAGAGTAACGACAACATCTGTGTGGAGGGAAATGGGTGTTTTAGATGCGTCGGTGGCGGGTTTGGGAGCGATCATGCTCTGGGATGCGGAGCGGTTGTAGGGCACCGCGACAGAGGATTTGCGGCGTAGGAACTTCTCGATGTCTTTTAGAGACTGCTTGTACGCTTGCTGGTTTTCCTGAACAAGGCGTTCGATGGCTTGCCAGAGGGCTAGGCCTTGGGCTGCGCTAGTCGCGGTGCAAAGGACGTGTACGTGGTCGCCGTCAAGGATTGCGACGAGGCGGTCACGATCTCCTCGATGGTGCTCGCGGACATTGTACATGAGGAAATCGAAGTTGGCTATGTCAGCGATGAGAAAGGCCTGGTAGTCGAACGCAGCCTTCACCCGCAGCTGTTGGAATCCAACTGAAGCTTGTATAAGGGGTGTTTGTCGAACTCCCAGATCTTGCGAAGGCCAACTGATGGATGTGCGAATCTTGACGCCAGCGAGATCGACGAAGCCATTCGTGCGCCCAGTGCTTTCGATCCCGACCTTCTCAATACCAACGCAGAGGTTTTGTTCCCAGTCGATGCCTTTTCTGGATGATGCCCACAGATTCTGGATGCGCAGTGATGATTTTCCAATTGTCTGTCCTAGGTCGAGGTCTACCGAAACATCGGCAATAGCAACGTTGGCATTCCAAGGGAATGCAGTGGCTGCAGTGACCTGGTGATACCTTTGCATAAGATACTCTTGTGGTTCTTGACTGGTAGTCGTCGGCGCTGGGCTTGAAGATCGTCTGATTTCCGGTGGGACCCAAATTTCTCTGAAAAGCAAAAAATCCTGAAGTTGCCGAGCATTGATCTGTAGCGTTGTGGGGTTGATCTTCAGGATAGCTGATATACCGCTCGTACCACTGAGATGTTTGCTGTTCATCATAGACAGAATAATAGAATCAACATTGAACCCGAAAGTTGATTCCCTCGAGTAGACATGCTGGACAGTTGCTTCGAGCTTTTCGAAGGCTGCAGAGGCAGCGAAAAAGTGACCATACTCTTGCGACTTGACACTGTTTACGGTGATGTAAATATCCTCTAGCTTAGCTATTGCGGCAACGCGAGCAATGGGCTGGCAGCTGAGACTGAATTCCTGCTTGCAAATACGAACACCAAGGTTCAATCGCTTCCGACCCAAGATCGTACTAGGATCGACAGTGATGAGATTGTCCTCTTCTAGTAGTTTGGCACCAGGCTTTGTGTCTTTCGGGTCATTCTGAGGCTTCGACACCGCCGGTGAGAGTGGAGAATCTTCATCTTTCTCTCGAACAACCTCTTTGATGCTCTCCGACATCTCGATGATTACAGGCACAACAGTCGGGAATAATGTGTTGCTTGAGGCATCGACTCGTAGTTCTGCTTTGAGTGTCGGATCTTGGCCATCGTCTTCATTCTCGACTTTGAGTGCAACACCGGGTGCGCGAAGCACTAAGCTACTCTTAGAGGAATCGCCAACGAATTGACTGTATCTGCCCTTCTGTTGGGATTTGCTCTCTTTGCCGGTAGAGCTTGCGTTGTGCGTTGAATCACTACCATTGATGTGCACCACAGCTCCTGCAAAGCTTGCATCGACGGAGAGAGAAGCCAGTCGCTTGTTTCCAAATGGATTCTTTCGCTGAGCGCCGTCCGTAGTAGGTGTCATACTCCAATTCGCTGAGGCAGCCCTGAATTTTTTGCCGGCTAACGCGATCGACCGCTCTATGACATTTGCTGGAAGAATGAAGCGCGAGTCGAGTAGGAGATGGAGCGCTTTGCCAGCGGCATGGAAAGCCACCTTGCGGGTGTCTTTGGTTGAGCTGTAGGCTACGTTGAAAACCACCTCAGGAAGCAAAGCTGAGTTTGCCGACCGGTCTTTCTTACTTGCTGAAACTGGAACCATTTGTAACTGCATGTCCTCGATTGTCAGACGGGCCGCGTCATCTTTGCGTGTCGAAAGATCGACCCTTCTAAACGAAAGAACAAGGTCTTCAGATGCTGTTTCAGGGTACGGCTCAATGGAATTGCCGACGATCCAGCTAACGTAAATGTCCAGAAGCTCGAGGGAATAAGTGGAGGTAAATAACGCACCGGAGCTGACACTCTGGGCATCAGTCTCTGCGACTTCCTTGGTGCTTGTGTCGCCCTTGTGAGAATGTTTGCTCTTGGTATGTCGCAGTTTCTTCAAATACTTCTTCTCCTTTGAAAGATCCAGATCCTTGATCTTATCTTGCAGATGATTCATCACATCCACTACTGCAGACGCTGTGTCAGCGAAAATATTAACCGCCAGCCCTGAGCTCTTCAAGCGGTAGACTCTACGGGGAGGTTCCGCCTTCTGCTCCGCTGTGACTTGAAGCACTGCAGAAAACGTGATGTTTCCGCAACGGCGGATAGATTTCTTGTCGGACAGAGTCAGGTCCACGCTTATTTCTTGAAGCAGTACGATGGCCTCTGGCAATGCTAGTATGGTAGAATCACGGCCGATGTTGGTTGCTCGGAGTTGAATCGAAGACAGGCGAACTGCGAGGTTTGCCATGGGTGAGTCTGGGTACTGCCCTGGAGCGCTTGCAAGCACGCTGATACCCGATAACGTCATCTCAACGCCGAAAACTATTTCCCTGGACGAGTCGGGGGTCTTGGCGACGGGTGCATGATTCGTTTGGGGTATGATCTCCCGAAATCGTGTAGTGAGCACGTTGATATCCTCACTAACAGCTCGCACAACATTTGATATCTCCGGCTTGTTGATCGTCGCTACTAGAGCTTGCACTTCAGCGGCCTGAAGTTGGATAGTCTCGATGATGCCTGTAGCAGATATCTTTGTCTGTGCTTCCGTGTTCGTGACTGCTAAACGACCATTTACTGGCGGGAATTCTAACGAGCTGATAAGGTTGGAGGCGTTTGCGGTCGTGCTAAACATCCGATGGTGGCACACGGCCAAATCGTAGTATATACGAAGAGTCACGTTCTCGCCCATAGACGGTCCGACAGAGACGCGACCGACATTCCCAGTGATTGACCAACTAAGCGACTCGAGCAAAGCTAGGTGGATAGCATATCTATCCATGAGCAAAGCAAGACTAATGTTCGGTAATTGTGTCACCTTCGGGCGGTCAGTCTGTTCGAACTTTGGTCTTAACGACCGCTTGACGAGCATTGCTTGCTTGTGGAAGTAGGCAACTTCATCGCGGAGTACCGAATCGGCAACTTCGAGAAGGCCAAGCACGTTCTCTTCAAGCCGTACTTCGATTTTCTTGCTGGCGCCAGCAACCTTAATTTCGTCTGGTATAGAGTCGCGTTCGGTAAACCGATGATGCGCAAAGTAAACGCTCGGCGAATCGAACTGTGATCTTAGTAGCAGACGGGATCGAGACAGCAATTCCATGACAGCCTCTTCCAGATGCACAATGACTGTTGTGGTGATGCCTTGCTTTGAAGGGCGGCAGTCTTCGTTTACCACGGATAATCGGAATCGCCGACCAATCAGCATGTTGCGCAGGTTGATCGTGTCGAGTGCAATTGTCGCTTTCTCTGTGACGTACACAAACTGCAGGCTATTCTCGACCTGCCTGTTCTTTTGAGTAGGTGGACAGGAAGACTGAGACTGTACGGATTTGGACCGTCTAAGATTCTCCTCTTCGAACAGGTTGATGAGGACGTCCATCAGCTCGCAGATCTCCCAATGAACACGAACGGCGGTCTCCCTAGAGTTGATCTGCACGATGGTACTACGTTTCTGAATCTCGGAGCCCACCAACATGAGGCCCGCTGGTTCGGGAGGCGGAATCAATGCAACACTGATGGCAAGGATCCGGAGTGCCACTTCGCTTTGTGTTGCGCCTGGATCGAGTATGACTTTGATGCCAGCAGATCGGACATCAACGTAGACCGGAGACGGGCGTACCTCCTCTGGTTGTTCCATAGTAGTGATCCCGAACAGCATTCTCATGGCGAGACTCTTTTCCACATGAGCTAGGTCCCAGGTGCGCCATTGGTCCCACATCGTAACGATTCTTTCCTCAGCGTCCTCTGGGCACCTGACAGAGTTGACGGTGCAGTGGTCACGGATTCGTCGTTTCTCGTGATCAGACAAGGTCTGCCATATGTATCGAAATCTGGAGATGATCTTCCAAGAGTCGTGACTGCGCAAATGGTCCCTGACCGCACGAAGCGCAAACGTTGCCTTGGTCAGGAAGGCTGGGTCCTGAAACTGTTCTTGTGCGGTCGTAAGACGTAGGGCAAGATACCGCAGGCGATTCTGTTGCGTGTCCTTGATGGACACAAACCTATTCGCTAGTTCGTCGCCCAGCATTGTGCTTCGATGGATGAGTGAAGCCATGTAATCGATCTTCCGGCTAGCAGTGGCGACCTCGAAAGCTTTCGAATTCACGTGGACATGGGTCTCCTTGTTGTGTAGCATCCACACAAGCAGATCATTGATTTCAGCCTGGACTGCGACATCGTCGCCAGGCCCGTCTAGCTTTCTTTCAGTAACGGATATTCCTAGAGACCCCAAAGTGGTATGTGCTGAGATCGAGCTTTCGCCGGTCCTCTCCCCAACAAGCTTCTTATCTCTTACAGCAACGTGTAGCCGATTCAGGATCACGTCATACTGATCTATGCCCACTTGCGCGCCCATATGGGGACCGAAAACATTCTGAAAGCGGAGATGCATCCAGGGTACACGTACGCTGAACTCTATAGACTTACCCTTGCCCTCGCGGCGCTGTTGTCGATCTAAAATTGCTGTCATGGCGTTTATCTGGAAATCATCCAACAGGTCTTGTGGTTCACGCGGTTGGAGAGTGCTGATCAGGCCTGAGATACATCGCACAAAATCCGGAGTACAGTAAAGGCGTATACCAGGTTCTGTCTCAATAATGAGACTGGTGTGCTCGAAGCTCTCGTCAAAATGCTTTGTAGAGACGTCATTGAACTGGATCGCATCATCTCTGTTCACTCGAGGCCGGGGTGGAAGGTCCGGGAACGAGGGAACTTCGGACACGTCCATGTCGATGAGATCCAAGCTGGAGGTAGGAGCGGCAAGCGGACTCGATAGCGCCACCGATGATGGCAGACCGCCAGGTATCCTGTCCTTCTCAGACTGGCGGGCGCGATGGCCGTTAGGACTGTTTGCCCTCCTGGGAGAGCCGAGCAGCGTCCGGCTTCTGCTAGATGATTGTGTGACGGTCCCGTCCCGATGTTGGCGAGCAGAACGTATACTATTGACAAACGAGCCGCTTGACGAGGAAGCGAGGGATCGAGCGCGCATACTTCGCCGCAGGGAAGACGCGGATCCAGATGAGTACCCCGATGACGCATCGGATGCAGAACCACCTGGCTGGTTCAAGAATATCGGTTGTGGTATCTCAGGGAATTGCATTGCAGGTGGCCGAACTTCTTGGTTGGCAGGCAGTTGGTTTGTGGCATGCTCCATGTACATGAATTGGGCGCGGTTCGTTCGCTGGTCATGTTCAAGCATGTGAGTATGTTGCTTTTTTCGTTCCTCACTGAAGTCTAGTTTGCGATTGAACATGGTGAAAGACACAGTTGTCTCAAGAAAAGCTTGAGCTTTGACATGCTCAGTATCTCTGCTCCGACTTCCATATCGCAATGCAGCTCGTTCGTCAATGGCACTTAGGCGAAGGTTGGGAATCCAAGCGTTTAGACGACGAGAGAATGTGTCTCCAGCGAGATCGTTGAAGTCTAGCTTGACAGGTCCCGTGCCAACAAGAACAACCTGTTTATCGACGTGGAGCCATAAGCGTATATCTCGCGTCCGCAGGCGAAGGAAAGTCGAATCGTGTATGACCAAAGGATCAGTGATTGGCAGAGTGTTTTCGTCGTCGTCTAGACTGAATGCGAAACATTTGATGGAGGTAGCAGCCTTGGACAAGAAGTCAGACGTACATTCCCCAGAAACCGTCCCGACGTCGAAATCCCAAATGCAGACGTAGGTTGGCTCGGAAGGCGGAAGCCCAAATAGTCGATGGCCAGCAATAGTAACTGAATCAATGAACACTTCAGTTTGCCCACCAACATCGTGAGGAAGGCCCGGGCTCGACACATCGCTGCCAACTGAGAGACTGATTGGACTGAAATCTACCAGGAGATCCATGTAGTAGTTTGTGAACCTCAAGTCACAGTGTGCAAAAGGTAGATCTGCTCGAAGGCCGGCGTCAGCCGCGTAAAGATTCGCAGGCAGAAGTACGCTCGCATTTTCAGCTGATATGGAAAGGATGACATCCAGATCGTTGGAAATTTTTGGTGGCTGACCGTTTGGAGTAGTCGTATCCATTGCCAAACTGTGACTCTGCAGACCTTGGAACTCTTCCAAGGTTCTGAAATGAAGGTCATCACCGAAGTAGTTCTCCTTAATCTTCATAAAGTGATGCACGAGCCACCCATATAGCTCGAGGTGTAGTCTGTCTCCTCGAATGTCCATGAAAAGCCTGTCGGTGTTCATAGTCGAAGTTTCAGTCATGAGCGTATGGCTTCCTCTCAGAGTCAGACCTCCTAGTTGTGCAACATCTCTGGAGCGCACCCAAGTATGTAGCGTATTCCTGGGTGGCATGCAGACCTCGAGGCCTAGATGTTCACCTTTCACGTCGAAGTGTATCTCGTTTTGTGATGGTCTGAACTTGTCTAGTGGGATCGTGACGTCTCCGTGAAGCCGTTGACCGAAGAGCTTGATGAAGCTGTTCTCATCGAGCTCCGACGGATTATTGATGATGTTCGAGTCGTTGGTGTTCAAATAGATTTTGAAGTCGGTGAAATCCACATTCAGTAGGTATTGAAAAGGGACAAATGTGAAGTAGTTGGCCGGCGGACCGGAGCCCCAATCAGCAACGAGGTCAGTCAGCAGGAACAAATGGTCTCTTAGTAAGAAGAGCTCCAGATCTCGACACGAAATATTGAACATCCATTTCCTCAAGCTATTCCAACTGATGGGGTTAGATAAGTCGCAGTCCAGCCCAATCGCCCCTGAGCGCCACAGAAGACCATGATTGACGCTAGATGAGATTTCTGTGCTGGCAATGTCGACGTCTAGTTTATTGTTGAAGCCTTGTGGGGATGCAACCATGTCCATTACATAATTGACGGAAGAGTTGCCTGCGACCTTGACATCGATCCAGCCAAAAGGGCGCATGTTTTGTCCAGAAGCCGCTGCATCTCGTTGTTTGGTTCTGCCATGCTTCCTGCGTGATCTTGTTCGCCCTTTAGACTTGTCCGAAGCGTTCTTATCTTGACCTCCGAGTGTCTTGGCCTTCCCTTTCCACTTCCAATCCTTCGACGGCTCACGAATAGGAATGCGCAGAACAGTCTCGTCCTCGATGCTGAGGTAGAGTTTGAAAACAGTAAGCATTCTCGTATCGCCCGGTTTGAGGGATGAAGCTGGTTCGGCATCAACGTGAGCGCCGGGAAAGAAGAACGATTGAAAGATGCCTCGATGCCGGTCAGTCCAAGGTCCGTAATTGATAACACCGCCGTAGACTTGTATGTCCACACCATACTCCGGTGGAGTGTTGCCATTGATATCCCCAGCTTGCGCGGCTTCAGTGTACATGCTGTTGTCTAGAAGCGCGGGCACACGTCCAGCAACATCCCAGTAGAAGCTCACATTTACACACGGACAATCCGCAATGAGAGAAGTTTTCGCATATTCAACACTGTCCCATTCTCCATGCCCATCGATCTGATTGTCATCCATGTAGCGAGAAAGACCCTTCCATTTCTCTTGCCCCGGGAAATGCCATTGTGGCGCAAATAGGCTTGCTCTTCTGCCCGTCGTTCCACCATGATGGGTGTGAATGGAGTCGGTCGACTTTGAAAACAGTTTGGGGATGCGCGGAAAGCGAAATCCTCGCTGCTTGAGCTTTTCGTCCATTTCTTCTTGCTCCAACACACCCTGCTGTTCTTCCTGCTTCAAACGTCTAGCAGCGTCGAGTTGAGGGCTCTTGTAGTCGGGGTTGGGCTTTATGTGCACTACCGGGTGAGTGACTTGGAAGTTGAAGACCTGTTGATAGATGTCCAGGGGCCCGCTTGGCGCGGCATCGAAATCGCCGGTTACTTTTTCGAATTGAGCTGTGATGACGGACATGGTATGCTCGTTACCAATGACAATGGCGCCTTTATTACATTCTACATAGACGGGAAGTATCTTCAAGAACGCAGGTAGACCATCAGTTTTGCCATCGTTGGTAGTGTCGGTGCCGGGACGAGATATTCCCTCTTCTTTGGCCGGAGCTTTCCTCAGCTTATTCATTTGCTGACTTTGATCTTCCGACATCTCTGTCGAGGTTCTAAACAAGACATTGTTCCCGGTGCGAGTGTTTTCTTGATCCAACGGTGCACCATCTTCCGTGTTCGCATTATTGGCTTTGTTTCGAATAGCATCGATAATGCCATCGTAGGCTGGTGTGCGATTGTACAAGAATGCCTCAACCCCCGAGATCTTGACCGACACGCGACATGGGAGCCGTTTCTGCGTACTCTTGCCTCCTTTTTCAGCCTTGTCCACATTCCTACTGCGGCTTCCCGAAGGGGCACTGCTCGATGCTCCATCGCTCGTGGTCGTGTCCAAGGGCGGAGGCCGGTCGGTCGAAAACACCTCAGCATCTCTCACACGACGTAGCCAGTAGTTCCATGTAATGTATCCATTATGTATGAGGATGGTCTCGTTGTGGCCATGATAGCGAACATCTTTGAAGAAGATGCGGCCACCAAGGAGCGAGATCTGGAGCGCTTGTATATCGATGTATGTGCGGTAGGCGCGCCATGTGTAGGCTCGGATAGCGTAGGACACAAGGGTCGCGAACAGGCGGTTAAAGTAAAAAAGAAAGAAGATGGTCCTGTTCGTGTGAATGGGGTGCTACGATAGGGGAGGAAGGAGCGCCTACAGTATGCCACAAATCAAGAGCTCGACCAGGTACACCCTATGAACCCACATGTCAGAAGCCGTGATATATAGGGTACTTTCTGGCGCACCAATTGAAGCCCCGGTGAGGGTTTAAGGGCTCTGGCACAATCGAGCCTGCCATGGCGAGCGGTTGCACAGTAAAGGCAAACAGCGGGTGCGACTCCTCATTGTGGCTCGTGACCGCGCATGCTGTCCCAGCTTTGGTCGCGCAATGAAGAGGCGCTCAAAGGGCCAAAACAAGTAGAACAGAGAAACCCACCACTGTGACGATAGCCCCGAATTGGCGATTGAGATGAAAGGCGCATGTGCCGGTGAGGTCTGAGGCGTTCGCGACCCCAGGCCGCTCATGACGCGTGCGGGTCCAAGCTTCCTCCGCATTGCATGCTGCCAAAGTCGGGCACAAGACCTCAAGCTGGTGCCTATACGAATATCGCCATGCTCCCGCTCTGCTGCTGCTGATCTTGCCCAGACAGTGGGCACACATCTTCACCTTCGCTTCCTGGTCTGCAAAGAGCACGCAGCTCTGAGCTCCTGGCCTGCGCCGCCAACAATATGTCCACAGGCAACCTTCTGCGACGGGCTGCCTCCGATAGCGACCCTCGAGGCACGGGCGACCGCTTCGCGAAGGCTGTTGTTATCGTTGCAGGCGTGGCAGCTCTCGTTGCTAGTATTATCACATTTGTGTCCGTACTGCCTTCCAAATAGACATGTGCATCCACTGACGTAGTCGCAGAGCTGTCTGGTTACAGACGTACGTAAGATCAGATCCTAGGAGCTTCATGTTACTGAGTCCCTATTAGGAAGAACTATAGAAAACCCCTTCTCCAACGCTATGTCGTCCGCATCTTGCTCATGGTTCCGATCTACTCGGCTTGCTCGTGGGCGAGTCTGGTGTCCATCAAGGCATCCCGCTGGATCGAGCCACTTCGAGACATATACGAGGCCTTCACCATATATACATTCTTTCAGCTGCTCATAAACTTCATCGGCGGCGAGCGTGCCCTTATCGTCCTCATGACTGGCCGCGCACCCGTATCGCATCTTTGGCCACTGAACTTGTTCCTGCCTAAGGTCGACATATCGGATCCACACACCTTCCTTATGATCAAGCGCGGAATCCTGCAGTACACCTGGGTCAAGCCCCTGCTCTCTGTAGCAGCTGTCGTCATGAAAGCATTGGACGTATACAAAGAGGGGTATATAGGCGTAAGCTCTGGATACCTGTGGAGCGGTATCATCTACAACGTCAGCATCACCATAAGTTTATACGCGCTCGCCATGTTCTGGGTGTGCATGGTCCAAGACTTGAAGCCTTTTAGGCCAATGCCCAAGTTTTTGTGCATCAAAGGCATCATCTTTGCCTCCTACTGGCAGGGCTTCTTCTTATCCATTCTTGTCTGGCTGGGTGCTATCCCCGATAACGTCCCAGGATATAGCGCTGACAACCTTGCCGCTGCTATTCAAGATGCTCTCATTTGTTTCGAAATGCCCGTCTTCTCCTTGGCACATTGGTATGCTTTCTCATGGCACGACTATGCCGATGACACCATCTCGGCTGCGCGCCTACCCGTCAAGTATGCCTTGCGCGATGCTTTCGGTCCCCGCGACTTGATCGAAGATACCAGAGATACATTTGGCGGCAAGCACTACGAATACCGCTACTTCGACGCGAACGACAACGTCCTTGCACACGAAGAATCGTCATCGCGAGCAGCACGTATGAGAGAAGGTATGAGATATGAACGTGGAGGCAAGGGCAAATATTGGATCCCAAAACCCGGCCAAGGTGAACATGAGCCGTTGCTTTCGAAAGTTACGTCCAGCAGGGCAAGGACGATGAGTCCAGGTGCTTCTCGTGCGCTTGATACATCTAAATATGGTACTGTGGAGGAGGATGAAGAGCCGGAACTGGACCCTGGAGATGAACGGTTGTTTGAAAGCGCTCGTACACTGGAGTTCGGCGACTGGAATGTGAGTTGTGCAATTTTCTTATACGAACATAGCTAACCATAGTACAGTATCCTGTGATCGAGGCGCATAGAGCGAACCGTGACAGTCAACTATATGCGCAACCACCAATATTAACTGGCGCCACGAATCGGCACTTATTACAGCCCACCCAAGTCAACAAGAAGAGGCGGAAAAGTAAGATCAAAGACATCCAGAAGGCAGTGGACAAGGGCAAGCACCGCAGCGACTCGAGCAGTGGAGAACCGTCAAGCTCCAAGTCTCACAAAGGCTTGGTTGGAAAACTCCTTAGGCACGAGTCGTCATCTTCATCTAGCTCAGGCAAGTCAGACCAAAGTCAACTTGTCGATCTCGTTGTCGAGGACACCGAAGCGGAAGAGGTCGAGCGCGTCAGAGCGCGGAAGGAAGGGGGCCCTGGCTGGAATGAAGTCGATCAAAAGCACTTTGTGTAAGCATACATCCATTTCCGAATTCACCAGCTGACGTGCATTTAGCCACACATATCCCGAGGAGGGACAGGAAGAAGACGTTCGCGTAGGTTTCAATCCAGACCAGCCGCAGCCGCATGATCCCGAAGGCGTGCACAACCTCAATTACCCGTTCACCACAGAGGAGGGCAAGGACGAAGACGAGACCGGGAAGCTTGACCCGCCCGTCTCAGAGGAGGCTCAGCGTTGGGAGAGGCGTGACTACAACCACGACGACGACAACGACAACAAACGGAACAAGAGCCCACAATACGGTAGCTTCAGAGACGAGCACAACGCTTGGAATGATTCGTAAGGTTGACTTGCTACTCACGGCAGGCATTGTTGGCATGAAGCACGCCGCACGGAAGGATGCCACGTTTTGAAACGTTCTCTATGATCTCTCTGCTGGCGGCAAGGCTTTCTCGATGTTATTTTTGCACAGCTCTTTTCACCCAAGTACATGTTCTATACCCTTTTCGGTGTGTATGTGATGATCTGATTTTGCTCTACCTTATGTTTTGCGATGCGCATATGTAGAAATGCAGTATTCTCCATTGTATAAAGTTCCCACATCGACCGGTGTACCTGCAGCCGCAAGCTACCAGCGAACCAAACACTGCCATGCGATGCGGCGTGGTTCGAGAAGCGTGGCAGAAGTGGAGCCTCACCGCGTGCGCTGGCACCAGCGGCGCGGTCTGAATGTTGTGATGGAGGAACGGACGGTGAGAGGCTGTGATTGGTCCGTGCAAAACCCAGCATTTTGTACGATGGGTTTCACTTTAGGAACGCTGTGCCAATGGTGAGCTTGATAAGATGATGTTCGTTGTGTAGGGCTGGGGAACCTCGCAACGATGGGCCATTGATAGGCCGGTAACGCAGGTTTCTCCATGCCCTGGCGTTGAGCGCATCTTCGAAGGCTGGCTGGAGAGCGAGTAGCGTGAGCACAGCAAAGCAAACATGGCGTTCGAGGCAGTTGCAGCCGTATAAGCCCAGAACCTTGCAAACCAACTCTACACTCATCGTTCCATCTCCACAAGCCAGGACTGATTGGGTGGCAGGCATTCTGCGGGATGGACTGACGAGTGTCGTGTCCCTTGAAGCAAGAGTCGCATGCCGGAACCTCCCCAAGCCGCCTCCCCTCCTACAACCACGCATCAATCCACAATGCTCCAAACCCTCATCTCCGCACACGCAAATACAGTCTCTCAATCTCACCCCGCAACCGTTTCACCCAAAATACCTCGATCTCGCTCCCCTCCCCATCGCATCTAAATATACACGCCATCTGGTCGTTCGCGCCTACACAGAACAACAGGCCATTCGCACGTACCCACCCCAAAACAGCCGGCCACTGACAGCCGTCGCAGCACGCCATCTGCAGCCCGTTTCGACGCATAGCCGCTATTGCGTGTCGATTGGTTGCGCATCATCTGTTCGCGCGGGCGCTTATTGCGCCTGTGGCCAATGGCATGCGCTGCTGGGGTCGAGCCCTTGCACAGGCTCGCTGCGGGACATATGCAGCAGTGTGGGTGACAGGCAGGGATGGAAGGGACCGGTGTTATTGGGCGCTTGGGGCGAGGGTAGATTGTGTATATTGAGGCGGGGAGGGACGGCATGCGAGCGAAGGGTTGGCCGGACCAAAGGTGTTGCTGTCGGATTGTTAAGTTTACGCTGGACTAGGGTGAGAGCTGGTTCATACGGCGCACACCGCACTTACTTCTTCTCTTCTTCTTCGATACCTTTGTTTTATTGTTTCTGAACGTGCTTGAGGCCTTGACTGGTTTCACCATCGCCTTGTTCGAAGAGAAGGTGCAGTGCCTGCTAGACGGGCACCGAACAAGCATAATGTTGCAAGAGAAGAAAAAACCATGGCTGGCCATAGGATGCTGTGCATCCGAGAGAAGAGACTCTGTTGATGAGGAGGACGGCAGAGACGCGTCGAGAGCCGTTGGTATGTTCACTTCCTCTATTCACTTAGGCATCTACAGCATGCATCCTACTCCGCCATCAGTCACTCCTTGTACTCTTTCGAGATCGTCCAGGCTTCCTCTTGACTCGCAGCCCCAACACCATTCTCTACACATCCCTTTTCCCTCGATGTTCGGTCCTGTCCCTGTTGAGATGCACCACGCCGCTTCCAATCTCCCCTCAATATGGCTAAATGCACACCACGCCACGCAACATGACATGCATGCAATACCTTCCAACGACATACGCCATCATATCCTTCGTCATAAAACTGACAGTTATGTCTAGGGGAGTCAGATATGAAAATATGCTACGACCAGCCAAAGACAATAGAGCTCCCGCGCGCCGAGCCTGTCTCACCCCCACCACGCCCAGCAACAAGTCAATCTATGGGCCGACATGTCTCGCAATGGGTCGCGACCAGTCGTGACTTTGCCTCACGTGCGTCGTCACGAGCAAGCGTACACACACTTACACGGCCGAGGAAGTCTCATTCCAAGGTCAGACGACTAAGCATAAGTGGTCCAGTCGACTTCAGACATGACAGTGGATTCGATGGCGCAGAAGGAATTCAGAGCATGATCGATGATGCCCCGATGCCTGTACGGCGGCGTCGAAGCTTCAGGCCATTGGAATTGTCGATATACCTCCCCGATGGAAGGCTATCGCCGCTGCCGGATTTTGAACATGATGAGTGGGGGGAGATGCCGCAGAT